GCCTTGCTTTTGATACAGAAATTTGCGAATAGACTTTAAGATTTCCAGAAATATCAAAATTTCAGTGTTCCATTTCTAACTGATCTGCTTTACTGACAATTTTCGAATAGTGTACATAAAATTGCAATCAGAATATTTAATTCAAGGAAAAATTTGATCATATAGCTCGAGTGGAATTTTATAAGGCCTATCTTCCCATAGAAGAATATCCGCGCTTTATAGTTAAACCTTATGTCATCGCTTTTTAGAAACATATGAGCAACCATTTTCTAGAATAAAACACGAATGAAATTGGAATGAATAACACGAATGAAATTGGAATGAATGAAATTGGAATCAAAATTTGCGATAGGTATCTTGAGACACATAGTAACTATCATCCATCGAACGAGGTATTGGTGGAGAAGCTTTATGAGGGCAAAATCAGATATTCCACTAGAGAAATAAGTGAGGGGTTTATTTTTTTGCATTTTCTACTAAATGTGGTATGTATAGTATTTGTGGCTCAAGGCAATTCCTTTTCACTCAATGCTCAGAGAAGCCAAAAGATTGAACGCCCTTAATTCAATTACTACATTTATTTCGAGAGAAAGTGGGTTGAATACTTATCTTGATTGAAAGAAAAAACATGGTTTCGATTTTTGTTGCTGGCGTGAATTTTAGAAACAGTATTCGAATGGTGCTAGGAACTTATTCTCTCCCCAACTGATTCTCTGACAAAGGGGAGTCGTCCTGCTAACTGGTGGAGTAATCCAAACAGAAAAGTGAGTGTTATTAAAAAATTTGTAATATCGCTATAAATGAAAATAGATTCGTCAAAAAAGTGTAGAAAATTAAATATGCAAGACTTTTCTGAAAATTCATAGCTTTATCGGCCTTGTTCACTTTTAATTCCTTAAATTATTAAATATCATCAAAATCCACGAAACGAAATCGAGAATTGCCAAAATAAAATTGATAAGGCTGATCGATCATTGTAATAACTTTTCATGCTTTTTTAAAAATTTCTTATTGACGATAAATAATCAATTTTGAGGTTTACAATTCCCTAAGGCAACCACCGTTTAAATGTTTGAAAAAGAAAGAAATTAAAGAGGATCTAAGAATATTGCATGTTCCTTACTAGGCAACAAGTCCTTTTTCGTTTATTGTTTGCTTTCTGTCTATCTCTTGGCTAATTACTTTCTTTTCCTAAAAGTTTATAACTTAAACGATGTGCAAAAAATTCAATATTATGATTATAGTGATTATATTTCGTTTTTATCAGAGGAAGATGGTTCTTTTTCCTTGGCCTTTCTCCTATGCTAAAAGGTTTTGGGGAGATCTACTTATTCCACAATTTGTTCCCTGGTAACCACAATGTGATAGGTTGCACCATACAAAAAATAAGTGAAAAAGTCTGCAATATTGATGAATGTGATTAAAGATGATGAAGTCAGTAATTAAATTTTATAATATACTAATTAATTTTAGAATTCAGTAATATAAATTAGAATTTCCCATGAAAAATATGTTAAAATATGTGTAAAATATATATTCAAAGATATATTTCACTTTACTTTTTTCTTTGTAGCTTCTTTTTTTTAGAAAAAATACATCAAAATTTGACCAAAAAATAATTTTATGTTCGATAACTATGAATCTTCGATCAATTTGAGGTTTTATAAGTAAAATGGCCGAGTGGTATTTCTTAGAATGCAATTTCATGCAATGTGACTAGGTCGATGCTTCTAATATGAGAAAACCCGTCACTGAAAAAAACATTGTTTGGAATTTGCCTAAAATAAGTCTCCGACGAAAATCGTCATCGTAATAGCCAGTGGAGCAAGTTTACTGAGAACCAGAAATGGTGAGCGCTAGCCATTTAACCTGTCCATGAATAATTTTCCCTTTATTAATTTCATTTTCTCGTCAAAAAAATTTTTTTTTTGCAATTTTAAATTACTTCAAGGAAGTAATTTTTTTTACAATATTTCTAAAGTTTCTTTTCTACATTTGCTATTAATTATCGTTCATCTTTTTTTCCTTACTTTCACTTATTTTTCTCATTTCCTTCACTCTGACATTTCCCATTCCAATTTTTATTTTGCTAAAGGTTTCCCTATTTCTTATAGTATCCTTATTTTTACTTTTACATTTCTTCTTTTCTTCTTTTCGAAGCCTTAAGAAAGTCGCATTATTGCATAAAACGTTCCTATTATAAGTATTATCTTTATCGTTTTTCTTCACTAATTTCATTTTCATTTAATCATTTTTAAAATCTCTGTTGTCTTTGATTGCCGACGAAGTGATTACTTAGAGATATTTCAGAAAACTATGGTACCGTAGCATTCGTCTTAAAGGATTTAATAGGCATTAGGATAAAATAGGTAAGATTATCGTTTTAGATGATTAACGTTGATATTTATTAAATAAAAAATTTTCCCTAAAAGATCAATCATTTCGAGCATCATTAGTATATCTTTTTAGCAATTGCTCGGCTGATAAGAATTTCAGTTTCGTCTCGCAATTTAAAGCATATTTTTTACCTAAAATCTTAATAAAATTTAGTTAAATTTTGAATTATTGCTAAACTAAGGGAATTAAATGGGTAATTCCCTTTAAGATAAGCTATTAGCTGTTAATAAAATCATTATCTGTTAATAAAAACTGTTAATTCCATCTATCCTCGAGTGATTCTCTAGTAAAATAATGAAATCAGTATCGTAATGAGCCCAACTCGAAATATCGTAAATCGTATATTAATTAATTTCATTTTAAAATTAGCCGGAGAAAATAAAAACAATAGTCTACAATAATTAATATTCCTGTTGAATTATCATTTAGCATTTTTGATTTGGAAATGGGCTTACGCAAATCATCGCTTTAATAACAATATAATTTCAACATTTCAATAGCTAATTTCAAAAGTTTCAGGTTTATTTGAGGTTTTGCCATATTAAATTCTTCTTTTTTATGATTGCCAATCTATGAAAATCGAAAAAATAATTTTTTTCAGCAAAATTTTGGCCCAGAAAGACCTTTTTTTCCTATGCTTTTATTCACTACTAAAGCGATAACAATTTTCGTTGGAGATTCACCTGGGAATAGAATTATATAAGCGTCTTTAGCAGCATTCTGATTTTGTTTTTAATGAGTAAGTTTACTAGAACAAAGAGACACAAATCGATGATGATGAAGAGGTTGTAGAAAATAAACCATCAAATGGACTAAAATTTAACCTTCTTTTAATACCCTATATCAGCAGATACTTCGACAAATATTGCCATTTTCAAATCCCTCGAGTTTTTTCCCTTATTTATTTCTCATTCGTTGCACAGTACGAAGGGCAGGTAAGCTGAATTTTGGGCCATCTTTTTTGTCTTTTTCGATTTTACAATTTATTTGATTAAATTATTTTTTCATTTATTCACTATGTTTAGTTCTGATCCGTTTTAAAAAATTTTTTAAAATTTCTATTCGTCATTTTAAGTGCTTTGCCGTAGATTTAGCGGGTTGAAACAATTTTTTTCTGGATGATGAATGAAATATATAAATTTGATTTTTTATTTTCATTGTTTTCTCCAACTTAAAGTTAGCATTTTGTTCAACTATTAATATAAGTAACAAACCACAGCAATACTAGGTCGCCGATAAAAATCACCTAAAAATATTTTCATTCTCTTGTTTTATACTATCAAAAACCGTTGTCCACATTAAGTTCTACCTTTAATTCGTATAATTTCGATAGTTGCTAATAGGCTTCACGAGGCCAAAAGTATTCATAGTGCAAAAAAAGTTTTTCTACTCATAAGTTAGGTAGGAAATCAAAGATTTTTGCTATATTCAGGAGCAGTTGGTGGAGTGACTGTTGCTTAGAATAGTTCTTTATTATCATAATAATCGACCTGTGTCTCATGGCAGAAATGGATTTGTCATTAGCTCTGGTGGTGCAAAATTTTCTCGCACTATTAAGCCAATTTAAGCCTAATCAGAAGTGATGAGTATCACATCATTTATTTGTTTTAAGGCTTTCTCACAGTTTAATAATAGGAAATAGTGAGTCCATTAAGTTCTCCTACCATTAATTATATCTCAATAATTAAAGCAAATCCAGCAATTTTGTCAGCCTCACTCATAAATAAATAATACAAATTTCATTGTGCATCATTTTATTCACAACGATATTTTATCAGTCGTGTTTGGTTGAGAAAAATATTGTTACGGTGGCAAAGATAACTGGAAAACCCATCAGCTTAATTTTTAATTAATTATATTTGTCCATTTTTGATTGTTCAACTATTTTATTTTTTTTTAATCTACAAGAGGAGTTTTCTCTTTTTTGTTTTTTGCTATTTACTTTACTCGTTTGCCATTCTGCCAAGTATTCATCCACAAATTCTCAGCGATTCAATTCACAAAACCTATTTTCAGACCAAAATTTAGATTGCAGAATTTGGTTTCATGTATTCTAGTGCAAATATTTTTGCTTAAAATGGTCAAACAGTTATTTATCCTAATATTTCATTAGAAAGGAGTCGGAATCGAATATCCACCAACCAATCGGAATCATTATAACAACATCTCTAAATAGTTCATTCGATTGTCCACATAAAATAACAAGAAAAATAAGGAAGAAACTTTTGGTAGCATTTATTTTTAGCACAATTAAAGTTATTAGTAGATAAATTTACCTTAGTTGGATGAATATCCACTTCGCGTAATATGCTTTTCCTCTTCAATGATTTTCGGTGAAGTCAGCTCGATTTTCGATTTTAAAAGATTTTTTTAAAAAATTAGTTCATTCGTTATTTCACCTTTGATGCTTTAATTTATTAGTTTTATTCGATGTAAATTTTTTTTAAGAGATTTGATAGAAATAAAAGAGACTGAAAAATATTTCAGTCGACGAATTTTCGTAATTCTCGATTTTCTTACTTATTTGTTTTTCATTCATATATTTAATTTTGAATTTTGCCTTTTGCCTTTTGCCTTACGAAATTTTTTAATTTTGTTTATAGATGATAGAAATGAATTCGTATTGTTTGACAAGAAACGAATTGCTTTTATCCGGCATTGATTTTGAGCGTTTCGTATTTGCTTATATCGTTCCATGTTTTATTTTAATTGGAATTTGCGGCAATATTATTAATTTAACTGTTTTACTTTCACCTCCAATGAGAAAAAGGTTAATTTTGTGAAAAATATTTTTATAAAAAAATTTATAAACTTTTCAAAAGCAAAATCAAGTGGATTTTAATGAAACTCTTACATTGTAAGAATTTATAGCGATTGAAAAAGTAATATGCTCGCTCATGAAGCGTTAAATCATAGCGGAAATGAAATTGCTTATATCGTTGTTGAGGCTTGTAAAAAAGATTGGCCGGATGGTTGCACTATATTGGGCATTGTTCGACTTTTCTCAGCCTAGGATTTGCCCGGATTGAATATGTCAAAAATTGTGGCCAGTAATGATAGCGACTTATGTGCACTTGTATCTTTAAGTGACTCCCTAGCAAAATTGTTTTATTGCATTTTTTTTTTAAACAGTCCTCACCATTACTGGTTAAAATCGCTCCAATGGCTTGTCGCATTGGGCGATATGCCAAGGAGTCCCAATACAGGTGAGTCACCAGCATCACCCTGATTTTTGCACAGTTTCACTCCTGCAGGGAATCGAACCTCAGCATCGGCGCTCCCAATTGAGCAACAACCCACTGAGTCATCCTATCCCCTAATAATTATTGCATTAGCCATTCGTGAAGTGAGGTCGGTTAGAAATGCTTCTTTTTAAATGAAAGAGATATTTAACTGTAGTTTTTACGAAATCTTCATATCGATTGCGCAGCATTAATTTCAGGTCATATATGTTATCCTATTTGGCATTTAATGATATGTTTTTCTTATTTTTCTTGTTACCACATTCATTAGCACATTATGAGTTATTTGCGTTCGATGAAACTTTTCGAAGATTTTATTTGAAACACAAAATAAATCTTCTTGCAGTAACGAATTGGGCATCAGCTGCAGCAATATGGTTTGCTTAATACAATAAATTAATTATAAAACATTCCCAAATAATAAATTTCCTTGTTCATTTTATGGTTTATAATTGAAAATCCAAAATCCATTTGCGAACAACTTTAGGATAACAATGTAAAGCTTTTGCTTTAAGGACGTCTTGAGGGCTTTAAGTACTTTCCTGCGGTCCTCCGATAATTCCCACTGCTATAATGATTACCCATGTTGAAATTATTCTGAGGAAGATTGTTCGTCTGAGAAATGCCTCATTCAAAACCATTCTTTCAGAGCCCTACAAAAAACTATCACAACTATAATTTTAAAAAAACCAGGCAGTATTTTTTTGGTTGAAAAATTTTTAATTAATCAGTGTAATTAAAAGATATTTAGAAAGAAATGTGTAATAAAAGTGATTTACTATAAAAAAACTATTCATCCTTTTATGTAATTCTTTTTAGTTCGATTTTTTGTTAGATGAAATGACTATTGATAAAATAAAAAGTAAGTAAATGGTTAACGTCCACTGTTTTTGGTTAGGTTTTCCTCCGCTGGCTATTAGTAAATTTTCGTGAAGTGTTTCTCTGAGATAGGAGTATAGATGGCATCGCGAAACTGGATTGGTACTGATAACCCTATTAATTGCTAACCCTTTTAATACGATAACACTGATATCATCATCCACTTTACTACACTTCTCCCTCTTTGCTGATGGAAGATTCGCTTAATTCAATTCAAAGGTCATATTAGCAAATAAACTGACGAATTGATAAATTTTTCAATTAAAAATTAAAAATTCATGTAGGAATTTTGCTCGTGGCAAACGAATGAAGAATTCGACACGACGCATAGAAATGAAATTTTTTGAAATTAAGAATTTCAAATTGGAATTGATTATTTAACGTTGAGTTAAGAGTAAAAGATTTTAGAAACTCTAAAATGACTGAGTGCCTTTAAATTATGGGAAGTTTAAGTTAAAAGAGAGCTAAAGTGTAGATTATGAGATTTTGCAAGTACTTTTGAATTAAAGCTTTAGATTATGAAAACTGAGTGAATAGTTTCTATCTTTTTTTTTTAAGAGTTTTGACTATTACTGGTTAGACTCGCTCCACTGGCTTATCGGATTGGACAAATATGCCAGAGCGTCCCTTGGTGACAGAAATATAGGCGAGTCGCCATAATCCTGCGGAGAATGAAACCTTAGAACGACGTTCCATTAAGGTAGAATCATTAAGGTCCTTTTGGTTCCAATGGAAGTTTTACATTTGAATTGAACTTAAATATTTTTCAATGGAATTCTTACAAAATGACCTATTAAGTTTGATATCTAATATATTTTTATATTATTTGAAAATTTTTAATAATATAATATAATTTAATAATTATATTATATTATTGAATAATATGATAATTACAGTATGGTAATTTGATAGTTATAGTATGGTAATTTTTATAATTAATTTATAATTATAATTTAATTCAGATTTTAAAGAAACATATATAAATTGAAATTCAAAGAGAGAATTTTTTTAATTTTGCAAATATTTATTATTTTCCTAATAATAAAATTTTAATCTCTCAATATTTGCTTTTGCTAACTGATTGGATAATAGGCTTATCAGTTGTTTCTAGAAAGATCATTTAAATCATTTTCTTCACTATTTTTCCATTTTATAAAATCGTTTATTGCAGGGCAATTCTCCTTATTTGTTTCGAAAGACTTATTTGTGTACGATATCCGTTAATAATTCGTCGTTATGACCTAAACAACAAAATTTGGCACATAAGTGCTTCGTTGTTTATCGCACTGACTACTGGCATACTCACCTTCTACACACATTATAGTTATACGACAATAATGAAAAGCTTCTGCAATGGGACACAGATTCATGCTCTATACCTTCCAATCAATAGTAAAATGCAGGGTTTATTGTAGTTATTTGCAAAAAATGCTGCAAAATTCATATTATCAACGATTTTGTTTAGATGGCCAAAGAAAATGCCCAATCCTAATCCCGTATGGCTACAACAGCTCGTCTTTTACAGTGCTCGCATACATGAGCTTTTTGTTGTATTCATTCCGACAATCGTTGTTATCGTAGCAAACGTACTTCTTGCCATTACTCTCAGTGAAAGGTTCGACATTTATTAATAATTTTTTCTGGAGAAAGATCCTATGAACTGAGCAAATCTGATGATTTTTCTATAAGCCATTACAGATTTAGTTCCTATATTTCGACGAGATTAAGACGGTCATTAAAAGTGAAATGCAGGTGATGTCTATGTCATCTGTATTTAATGGCTTTGTGGTGAAGAAATCTCGTTTTAGTTAGCTAGTGGAACCAGTCAGACTAGAAGTGATATCTTAGAAAAAGAAGACAAATTCAAAGAAAAGTATTGCTTAAGGAGAAAATTTTTCGGCCTGAAATCTACAATGAATGATTCGAACTCAGTGGTTGCCAAAACTGAGCAAAGTATCACATATACCGTATGCGCTATCGTTACTTGTTTTACTATCACGCAGGCAAGCATTTTAGCTGAAAGTATGAAATGAAGTGAATTTTTATCGCTCATTCTCTAAATCACCAAAGCTTGAGTGAAAATTTTAGACAAAAATTTATATAGAGAATTTCTTAAAATTAACTGCATTTAAATTTTCAGGCACCTTCTGGAATATTTTCTGCGATAATAGGTTACATACCATTCAAAAGTCCGATGTGGAAATTAAATTTGGTAAGTTATGTCAATTTTTGAACATTGTTTAACTCAGCGAATATTCATCACTGTGATTTTCTTTATTGAAATTTTCTTGAAGTTGGTGGTCACGAATTGCATGGTTGCTATTGGCAAATCAATCAACTTTGCCCTTTTCTGTCTGAGTTCAGCAACGTTCCGACATCTACTAATACAAATGTTCAAGCGAAAATTTTTCAGTTCTGAAAACGGGTTGATTTATATTGCATATCGCAATGAATTTATAAGTATTTATAAAAAGTATTCCTCATTAATGCGTTTTAGCTTTTATGAACCTTTCTTTTAAATATTTCTTTTATTTTTTTGTAAAAGCTAAAACTTTTTTTTGTCATTAAATTGAATACAAATTTTTATCCCATCAAATAATGTTAGTTTCGAAATTGAAATATCAGTTCAAACATATATTTGAAATGTTTTTAGAGTATTTTGAGAATATAGAAGTACTAATCCATGTTCATTTAGCTTCGTATCAAGGGCAACACAGTCGTCAAACTGTGAAAGTCGGAAGAAATCCTCAGCACATGCGATGGAAGCAAAAAGCAGCCACTTTTACAAGCAACTATCCTCAGCGAATATCGAGCTGTTGCAAATGGTTCGCCAAGGTTTTAGATCTTAACGTTAAACAGAATTACTATGCTTGATCAGAACTTCAGTCTAATTCCAAACAAAGTTTAAGGGTTCAAGGGGAGAAAAATGATTTGAAGTGGTTATAATTGCCTTCGACTAAAGCCACAGCAATATGCGCAATAAATTTAATTACTTATAATTATATAATTATGAAAAATTATAATAAACAATTAAAAAAAAAATAATTCATGGAATAACATATTTATTAGACATATATTATTTAATTTTTATTATTAAAAATTTTCGCATTTTGCCGGCAAAAAAACAGAAAAATGCTGTTTAACATTGGAAGAACGTAACGTAAGACTAGTTTCCTCGAGCTTATTTTTGATTTTTGCGTTATTTTGCATATTTAATTCTGATTATCGCTGGAATTATATATTTCTTCTATTTATCAAACAATATTTGCTGTTTAAATTTCATATAAGCGATGCAATTGTTAAATTTTGAAACAATCTCTTGAGAAGATTTGGAAAGAACAAATTTGTTACAAAGTGATATTTTTTATCAAAAAATAGAAAAATTTTTCAAGCAGAACAAAAATTTCTTAGCGACAACTAAAAGCGACAATTGGTTTGATTATTGAAAAATTTCTTGGCCAAAATATTTGTCAGTTTCTTAATAAATAAATAAATAGGTCGATTAAATTGATTGTTAGTGCGAATGAGGTCAATATTCTCAAGGCTTTTTCATTCTGAAAAGTTGCTAAAAATATATAAATAATAAGGATGCAATTATGACACGGACAATTGTGTTGAATATTGCAAAGCCATTGGCAAGCGAGCATTCTGCATTACAAAAATTTCGGTCGTCACAGATTTGGGTGTAGAAATTGTTGCCAATTATATCCATACTGTAAATGGAGATTTTGTTAATTGGGAATTTATGGGTGATCTCTGAGTAGAAATATTATATTAAATTTCCAAGAAGACTCGAGAGAAAATGCTAAATTTGCTAAAATACTTGAAAAAAAAAATAACTAAAAAGGATAAAAGTAGATGGAATCGGCTCGTATTATTCAAATGCGACCAACCTAAGTACACAATAATTAATGGTAGTTATGTTTTCACCAGTCGGAGTTTTTGCACTCGGTTTATTAATGCAACCTTTACTATAATGAACATTTTCGACACCATTCATATAGAATACAAAACGTTCTGAAAAATAAGTTATATTCTCCAAATCCCAGCAGAAACAATACAATTAAAAAAACTGAATTGTTTTGGGGATTAGGGGCTTTTATTTTTATTCCCCAAATGATTTTCGGGCAAAGTTATCACATCTTATTATCAATCAGTTTAAGCTCAACCTCAGTCACAAAGGCAACTCGTTTTAGCTAGTTGGCAAGAATCAAAAAGTTCCAAACTCGCTTACGGTACAAACAATATCCATCTCCATTAATTGTACAAATATTGTCGAAACAATCGGAATTTTTTTTGCTACATTGAAAGCATTTCAGGGCAGTCAAAACTAAAATATTCGGTTCGATTCGATACTGGAATGTTGTGATTAGTCAATTGAATAAATAAATTTTTTAAATCATCGGGTTAAAACAACTTTTCCAATATTTCGTACTAATACACTGTGGTACTTCGCAATTATTATTGTCGTTATTATAATATAATTATTTTTACTGATATTTTTGTTATTGTCGTTATTTATTATTTATTTATTATATTATACTATTTATACTATTTATAAATAGTAAATAAATGAAATAAAAATTCGAAAAAAATGTGCTAATGAGATGGTGTAATAAACTAAGAAACAATTTATCAAAAAATTGCACTTTTAGACACGAAAAATAGAAATCTTCGCTATCATTAAAATTACTAAAATTACTAAAATTACTAAAATTTATAAAAGCCGATTGGCTTATTTGCAGAAATTATTAAAATAAAAAATAAAAAAACTTGCAAGGCGTTAAATTTTTGTTATCATTTCCACCACAGTCTTCATTACAATAATCGTCGTTACAAATATATGTACGATATCTTAGACCACTAGGCTGACTGCTTCTTCAACAGATTACCAGAGTATTTGCAAATAAATATTATAATATAGTATATTTTTAGCATCACTCAGATTACTTGAAAAAGCAAGTAAATAAATAGTGCACACCATTTTTGGCTGGGTTTGTTTTGTTTAGGTCGCACCACTGGCTGCTGATAAATTATTTGGAGATTAAAAGTATGTAAATCGATCAAATGCGGACCTTTTAACAGATTTACTGCTGTTGAAGGCAAAAATTGAGACTTCGCTATATAGCAAATAATTTAAGCAAAAACCACTCAGCTAAACTAAACTTGCAAAAAAATTAATACCCAATTTTGAATAATATTATAACACTCTCATAAATTCCTCATGAAAGAAATAATAAGGTTACCAGACGTCTTTTTTCGCCAAAAATTCTCACAAAAAGTAAAGTTACAAGGTTATTTGGGGAAAATTTTATTTTTGACTCAATTCTCGAAAAAATGAAAAATTAAATTCTCGCTCATCTTCGAATGGCGAGGATTTCATTAAACTGTATTCATTATCAATTATCAGAAATGCTGAGTGCTATTAGAAATAAAATATTGAGTATTAATGATGATTAAAAAAATGATAAAGTGATATTAAATATTAAGTATTTATGATAAGAAAAAATTATTCATGTGAATATGCAAAAATATATTTGCATTTTAAATTTTTAATACGTTGCGATTCATAAAAAATTAACAAATTTCCTAATGAATTTCCTTTCGAATATATCTATGGCGATGCATGAAAATACCCATAAAAAAAGCTATAATAATTGATTTTATTTTCTTTGTCAGTGTTTGACTTTATAATAAACACAATGCAATATTTAAACTCTTTTTTTGTTCTCAGTGTCTAAATGATAAAGTGATATTAAATATTAAGTATTTATGATCGGTTCCAATGACTTCTAGGATGAGGCGAGAAATTGAAGGTGCTCTGCACCAAGTTCAAGTTAATAGCCGATTTGTTACTTTAAGGGAAAAGTTATGCCCATAATCTTTTCATTTGAACCCATTATCAAGCAATATACCTCTCGACCATCTCAGCCCCAAGTTGTCTAAAATCTAACAATAAGAACCTTCTTTTTATATATTTAAATTAAATTGAATAAATAGCAAAAAATACTAAAAATTATGAAATAAATCGTTCAAGAAACGTTTTTTAAGATTTTTAAGATTAACGACTTCTCAAAAATTATGTTCCTTACGTTTCAATGCATTTCTTAAGCTGCGATACGTATATTTCACCAGAACGGACCATATTTGTTTTTAGACATATTTGCTGTCGGCTTATTGCGTAACCTTCAGCATTTAATATTTCCTCTGAAATGATGAACTAAATCAGATAGAACAAATAAATCATGAACCATCTAGGAAATATGGAGTTTAATGTAACTATGGCAAAAAAAAACATACGGAAACCGCAGTAGCCATTAACTGGCGCAATACAAGTGGCACCTGTGCATGGACCATCTTCAACTCCACAAGAATGACAGATAAGGCATTCAATGCCTAAAATTACTAAATTACTATTGTTTTAATGTCTGTCATCTTAATGATATAAAAATGCAAAGAATTGACAAAAGAAATTTAATCCTAAGCATATTGCATTCAAAGATTTTACGATTGTTTTCAACTTAAAAATTGCAAAGAAATGAAATGATAAGTTGATTAGTTACCTGGCGAAAAGTCTGTAATTTCTAACTACTTTGAAATGTGCTTTTGAGATGGGATTATGCCTAAGTTGCACCAACAAATTCGAATTATGGCCAACTATTGCTATCAATATCCGAAGAAAAATCCCCTGTTCCTTTCTAAATTTACCAAATCCTCATAACACCTTTTATTTCTCGCATATATTCACCATTCCTAAATCGCTTACACTATTAGAAATACACTATTAGAAATGGTATCGCCAGAAAATCATTTGAGCCAAAAGTAAATAGGTCCCCACAATGAATTTCATTTTTAATGACATTTTTAATTAAATCTTCATTTTCTCTGGACACAAGTGCAGAGTGCTTGACCACATTATTCGACAATCCTGCCAAAATTTAGATGGTATAAATTATATGGGAAACTTACATGAAAATAAGATAAAATATATTGCCAGATGAAGCATCATGAAAATTTAAACTGCGGAAGTATTCGTGTATACTTGGAAATTAATTGGATTACGTTACCCCTAATAGAATTTGAATTTGAATAGTTGTTTATTGGTTTGTGCATGGATTAAAAATAACTATTACAGCAACCAGATTTCAGTATCATCATGAAAGGTAGAAAAATAATACCAGTAAATTTTCATTTATAGAATTAACTTATAGAATTGAGTGGAAATTAAACCATCGTAAATGCTATCTCTATTTCCCGGCAGATGCAAATCTGCCATTTATGGTAAATGTGGTGATTGCTAAGGATTCAACTGCATTTCTATCGCTAAGTGCCAGTTTGATTTTGCCTTATTCCAGTGGTAAGTGCGACTAACCAAAAAGTAGAAACCATGCCAAAAATTTGGATGCAAAATTGAAAACTGAATTTTACTTAAAAAGGATTTCATTTGTGGAATAATTGATGAATTGGTGTTACATTATTAAAAATCGCTAATGCACTTTAGTTTAGTAGCACTTTTAAAATTCAACACTGTATAACGATTGAAAGATAACTACTTTTCGCTTGACTTCTTTTATAATGCACCTTGTCATTTCCTGAAATTTGCCATAGAAATTTATATATATATATCAATTTTCAGCAAAAAAGCAATTTGGCTTCAATACATTTAATCAATACATTTAATGCAAAATGTTATACATAACATTATACAGTATATTATTATATTTTTCAAAAATGGAAATTTCATCATCAATAATGTCCTGGAGTCCAAACTTTCGTGCTTCTAGCTTGAGCAAAACTTCGGTCCATCTCAATATCAGCAAAGTTTTCCTGCTTTTTTGACCAGGAACATGAAAAAAAATTTGTCTCTTGCCCTGAAATTATTTCCTATATTGAATAGCAAAAATTTATGCTTACATAACTAAACTGCACGAGAATTTTTAGATTTCTGGAAAGCTTTTGACGCATATACAATAGCATTGCCAGGCTGTCCAGAAATATATGGTAGAAAGTGAGCAGAAATTCGCATATGAATCTCATTCTATGTTATTATTTTAATATATTTCCTATAATGTACGAGTTAATATCATTGATTTAAAAATTTAAAGTTATGAAATTATTTTGAAGAAGAAATAAGACTCAGCAAAAGATTAAAATTTGCCACACAAACAAGTGGCAAAATCAGTTTCCAGAAAATATTGCAATATTAAAATCACAAAAGGTGCAAAAGCCATGCATAATAATAATAGAGCATTCAGAATAATCAACAACTAATTGTGATCGATGAACTATTCAAGCAAAGTAAGAAATAATCAAAGTAATTAGTTATTGCTTTGGTTGCTAAAATTTGTAGCAAAATGGTGACATTTTGAGCTCTATCGATGCAAAAATATAAAAAAGAATATTTCAGTGACCTTCGAAAGATTTAATGAGAAGCATCGGCGCTTGAACATTTTGCAATTTCGTTGTTATATAAGCAGGTGAAACTCCTTCTTGTTGAAGTAATTCTGTCAATTGTCGTATATATTTTATTGCTTGTTTAAGAGTATCCACTTTACTTAACCTCCGATCGTTATGATTTTTGGGTAATCTTAAGCGAAGTTTGTCGAATCCTTTATTAATACTGAACAAAAAAAAATTTAAGTGAGGACATGTTAAGGACATTAACGAAAGTGAAATTATTTACAGTTTTATCCATTAAATTTGTAATTAAGTAATTAAGAAATGAAATTTACGAAATGGTAACCTAAAATGGTAACCTACAAGGAATACAGGGGAATCACTTCAGTTCCGCGTTGTCTTTATATTTACAACAAAATAACCACAGCTCATTGCTTATGTAAAAGCTTTGGTACCATATTTAAAAGGTTTCACTCAGCCTAAATCAAAATGGTAATCTAATAATCTCTTTTTTCTTCATCTTACTACTTCTATTTTAGTTGGTTCCACTGGTTATTAGGATAACTTCTTCGCCACAGCCATTTGAAAATAGAAAAATAAACATCCTCAACGTCCAGCGCATACTATCACTTTAATAGCAAGCTGGTCTCTTGGCCAACACTCGTTAAGAGACTCGTCATTTAATCGAAACTATCCCTTTCCCTAACAATCATCAATCCAATCGGCTCAAAAAATTAATATAATCTTTATTATCTCTTTTAATCCATCAATCCAATTCATGAGTTATCCAGAAAAAAGTTGCGAAAAAGAAATAATCCAATGTACCATTCCATTACCTATTCATTCTCCGTCGTTCTCGTTCATTGGCTGCGTTTCTTTGGCGGCGAATATCGTCAATATTTATCGTATTTTTCTTTTTTTTGATTATTTTTGAGTATTTCTGATTTTCCATTGAAATATTTTCAGCTTTGCTAGATTGTTCTTCGCAAAAAACATTCGAATCTGACATTTTTTTTAGCCACTGAAATGCAATAATTTATGGCATTTAAACTGGCCTCAGAAATTCATAATACCAACTAGCCAAAAAATTTAGCAGTAGCACGGTGAATAAACAAAAGATTCTGAATAGAGCACCAACCTAGGTCAGAGCTCAGATAGCTGCCGCACCACAGGAAATCACTACAATGCGGTTGTCAATGTTCAATTATTACTGCATAATTTGATACTATAGCATACGCCCCATCCAATCTACAGTAACCAATGGATCTTTATTATCCATTAGCTCGAAACTTGTCCACTGATTGATCTGATAAATCAGTCTTACAGAACAATGAACGTAAATCTGTTTCTTTGTGGGGCAAATAGTAAAATTTTTCCAATCATTGAATCATTTTATTAGTTTTTCCTTAATTTTTTCCTTAACTTAATAGGTAAATAGCCGAGGTTCAGATTATCGTTTTCGGAAGCAAAAGACTCGTCTTCCTATCATTAAAAAAACCGATCCCATCTATATTTCCACTGTCAAGTGACTTCCTAGCAAAAAATACCCAATCATTCTCGTAGCCAGCGGAGCTAATCAGGCCAAAAATGGTACATCTAACCAATTGCTTAATCCTTTATTTAGTCAGGTTTGAGAACTGTTTGTTAATGAATGTTATACGATCTAATAATGATCATTTAAGTGTTACGCCAACGATGATTGGTGGATATTTCCAATCTTCACACTCAATTAGTATTAAAAGTGATTTGTTGTCAGAGCAAACAAATTGCTTGAGCTTCATTTCCATTAGCCTATTAAATAACATAATGGCAAAATTTATTTCATTGAACAGAAATATAGAATAAAAAACTAGAAAATATGAAAATGAGACAATTCAGAAATTGCGTCAGAAATATAAAATTATTTTTCATCATTTAATACTGAAAACTGAAAAGTGGATTCCTAAGTGGAAAACTAAAAAATTAATTAACTTAAATTTGACTTTATCCGAACCAAAATATCATTCGCATGGTACTCGGTACTTTTGTTAATGACTCTATACGGCCAAACAGTCTCATTTTAAATCAGCCGAGCAGGAGCAATATCGTTTTGCGAAAATTTTATTTTTTTGGCCATTCATACAAACGTTGGCTACTTCAACGCCTTTCTTCAGACCACTCATCATTATTTTCGTTTTTAGGTTAATGATAGGTTTGCTCAGGGCTCAAGCTCATTATTTCCAATATGAATAGGTAATTGAGGAAGATTCAAGTACTTAATTGCATCTGATGTAAATTACGCAATGAGCATTAAACAAGAAATGGATTTTGCGCGAACAATACAAATGACCAACTGTGTTAAATGTCAGTCCACTTCTTGTCCTCATATTATTTCTCTCATTACCAATATTATTTAATTAATTAATTAATTAATTAATTTAGAATTATATAATAAATCAACGGAAGCACTTCCTTATATACAATTTTTTGCCACTCGGATCCTTGAAGATTCTCATACACTTACACTTGTACACTTTTTCCACAGTTCGAATATAGCGTAAAGGGCAACAAATTGGAAATTTTTTGCTTTTTTCATTTTTTTATTTTTTACTTTAGCATTTCTAAAAAACAATATTATCAACCACCTCGATATATATGGAAAAATATTAACCAAAATGCACACGCCTTGACAAGACAATCAATAGCCAGTTTGTTGACCCTTTTTTGAATCGAGATCGTCCGTTAATCTGTTAATCTTACATCGCAAATTCGTATTAAGATCACTGGAAATTTCGTTGTCTTAATAACCGTTACATTGTAAATCCCCAAGCACAACATTATCAATCAAGAGAACACTGCCAATAAATATTAAATTATAGGAATCATCCTGAAACCGATAAATAATACGACGAAATTGGCAAAAAGCATTTATTTATTTAGGGAAAAAAATTAAAGATTCTGCGCCTTTTGTTTTTAAATACTGTACAAACGAAAATTTCGTAATCCACCATTAAAGGAAGTATTCACTGATATGTGATAAATATCTCGTAACGTGCAACTAAAGCAAAGCAATACCAAATTATTAGTACCGATGAATTAATTTACTGGAATATTTCAATAAAGTTTAGGGCAAAAGTGCGCAAAAGTAGGATACATCCTAACTAGAATTTAGAAGAATACTGGAACATCGCATCAAATACGAGTAAATGATGAAAAGATGTGCAAGTCGTCCAAAGCAATGTAACAGTACGTAACAAACAATTACGAAATATAAGAGGCAACAGACTCTACAGGTTCGTGAAGCATCCTTATTTTAGTTCCGCTATTATATTTTCAATGACAGACAAAATTTCAGCTTTTTTCGTCAATTTATTTCAATTCGGATTCCGCAACTAGAAATGCATTCTTTCGCTTACAGAAATCTTTGCAGAACTATTGAAATCAGCAAAAAACTATAAAACTATAATTCACGATAATAACACAGCACTGTTAAATAACTGCCAAATTTGACCAGTAAAAGTGGAAAATATCAAGAAGCGATTCCGACGAATCCTGCCAAAGGCATATTTTATGCGCCCATACAGCGGAAAAATTTTCATAATTTCATCCATTTTCCATACATCTTCATTCGAATAATATCTATGCCCTTGTTTTTTTTTTGGGTCATGCATCACAGGAATTGATGTACCTCAACTTTACTATCAGATAGTGCGATGGGTGGCGTCAAAAGCAGAAAGGACAATCAAGACGTGGACTTAAGTGATCAAGATATATGGGTCATAAGCGACTAAGACCTTATTAGAAAAAAAAGTGTTCATTTAATTTCTTTTTTTTCATTTAATTTCATTTAATTTTAAGCATGAAATCAGGATGTTTTAAGCTTTATCCTAGTAGCCAATGCAGGTTTAGGATTAAATTATAGATTACAAATACAAATAGGCCTAAATAGCAAATTGAATAAACAAAGGAAGATTTATGATTACAATATAATACAAAAATAAAAACGACTTTATTTTGAAATCTCGTCCGTAATCTGTGAATAATTTATAAAGAACAAAAATAAATTAAAAGCAATAATTTAACTTAGTCCAACTTTTTCTGATCGTTATTGAATTTTGCTTTCTCAATTTTCGTCATTTTCGATTTGCATTCATTATATAAATCATGAAGACCGAATTCTATAATACAATTCTCCTGAAAGAAATTTTTATCTGTAATCATTTTAAAATATCCGAAAGATAAAAAAAATAGAAATAAAAATAAAAACTACAAGATAAATGAAGAAAAAAAACTATTTGCTTAGAAATAAATTACAACTGCAATTTCCTTATAAATTCAAAAACCACAATCCAGATGGCCAAAAAATCACTTAAATTGAAAAATAAGGCATTTATTTTTAAATCTTTCTAAATTTTTCCATGTAAAAGGGGAAAAAATAACACCTCTGTGAAAACAAATGGTATTGCTCGTTTATTCTGTATCGTTGGTCGACGCATTACTTCTTTACCATCTTTGAAAAGTGATATCTGAAAAAAGGACAACTTCACGATTAGCTTAACTTAGCCTAGCCTTTTCAAGGTAAATTTTCCAATTTTCATAATGATTTAAAAATTGTAAAACATCTTATCTTATCAGGCAATGTCTTATCAGGCAATGTAAAAAATTAAAAAAAAGTAGAAGAAAAAATAACTTAAATATTTTTAAAAAACTACAGTTGGAAGTTGCCGGCTTCTTGGATGTGTGTTTATTCGGAAACGTTCAGCTTCTTTCGGCCAACGCCCCACATCAAGACGAGCAAAACGAAAATTCGGCAGAGAAAATCTAACAATTAAAGAATTATAATTAAAAAGAAGCTAAGGAAAAAAAAAGAAAAAACATAAGGAAATCTTGAATGAAAAATTCATAATCAATTAATTTTTAATTAATTACTAATTAAAAAACCGTTTCAGTTTTTAATGGTTACTTCTCGCTTAGATCAGCGAATACTGGAGTGACATATTTACACGTTGGTGACCATGAAGTATAAAATTGGACGAGCCACGAAATCCGCTTATTACATTCCACTTCTTTCTTCAAACAAAATTTTTTTTAGAAAAGTTATAAATTTCTCTCTCATACAATTCATGAAAACAAAAAAAAAAAAAAAATAAGTCAGAAAATCTCAAAATTATTTAAAAAATGCAAAATAAATGAAATAAATTTCTAACGACATACATACAATTCATCAGAGTTGAAATTAGTGACTGACTGTGGTCCAACATATGGTTTTTCTGGGAAAAAAACAAAATGTGCTGAAATGAATGCTTAAAAATAAAAATTAAAATAAAAATTAAAATTAACATAAAAAATTTTCGCATTCAATAAATTAAACGAAATAGTTATCTACTGAGTTTTTCACTTTTCGAAAATTTCGTAGCGATCATTCGGGAAATATCACTTACCAACGCAAAGCATGGCATATATAATACCAATTAACGGTTCGGCTCTCATGAACAAAAAAATATTCGCAATTTTCGAGAATAAATAAACGTTTGCAAGATAATGCAACCAATTAGCTGCCTTTCGATTTTTATAAAAAATCATAAAACAGAGAAAAATGAAAATTTCATATTCTCTCTGCAAAATTAGTTAACAATTGTAACAGCAACCGTAACAAATGAATTCAACAATTTTTCATCGATTGTTTTCAAAAGAAATTTAATTTCTTAATTTAATTGATTTTTTCTGTGAAAAGGCAAATAATAAATATTGGAATGAACAGAAGAAAAGCATTAAAGTATTTATTAAATAATTGCAATTGAATTTATAAAAAAAATAATTTTCTTTGAAATTTTAATAAAAGAATATTTATTTGGGAGATAAACGAAAGAAAAACTAAACAAACTTACAAAATCAAGCGTGCACCGCGTTTCATCCGCGAAAACAAAACTGCAAATGCCGGGCGTAACCTTCGAAAAGACGAATAAAACTGAAAGCGCCATATTGCCGAGGTGATAGCCGTTCAGAATAGCCGTCCTCAACCGTATTCGCTGCTTGGCTGAAAGCATTTCGCTTCCTGAAAATTGCCCGTCTCGCAACTGTCGGAGAACATCGCAAGCCTCAAATAATGCGAATGCTCTTCCGCCTCACCGTCGTTACATCTCCTCACAAATGCAAACGCATAAGCCTAAGCGCCATCCATTTTAAATCAAATAATTTTTAAAGATATTTAATTAATAAAATATCAAAAAATAACCATTTTATAACTAAAATCTACTTTAAACGCATAAAAAATTATAAAATAAAAAATTTTAAAAGCAAAAAAAATAAAAAAATGATTTAACCATCGAAAACACGAAAAATTGTGCGCAAATTTATAAAAAACAGAAAAAAATAAAGAAAGCCGCAATATAGAAATATTGGAAATATGCAGCTTCCGGGAATTTTGCCGGTTTGAATTGGCGATAAGCTACGAATCTCATCATAGAAAAATGGCGTAGTGGGAAAGTTATCCGTCAGAAGGGAGATGTGATCCTTCTCCTTCTTCCAATGGCGCTTCGGCGAGAGGGAACCGAAATAAAGAAGTGGCGTCAACTTTTTGCTTTTAAGGATAAGTTTACAACTGCCAGAACGGAGAAATCGGATCTGCGAGGGTCAGAAGCAACAAACCGGTTGGTTGGCGGATAAATGGCAAGATGAACCGCCGAGAATTTTTAAGAACACTCACCATTACTGGTTGGACTCGCACCGCCGGCTTTCCGCACTAAATATTCGAGAGTCCCTCGGCGACAGAAGCGGTCGTCAGCATTTTTGGACAGGTTTAGTCTTGCAGGGAGTAGAATTTCCGCATCGGCGCCTCGAATTAAGCAGAAACTTACTGATCCATTCTACTCTCCTTTTGTTTCTCTCCGTTAGACGATAGTGCCCCTGACGAGGAGTGCTACATCACAGATTCGAACCCAAGCCTCGATTCTCGGTGGTAGTTATCTTGCCACCGATAAATCTCTGAACTTTGCTTCGAATCTGACAAACTCTTCAAAATCGGATGGTAAAGGAGGTGGAATGGCCGAGTGAGTTGTAGCTCTCCCTTCGAAGTGTTAAGATTTTAGGTCCATCAGTGTAAGTCTTCGTTTCGAAATTCCGGATAATGCTGGCTATTCACTGTATTTTTGTCGCTAAACGACTCTCTGGTAAAATTTACCCGATTTGTCCGACAAGCCAGCGCAATGAGCGAAAAACACTGAAAGTTCACTGAAAGTAAAAAAAAACCACTTATTTAAATTATAAAAATTAAATTATAAATTAATCAAATTAAATTATAAAAATTATTTTATAAAAAATTAATGGAGATTGGCGAATAAATTTTTCTAATAATCTCGTTGACCTATATTAATTAATTTTACGGGGGGGGGGGGGGGGGGGGGGGGGGGTGTGGGAGGAGGGGTGAATTATTTTTAAATTTTTCTTTTTCGTTCACTGCTGAAATAATCGCTTCTTATTTATGTGTCCCAGTTCATTTCATTGTTGTTATTTTTCACCGAAATGAACGATATTCAAACATCGAAAAAATCGACTCAGCGACGATCCATTATTATAATAAGTGAAGTAAATAATTAGGCAACGTTTACTATTAGTAGAGTTTGGTTACCAGCACCTGGCAGTTGTGGTACCAGCCACTCGGCTATTCTGTCCCTTTGCGATTACGTCATGCTACGTTGAAATATGACGACATTATCATTAATAATGTTTTAACTGTAAATGTATCGAAGAATGTTTTAAATTAATTTATATTTTAAGAAAAATTCCATTATTCCCTTATGAATGCACAAAAAATAAATTTTTGAAAAAAGTGGTCCCTTAATTCGGTGCGAAAAAAATTTGTTTTGTCGTAAATTTCAGTACATTTCTTCATCGACGTTCAAGGTCAAAAAAATGACTCATATTGGAAAAAAATTTCGTAACAAAACTAAAAAATTAGAAACAAATAAATCGGAAGGCTTTTTTTTCAATCTACGCATATACTAATAAAGTGCGATAATAATTGATAACGCAGTGACCCATAATAAACGCTGATAAAAGATGACGATGATGATAATGATGGTAATAATAAAATTTAACAACAATGGCATTAACAATAATTAGTGATAATAATGTTGCAATGATAAGTCAAAAACAATGGTGTTGGCAGTAAAAATAACAGTAAAAAAAGTAGATAAGTGATTTCTTTATTAGTGCGATGGAAAATTATCGCCAGAGGGTTACTTACCGACAGAGATAAAGAAAGAGATCAGCACCACTCGGACTTTTTAATGAGCGGCTTACTTTTGCCAGAGGTAGGTCTGAACCTCGACGCTAAAAATCTTAGCAATAACCACTCCGTTATCCCCACTGAAACATTGCACCTAAAATTTATATAAAATTATCGTTATTTTATTATTAATATTGTTTTATTTATTTGTTTTATTATTTAAAAAGCATTAACCTAAGGCGCGAGTTGTAAGGAACTTATAAAGAATATATGAATAAATAAAAATTAAAAAATAACTGAAATGTGGCGAAATATTTTTTAAGGCAAAAAATTAACGAATATTCTTAAAACAAAATACAGTTGCAGGAAAATTTTTATTATTGTTTTCATTATTTATTTAATTCTTTATTGCAATTTTTTATTGCTATCAGTTAATAACGAAATGTAAAATTACATTAAAATCGCTTTGAAATGCGATAAAATTAACTAAAATGATAAAAATAGTTGAAAATGATAGAAATAAAATAAAAGTATTAGCAGTGAATGCATAAACACATAAACATTAAATGGTTGTATTCGGAGATAATAACATAATCATTTGATTAAAGCGATAATCAAATCTATTGTTATGAATTGGTTAGATCGAGGAAAAATTATCTATCTTCCGGCAGTGACTGATTTTCATAGTGACCATCTTCTTCTTCTAACAGCTCGCATCTTTACTGATAAGGCCGACTCCCCGCTGGTTACAACGATGAACCATCGGAACGGTGTAGATTCCTTTAGGTCGCTGTCTAATGCTGTGCTTCTTCAATTTACGTTACTCCTATAGCTAGGTGGCTAGGTGGTTGACGAAGTGGTCTCTTCCTAATAACCACTGCGAAGCATTTAAATGGCGAAGCATTTAAAATGCTAGAAAAAGAATTTAAAGACCAAGGAACTTCCTCCATATTTATTCCTCTCCATAATCCAAAATTGGAAAAAAAAGAGTTAATCGATTTATAAGTAATTAGACCAAATCGCAATAATAATATATTCATCGGGTAAAAAATTTATTTAAAAAATTTATTCAGTATTAAATATATATAAATTTGTAATTCTTCTCTAATGATGACAATAATCATATCACTTTGCATAATTTAATGGCAATTTAATGATTATTTCCTTTTCTTATACAACAAACCGAGTTATTTCTATAAATATTTCTAAAATTATTTATTTTCAGCCATTATTTTCGATGAGTTTAGTAAAAAATTGCTTTCATTTAAGACAATAATGCCTTATTTTTTAAAAAAATTTTCTAATAGAAACTATGATTCAATTATAAGAAATTCCTAGAAAAAAATTTAACTTATGATTTTTTGTCTTAAAATTTCAACAAATTATAATTTTTAGTTCAGTTATCTCCTTTGATTAGAGATGAAAGACCATTTGTCGCAGAGACATTTGGAGACAGACAGAAGTACAGCAGATTGGTCCACAACATCCACATAGATTTCATTTTTCTGCAGACTCGAATCCATGGTGTTTGCTCTTAGCCGAAACCAAATACAACGACTTAACAGTCATCAGTACTGCATGCACTACTTTGTTCAATTTTCGGTTTAATTTAACTAGAATATTCGAATTTATCATGAATTTGGACCCAAAGTCGAAAACTTCATCAGAAATTAACTCGAGGAACAATTCGATTTGAAATGGCACATTGAAATAAATTCCCACGACCTGCAAATAAAAAGCAAAAATACTCGATAAATTCAGAAACTCGTTTTTTCTCATGAAAAACCTCGGTTATTTTTCGAGTCTTCGATTCATTGAGAGTCTTCAATCTCTAAGAATAATGGGCTTATTTTTTTGTGCTTTTATATTCCAAAATTTTATCAATTTTCTGAATTTTACTGAGGTAAAACGAAAACGAAAACAACATTCCAATTTTATTCCTAAATATTGTTGAACGCTAACTGCTTCGTAAATTTTTTTTATTACCATTCAATTTTTAAATTTTTAAATTAAATTTTTAAAATTTCTAATTTAAAAATTTTATTGACTTACAATGTGTTTCCTATAGAAAAGATTTTGCAAATTTGAAAGATGGCAAACTGATTTTTGCAAAATTTAATATTAGTTTTAAAGAATTAAAGTTCAATTTAGTAATAATTTTTCGTCATTTATTTTTTTAAGGTTTTTTTTTTCAAATAGCACTCTTCATTTCTGGTTTAATTAACTTTACTGATAAGTTGAATTAATGGCGTGAAACCTTATCACTAAAGGCCGAAGAAAACACTGGCAGAAATTGGTAAGAGTATAAAAGAATAGTATAAAAGAAAAAGAAAATGAAAATTTCTTTTCAGCAAAATTTTTTAAATGAACCATCAAATAATCAACTTTTATACTATTATACGCTTTTATAGGATTCGTATAAATAATTATCATTGAAAATTTTTTTTTCCCATATACCGTTATAGAATAGGGCGCTCGAATTATATGGTTGCATTGATGTGTCGAGCATATCCGAGATTTTCTCCAGATCCTAGCATCTGTCATAATTCGGACTCTGATGATCCAATTGCCCCCACCGCCACGGCTAAAGTGATTCCTTCTTGAAAATTTCTCGTACTATTCACCATACTAATAACCAAAGCCAGTACCAACTAAACCAGAAATACTTAATGATAATATCAATACTGCCTATTTCATTTTTTTCGTAATATTTTTAATGAATTTTTTTGCAGTAAAATTATCATTGCTATGATTAAAATAATCGAAAGGTTCTTTTTTTTGGATAAATTATTTTAATGATTTTAATTGTATCAAAAGTTATTATTTTAAATAGTCAAATTATCGGTCCAATCGATTATTATTCAAGTTATTGTGCTGTTTTTTCATTTTTTTGGAATCATAAACTAAATAATTCCATGGAATTGTATTCCATGTTGCTTCGATTAAGGTCAGCCATCATAGTTTGGATTCCTTTTATTTGACGAGAGAGTAAGAGTCTTGAAAAATAAAATGGCCACAGGGGTCGAAATACAATAAGTTTTAGCTTTAAGGACGACAAAATAGCGTCATTTCTGAGAATTAAGCCAAGTGCGCGCAACTGATAGCTTCGCAAATGGCTTAAGTCTTGAAGGCCTTTTTTTGCTCGCTTCGACGCAAAATAACTTTTACAAATCGTTGCAGTGGAAAAAATTCAATTTCGAATTTTGAAGTGCACTTTAAGCAAGTCACAATTTTTTTCCGGTTTCCTCGATTGTTCACATGCATTTTTTTCCTAATATTATTGTGCTTTCTTACCCAACCAATCCTTATGCCATAAAGTTTTAGTATGGCATAACAATCCATTTGCCTTGTTATTTCACATTTTTGCCTCATTCATTTGATAGGATAATTATATTTAACAATCGCAATTATATATATATATATATATATATCGTAGTAAGTTCAAAGAGTATGGGTTCAGAGAAAGAAAAAACCTGCATGCTTGAAATATATTTGTTAGTCTCTTTTAATATGACTACCTGATGAAAGAGACGACGTCACTAGACTGTGAAGCCAACCGAACCAGCCATATTAGTTGTGCAAGAAAGAAGAATAAGTTCGCCAAATGGCGACGATTCTTGAAGCGACGCACTACTACCTTTTCTTTCTCTTTTTTATGTGCTCCAAATCCCCATACAGCCTAGAAAATCTAGAAAATGTTTTAATTTATAGAAATATTCGCAGAATTTATCTTTTTTTACAGAAAATATTCTGTTTTTGAAAAAAATGGAATAGTAAATACTAAAAACTTTTTCTTTTTTCGGCAAATTTTCGCTAAGATATAATCAAATTATCAGCTAAATTTTTAGCTTTTCTTGAATTTCAACTCGCAAAACTACCTAAGAAATTTCGTCATTTCTGACCTATAAATGATGATCGCAAAAGATCAAATAACCTGTTTCCACTAATTAAATGACGTAACAAAAATTTTCGGTCACATTTGTGATGATTGAAGTTGCTTCTAAATTCCGGTTCCATTTTTTCTAACTTTTATTCTACAAGCAAATTATTCTTTTGGAAGAATTTGCACATTATTCGATCTCGCGCATAGTTTATGATTTTTTAGCACTGAATGATTTGACTGGTCGCATTTTTTCCTGAAAGAATTGATACTTTTTCCATAAAAATTATTTGATGAAATGAACAGAAGTTGAAATAAAAAAGCCATTAAAAATTCTCTTAAAATTCCACTTTTTATTGCAATGTTTCAAAGAATTTATTACTAGAAAAAGGATGTCCGATTGGTAAATGGTGTAGCTTCGAATCGCGTTGTATTGTATTTTATAACTTCGATCCCTTGGCTCCAACAGGAGTGGAACTACCATTAAAAAACCCGAGGGATGCTGGCAATCCACCTCTACTTTTATCATTAGATCAATCTTTCAGCCAAGAGTTGGTTTTTATGAGCTAATCTATCCAGGAATGGTCAGAGCTAACAATTTATTCACTTATCATATCGCATCGCAAACCAGCAATGCGCAAAATTCAAGTTAGTGATGATCAAAATATTCTCAAGAAATTGAGAAATTTTCATTCGATCAACTTCGAATACGTATGAGCAGATCCATTTTGGATAATGGCACTTCGTCGAAGGTCGACTTAGGCTCCTCTTCATAATCTCTTCATAACAGCAAATCGCCACATGCAAGTGCGTCACTACGCAATGGAATAGAATTCAGTCTTTTTCAGTCTTCAACACCCACCTTCCCTAAATACCAAATATTGATGAGTAATAACAAAATTGACCCCATCAAAGGTCAACTTTCACTACTACTTCCACTGAATAGAGATGACTATCATCTGATTATCGAAATTCATACCGCCAATCTTTAATGTGTTGAAACTCTCATTTTTGTGGTTATATAGTTGTTTTGCCCCCATATCTCCCTTCACTTGAAATCATTTTCATTTTTTCAGCATTTCTCCAAAATCCTTTTTTTTTGTTTTGCATACGAATTCACAACAATCAAATAGTAAACGTTTCCTTTCGTGAGTTGACAAATTCCATTTAATTTATAATCGTTTTATTTAATAGATAGTAGAATAGAATTTTGAACAACTGCTGAAGGTTACTTCGAGGATGTTGTTTTATCATAATTACGTTCAGTTTTCGAGAAGGTGGGTAATGCTCACTTCCCTCGTTAAACTCGCCTTGGTACTTAAAAATTTTGTGGGGGGCCACTTTGCGGCCAAAGTGCAAGTGGATCCTTAGCCGAATTTTTAGGGATGAACTCATTTTTAGAAATTTCCCTCATTTCGTCTTCCTGTAGGAAAGCTTGAAATTCCATGCTGAAGTCGATAATCGCTTCTGTAAGTCGAATCAGTTGCTCGTAAGTAACTTTATAACTTTATTTATTTGTGCTTGATTAATTTATTAAAAATAATTTTAAAGATTCATGGAACAACAAAAGGGAAATGACGAAAAGAGAAAAATGAAACCTTCCTTGCAGTATGGACGATATTTTATTCTTATTCTCGGCATTTCCTTATTTTCCTTTGGTCTATTATTAATGTTTTTTATGCCTACAATAATGGAATTTAAAATTCGAGAAGTAAGCGAATTCCCATGGAAATTTATTATTTACAACAAACATAAGTAGTAGAGTAGCTTGACTGAGTGATGGGATGTGTTTTATTAGGAAATCATTTCAAGAATTATGGTTCGCTTTCGTTCCTGGCAAAGTATTGTCAGAAAATTCAGGCGGTGCCCGAGAACGCTGGTGATTTGTATGCTTTCTTCTATTTGAAAACTCTCTGGTGAAAGAGTATCATTCTAATAGGTTGCACGATGTCCTTAAGCAGGAAGGCTTAGTGCTAGCAAAATTAATGATAAACACCAACTCAATAAAAGTATTATTTTTGTCGAAAAAATTCGAATAATAGATTTTTACAAAAATAGTTTTTATAAAATATATAGTTAAAAATAGTTTGTAAAATTTTTTACCGCAAATATTTTGATACGATTTCAAATGCCTTGGTGATTAAAGCGACATTGATGAGTCCTCTTGGACGAACTGCTAAAAATGAACTTTTCATCGTATATACCGTTGGTATCGTTTATAAACTTTGCTAAAATCTTATCAGCATTTATCATTTTCGATTTGGATGGCTGCAATGGCTATTAAAAATGAGACGAAAAGGATCAATTTGAAGCCAGAAGTATATGTGTACTTTCAGCGCTGTCGGCCTTGCTTTTTTGATAATAAATTTTTTCCTCGAGTTATTTGTCGAGGAATACGAATCGAGAACGAGATGAACTGATTTTAGTGGAAACAATAAACCACTCAGTCTTTATATTCGCTAAAGTATTATCAATAATGGAATGTTGAAATTTTTATTGCTTAATAGTTTGGTCAAGAATAAAGGCTATTTGTATTGGTTATCATAATTTAAGCCATAGGATTTGGATTTGTTACCTGCAAACAATATTTGAAAAGAATATGGAAGACAAATCTTGCGCAATAAGGGGGATTACTTCCAGATCTTCGTGTGAATTCCATTATTCATAAGCCTCAACATTTATCGATTCTTATTTTTTAGGGATCTCGTCTAACAGAAAATTCCGAAGCTTTTAACAAATGGAAAAATCCGCCTTATTCCATGATTTCAAGAATTTATATGTTTTCAACACAAAATCCGAAGGAGGTGAGCTTTTTTCATTTAAGTCCTTCTTAAATTGTGATTACACCTCAGTACCCCTATGCTTTTCCTTCTAATACCATTATTGATGGCTTGATTGATTCCACTGCTGTTTGAATGGGACCTTTTCGCTAAACGCTCACTTCTTAACAAGTGGTCGCTACTATCAGGCGAGTTTCTTAAAATATTCCATATTCCTGTCAAAAGAGAAGAGTCGCATATATGACGAAGCAACATGGTGAAATGGCATATTGAAAGCAGGGACTACTTTAGAACGTCTAAATACTCTGTTTAAATTTTATACTGTTTTTTCACCGTTGTTGTGAAAATTGGAACGTTTAAAAAGGAAAAACTTTCATAAAAATAGAAACAAAAATAGGAGAAAAAATAGGATTGTGTGGCGTAATCTCGTTATTTCGATCTTTTATCCTTTAGGTACTTTTGTATCGTTTGAAAAATAAAAGATTTTAAAACTATCCTGAAATGGCTAATTCGGGTTAATGATTAGATAACAAAAATGAAGTTGAAAACAAAGCGAATTTCTTCCCATCCAAGCATGTTTCAAGGATCAGCGCGTCCATGTTTGTTAAAACTTCCGCCACAGACAATTCTTGCGGGATATTTTTGCTAGTGTTTATTTTACATCAGCGGTCATACTTGGGTAATTAAAAATTTAATTAAAGATTAAGAATGAATGAATACTTATATAAGGAAAGCAGAAAGCAAAAATTTTATGGGTTATAGCAATTTAAAGATTTTGGAACACAAACTTAAATTTTTTTCCTAATTTCGGTTTCCGAGATGAAATGAAAAAATTCTAAATTATTCTATTCAGATCTTAAAAGGAGAAAAACCAAAAATGAAATGGATTGGTCCATATAGCTACACAATTAAACGATGGAAAGAAATTCATTCTATGGGCAAAGGTGTAGTCACTTACAAAGAGTACCACAGTTACAACTTTATGCAGAACGATTCATGTGGAAAATGTGACCCAAACCAAAAAATTCTCATACCTAACATTATTTTTCAGGTAACCATTATCCCTTTTTGCTAGAAACTGATTTTTCAAGCTTAGTTTTCTATCGAATAGTCAATCAAAGACAACGGTAGAAAGTAAAAGAGTGGCAATTTTCTTCACCATTAGAAATCAAAAAAAGCGAAAGTCACGCATTTTCAGCCAATTGCAAGTCGTTATAAGTGACAAATTTTGTTAAACTAGTTTGTAGTACTAGTTTTTTTGGTTTTTGTAATATTTCAGGAGGCATTAAACACCAAAATGCAACACATTTCTCGTAATATTTGATAGATCAAATAAATATTAAGTTTTTGCTCGCGATCTCGACTGAGCTATTCTTAAGTCAGGTAGTTAGCAGTTCAGAAGAAGCTCATGACTTCAGAAAATATGACTTCAGAAAATACTGGAAACAACTAATGTGGGTGGAAAACCGAAAACAGGAACTATGGAGCCATTCGTTGAACCGACTGTTGGTGAAGCGCTTTTCAGTGGATACAGCGATGAATTTTTAAATTCGGTTGAGTCGTTTTTCCTACTTTTCGTTTTCAACAAAATAAGTCCAAATAAAAAGCCTGCAGAATTAGTTTTAATCAGATTTTTGAAGTTTTAAGAAAAAAATAGGAGTACTTAGTTACTTTCCGCATTTTCCATTAAATTCCCGACATCTCTTTTGGTTCAACGATCGTTTGCATCCATATTTATACCAAAAATATGAAAATTGAAAAAAAATATGAAAATTGAAAATTGAAATTGAAATTGAACTGCTTTTCAAATTGAAGAATTTTAGAAAACTTCGATAACTTTGCCGTGGTTTTTCTTGTTGAATATACTGATTTACAGCAATTTTTTTGATAAATTTGATAAGATTTTCAGCTGTGTGGTAGTCCATTGTCATTTTTTTGCGCAACCTTCGATTTGCCCGAAAAGATCGCTTTTATAGAAGTAATTTTCTTATATGAGTAATTTAATAATTTTTTTTGAAAAGTTTTTTTTATTGGATTTAAATTTTCGTTAACTCTCTGCTGCAATTGCCTTCTTTCTCTCTGATATAATGGTACTTTTTTTCCTTTTTTTTCTTATCTTTTGGAACTGTAGAATATCGGCTGCTAAATGAGAATTCCCAGTGAAAAACCCAAGAAAGAAAGCAATCGTTTGTAATTTAGAAGGGTAAGCGCTTCATAATCATGGCTTACTGTTTAGTCAATTGAACGGCCAACTGCAACTAAAAATTGGAGGTATTTGGAGGTACCAGTAGTTGCTTTTTATTTTTCTTTCTTTTTAGTTGGCGATAAAAATACAAGTGGGTCATCATCTGGGTTTTTGCTTGGGGAGTTGAGACCCAATATTGGCACTCCGCAGTGATATCAGCCTATTAAAATATTTCACTCTATTATTTCTTTTTCTATCTTCCAGTCTCTCGTTAACTGATAAACCGTTACAATCGATGTTATCCGTTGTATATTACAGTTGTACATTGCAGAACAACACCAATAATGGCATATTTGAAATTTCTACTGGTGAGTTAGATAATGGCGAAAGTATCGGTCAAATTTTGAAATGGAATAACAATACGCATTTGTCCTTGTGGAATGTGGATAATTTGGAAAAGTAAAAAAGTTTTTTCTTATTAAGAAAAAGTAGCGAAAAAATAAGTAAGTAAGTAAGAAGTAAAATTCATTATAAATCCTAGAAATTTGCTTATGAATAAAAATATTCTCATTTTTATGAAACAAAGACGGTATTAATAGACTTCATAGCCTGGACAGCTCACACTTATCATCTAATCATCTGATATCACTTAAGTGAATTCGCCTCCCCGTGAGGATTTCACGGTTTTTAGGAAAATTGAGGGATCAGATGGTGGTTTGTATAAACCTTTCATACAGAAGTCGGATGTATTGAAAATTTTTGCGCCAGGACTTTGCAGGTAATTTTACTCTATTTTATTTCACTCTACAATTTTCTATTTTAATATTTTCGATTGAATGGCTCGATAAAAAATTTTTTTCTCGTGATAAATGGACGGAACGGAGGAATTTATGTCGGAATTTATTAAAATACTATCGCATCGAACATAACTAAGGGATTATAGTGAATAATTTCATCAAAAAATGGGCAAATTTTTTAAATTTGTATTAAAGGATAAATGAGTAGTCGAGCGGTCTTACTTCCATTAAGGTCAAGCTCCATTCAAGTTCCATTCAAGCTGCTACAATTCTATTTTGACACAAGTGAACACGTGCTTAAAAATAAAATACGAGTTGCATTAGGTGCCAGTGCCCTTTCCTTTATTCCTAACTAACAAATGCAGTGGAGACGAATCAAAAATGGAGTGTTGTGAGGAGACGTGTATAAATGAAACGAACAAATAAAGTAATTCAGGTCATTTCCTCTTGAATTTTCTGAAGAAATCGATTACAAAGGTCTACTCGGTTATCGGTACGTCGTTTCGCAATCAGTTTTTGACGATAACTCGCCAGAAAACAAAAAATATTGTGTTTTCTCAGGAAAGAAATTTTTTAGCGAGAATGAAACCTGTTTACCAAAAGGTTTACTGGATATCAGTTATTGTGAGAAGGGTTTGTTTCCATTCTCAAACAAATAAAATTTCTTACTTCTTCGCGGGGAGAACTAATAATCTTCTGGCTCAATTTCTCGGAGCATACGATAAATATTTCAGGAAGTCCACCCATTGTTATTTCTTTGCCAAATTTTCATTTTGCCGACAATATTGTCAAACAATCCGTAATCGGAATGAATGACTCTTCAACAGATCACGATGCGATTTTCATTGACATTGAACCTGTTTGTTTATATTTGCATTCAAAATTATTTTTGGAACTTACCGTTTTATTATTTCTAAATGTGCCAACACATTTCCGTAGCCAATTTTTCCATTTTTCTAGTGCATATATGCTTCTTCTAACAGTATTCGCTATTTATGGTTTGTCTGGTTTTTCTTTAGTGGCTATTAGGAAAATGAGAACCGTCCGTCAGAGAACCATTAGAAATGTTCGAGAACCATCAACACCACACGGCTAGTTCTCCTTAATGGAAAGCAAAAGTGATATGCAGTTTCTTAAAACAATGGTGGTCACTCGTATCAATGAGCTAAAACTCCTAAAAAGATTTCTTCAAAATTTGAGAATCCGAGAGGATAAATATAGAGGATAAATAGAGCAAAATCGGATTGAGTATCAGTGTAAATAAGAAAGCCTTTTTATCATATATGTCATTCGCAGATAAAATACCTATTATTATCAACTGATCACGAGTTAAGAAAATGGCAGATTTTAAATTGGATGCACTCAGATTGGCAAGTTAGAGACGAAATCGCGGAAATAGATTCCTTCAGCTAGCAAAATATCTAGGAAATCGCTTTCAAAACGAAAGTTCATATCTATATGACTGTACAGCGCACCATTCTACTACATAGCTGCGAAATGTGGCAAATGAATGTGTTAGAGGCTTAGCTACATTTTATCACTGATGTCTCTGGCACAAGATTGCATTTTTACTTAAATACTACATGTTTCAAAAGATGGTTACAGACTGTATAGCCTCGTCAGGTTATATTCACAGTCCATCAGGCATAGTTCGTTACTTGCTAAATCTTGTGATGGATGGCATTAAAAGTAAAGAACACCGAGCAAGAGATGGTCTAATCCAGCCAGATTTTTGAATTTTAGATCTCGAATGCATAGACAGCCCAGCGATATTCTCAGACTTGTGGCTTGTTTTGATCTCAAGTACGGTGCCGTAGGCCTTACGGTTTTAGCCAGCCGATCTAGCCTAAAACAAAAGGAAATAGAATGGGTCAGTGGGTTGTTGCCAAGTTAGGAGAAGTGGTCACCTGACTGGAATAAACCTGTCCTTCAAAAATTTAAGTGATGCTGCTGATTTACCTGTATTTCTATCAAAAATTGGCGCTTTGACTTTTTGTTTCAACAAGCTATTGTGAGTACCATCCTTAGAAAAAAAATCGAGGAACCCATACTGCACACTTTTAGTTGGATGAAGTATGTAGTGATTCAATCCGCTGCTAATTAAGTGGAGGAGCGAAAATGGGGAAGGAAAAAAAATTCTGGAAAAAAGACGTTGAAGCCATGCTTTTGCCTGATATTATATTTAATTTACACGAAATTTTTTTAGCGAACTGGTGTACTTTTAAGAGCCTTTCGACGTTCTCAAATAAATATTGCCTTTTGGAAAGGTTGGGACGGCCGAGAAGAGTAAGTCGTCGATCTTATCAGCCTTTTCTTTCACATTTATTTATTAGGCATGGAGAAAAAGAGATTGTCGAAGGAATTCTCCTTTAAATTTTGATAATCCTCAAAGATTGCGTCATGAATTATTCCATAGAGTTATACTTAAATAATTAATTAGCCTAGCAAATAATCGAATTTGCGCTTCTTTTTTTCAGTGCCAGGTTAATGAATGTACGAAACAGTATTATACCTATATTTGCCCAATTTGAAACTGTCGAAATTGACAACGAAACATTCAAAAGTTTGTTCAATCGTTTGATTCGCTCTGAAGAAATTGCATCTTTATTGTCAAAAATAGCGATCATTTTGGGAATATTTATTGTGATGGCAACTGCTTTACTACTTTTTATTTTTGTAAGTTATTTCAAATTTTTATTTTAATATTTGCTGGAAAAATCAATTCGGGCCGAGTGGGCTCTTCATGAAATTGTGGAATCGTCCCGAATTTCAATCCGAAATCCGAGAGCTGCTATTAGAAATTGAAAAAGAAACGAGCCGTCAGCCTATCGAAATCGAAATGCATTTGTCGAGCAAAGTACTAACATCGCTAAATAATTAGCATTCCACTCTTCATTTCAGTATTTCATTTCAGTATTTCACTCATTTCAGTATTTTGGATTTGAGAACGATTAGCGCTAACTAATCATTTTTGGTCTCTCCATCGGTCATTAGCGGAAACTTTCACTAGGGAGTCAGTTGGTGATAGAAATATAGATGAGTTCCATTCGCATTGTCAAATTCTTAAAGGCAAAGTCCGAACATCGACGGCCAGGACGATAATCTAAGCAATAACCACTAGGTTGCTCTCAGTTCTCAAGAGCATTTGCTTAAATGGTCTTTCGGATCTTAAATCGTTATTTTCGTCATCACATAAATAAATAAATATATATTCGTTTTTGCCAAGGTCGCCCGAGCGTAGCGTAAGGACATGCATATGCACTAATCAATGCTTATCAGTTATTATCAATTTATTTCAGCCGAATCGATTAAATTTATGCATGGAAAACCGTAGTCGGATCTCGGTAGCCACTACACCTTACAAACATGATAAAGCGCTGTCAATGAGTCATATTTCATGATTTTTTTGAAATAAATTTAGATGCATGTGTGAAGCCTTTGGGCAAATTAAAATATCTTTAGGTAAAATACATAGGTCCCAGAATGTTTGTTAAAACCGTAAATTTTTATGTCACTTATTATTGAACATCTCGCCATATTGCCTATTATCTTTTTCTTTGTTTCTTTTCCATTTCTATTTGGTTTTCGGGAACTACTAATACCGTGTTCCTATAACCTTCAGTGAAGCTCATTTATAGGCTCATATAAAATATCACTTCTGATAAGCAAAAATGGCGCTATAATCTAGTTTAAGCTTTTATCACTTAAGGCAAAGTGGAGTGAAATAAGTCAATTTGCTTTGCTTTCCATCATCTAAATTTTTGATATAATTTTTGTTTTTATTGTTTCGTAGAATTTATTAAAGATTATTTAGATGAATAATTTTCTGTAAATAAATCCATGCCGCAATAAGGAAATGAATATTTTCGATTTTTTCAAAATAATATTTACGATGATAATTGTGATAATTATGATAATGATGGCGATTAATAGTAACAATAGCGACCATAGTAATAAATAATAAAGAAATATATGAATCGCTTATTTAAAAAATAAATTAAGAATTTCACTCGATTTTTTCTATCACCACTGCGAAAAGAATTTATATGGAGTGCGATGGAAACACTTGGATTTTTTGAAACAACCTCCTGCTGGCCTCTTTCCTTCACCCTTTTTTCTCCTCCAACAGGTTCCATAGAGTTTCCCAATAGAGTTCACTGGATCGATTGCGAGGATGAGGCTTTGTTCCTTCGTCACAGAAATATAGCCAAATTTATACTGCAATTCGAACTGTTCTTTTATACGCAAATTTTTCTCATTCGATTTTATTTATGTTAAAATTTTTCATAATTTCACTTTTTTCGTTTCGCAATTTTATTGTATTTGCGATTTACATAATTTTACAAATTATTAAATATCGGAAATTAGAAAAGTGCCGTAGGCAGTTCGCTGGAATTTTAAACCTTTCTTGTTGGCTGCTTGGTTTTATCACTAAAATAGCATTTCGGCCTTTTAACTTTTCATGGAAAATTTCGAAAAATTAATTCAACTCAATTCGAGAAAATTTAGCGATGGATTTAACGACAAAATTGCGATGTTTCTCATTCTGTTTTTTCGAGTGATACTTTGATTTATTGTATAATTTCAAATAAAATCAAACAAAATGGTAAAAATCGCAAAAATTACTCGAAATTTTCTCTTCTTTCGACAATAATCGAATCGCTTCATTCGCTAGAAAGATGGAGCTCAGTTGCGCGCGACCAAAGGGTCTGAAGTGCGCGTGCCCAGAAATCCTAAAGCAACGGTTGAATGTGTTCCTCTAAATATTTAAATGCAAATTTATACATTCGTCGTCGATATTTTACTTAAATTCGATTTTTTAATATATTTTGAAACGATTGAAATTTCTATCCAACGCAACATTTTAGCCGCAAAAATTTCTTCAAAAAATGTTAAAAGTTTGTTTATCTTATTTTTCTTTTTCGGAAATTAATAAAATAAATAATTAAAATTAACGTTTTTATAAATTAGAGGCTGCGCCGACTATTAGTAATCTGATTTCGCGCCTTTTTTGTTTAAAATTCTTTCTTTCATTTAAATTGAAGTTGGAGCTTTAGGCGTTTTAATCAGTGATTTTTAAGTTTTTTGAAGTGTTTCTTAGATTTTAAACAATTACTTATCAATTATCAGTTATTAGTTATCAGTGCGAAGGCGACTGATGAGACAAACCATCTCTCACAAATTTTCCCATAAAAATTGTAAAAGATTGAGAAATAAAGGACTGTCGGCTATTATTGCTGGGGAGAATTTTACGAGAGTGGAATCAATACAAGAAAGAATAAAGGGAGAAAAGCCAACGAAGCGATAGCCTCAGGCATTGGCTAAAGAGCAGAGAGCCATTTAGTCTTTCTCTTATATTTTCCATTGTAAATTATTTAGATAAACGACAATTTCGATATCAATGAATAAAGAGGCAGCGGAGTGCGAAGATGGCCTTCGTCACATAACCGAGCTGTTTAATCGCCTCCGACAACTCACTGGTAAGGAGGATCCTTTATCGCTTCACAATTACATGTTAGTTGGTTTTTTTAACATTCAGCAATATTTCAACTCTCAAAAAATTGCGAAAGAAAATTTTTTAGAGAATTATCTATTGAAGGGAAATTTTTCAAAAATATAGAGAATTTTTTTTTTAAATTTTATTTTCAGATCGGATTTCGATTGCTATATTCTTTGTAATATAATAAACAGCGAGTGTTGCGATCGAGACACTGAATCATTGGTGGCTGCTGGCAAGGATATCAGTTATCTTCTGCTTATCCCTCAAGTCATTGAAGCCTATCTTCGCGTTTATCCTGATTTATTAGCGCCAGGTACCACTTCTCAATTTGTACTTATTTATTAGTTTATCGTTTACTAGTGAAATTTGCCTAATTACATATTAAATAGATGGCGAATAGCGTATATTCCTTGAGTGAAATCGATGTTTTAATTTTAGTTATTTTATGTGAAATATTTTTAATTTTTTATTACTTTTTTTCCAACTATAAAGCCAGTAAAAAGCAACGCAAGAAATGAGCTGCTAGCAAGTGCTATTTACTGCTATTTTCAGTCATTGTTGTCTGGATTGTTGGAAAGATAATTGCGCTTATTAAAAGGCCAACCGTTTTTGACAAAATTGGATCTCGTTATATCGAGTTTATTGTAAAACTTACTTGCCATGTTGGATATACTGGCCGAACATTCATTTTAAGACAAGTCCTCATTATTTTAAATGGTTTATTTTTTTACTTGTTTTCAGAAGTTTTATTTTTAATTTTTTGGTTTTTAAGAATAAAAACATAATTAGTTTTTTATTTCATGAAAATTGATGTGGAAAAATTTGATTTAAATTTTTAACATTGTGGATTTAGAATTACTGCAGAACAAAAAGCAAGTGTGTTTTGAGATAATTGAAAAAAAAAAGGGACCTATTGCTATCGATGAAGATTTGAATGTGATTAGTTGCGACAAGGGAAGCATCTATTTATCCGCAGTTCATTTAGCGGTACCACCGGATCCAACTATTTTAAAATATTGCTTACTGTGAGTTTGTTATTATTAGCCTTCTTTTTTTAAATATAGGTCGAAAAAATATTTTGTGAAAGTAAATGAAGATCACATGACAGTAAATGAGAATAAAAATTTTAAACCTTCCAAAATTTTAAACGTTTTTTCTCTTAAAAGTTTTCTTCCAGTTCTTCAATCATAAAAAGTATGCTTAAACAAAAATGTTGCTAGGATGAAAAAGAGTTTTTTAAGAATTATAATTTAACGACCATGTTTCGATATTATGTTTTATCTTTCATTCTTATAGGTGCATGAAGATGGGGCAATATTCAATATCAATTTTATGACATTTCAGCCAATAATCTTTTTCAATTTTCAGCCATTTACTGCAACATGGAGAATTATGTCTTGAGACTATGGAGCCAAATCAGATGTCTTCTATATGGTTTTCTCTTTTAAAGATAGCAATAGCAGATCCTTTCATTATAAAAAATGTTGGTGTTTTTTTCGAAAATACTAAGTTGTATGAAAAAGGAAGAAAACTGCAGTATAATGAAACTGAATCTATATTTTAAAAAAATAATTTCAGAAAACATTTGATTCAGAAAGAAAATATCTGCTTTATATATTTTAGATGAATGAGAATCGATGATGAATTTTACTTCATTGTAAACCCTAAACCTAAGCATAAGCCCTAAGCTTAAGCCGTATGTTTTGCCTTAATTTGTGGCAATTTTTAAAGATGTTTAGAGGATGACAAAGTTTTCTTATAAAATTTTCGGTTTTCTTTACTTTTAAATTTTAAGAAAGCCATCCTTGTTATGCAAAGGTTGCTTGCAATGGATCTTGGTAAATGTTCGTTTGCAAATGAACTTTTGTTGTTATTCTGTGTTGCTGAAAAAAATATTAAAAGTGATGATAGTGATGGTACGATTACCCTTTTGCGTGAAGCATTGGCAACTTGTGAACGAACATTTGGGATGAATTTGCGAAGGTTATTCATTTTTTTATTTTAGGTCAAATTTCCCAATTACAGGTTTGTTTTCACGTATTTACTATCTTTTGCAGGATTCATTCTCGAGAAATATTTCGAGATTTGGAAATCGATATGTTGTTAAAATGGATCCAAGATGTTGTCGTGGTCTCATCGAAATTTCTTTTATCGAGTAAGTCCAGCGCATCTCAAAATTTGCCATCTAAACTTAATTATTTTCTCACAATTTCTTCATTAAAATGTTGCCTGATAAATGGCCAGATTATTCAATGATTTTTTTGTTAAATGATTTTTTTGTCTTAGTTCAAATTTCCACTTTCACTTTTTATTTTTTTTTTATTGTTAATAGATTTTAAGGGATTTCTTTGCTTGAATTGTTATCTGACTTATGTTTCATTGCTTCGAAGATACCACTGGATAAGGTCTCGGGACGATTAGTCAATTTATATGTCAATGTCGCGGAAAAAATAAGCGAATTTTTACGAATTCTTCTTGAAAACTGTGAGATTCAGATGTCTAAACAATTAAATGAAGCTGTGGAAGCGTCATTGATGAATCTTTTAAAATTTGTTCTTAATGCTGATAAAAATGCTGATGGAGAGTAAGTTTTTCGAATCATAAATCTTGCATCAATTTATAGTTGCTGTGGAGAAAACTTGTAATGTCGTAATTAATAGAATTTTAATTTTAATTAAAATATATTTAATATATTTTAATGTATATATTCCAGATTTCTACCTTCTGTTCTACAAAATATTCTCCATAATAATTTTGAAGAAAATGAAACATCAGAAGTTTTGGCGAGTTTTTTATAATTATTCTTTTATTTATATGGTTTCTAGTTTTATATCTATATTTTTTTAAGATTTTCCTATGAAAATGTAATTCTTCCAGACTTCCAAATTACTGAAAAGAAAAGTAATTGTAATGAAGTTATTAAAAAAAATCGATCGAGCTAATCGCATACTTTGGAAAATGTTGTCAGTGCCAAGTGATGCTATTATAGTAATTATTATAGTAATTTATTTTTTTTTGCGTTATCTTTCAAAGTTTATGGTAAAAATTATCAAAACTTTTGTCTAATAAAAAATGTTTGACATATCTTTTTTGATATTTATTTTATAATTTTATTATATCTTTTGTGTTGAATTCCGTGGTCTCTATGAATTTTAATGACAATTTTTTCTTTTTTTATTCCTTAAAAAAAATATTCTTTATTAATTTCCTGTTGTATTAATTTTTTAAGCGTTTACAAAAATTATCATTTGGAGAAAATAAAGAACTAATAGAGTTACAATACGAGTGCATATCGATTTCTGCTGTTTGTGATGTCCAACATCAACATCAATGGATTGGTTTTATGGCCTTACCATGGATTGCGGTATTTTTTACCTTAGAATGTTCCAATGCTGAAAATTTACATTTTTTTAAATTAAATTTTTTGAATGAATTTTTCTTAAATTAATTTGAAGGACTCTACTCAATACTTGGAACATCCTGTATCGCATATGAACGAGCTCAAACAGCTATTAGTAAATCCATTGTTTCAGTGTAAGTTTTTGATTTTTTTAGTTTTTGTTTAGATTAAATTTTAATTAAAACTAATTTAAATTTTTTTTATATTGCATAAATTCCCAATTTTGTTTTGATCCGATTTTTTTAGCTGATTTGATCAAATCGAGCTCTATAATAGCAATTGCAAATATGAATATTGAATCTGGCTGGCGCTGTAATGTTTTCAGAAAAATTTTGGATTCACCGTCCTTATTGATTCGAAAAACTGCTTTAGAAAATTTTTGCGCTTTCACAAAAACTATTGGTATTAACAAATTTTTCAAAAAATTTACGGATCATATTTAGGAGAATTTTGTTTTTCTATTCATTCATGCTTATTGTCGTTCATATGCATCATCATAGAGGTTCATGGAGGTTTAGCTTTTGATTTTCTTGTTTGCGCTCAATCATGTGGTATATATTTTTTCCTTCACATTTTTTTTTTTTTTTAAATGTTTATAATTGTGAAGCAGGTTAAATATATTATAATAAGCCGTTTTATCACTTAATATTTTTGTATAGGAACCATAAAAATTGTAAATTTGATGTTCTATTTTTTGATTTAAGGAATTATGGAAAAATAAAACCTAAGATTAAAATTTCATTTTTTGCGTTTGCGCTCTTCATTTTTTCTTATTATAGATAGTACGTTATTCGGTAAACTATTTGACCAAATTATACGTTTGGCTCAAAAAGCTTTGAAGCAATCGAACCATGAATTTTGCGCTATTGCTGTAAAAGTTAGTTGTATTACTCATTTATACCTTCTATTAAATGGATGCAATGGAAGAAAAACTGATAATATTGGAAAGATATATGCAGTAACTGTAGAAGATATTTCTCTTTTTAAAAAAATCGCCATCTTTTCAATATGTTTAGACTCTAGCGACTTCAGTTGATAGTGGAATAAAAGAAAGTGCAAATAATCGTTTAAGTTCAATGCAGATTGACATTGGAGCTGTTTTTGAACTCGTTTACTTATTAATTCCACATAATGACAAGGAATTGCGACTTTGTTAGTTTACTGTTTACTGTTTTACTTTAATACCGTCTGAATAAGCTTAAATGTGAAGTCTGAATAAGGCGTAAGCTTATTTTTCAAAAGTCGAATGGCAGCTTACTCTATCGTATTTTCTTGGCAAAAGTTTGTCTGTTTCAACTTTCTAGTTCTATAAACCAGTGGAGCGAACCAGGTATGGTGAGCGATCTTAGAAAAAAATACGATCAATTTAGTTTTTTTTTTGGTTTTTATATTTCCGTTTAATCGAGTGGAATAGATTAAATGAACCAGATGTCGTCTTTCATCATCTGATCACATTGAAATTAAAAGTAATAAGTCATAAGAAAGTCATCAAGAAGTCATTATCATAATTGTCAATAGAATTTGCAGAAAATTTGTTTAAAAATTTGCTAGAATAAAAAAATGGATAATTTATAATTTTAAGATAATAGATAATTAGATAATTTATCAAGTATATTTTATTTATATATAATTCAAGTATATTTTTTATCAAGTATATTTTATTTATATATAATTATTAATTCATTTTTTTTATTTTAATAGATTGATTTATAAATTAATTATAATTTTATTTTATTTTTACGTTTTTTGGCAAATTTTTTACAGAGCATTATCAAAGTGATTTTCAGCATGTTGTTCCATTTTAAATGCTGTGTTTTCATATATAAGCTCAGAGCAGAGATTAAGTGAATATGAAGACAAACTTGCCAAAACTTTTGTTTTAATGAGCGATTTCGATGAAGACGTCCGGAACGAATATGCGTTAGATTTTATTTGTCGATATTACGAATATAATAAATTATAAATAATAGATTATTATAATAATATAATAATATAATAAATAATATAGTAAATATAATATAATAAATTATAATATATTGTATTATAATATAATAAATTATTATTATGAATTATTTTCGTTATTTTTCGATTTAATAGATGTATTTTTACCAAAAGAAAAATTGTATTCTTATTCTTTTCTTTTCACCGCTTCTTAAAATTCATTTTTCTTAATACTGCTAAATCGCTTTTAGTTGAAGATTGCATTTGTTTTTGTTTTTTTGGGTAGTATAAATTTCATATATATATTTTTGGTTGTTTTTGGCTTTTTTGGGTATAATTATTTCGTCCTTAAATAGTATAGTACAGAGGGATATGAAGTTCCTAGCTGCTTATTCTTCTGTGGATCATATGAGAATATTTTTGATGGTTTAATAGTTTGTAGCTGTATTATAGGCAAAGGTGCTGGGGCTTTGATGCAGGTCTTGGTTTTAATTTTGTTAGTTTGTTTTATTTGGTTGGTGTTTTTTTATAGTTGCAGATATATGGTTTATTATTTTACTGGTTTTTTTGGGAAAGAGTTGCTTTTTGTCTTTTTTTATATTTGGTTTTTATATCTAATATAGGGGTTCCTCCTTCTTTGTCTTTTTTTTCTGAGTTTTTGGCTGTTGGTTCTATGTATTATGGTTTTTTGTTGGGTTTTGTTGTTTTGGGTGTATATCTTTTTTTATCTTTTTATTATTCTGTTTATATTATTAGTATTGGTTTGATAGGTTTTTCTTTTTGCATTGAGATTTTTGGTTTGGGGCTATTTGGTCCTTTTTTGTTTGCAGTTTAAATCTTATTATCATAACGTGTTTACCCATTTGTCATCGATGCAATTTTCTTAATTATTTTTTTTCAATTTTTCATTGGATCTTAACAAGTAGTGAATCTAGGTAGCCAAATATATAATGGTCCAAATTATCGTGTTGAGAGCCAAGTGTTTTTTTCTCTCTGATAGAGATAAATTTTCATTAGAAAAGTCTGGTTAATGCTGGCGACTGTTTTTTTAGTCACTGATTGATAAAAATTTATACTATCTGGCAACGGTGTCTGATCAAAAATGGTGAGCACTAACCATTTATGAATCTTTATCGAATTTTAAAGCATTTATCAAAATTTTAGAGCATTTTTCACCAAACTTCTCGCCCATGAGTGGCCGAATCTTCTTCGGTTAATTCAAACTACGCTGGTTGCATTGGAGCAACAAAAAAATTATGCTGCGCAACTCCAATTTACTTTACTTTGTGCACTGTATGATTTAGTTTTTTTAGATCTTATTTTAAATTAATATTTGCAATAGAAATCATGGATATAAAAAGAATCATGGATATCATTAACGTAAATTTTGCGTAAATTTGTGTTTGCGTGAATATTTGATCTTTTATATTTAGGAATAGTTTGGAAGTTGAATTTGCTTCTGTGATGACAATGAAAATTCTCTTAATGTCAATGCATTCTGATTTATATGAAGCCATTGGTCCAGCGAAAGCACTGATAAAGGTTAATATTTTATTAAAACATCTGATTAACTGATCCTAAGTTAATCTTAAAGTTAAAGTTAATCTTTACAGACCAAAGCAGCTAATCAAAAACCGCCAATTACTCCACGCCAATATTTTTTGCGAAACAAAAAGTATTTCTGTAGATTTATCGCCCGAACTCTTGCTTTCGGACTTAAAAACAGTTCTGAGTTAGAGAATGGAGGTTATTTTCCTTATGGCTTTGATTGTTTTCGGTCTAAACATTTTTTTAATCCAAAAAAACTGTGCTTTTATTTTTTATTGTCAAAATATTTTAAACATTTTGAATATTTTTTTAACAATTTCTAATTTATAATATCAATTTTGCACTCGCTGATTTTATTATTAACAAATTATAATTTATCTCTTCTAAAACATCTGAATAAAATTTAGTATTAATGGATTTAAAAGCGAGAGTGCGTAACTTCAAGTTCAATGTAAGAAAAATTTTTAAATTTATGGCACTTATTTTCGATTATGGTGATTATGAAATCACCAGAGGAGTTCGAAAGTAAGAATTGTTGCATAAATCATTTTCAACTTTTCTTTATTTTATCTTATTTTGCTAACTTTTTTTTGGAAATCCATTTTTGGAAATTATTGAACTGAATTGTAAATAGCATTGATATTATACGCTTTTATAGTATAATATTTGTAAAGCTGAATTTTCAGATGGCTTTTTAATTCCTGCAGTGAACTTGTTCCTTTTTTAATTATTTATCATATCAAAGGTGATCAAGCAGTTTATGAAGTTTTGGCTATAATACTCGAATTTCGTCGTATGAAAATGGAGGATCTCATTAAAGAATGTTTCCCATTTTTGCTTGCAAAGCTTCTTCATCCAAAATTTTCTTTGGATGATATCAAAAATGCTTTTTTGTTTATAGGCAATGCCTCGAAAGATATTTTAATTTGGGTAATTACGAAAATTTCTTTCAAAATAGAAAATAGAATCACTAAATATTTCTCTACAATCATATATATTTTTATTATCTCACTTTTTTTTTACATATTTTTATTTTTTTTTTGTTAAAAATGAAAACTGTTAGTCATAGGTGTAAGCAGTTTAGAAGTGGTTTACTTAATTTAGTTTAAAACTATTTAAAATTAGTTCTGTTGATTTGCCCAATTCTAAATTTCAATGTTTCAATGTTTTAGAAAACTATCATGACCACGAATGCTTATGATTGTTCGGTTCGTCTTTTGCAAAATTTATGTATCAACGAGACACGATGCATCAATCATCTGAAACGTTTGGCAAAATTTACAAATTTATCAGTATCAGAACCTATTTTCTTAACATCTTTACTAAAATTTAGGTAATAATTTTGGTTTTATTTGTTTAGAAATTCTATCATTCTTCTTTTTTATGGTTAAGAATATAATTGCAACAATATTGGGACTGAAATATATTTTTAGTTGCTTTGCCGTTCCCTAATTTAAGGCTAACGATTTGAAAATGAGAATTTCCATTTAAAAGTAGAGGTTTGTAATATCAGTTAATATAGTAAAAATTGTAGCAGAGGCAAAAAAATTTCTCTTATTTAAAGTAAAATGATAAAAAGATCTTTCTATCTCATTTATGCATGGATTAATTATAGCTTTTTTCAGTTATCTCGGTATCTTGCTTCGTTTTCGACCAGCATTTAATGATGACAATTTCTTTGAAGAGCGCCGAATTCATATTGCCAGCTTATGTCGCATGATGGAACTTATAAAAAGTGAAGGAACAAATTTTTTGGATATGGTGTCTTTTATTTTATAATTTTACAATTTTTTTTGACTTTTTATAGTTTATGATAGTTTATGATAGAATAATGGTTTAGTATTAATGCTAAAACATTTTTTAAAATTAATAATAAACCATTTTTTTAATGTCTTTAGACTGCTGGTAAGATGTTGGCTGTCCTACGTGAAGCTTTACCACTCGGTGAGCTCGCAATTGAACCTTGGAAAACTTTCATCACAACACTATCTGATGAGGTCTTTATTTCTTTATTTTCTCTACTTATTAATTTATTCTTTGAATAGGCCTAAAGTACTTTTATTTTTTTAGACACTTTTATTTCTTCTACCTCGAATTATTGTATCTATCATTCCTTTGTTTGATAAAGCTCAATCGAGAGAATTACTGGAGCATATTTTCTGCTCAAATCGTTTATCCATAACCAGGTTTGCCACAATCTACGTGAATCAAAATGATTTATAAATAATCCTTTGCTCTGAAATACGATTTGAATTGGAATTTTTCAGTTTTAATGGATTAAATATAATCCAGTATTTTCATTTATATACAAATTCTCGAAAGGTATTGAAAACTGTTTAGTGATATTTTTGAAAGAACTGCATTAGTACTGTGGAACAATGATAAAGTAAAAATTGATGAATATTTGCCCAAATACTGCGAATCTGCTGTAGTTTCCAAGGTTATTTTAATTAACTTCTAAATGTTTTCAAAAATCTTTTTGATTACCATTTGTTTTTCGTTTGATATGATATGTTAAAGGTTTTATCAGCTTGTACTTCTATGTTGAAAGAATACAGTGATGAAGTTTCGGAACTTGCTTTGCACAAAATACTGTTAATATTAAGAAAGAACGATTTTGAAGATGAAGATTCGCGTGATATGCTTGCTGCAAACTTGGTATAATTTTAATTTAGTCTGGACTATTGCGAGTTTCCATCTATATTTGCATTATTTACAGAAAATATTTGAATTTTTGTTTTACTACTGGTTTTTATTAGCTCTTTTTAAATGAAAGATAGAATGAAAGATAAAATATTTTAAAAAGCGAATCTTACGTTTTGTATTATGCTTTATCTTTGAATTTTCTTTATTGGCTTGTTTTTAGGTACCAGCATTATTGCATAACATTTCGACCTCATCATCAGCACATTCGAGGCATTTGGCATGTCTTATTTTTGGTAAAATTGGCGCCGTTGACCCCGGTCGTATTGGACTACTAAGTGCTCATGGCGTGCGTGTTGACAGAAGATCAAAACCAATGGTTTTTATTGATAACATGGGACAGGTTTATTTTTTTAGTCATGTAATAATTATTTTTCCTAGTTCGTTGCTTTTAAGATCTTCTGAATTTAAATCTTATAGTTTCTGCTGGAATTAACTAGACGTGCTTCGAAGTCATTCTCGGTAATGTTAAATGCGGATCTTCAAGAAGAATGTTCATACAGCATTCAAATATTGCTTCGTTCATTGTTCGCCTTGAAAGACAATGTTGGCGAAAAACTGTGGGAGTCATTAAGCCCTCAGTGCCGCAGAGAAGTGGCTATGTTTCGATTCTCCAAATTTACAAGAACACATATTCGAGCAGTTTCAGTAGTTGAGAGGCATGTTATATTTTATAGGAAATTTCTTCTGGTCATTCATTTGGTATTTTAAAGGGCATTTTGCTTGTGTTATGGTAAAATAAATTTGGGACTTTCGTTGACGGATTTACACTAATAAGTGTTTCATTCTTTTAATTTTTTTCAAGTTTTCTAATATTAAATTCTATTAAATTTTTCTATTATTTATTTTTGTACTTTGACAGACGAAATCTTTCAAATTTTATTCATTCAAGGCCACTAATCAATAGCAGTGCTATCACTGGTCTTTCAGAATGGATTTGTTCGTGGTACCTTTCTGGAGCTGTAGAAGTACGAAAATATTTTAAATTTTCTTCCTTTTTAAAAGTCTTAGAAAATTTAGTTTTTAAAAAATCATAGTCATGCTATTCAAAAAAATTTTTACAATTATCACGCAATCATAAAAAAATTTTTTAATATAGAAATAATATAGAAAAGCAAATCTTTTAGAGATAAATGGAAGAGATATACTAAGTTATAATAAATTTATAAAATTTATGAACTTGGACAATAACTGAAGCCTTAATTTACAGATCTCGGACGCAGAGACTAAAAGTTTATTTGAATCACTTTATGGAATGGTCCATGCTGATGCGGTCTTTGCTAGATTTATTATGCCACATCTTATTATTGTGGCAATTATCGAAAATAATGCTGCCTATATTGCTGATGTATTTATCTTATTTCTTTTTTAATTTTTGGTTTTATTCCATTTCAATTCATTTAATTTACACTTTAATAATGATAACTTATGAATTAAAAATGTATTCATACGTTACTATAATATAGAATTTCAGGTATCATAATATAACATAATAGAATTTTTTTTTATTATTTATTTATTTATTTAGTGTGTGTCAGAAATGATTGCTGTATTTCAAAATGCTCTCACTCATGATGGTTGGCCCAGATTTGCTGCGCATACTGTTTTTTCGATTATAGATTGCCTTGAGCGATATCGAGATTATCGCGCCGCAAAGCGAATACACAATGATGATGTAAATGAATTATGTAACAAATTTTTTAAATTGTTCAACTTAATCCAAAGTACAATGTACTTGCGAATTTCCCAAAATAAAACGATGATTTCTTTTATTGCTTATATAACATGTATAAAATAGTGATTTAAATATTTTTTTAATTAATTTGACTAACTTTTCTGGAATAACTTTGTATTTTAGACTCTAACTCGTATGTCTGATCTGATTGTTTCGGTTTTGAATGCAAAATCCGAAGATGGTACGCTTTATTGTATTGCAGCTGCAGAAAAGTGTCAGTGTATCACAAGAGCTCTTCGATGGTGAGGATTTGCATTTTCTTTTCTTTTTTTTGAATCTCTACTTCATTCTATGTGAGGTTCTATTTAGTTTTTATTAGAAATAGTATGAACATGATGTAACATTTCGAATACCTTTTAAATGTTCTGGTTTCAAATTTGTCAGTTATCTTTGGTTTGAGTGGCTTATTCCATTTATGTATTTAAATCTATTTTTAAAAGTTTATTGTATTTTTATTGTTGGGCAGAAGTTCTTGATCACAGTTGGGTTCCCATTTTCTTCACTTTTTGGATTGAGTAATATGTATAAGCAAACAAAGTTTAAATTTTCCTTCTATGACCCGAATATCATTTACTCATATGGGAATATCAGCTGATTCAAGAACAACAAAATTCCTGGATGTGAACTCATGCCATCCAGCTTCTGCGAATTGTGCATGTGATCTAATAGGACCATCGAATGTTTCGACTATCGTCAAGGCATAATAGGCTTATATTCTCTGATAGGACTCAATATGTCATTAAAATGAAATCAAGTACGATGCCATATTCCGAAGTAACTCGCCTTTGGCGAGGTTCTCATTCTAACAGCCAATGGAACCAGAAGTAATGAAATAATGATATTAGGAAATTATGGTCTGCAAATGTGTAATGTGTAATGTATTTTATTCGAATAAAATTATTTTGTTTTATATAGAAAACAAATACAGAAAAAAGTTTTTCATTTATGCAGGTGCGAACAATATGCTATTAAACGCAACGGAGAAAACAATGAAATTTTCAATCAAAAGCAGTTCTACACTTTGGAGGTAAATTATTCTCTAATGTGAACTGTTTTCTATGAAATTTCCAATAATTTTATGTTAAATGAATTATGCTGAAGCATTTATTCATTTAAAAATTCCATGAAGAAGTATCTGTAGGTTTCATCGTTTCATTCTTTTTGTGTGTATTAATCTATAGTCTAATAAAGCCTATTTAGCATATGTAATAAATTAATGTTTGAATTGTTTTTTGAGCTCCTTGTATGACATGATTCCTTAATTTTTTTTTGATTTCTTTGGTTTTTGCAAATTGATTTATTCCATGAAAGTAGAAAGTTTCAGTTTTTTGCTATCGAAATAGACGATGCTTATGAATCTAGAAAATAAGAATTTCTTAAAATTAGTTTCTTTTTTTATTTCAAGATTTTGTCCTTTTTGTCCTTTAGCGTTTGTTTGCATCATTGGACGATGTAGATGGTGTTTTGGGAGCATATAAAATGATTGAGTCGAGATGGGTGTCAGCGATTAAAGAACGAATTTTAGCTCTCGAAGCCAACGGCAATTTTTGGGAAGCTCTTCCACTTTATGAAAAGCTGGAAAATGAACAAGTATGATCCAGTTAAATAACCAAAAGCAGTTCTAACAAATTCCATTCTTAGATACTAATTTGTTAAATATTGCCAGGCCGTTAATCCTTCCCACCTATGCTGTCAACCATTTTTGATTCCCTTTTTTTTATATTTTATGAAATTTGTATAAAATTTGTTTATTCAGATGATTGATGGATAACTGATAGTTGAGTTGATATTTTTGTCAAAAAAATTAATGTCAAAATTATTTATTTATTTTATTCACCAGATGGCATGGATCAAATGCCTTTTGCGATTAAATGAATCGCGTTTAGCACTTAATAGCTCTTATAAAGTGCCCATAATGAATGCTGAAGCGGTGGATGGTAAGTTTTTTTTTGATTTTGCATAAAAATTTATCTTGTTAATTTTATTTTACCAGTCTTCATGTTTTTTATTTTTTCCATTTGATAATCTGAAAAATCAAAATCACGATGAAAATTGATTTTATTTCTTCCAATAACGCTTTTAGAAGTTTTTAGAAATCTGGCTTTAGTCCTCTAAGTTTTTTAATAATATAGCCGAAATTGATGTCTTGTAACTCAACTTGCAATATTTTTTTATTTTTAAAATTCTTTCAGTAACTTATTTTTATCTTTATTTTTTTTAAATTTTTAAAACTTTAAGAAATACGGGCAATTCAATTGGAAGCAACTTGGCGTATGCAAAACTGGTCTGGATTAGAAGAACTTGTCGATAAAAAGCCATCTGTTTCAACTTGGGGTGCTAGTAGTGCGTCACTTTTTTGCAATATAAAACGGGGTAATGTGGAATCAATGAACGAATGCATTAATCTGGCTCGTTTGCATCTTATTGAAGCACTAAGTGCAATGACTGCTGATGATTCAGATACTTACTCGCAGGCTTACAAATATGTCGTACAGTAAGCAAATTGAATTGAATATTGTATCTTTAAATATTATTTATTTCGAAATTATTATTATTATAAATAATAATTAAATTGAAAATTTTTATAATTTTGGCATTCAATGACCTAAATTTAGCTTCCAGTCGAATTTTTTCTATCAGTTGTTTTTCTTGAATTCTATCTTGAATTCTTGAATTTCTAAGCTTTATTTTTACTATTTTTTCTAATTTTTTTAAACGCCCCTATCAAATTTTTCACATCTTCTAGGTTAATTCGATAAAAAAATCTTATTTTAGCCTTCATATCTTGGCTGAAATAGAGGAAGCTGCAAAAGAACTGAATTTGATTGAAAGCGATCACATCGATTCAGTAAACTTATCATCACTGTTGGTAAAATGGCAGGTAAAAAATCCTAAAAATTTAAAAAAACTTTGTTTATTCAAAAAAATCTTTATGTTCAAAAATCTTTATGTAAAAAATCTTTATGTTTTTCTTACCATTTCAGTAATTTTGATTGCACTGTAAAATTTAATTTGGCGTCCTAAAATGAAATGGTCTGAAATTTGCTTAGAAAAATTTGAAATTAAATTGTTAATTTTCATCTTAAAGTCGATTTGTTGTTGGAAAATATCTTAATGATTATTAAGATGATATTAGGCGAAGTCAATTGTAAAAATTCCTCTTCTAACACTGTTGGTGATTTAACTCGCTTTACCGATGCCTAGAGATTGTTTTCAAGCTTCCTGATCCGATAGCAACCTGAAAATGAAACCACTCCTTTTTCTACTGTTTAAGCTCATTCATCGCTAGGTCTCTGTTCAAAGTTTCATCGAACCATATCGGTCTACGTTTCAGCTTTATTGGCTCTTATCGCCATCCATCACAGGCTTGGCAAATAACGAAACATGAGTGAATTGCTGTGGGGAATAGAATGACCAAACGAGTGTAGACATTTTGTGACGTTATTTTCAATGTAGATGGTATTCGAACGAACGTCGATGAAATCTTATGAGACTCTGTCCTCTTGACAAGTGATAGGATATATCCGAGACAAGAATATCCAAACAGATTCTTCCATTCTCATTGGCCAAGTTCTAAAGCCAATGTTAGCCAAGTAAAGCAGCTGTATTACATTTAAATAGGTGATATTTAAATAACTTTTGCTAAATATATTTTGCTAAATATAAATATATAAACTTTTGTTTGAGGCTGATTTCTCGACGATTCCAGGGAAATTTCGCCAGATGAAAGGAGATATTTCTAGCTATAACTATCCGAACTAGAGTACTATCTTGCACCTATCCATTAATTGTAAGAGTGTGTCCTCGGAAGTCTGAGTCTGTTACTTTTTTGATGAATTCATATAAATTTGATTTTAACGTCCGGCATAAGTCGAAAGATTTTCGTCTTATTTACATTAATTACACTGAACGCTAATTGACTCACAACGTATTTTAAAAAATTGTATCACATTCCACACAAATTTGCGCTAACAAAATGTTTTAATAAATCTGAAACATTTGAAATTCTCTAGAACATTATCATATTGCCACAGTGCCTTCCTTTTGGTTGAATCAAAGGCTGTAGTGGAGTCGAGTAAATAGATCGATTATCGATAGTTGAAAAGATAGTTGCTTCATTATAAAAATTTTCTCCTTATAAAATTTTGGTCCGAATAACCACTTCTTGGCCCAAATCCCATCATTTTTCTTGGGAAATGGGAACGGAACGCATTGTTATATTCACATGGCATTTGTTTATCCTCCTACACCAGTAAATATAATTTTTGCGAAAAAAATGAGACTGAACAGCATTTGAAGAATACTGCCTGAAGATCATCCTGAAATAAAGCTTGGCTTTTTTCGAGTGATATGTCTCAGCATATACATGGAACCAGCTGAAAATTGTCCATCTTCTTTAGGGTAGGATGAAACGGTTCCATGAAGTGCTGATCCTTTTTAATATTGCTATGTTCAAGCTCGATTCACATATTTATCGCATGTACCACCAGATTAACAGTGTCATGTACATCAGAATAAGGACGCTTTTTGTGGTTTGTGGTTGTAGTCATTTGCTATAGAGCCACTTACGGATAACAATACTGGTACGTCGTCAGCAGTTACCTGGATTTGATTTTAATGCTAAATTTATTTGGGAATTGAAAAATAAACTATGGAGAGCAAAGTTTACAGGGAACAAAAATAAAAATTTTTAAATTTTGGTACATGAATATCTGTAATTCTATTCAGAAAGATCAACCATTTAGAAGCGTTATCCCTCGATAATGCAACACACCACTGCTCTCGAACCTATATTGACAGTTCGTCGTGGGATATTGCATCTCGTAAAGAATCAAAATTTGGTACAAGAACCCATAATTGATTTGTATTTGCAAAGTAGTCGAATCTTTCGTCTCTCAGGCAACTTACAGTTGTCTTGGAATTATTTAATGGAAGCGAAGAGTTTGAAGGAGAATCAAATCGAAACATTGTTGGAAGAAGCTAGGCTTTTTTTTGCAAAGGTTATTCATTTTGGCTGACTATTGATTGGATCCGCAGCATATCTTGGAATTCATTTTTAATGCTAGGTTTATTTCTTTCACTAGATAGGAATCGGTCTATAATGGTTTGAAATTAGTAGGAAATTTTTCAGCATTTCTTTACAGGGCCACCATTCTCAAGCAGTTTCAATGTTGGCTAATTTATGTGAAGATAGATTTCCTCTGCATTCGAATCATCTTCGACGAATAATTGAAAGTATCAGAATCAGCGGTAATTTTCGTGCTTCAGGAAGTGAGCCGTGTTTTGATGGAAACAAAGAGGAAAAATCCAGTTTTATAAAGGTTACATTATTTTTTCTGTTTCTGCAAATATCCCTGAGTTTTCAAATTTTTTTGGAAATTTTTTCATCATTTCTTTCAGGTACAATTGCTTCTTGCAGATTATGAATTACGCTCAGGGTCTTGTTCGTTTGAAGATTTATATATAAAATATAAAGCTTTGCCTCATGTTGCTGAACCATCAGAAGATCTTTATTATAGAGTGGCAATATTTTTTGATAATTACATTTGTCTGAAAAATGGGGTAATTTTTGTGGATTTATGATCGTTCTCTCTTTCTTATGGTCAGTATAACATGTTCTTTCGTAAATCTTAAAAAATAAAATTTAGAATGTAAATACTGAAAAAATTTCACTGATATTGCGTTCATACACAAATGTGTTGGCGCAGGGTCGATCTCATATATTCCATGTTATGCCAAGAATGTTGACTGTATGGTTGGATTATGCGGAAAAAGTAAGTTTAGTCATGATTATCAAACATTTGAATTTGAATTTTTGAATTACATTTGAATTTTCCTCAAATATTTGACTTAAAAGGTCATTGTCAACTATTAAATGATTAAAAAATTGGAAAAAATTTTAGAAATTTTAAAAATGGAATATTTTAAGTTAGATGAAGATGCTGATCAAATAACAACACCGGAATTCGATTTGAATCGTGAAAAGGATATTAGAGAAGTCCATTTTTTGATTTTTGAAAATTATGTTTTATTTTTTCTCAGAAAAGAATCAAAATAAAAAATGAGGAAAGATTTGGTATCTTTTGCTCATTTAGGATGGCATAATTTATTTTATGTCAAAATAACTCAACAAATTTAACTGATACTCGATTTTGCTATTTGAATTAATATTTACGAGTGGATTGCGATGAAATTTTTTGCAATTTTTTCTTATAGATAAATGCAATAATACACAATGCCTTCAAGCGACTTGATCTTTATATGTTTTATACTGTTTTTGCTCAACTTATTTCTCGCATTACCCATAGAAATGTCGAAGTTTTCAGTACGCTAAAGGTATGTTGAGTTATTGGTAAAAAAATTTTTATATACAGTTCAATTTACTTATTTGCAAACATTAAAATTAAATTTAAATACATTTGCAGGTTGAACTCATTTTTAAATTTAAAATTTAAAAAATTATTAAACATTAAGCGAAGGTATTTCATAAATAGAGTGAGACATTTTTTACTATTTGATTCAAAATAATGAATTAATCGTTTTATATCGAAGAATTTTCAAGAATTTAATTAAGATGATTCTGTCGAAATTGCTGGCAACATATCCTCATCAGTGTTTGTGGCAGTCGATAGCTGTCTTCCGATCAGATCCTTTGACTCAGAAGTCCAGATTCTCTCGTTGTCGTGCAGTTTACGAACTTGCCAAGAGGACTGAAAACTTTAGCTCTTTAAAATTTCTTATTAGCCAATATGAATATGTTGCTTCTGCATTCATCAGGTTTTTATCTTAATACACTTTTTCAAAAGAAAGCCATTCTGTAATGGATATATAAGATTTGCATTCAAGAAAAATTATAATCCTAAAGTTTAATTTCTAGTGTTGTTTCATTTAAAAAGATTGAATTCTAATTTTTTTATAAATTATTTTTTTTCGCTTTATTTCTGTCGTTTTTAGAGTTGCCGAAGATAACTGTTCCGTCGGAAATCAGCCTTCTTTTAGCAAGCGATATCCTTACCTTTCACGATTTTTTAGCGAAGGATACATGGATTCATCAATCAAACGTATTAAATTTTGGTCTTGATCAAATCAAATTGTCGCTGGATAAGTTTATTATCTTCTTTGAATGCAGGTGATCCATCTATTTTAGTGAATGAACCGTTCGAGAGTAAAGATCGCCCTCAGATTATTGTTCCTTTGTGTGAAATGCTTCAGCATGCCGTCCCGATTGAGATACCCAATTCATTGTCGCAGTTTCCTGTAAGTGCACCGCCTGACAAGTTCAAAAAACCTTTTGATGATTCCTTCGCGAATGTATATATTCACCAGATTGATGAAGAATTTGTGGTACGTTGCTTTGATTTGTTTATAGGGTTTTTCAATGATTCGAATTTATATTCCCTAATTTTTTAAAAAATTGATATGATTTTTTTCTGCTTAACTAGATGGTTTACTCGTGGAGTATTCGTATTTACCACAGTTATCGATTTATGATTATTTTAACCAAAAATTGAAAGAAATCTTTTTGTCAGGTAATAAAATCGATGGTACATCCGAAAAAAATAACAATCCTTGCTTCTGATGGAAATAGATACTCGTTAATGTGTAAGGCAAAGGATGAGCTGCGTAAAGATAGTAGATTGATGGATATCAGTAGAGTTCGTTATATATATTATTTTTCATTTTTTCTTGTTTTAATAATTTTTTCTTTGAATTTAACTTGTCCAAATATTTTTTATTAAAATTGATATGTTTATGAATTAAAAATTAAAATCAAACCAGATCAATAAATTTTAATTGTATTAAACCATTGAAATGCATAAATTATAGATAAATTTATTTGAAATTTAGATGGTGAATACCTTGTTGAGGCAGAATGCGGAAGCACGGCAAAGGCAGTTATCCATTCGTACTTATAGTGTCATTCCACTTCAGGTTATCTTTATCTTTTTCTTGATCGGTACTTTATTCCAATTGTGATAATCTTTTTAAGATTTCGAAGCTTTAGTTTTATTGAAATTGTAGATAAATTTTTATGATAACAAGCTCTTAGATAAAATTTATAAAATTAGAAAAATTCGTCTTTATTTCTTTTGCTTATGAATTGTGCATGATATATTTAATTTGAAGAATAACAATAGGAACAAAAAAACATTCCTCAGATTTTTTTAGAAAGAGGTAATATTTCAGAAGTCCAAGGAAAAAATCGTACTGTTTTATTGAATTAATGAAATATCATAAATTTTATAATTTTAGTAAATTAGAGAAAAAATTTGGCTATTATTCGAAATTAATTTTAATGCTATTAAAGAACTTAGCTTTTGCTTACTTTTACTGGTTATTTTAAATGATAATTCATAAAATTTTTCTAAAGGATTCTGGAGGATTGATTGAGTGGATTCCAAATTTAAATACTTTTCAATCAATTTTGGCTCCCTTGATGCGTGAAAAGTGTGCCAACGTAATGGACAAGAAAGAATGGTTTTTGCGCTGGATCCCAAATGGTACGGATTTGGAAAAACTCGATCGTCTTCGCGGTGAATATTATACAAGGAATCCGATTGTTATGGATGAATGGATGAGGCATTTTTTTAAAATTAGATTTGTTGCAGTGAGACAATTATGCAGCATTCACTAATCGCTTCGTTACTAATGTCATTTCGATTTGTCGCAATTAAAAATCTTTTACGATTTACGATCATAATTTTAGACGAGCTTTTACTGATCCATGTAAATGGTACGCTGCTCGACTTGCATTCATTCACACATCGGCTGTGATGAGTATGTTGGGATTCGTTCTTGGTTTGGGCGACCGACATGGGGAAAATTTGCTGATTGATGCAACAAATGGTGAAGCTATTCATGTTGACTTCAACTTACTGTTTAATAAAGGAGAAACTTTGGCCGTTCCTGAAGTAAGTGGTTTTGATGAAAAAATTTTTAATATATGACATGACATGATGGTTACTTGACGATTTAGGTTGTCCCATTTCGGCTAACACGTAATATCATCAGCGGTTTTGGTGTTACTGGTGTGCAAGGTGCATTTCGATATTCGTGTGAGACAGCGATGCGAGTTTTAAGAGAAAATCAAGAAGTTCTTCAAACTGTTTTGCAGACCTTTGTACATGATCCTCTTCTCGAATGGATGCATAGTGAAGGTCGTGCACAACAGTTGAAGCAAGTAAGTTATATTTATGAGCTTCATCAACAGTTTTAATTCTGAATGGAAATATTTCATTTTAGATCACTAATACTTCTCTTAAACGCTCACATTCGAGTGCAGCTCAAGTACAAGCACAAGAAATCATTCGAATGATTACTTTGCGGCTAAAAGGTCACTTTCATTAATCTTTCATTTATATTGACTTTATTTTATTAAAATTTTGTTCTATAAAAAAAATTCATCCGAACAATCTATATAATAATCAAGATAATGTGTGGTGAATATGTGTCATATAATTTCAAATTTTCCGTCCGTCTGATGGCTTGAAATTTGTTGCCCCATGTTTTATTTCTTTAAAAACCTCTTTTTAGTTTCATCACTAGGTTGACTCTTAAAACCGATCATGTTCTCTTAGCATCTCGTTAGATTTTTGTACCTTGTGCCAAAGTCACAATTTATAAAATCGGAAAATTATACGAACCAGAGATGGTAAGGAAATATAAGAATTGGAGAGTGTTAAACGAGAGCAGTACGCTTGAGCGGACGTAAAAGCAACAACCGTATTCGAGAGAATTTTAGGGGGATTAGGAATTTTTGAAGGTATGGAAGAATTTTAAGATTCTGATTATTCGCAATGTGATTAATCTGGTTACATAAGCAAGCAAAAGTCTTTCTTGAATTTAAAATTTAGGTCATGTCGTAACACCAAGAATATATCGTAATACGTGCGATTTGCATCCAATGAGTGTGGAAGGTCAGGTACAAAGACTGATTCAATTGGCAAGTGATGAACTTAATCTTGCTCGAATGTATATTGGTTGGTGTCCTTTCTTATGATCTTAGTTTATCACCTCTTTTTTCAAGCGATTGTATGAAAAAATTTTAAAGTCATTTTAAAATAACTTTATAAATCATTGTCGCTGGCATATGTTCAACTTATAGTTTTATTGTGTAATTTTTTGATATTGCTGTACTGAACTTGTGAATTTAAGGTCTATTGTTTAAACTAGGTGAATTGTTTATGGTTAATAGTTGTTTGTTTTGAATTGTTTCCTATTGAATTTTTCCACTGAATTCGAGTTTCAATTTCTTAAAGTTTTTTCATTTATTCGAGTTTGTTCATATTTGATATTTTATGGGTAAAATTACGCTGCTTACAAGTAGTTCACTGGAACGAAAATGATTTATATGATAAAATGATTAAATTTTACAATTTGTTAGAGTTCTTTGAAAAATAATCTAGGAATTTTCAATTTTTTCTTGTATCAATTTGCATTTTGAATTGGACCTTAAATGGAGAAGATTGGTCTTAATTTTCAAGCTACAAGTGGGATAACTTCATGAAAAGTAGAAAAATTCTTTTCTAAATCAAAAAATAAATGCATTAAAATATTTTGAAATAATGAAAATGAATATTTAGAAGTGATATATTTCTAAAAGTAACTCAGATTAAAGTGGTTTACTTCTAAAAAATTACCTTTGTCATAATTACCATTATCTTATCACTTTTATTAGCATTACTAGTGAATTATCAAATTAAATAATTTTTATTCCGTCTTTCTAATTATTTTAACAATTTAAACGAAGAACATTCCTACAGTTTTCCAGATATATTTTGATAATTCAAATTACCTTGTTTTTAATGTATAATAATGGTATTTCTATTCCAAAGGGACTTTCTGACGAAGGAGTTGTAAAAATGATGGAGTTGTAGAAATGATTAGAAGTGCTGTCAGAAGAAGAGGAATATTTAAGTGCGGGTTTCAGATTGAGACGAACAAATTAAAAAATGGCGATAAAATTTGCGTGAATAAATTAGTATGTAATTAATTCCTTGGTAGTTTGTTTGAAAAAGCCTGCAATTTTTTTTAAAAAGTATATAGATTTATAGATTCATGTGAGCAATTTAAATTTTTTTGAAAAAAGCCACTGCTATTTCTTCGCCTATTTTTTAAGTTTCTGGGTTTTTCTCTTCAAATTTCTTTAAAAGTGATTGATTTGATTTGTTCAATTCCGATCCTTTGGTGGAACAAAGCTATTGCTAAAATCCGGTTGGTCTGCACCTCAGATGACTCTCCACTGAAAGGGCCCTTGCAAACAGCCCATTTTTTTCGACCATTAAATTCGACGAAAAGTTCAAATTTTTTTCCATCGCAGTTCGAGTTTTCTTAAAAGATTTACTATAAGCATAATTGCCGGCTTTAATTTTTGGTGGAGTAAGTTCAGATTATTAATTTCTATTTATCATTTCCTGGAGTTTTTTTTTAAGAGTCCTCACCATTACTGGTTAAACTCGCTCCACTGGCTTGTCGCATTGGGCAATATGCCAGGGAGTTCCTTGGCGATAGAAATACAGGTGAATTGCCACCATCACCCGGATTTTTGTACAGTTTTATTTCTGCATCAAACTTCAGCATCGGCATTCCCAACTGAAATAATAATAATAATAACAATAATAATAAATAATAATAAAATAATAATAATTAATAACAATAAATAATAATAAAATAATAATAATAAATAATAATAAAATAATAATAATAAAATATTTAGCAGTGTATTATTCCTTCAAGTAATTTTTGGTTCCTTGGAAGAACGAATCCATTTTGCCATTTGATGTGGTAAAATAACTGAAGAAAACGCCTATCCTCATATAGTTTCGCGTAGAGCGTGAACGATTCACTCCAAAATTTGTGAGTTGTTTGAAATATTTCCTTGGAATGTATCGAATTCATTTTTTTATTCCAATTACTGGCAATAATTTTTTTCCACAAAAACATCAATTCTTCAGTTCTTGAAGAATTGCAGATTGCTTCATTCTTAGTGGGATTATAACTCGTAGTTTTGAATTCTAATGATTCAGAATTGATTCATTTCTTAAATTCTTGGAAAGCACTGTAAATAATATGGATTATGAAAATTTTCGGATGAGGTCGCTGAAAAAAATTTCAGTTTAACATTGAAAAATTTCGGGTCGATGGGATTTCACTTCAAAGACTTTCTAGTAATCTTAAATTATGAGAGAATTTTTAAGTTTGTGCATTCTGCACGGCTTCGATGGTTTCGCGATTTATCGCCATAACTGCTCACTGTTTGCCTTATCCAACACGAATTTCACAGTCTATTTGTTGTGTATAAATATGGCATTATTAAGGGCATTGAAACTGCTATTGTGTTTGATCAATTTTGCTAATGTTTGCCATATTCATTGTTAATAACTGATAAATTTAATAACTGATTTCTTTTGCAGAATTGAACTTTATTTCCGCCTTGAACATTCGAATCCTTTAATATTCAGCACCGCTGAAGTTAAGGAATTCAGTACAGTATGCATATGCTGACGTTGCAAGTAGAAACTAGCAGGTTAAATTAAGAGATCAACGATCCCTTATCCTTAGCATCTATTGAGTAAAATGGGTATTTCCGTAGGATAGGTATTTCTTGCTAATATGTAATGTTATGTGGCTAATTGCATTAATATGGAGCAGAACAGTTCATCTTATTTTTCTGCAAAATCACCTTCACTTATTTTAATTTTTAATATAAGGGAAACTCGGAGGATATTGTGATTACTTGTGATTGTGCAGCGACCAGTTCCATTTTCAGGGGTTTGCACGAGTAAGTTTTTGCATTTTTTTTTGATTTGCCTTCTAACTTATTTCATAATTTAAGCCTCATTTATGTTATAATTGCAATAAATTTACTGTAAAAACCAAAGAGGGAATAAAGCTGTGTTGGTTAAAAGATCGAAAAGGCTTCGAAAACATCGGAAATAAGGCTGAAAATGCAAAAAAAAAGAGCAAAATAAAGTATAAAATAAAAAATTTAAGAACAAATGCAAATATTAATACTGCCAACAATGGTACTAATATTCGCGCCGTGAGTATGATTCCAAACAATTTATTTGATTATCTTTTAAAAATTGGGAGCGGAAGAAGCAAAAACAATTTCACTAGATAATTTATTTTTTAATAAATTTAATAATTTATTTATTATTTATTAATTTATTAATCAATTAATATTTCCAAAGGCATTATGAAATGTATATAACACATTAGTTCTATAAACTGTTTTGCGTAATTGTAACCTTTAACTATTAGCACTGGAATTCAAAAAAAAGCATTAATAATAATCAGCACAGTTTAAATTACAACACAAACTGCGATAAGTGAAGATCACACCTTATCTGTCGCATCTTTAAGCGAGGCACGAAGCAATAATTTGTATCCCTTCACTATGGCATTCTTAGATTATAGTTTTCATAAGCAAAAGATTCTCATTTGGCTCTATAAATCCATTTAACTGTTCAATTTAGAACTTATCTTCTTCCGTATTCTAACAGTAAAAGAGCAATTTTGTGGCCAACCAATTTGCCTTCAACAAATTTTCCTATTTTCGATGCAAAATTAGAATGTAATTGTTTCTACAGTGAGATTAAATTTGAATTAGATCGGTGGTGAATGAGCGATTGGCACTAATTCACCAATTATGACTAATTTTTTAATATTTCAATATTTAATATTCATGAAATATTTTTTAGCTTCAAAACAGACAGAATGCTTCGTAAACGAGTGCGACCAGTTCGCCGAAACGGTGCAATTCTCGCTTCGTATGAGAATAAGTTCGAAGAAAATGAGCCATCACTATGTTCGATCATTTTTTTAAAATTTTTTAAATTAAGAACTGATGTTTAGTTATAATTTCTCATTGCCTGCACTTATTATTAACATTATCGTCGTGAAAAAAAGCGATTTGCTCAAATCGCTCCGGTTTCCTCTTTTGGGCACATCACTCACCACTGATTGGGTCCGTTTGCGCATCGCTAATCATTGGGTTGGCTTCGCTGCCAACAAAATTAAGGCTATTACATGTAATAATAGTTAGTTTATGAAAAAACTTGGTAATTCCAAATGGAGGATATGAATAATTATTGGATACTGTATAGTTCCACTGCCTGTTCATTAATTATGATTTAGCTCTTCTGCTTGTCGTTCGTTGTCGTTATGAACTATGGATTTGCCATATTCCATCTCACATTGCTTAGTCTCTAGTAATTCGAAAAAAAGGAAGAGAACTGGTTATAATGGTTATTATGCAGAAATATTAATATTCATTGCAGGGTGATTTAGGAGGAGCGCATATTGCGCATATATGCAAAATGAATGGCGAACCTTATATTCTCGGTCCACAAATTTCTGGAAAGAAAGAGGGGCCAAAAACCTTTGCTATTCCGAAAAAGGAAAAAATTTCTTCAAATTTTTTTTGTTGTTCCTTTGAACTTTTTGAATTGACTGTTACAGGTTAAATTAATATATTTAATTTTATATTTTCGATTTCTATGCAGGTTGATCGTTAAATCTTTTGTCTTTGTAAATCTTTGTAATATGAAATGAATTCCTCAAATTAATTCGTTACTTGAAGCTTTAAGGAAATCTTAAAGATTGAATGACATAAAAAACCACAGTATAACTTTACAATAACTCTAATGCAGTAACTTTTACAATGTAAAAGTTTTAATATTACAGGCATATCGTTACAGCGCTTTTCAACGGGAATTAGCTTGGACCAAATCAGTTTTTAAGAAGTATGGCCTCTTGGAAGGCCTTCCATGCGGTTACATAAAGTGCGGATTCATAGGAGCAAATTGAAAATGAACGGAAAATTTTTATGAGCACAGACAAATTCTATATGCAAGATTGGTGTTTATCTATTACCGTAGTATCAAGTTTTATAACAAATTTTGTAAGTCTGTTTTCTTTTTTCTTTCTCATCTTAGTTCCATTTCCTTCTTTTCCTCTTCCCGTGTCCTTTTCTCTCTATCAGTAATCTACTTGCTCTGTTTTCTATCCCTTGCGCGTTCACTTATTCTACTTCTACGACGGTTGGATGTTTCGATAAAGAAACTGACCATTAAGCGAAATAACGTGAAGAAATCGGTGAATTATGGGAAAAACAATTAAAAAACAAACTGGCATGGATTTCTTCAGATAGTATGCCAGAGAATAAGCTTCAAGAATAATGCTATTGAAGAAAGTCGTCGTCAATATCATTTTTTTATGCTCCAATAAATAAAAAAATTGAAAAATCGTATGCGATTTTCCTTTCCTAAATAACATTAAATTCGCTGATACTCGACATTGAAATAAAATTTTTTCGAGAATTAGAACAATGAATTCTTAGAATCACTTCACATTTATTTATCCTCGCAACGACTTCGAATTTCCGCAACTTTTCTTTAACTTCGATTCAAATCGAGTTAATGAATTTATAACTGCAAAATTGTTTTTCTTTGTCCTTTTTTTGCAGATTTTAAATTCAGCTAATATTTGTATTGTTTATTTAATAAAAATACCATTTAAAAAAAAAAATCCACTGGAATAAATCGCATATTGGAAATAAATTTAATTTTCGCAAAAAACGCCTTCAATTCTAACAAATTCTCAAGAAATTTTTAAATTTTTAAATTTCTAAATTTTCTCAAATTTTCTAAATTTTCTAAATTTAAATTTTCATTAAGTTTTCAAATTTTCCAAATTTCAAATTTACAAATTTAATAATTAAAATTTTAAATAATTTAAGAATTTCAAAATTCCAAACCTTTTGTGCTTATTTTGCGAACATATTAAGTGGATTATTTATCAAAGAGCGGTCGTTTTAAAAAATTTTTTCAGTCAAAACTTTTAATTTATTGGATTCCTCGGCAAATTTTTGAATTATTTTTTTGTTTTTATTATTTAGTCGCATTATTATTTTAATCGGCAAAAACAAAACGAATGTTTGTTGAAATAAAATATTTAACACAACCAACCCTTTGTTTTTTAGACGACCGCAGAAAAATTAATTTAATTTTTGCGATATTTTCTTAAAGATATTTGTTGATTTGTTGATTATGTAATATAATTTAACAAACTGAAATTTTATTCTCTTACATAAAACAATATTATAAAATATTATAAAAACGTAAAATCGAAAAATTTGATAAAACAATTAAAGATTGAATAATAAAGAGAATAAAACAAGTGGCAGAATATCGTATTTATCATGTTTGGAAAAACTGTAATGGTGATAAAATGGATGATATGAAATTAATAGATATAAGTCGAACAATAAAAAGATCAAAGCCAATCTCCGATTCCAAACTGGCCACGAAAAAGATTAATAAAAGACAACAAAAAAGGCAACCACCACTGATAATAATAAGTGATATGAAGAGAAAAAGGCAACGAGAAGAGATGGCACGTGTTTCGCAAATGACAAAAAAAGGCACAAAAAATAAAAGGCACTGCGTTTCAAATTAAGAAACAACCAATCTTCCGTTAAGATAATGTATAAAAAATTTTTTGAAGGATTTAAAACATAACAATAACAATAAAGAATTCGGAGAAACTGCATTTTAAATCAGATTTTTAAATGGACATAATTCCACTCTATTGTAGCGAAAAGGATACGAGATCGAGGCAAAACAAGCTTATATCAATATTACTATAACAAAAAAATTGATAATGAAATTTTAAATAGATTTTCATTTGTTGAAGTATTAAACTTATATGGAATGTTAGTGATTTAATTTTGCTGCATTTGCCTGCGTCTTACCAAAATTTGATTGTTCGATTCGTTTAATGGCTTAATTTTGATTATAGGTTCTTCAGAATACCTCATATTTTTTAATTCATTGACCATAGCTTCCTGAAAATTGCTTTATTAAGAGAAATAACCACTAAAAGACACTTCAAAAAAAAAGAGCGAGTTAATAGTTAAGGACGATTTTATAAACTTAAAAGATAATATACAAAAGACGCTTGGAAAATCAGAAATTTTGAAAAAAACTTAAAATGAATACATTTATATCTTGCATTTGTTCTTCAGTTAACATCTTAGAGGTGTGAAGTGGTGTTTTTGGTGCAATAATGCAATGCGTGATCCATTCGCTTTGCATAAGTTGTTCTATTGTCAATCGCTGACATGGATCTGTGACTAGCAAATTTTTGATGAGAGCTTTTGCTAAAATAATAAAAATAATTACTGAAAAAATAAATTGCATAATTACTGAAAAAAAAATCTTTTTACGTTTGGCAAGTTTTTTCAACAATGGTACCTTATTCCATAACGATCAAAAAAAGCCGGTGCAGCCAATCTTAAACTCTTTTGCATATTATCCTCTTCTTAACAAAAAAAGCATTATAATATTAAAGCATTAAAAGCATTATACTTTGTCTTAAAGTTTTACGGTTTGTTGCTCCCTTTTATAAATGATGACAATACTGACCTTGATCTGAGATAAAATCCCATTCTGGCGAAGGAAAATCGTATTGGCCAGCTTTAATGCGGCGTTGCATTCCCATCGAAAAATCATCACCACTTTTAGAATAAAATGGTGGATAACCACAGAGTCTAAAATTTTATTCATTTGTTTAATTCGTCTATGGATCTTATTCTCTTTTTCATTGAATACATAGCTACAGAACTAAAACTGACTAATTAAAAATATAAGAATTAGATAAAAGCAGGAAAAAAACATTTAAAACATTTCTTACAGTATATACATAACAACACCAAGGGACCACATATCGCAAGATTTATCATAACATAATCGCTGTAGAATCTAAAAACCAATAGAACCACATGATTGTAGGCAATAAAACGAATAAATGAATGATTAAATTTCATGAATTTCAGATCAACTATAATTATTTTTTCAGTGATATTACGTTCAAAAATTTCGAAAAAACTTTTTTTATTCCAAATGAAAAATAAACCACGTCAAACCAGAACTTTAAGCTTAAATCTTTCAATTTTCGATAAATATCTGGGAACGAAAATAATAAAATTTTGCTTTATCAGTAAAAAATTACTTCTGGAGGAGCGTAATAGTTTGAATAGCAAACTGTGTGCAACGGCTTCTCTGCACTTTCTTCAATTCGTTTCGCAAATCCAAAATCGCACAACTTTAAAATTCCATTGCTGCTAAAGTTTATGACATCAAAATGAGATCTAATTTGTTAGGCATTGGAAACTAAAAAAATAAAATCTTCGGAAAATTTTTAAGGGAAGAAATTTTTTTCTACAGTAATATACGATCAGCAAAAATTTTTAACTCCTTGAACTCTTTTTTTAAAATTCTTTCGAACCATGAAAACGAAATTTCAGATTTTTTAGGAATTTTACGAAGAAATTTTATCCCTTTTCTTATTTATTATTTATAAAATAATAACCGTAAAATATGCCTTACATTTGGCAAGAATACGTAAATTTAAATTGGAAGAAAAACTAACGAGTATAGAACATTTTCCGGTTTGATATCACGATGGGCGATGTTCAAAGAATGTAAATGAGCAACAGCAGAACAAAGTTGCTGCATTATGCGTGCAGCATCCCGTTCAGTAAGTTGGCCTTGTTTAATCCGATCAAACAGTTGTCCTCCTTTAAAGAATTGTGTGAAAAAATTTTGATAAAAAAAACCATATAGGAAGTAAAGAATCATGAAAGAGATCATATTATTAAAAATCCACCTCAAAAGCGAATTAAAATAATAAAAAAACAATATAAAAAATGCAAAAAGTGAACAAAATAAATTCGAACAATCTTACCTCCCATATGTTCCATAACAACGAACAGACACCTCCTTTCACAATAAATATTCGCATACACATCCTTAATCTCAACAACATTTGGTCCTTGAGCGGCGTATTGCAATTCTACTTCACGTCGGGCTTGAGGAAGATCAAGCAAAACCTAAGAAAGAATTTCCATAAATTTTAAATAAAAAAAGGATTTATCGGAAGGATTTATGACAAACCTTAAGAGCAAATTTTTTGCCATCGCTTTTTCGTACTGCGACATGTACCGATCCACTATGCCCCCTGCCAAGAACCTGAAATTCATAAATTAATTGAATATAGGGAAAGGGTTGTGAGCCTGTGGGTCGTAAAAGGGAAGTATTCTACGCTCCCTACCTTTTTATCATGGGATTCACCACATTAGCTCAAAATTTTTATTAGCAACAAAGAACTTACTTTTTTGGTAATAATGTAATCTCGTGTAATTAAATAAGAATTAACAATCAAAGTCTGTTGGCGACATGTCTGCGATGAATTGACGAGTTGTTCACACTGAAAAAAAAGAGAATTAGGCATGAAAATCCATGAATTCGGAAAAAAATGCTAGGAAAAAAAACTTTTTTGAAAAAAATTAATAATAAAGAAATATTTTGCAAGCAAAAAAAAATAAATCAAAAAATAAAAAATGAGAAAAAATACGAACACACATCTATGCATAACACTCAAAACACTCAACGGACAAGCAACCAGCCAACATGCTTGGATAAATTAAAAGTATTGAAGCAATAATTTTTAAATTTTAAATAAAATTAAGAAAAGCAAGTGGCAAGACTAATTTCGCTGTTCATATGATCGGAAATTTTTGGAATAGAATTGACGATATATGAGTTCAGATGGACTGCCCGGAAGCAAAAGTCGTACCACTGAATCCCAACGCTAATCGGGGCTAAGCCGAGTGAAACACTTCATGCTGACTGACTAAATCTGTTTCAGAAAAGAAAGAATGTTTGAAATTATAATTTACGATTCATTTTTTATTACGCTTTTTGTTTTATTTTATTATTTGTGTATAGAATATTTAAAAAATAAGTCAATAAGTGCCTTTCTATTTCTGTTTATAAAGCGTAAGCAATATTATAAAAAGCAATTCAAAAATATTGCTAGCAAAGCGGCCTATAAATAAGCAAGAAATTTGTAGTCGGTGGAATTCTCAGCTGAACAAACATTCCAAGAAAGAAAAAAACATTTAAACGCTTTTTAAACGCTTTTCCCTTTCAGTTTATTTTTACAGCAAAATTCCAGCGAAATGAAAAATAAGTAAATATATACTAACAAAAAGTTAGATTCCCAGTGTGAAATAAAAATCCAAAGAATGGAACATACCGCAGCATTATTTGATAATTTTCTTTTGTGCGGACAAAAAGGAAATAAGCACTGACCCATTTTATCAATAAATTATCACTTCAAAGAAGAAAATAACAATACTCCGTCAAATGAATGCCGATGTGCGTGGTAGCTGAAATGAACAGCGAATATTCATGAGCCATCGCAGGAAATTTACAGGAAAATATTCTATACGAATGGAACGAAATACACAAAAGAATAACCTTCCTAAGGGCAAAAAACTATTAAATTTAATTATAACTCAGAGAAGCGACATGAAAGATGATATTTATTAATTTCTTTCAGTTATCCATAAATAAATAATTTGAAAATCCTTAGATTAATGAAAAAACGAAGGCAATTAAACTCAGTGCGTTCATTTGTGCGGTTCCATGGGAATAAATCTCGAATCGAATCAGAAGTTATGGGAAATTTGGCAGAAAAGCGATAAGCTGAGAGCATTTTTTTTATTTAAAAATCGCAATTATAAAAGAATTAGTAGAAAAAACTATTTATTTTGAAAAAAAATTGAAAACCGTTGCATGGGAAGAAACAATGAAACAAGTGCATCACACGGCAAATTACCGCAAAAAAGCGATAAAATTTACAAATTTTACAATCGACCATCATCGCTATCAAATGATTACGAAATTAGTACTCGAAAAAACAGGTTACCTGTCGGTTTGTCTCGTCCATTTGCAGTGTAATAATATCGTTGAGACGGATGCCAGAAAAAGTCGGTACAACCTGTCACTCGCCATTAACCTTCAATTCTCCGCTCTTCCTTTTTCCGCAATGAATTCCTTTCCCGACCTCTAACCTGTCGAAGTATTTAATTCACATAACGAAAAACTACGAAAAATAAATCGTCTAAAAAGTTAAATGAATCATAAACAAAAAAGAAAAACGCTGATTTGGAAATTGATAAGAAAAAAAAAGTACCACGGGAATCAATCCATTAATCAAAATTCTTAAAATAAATACAACTTTTTCAGTAATCGGTTTGAAATCAGTTTTATGGAAATTCAAACGCCTCAAACGTCCAAAATATTTGATCTTTGAGACTGGTTGACTGAAAAAAAGAAACTTTGGTAGGAACCGAAAGAATTCATTGCTTCTTAGAAGCAGGCCAAACGAGAAGTACAAGCGTTTTACAACCGCCTGGCGTGCACAGCAAAACGAGTAAAACGAGTATATTGTTTGCAGTGTGGTAGCTTTGCTTAACGGTTAATTGTATAATTTGTTGTGTAAAAGATAAATAAAATGCAATAAAATAAAAGTTGCACAAAATTTAATGCATTCAAATAAGTTTCAAAAATGAGAAAAAAGTTTTTTAAATAATTTAAAAAGTGAAAAAAGAAAAAAAATTCACAAAAAAGCCAACAAAAATTGTCAAAAATCAATAGATTGTAATTTCAATTTGCAAAGGCAAAAATGCTAAAAATGCAATTCTTTAGAAAAAATTATAAGCGAATATAAAACTCGATTAAACCATTTATTGTTGATGCTTCTAGCAAATTCACTAAATGCGAAATTCGAGAAGATTATTAAATGAAAATAAAATCCACACTATTAATTATTAAAATAAGAATATCTATAATTTCCATAAAATTTCTTCGTTCAGTCCAAACCAAAGAGGAAGAATTAAAAGCAAATTTAAAAAAAGAAGAGCAGATAAATTTCAAAAGAAATTTATAAAAAATGGAAAATTTCAGTTCACAGATTTCAATTTCGATGGCTGAATCAGCGAAGCACATCTGACATACAACACAATCCTTCATACTCAATGAGTTCTTCTCTAACTGCTCTGCAATATACATCATCACATCGACTTTCAAACGAAATTTTACCATTGCCAATTGTCAACGTTATATAATAACTATCGTAATTTAGAATGAATAAGTCGATTTTGCGTAAATTTAGCATCTCAAGAATAATGTCTTCAACCTGAAAATAACACTTTTCTCGGATTTTTGTCAAATTTTTCGCAATATACTATCTATTTTATCTAGTAAAAATTTTAATACATATGAAATTCTTACCCTACAACATTGCTCAACGGATAAGAAACGCAACTGTCGCAGATATAAATATGGCACGTCACATAAAGATGAAGCGGTAATCATATCCATGCCTCTTACATCCAAAAACATAAGCTTCCTATGAAATTTTTTTTTATATAAAATTTAAACCATCAATCCATTTTGGATCGCAATATTTTAGAAAAGGAATCAAAGGAGCAACAAGTTACATAAAAAGGGATATAAATTATACCTAAGTCGACGAACAATATTTGCGAATCCTACTTCAGTAATCGACCAACACCAGCAAAGACACAAAGAATGAAGATCAGCGCAACTAAAATAAACAATTAAAATAAATAATTTAAATAAATAAATAATGATGAATAATAATAATTTTGAAAAATCAATAAATTTTTCCTAAATAAATTTTCATAAATAATTCCATGATAATTCACCGTGTAACTAATCCAACAAGTTAGCTTTGACAAATGTGAAGCTACTTTTTACATATAGCGATAAATCATCTCCAACACCTCAAAGGTAAATCAATTACCTTTTCGTTATCACATCTACAACATTATCATTGATACCAACACACTCGCCCATATTTAAAAATTTCAAACGTAACGGAAACTCTTCAATTCGTTTATTTTTATCTGATAAAGCAAAGAAACGCATTAAAGCCAACGATGAGAAATCTTTTCCTTTGCGAAGGTGGAGATGTTCCAAAGCAGAAAGTTTCTAAAAAAAATAACTGAACAGGACAAAGAGGTTTGAATACAGCCTATGCATATTTATCCATTTTTTTCGCATTTAATTTAAAAACGCCAAATTTTCACTGAAGAAATGGTTATGATAATCTAAAGACGGTATGATCAACCTTGAGGTATGAAAGAGCAAGATCAGTGGCAGTATCACAAAATGATATGGATAATAATTGTAAATTTGAACACGTTGATATGGCACTGAAGTCAGCATCCGTCATTCCTTCACCATCCAAATACAACCTTTTAATCGAATAATAAAAGATAGATGAGGCGATACTACGACAAGGACTGAAATTACTCGACAATTCATCAAATCAGATAAAATTATGAAAACGATTAAATTCATGTATAAAATGCTTATTAAAATATATTAAAATGTGATTGTGTTAATTTTTTATAAATATAAATAACTATAAAACTTCAATAATTCACAGGAACAAAACCAAAAAGTCGACAATATAAAATCCCATATAAAATTAAAAATGGAAGATAAATGAAGAAAAACTGGAAAATTACAACTAACGTAAATCCTACTCCATCGACACTTAACACATCAATATGCCGTTTTGTTTTGCATAAAACATGAAGATCTTCACTCTTAATCGCTTTGCAACTGTTTAGGTTTAATTGCCTCAAATGAGGAAAACCCACGGCAAAAATAACCTCATAAAAATCTGGGGTTTGTTGATTCTTAAATTTTGAAAGTAAGCCAGAATAATCAGCAAAACAAAAGAATGTAAGAAAATATCTTTGGCTGAAACCAAAAAGAATATGAAAGAAGATAAAAAATAAAGGAAAATAATCATGAAGAAAAATGAGTTAACCTCTAAATGCCCAGAGCCTTCTATATTCAGACTTTGCAGATTCGGAAAGCAGGTAATTAAAAAATAAGCGAATTTCTTTGAGAGAACTGAAATAAAAGAAAAATATAAGAAAGGCATTTTTATCAGAGCCTTTGTCGCCCATAAAAATAGATAAAACGAAAACTAACTCAATAATCATCGTTATTTTGCTTTTAATACTTAAATTTTCACATTTCTGAACTTTCTTTATAACTGTGAACTTTTTTCTCGAAATAAAAGTTGGATAATTTCTATCGGTCTTCTTTTCGATAAGCACTGATTTTTTTTTTCAATAAATTTGAATTCGAAATGAAATTTGATGATATTTAGCCAAATAATTTTTCGTGATATGAAACACATTAACAAATCCATTAAAAACTTATAAATTTATAAAACTTAAGCATGAAAAAATGATACAAACATGGAAAAAAACCGATGTCCAGTACTTTCACTCGAGGCATGAATTTCGGAAATAAATCGAAAAACTCTTCATCTACAAACATCTTAGCACTGCATGTCACATTTATACATAATTTTTCAATCCAATTTCCCTGCTAAAATGAAAACTATTTGTGAATTTCGTGTGAATTTGCGAATCAAAAATGATAATTTTCAAATTATTTGAAAGCAAAGCGATACGAACCTCATGTAAAAAAACACCCAATGAATATCGATGATAAGGAGGGTCAGTGATATTGATTCGTGCTTGACGGCATAAATGAAGTTTCTTTACCAACCAGTTCCACCTTCGCGATACAGCAGAAACATTTTTTACGATATCAATTGGATGTAAATATGAACAGATGGCGATAAAAGCTGGCTCAGGCACATCAATCCAAGAACATTCATCTGTTTCTACGTTCTTAAATATTTTCTTAATTTTCTTTTAGAATTTTAAAGAAATAATAAATAAATAAATAGCAAAAAAATTCTAAATGGTAATTTTCGAAATTTTTTGATTATTCTATATATATAAACAAACAGCTAACATAATAATTTTCATGAAAAACGAATTAGCATATTTCCACGGAAAACTTCTAATGATGATATATAATAAATATGATATAAATATAAAAAATAAAAAGATCATTGAATAAAAAAAAGATTGTTCTTCATCTCAACTGACTTCAAAAATAATGGAAGTTGACATTGGATTATCTTTATCCAATGTGGGTGAAGCGATATCTTCTGGACAAGCTATACGAACAGACGCTGAATAGTTTTCAGGGGTGGGATAAATACTATTTAAGCTGCAAGCTGAATAACAACTGGGATACCTGAAATTTAATTATGTAAATATATATGCTAAAAATGAATAGATCCATTCTAAGGATCTTCCTTTAATAGTAAAACAATTAGTTCATTTAAAAATAATATAGGTATAATACAAAAAAATCAAAAGCGTGTCAAACAAACGAAATAGCGGTCCTCATTCCCAGATCACACAATATATTTTTCAGATTTAAACCTCTCAATAAACCTGTTATATTCCTTTAAGATTCCTTCCCTGCAAGAAATCCCCATCTTCCTTTAATATTTGAATACTCTACAATAATACAATTTCTGGTGTGCTCCGTCAATACCACTTATCATGTTACTTTTTATAATTAGTGACTATGAAGGAAATGTATGTTTAGGGGATGAAGCATAATAGCGACTCTAAATGGAAATATACGACTAGTGAATGGATTATGACAACAGTACAGCTTTAAAAACTTCAGTGGAGCTTCAGAAAAATAGAGGAAGCACTTAAATTTTTGTAAAATACAATAGCTTTTGAACTGAATTTGAAAAAACTCCTAAGTAACGAGGGTTATGCTTTGATACCACAGCGTCACAGCATGCACATGCAAACACACTTATAAAGTGTTCCTCTAGGTAACTGCAGTAATGTATAAAGAATTCGATCAATTAGGCTTTCATTTACGAATTCAATTTTATTCAATTTTAACTTATAAATTGCTAAAATTTGTGAACGATACCATTCTCTGAATTTCCATCTTGGGCAAGCGGTTACATCCACCATACTCAAAGGATAATACCCATCAGCAATCGTCAGCGGACAACCATCGAAACTGCTGACAGCTTCTAGGTCAAATGTACCAAACGGCAAAATTACTTCGCTCATCTTTTCCATTCAGCTATATATGAATGATATATGATATCCATTATGATTTGCTGCTAAAATGATTCTTAAAAAGTTTCATCGTCATTTTTTGATGAAGTATATAGAAATAAATTATATCAAAACGTAGAAGGATTCGTTGTTGCTTTCGCAACTTGCTTCAATGCTGAAGTTCTATTCCCGACAGTTAGTAAATTATCTTTTAAAAATCGGCGGCTCACCTATATTTCTATTGCTATATCTCTCCTTGCCAAAATTTATATGGTCCAACGAGTCAGCGAAGCGAATTTAGCCATGAATAGTGTAATCTCTCTCAGAAAAAAAATTAAACTACAAATTTGGTACAATTCTTAAAATATCTCCAAATTTTGTTTCTCTACCAAAAATTTAAAAATTGTACTATAAATATTCCACTAACGATAGCTGTGAGAATAAACAAAAAGTTCAATGGGAATCGAAAGTTTCAGTGCAAGAAATTTATCGTTATAATTGCCATTATAATAATTAACAACTCGCAAATATTCGCAAATTGTGATAATTCTGCAAAAAAAAATTAAAAAATTCGCTCAGGTTTTTTACAGATAATATTTATCGGTTAAAAAACCGAAATTTAGGAAAAAATCTTTAATTGTAGTACGAAATCGAAATAATAAAACGAAAAAACTTTTTCTTTTTGAAACTTAGTCAGCTTCTTACTTTTGAATCAGAAGTATTTAAAAAGAAAACTGAAAAAGAGATTACGCTTAAGGCTAGGAAAATCACCATTAAATATAAATAAATCAAAATATTTTTCAAAATTTATTAAGAATAATTAAAAATATTTCGTGAAACATGGAAATTGTTGAATAAAATTTTGTAGCACCTCTTTTCACTTCTTTTTTTTACAATAACCCAAATAACGAATGGAGATACTTTGCAAATATATTCTTTATTTCAACAGTCTTAACTGAATTCCTGAGAAAATAAAAAATTACCATTAATTGAACATCTTATACAATTATTACAAGTAATGACTAATTCATTAAGCAAAAACGATTCAAATGAATTAATCGACAATAAAACAGCTTTGAGAGAAACGAAAAATTTCTTTAAATTGATAAAGAAATCAAAAAGGATTTCCGTAAGAAAATATAAAAGAAGTTTTTTGCGCAATCAAAATTTCATTAACAAATCATTTAAAAAAAACCACAGAAATATCGAAAAAAAGTTGCATTTGTGACGAGAAACAAATTAAAATTTAATGGAAATATTAATAAAAGAAGAAAAATAACAAATATGTTTAGTTCGAATTCTGATTTATATTCATATGAGAAACCAAAAAATAAGACTGAAAATAAAATAGAATTGAAGAATTCAAAATGAAAAAATCTAGCAAATCTGGCAAAAAATTTAAACCCGTTTTGTACTTTTTTATGGGATTTTAATTGAAAGAAAAAGTATATCTATTTTTTTCGAACAAAAAATCATTTATAAAGGAATCAATTATGTTTTATGCATCACCAATACCCAGGTTCGTGTTATTTTTTTTGCAATTTTATGGTTTGTAAGTATTGGACTGCAAGCTTTTATGATTAAAGAAAAACAATGGGGAACAACTGGTTCCATGGTTGAAGTGGTAAAAAGGATACGACGTTAATAATGGATTGCAACAAAAGAGTATATAGTACGTTTGAGGATATTACAAATATGTTATAGACATGGCAAAAGAAGCAAATATGACAAAACAAAAAATATAAAATTAAATAAATAAGGAACAAAAAAATTTGATGCAAACTTCAACTTAAGCAACGGAAGTATCTTTTGTTTTTGCTTTCTTCTTTTCTTTATCTTTTTCGAGCTTTTCTGTGTTTTCATCATCGCTTTTATGTCGCCTTAAAACTACTTTCAGTATGGAAGATAACTTTAAGGAACTTTACGGAAAAACTTAACTACAACCATATAAAAAAATCTAATTTACCAAATAATGCCGCATAAAACATTTCTCAATTTCAGAAATTAAAAGCCTGAAAATTTCTGACTTTCAGCGAATAAATGGAAGTCTGAAACAGGGAAATATTTTTTCAGATCAGAAGAAATGGCTTAATATTCTGTTTTTTTCATAAATCATTATCGTTTTCATTTTTTTTATAAATGGATAAAATGCATACAATGAGCAAGGAGTGCATCGCAGGATTTAAGGAAAAAAAAAATATTCTTATTTGGGCAATTCATTGAGAGAAGGTATAAACAGCATTATTAAAATATTGCTTGAAAATTACCTCCTTTTTCTCTCTCTATCCTTGTCCTTATCTTTGTCCTTGTCTTTTTCCTTATCTTTATCTTTGTCTTTATCACGTTCTCGATCATTCCGTTCAGAATCGTCTTTATCTTTTTCACGTTCTTTCTTTTCCTTTTCTTTATCACCAATTTCTTCCTTATCGCGGCTCTTATCTTTCTTCTTATCTTTTTCTTTATCTCTGTCATCTTTTCGCCTTTGACTACGGGAATCTAAAAATTATCATTAAAAATAGAAAAAATCCATTAACAAAATTAATCTGATGTTTTACATTGGAAAACATGATGAAATGCTCACTTTCATGGGCTGATCCACTTCGAGAACGATGCCTTCTCGACACACGATTATCGCGATCCCTATCGCGATCATTTTTGTCTCTGTAGCGGTCACTATCTCGATCTCTATCCCTATCATCACGATGACGCCTAGACCGATCGCTAAAAATGTGATATTGACTCTTTCAATTTCAAATTTCGAAATATTCTGAATTTTAATCCCTTTAAAATCGACTCTCTTAAAATAATATAAATAAATCATTTTTGTAAAAATTTTTTTATTCGAAATTGAGTTTCAGAAGAAAGGTTTTTTATTTCTAATTAATATGAGCATATACTAATGCAAACCAATGATAATTTCAGAAATAACAATGAAAAAAAAAAACAACCGTGGAGAATATGAACGAGATCTGCGACGAGTATGTCGACGTCTACCATATTCCTCATTATCGCTAAAAAAATGATTGGTCAGAAAATACATACAATTAAAATTACCAGTAATTATTATAAATAGTGGAAATGTGAAACAGCGAAAACAAAAACGTCTATATCTAGATCAAAGCAAACTTGGCTGAATGTTTTTATGAATAAACTACACTAATAGATTTCCAGATCTGCCACAAGATAATTAAAACTTTTATGCTCTAAACTCGAAGTTAAAAAAATACTATCTTCCTTGATTTACTGAAAGTGCCAATCAGGTGCCAAAATTTAAAGATAATTGAAATTTCTATATAATTGAAATATTTGTAGAAGAATTTATTAATTAATTAAATAAAATGTCGAACTCAAAAATCATTAAAAAATTATTTAAATATTTATTCAAAATATTTAACCTTTCGACAGAATCTCGATCCCGATCTCGGCCTCTTTCTCGATCTCTGTTTCGATCCTCTTCTCTAAGATTACGCCTGCTGTCAACAGATGTAGGTGGAGGAAAATTCGGCCGACTTAACAGTGGAGGAGGACGAGGTAAAGGGGTATTAGCAACTTAAAAAATATGGCAATATTTTTCCAGCGAATATTCAACTTTATAAAATTTTAAATTTAAATAATAAAATAAAAAGAACTAAAAATTTAAATAATAAACAATTTTAAAACAATTTTATATTTCAATATTTCAAATAATTCTGATTATTCAAATATTTTAAAAATTTTACCTGGAACAGAAAAACGAGGAGGAAAAGCAGGTGGAGGATGGGCAAATGTGGGTGGAGGAACAGTGAAACCTGGAGGTGGTATATTTGTATTCGGCAGAGCTAAACGCATAGTAGGTGGACCAGCTATTCCAGGTGGTGGTAGCAATGGATTGAAACTGTAATGGAATTTTAAAATTAAAAAAAAGCTAATATTACATCAAGCTATTAGGATTTGCTTGATGAAATAAAAGCTAGGAAAAAAAATAAAAAATAGATATTCTATTTTATGAGCATAGAATTAAAAAAATTGGTGTAATGCATTTGTTCACTTTTCACTTTAATTTGCGACAAAAAAACGATTGGAAAAAATAAGTACTAACACTGGAGGAGGAACAGAAGTGTCAACTCCAGCAGTAAGTGTAGGAATCGGTCTTGGTGTCATCAAATCACCAAAACCAGGTGGAGGTGTGGAAGAACCAGGTGGAGCTGGCTCATCAACACCGGGTGGACCATCGAGAGACGATTTGGGTAAGGAAGAAATGCCTGGTATCGTCGATGGAATCGCAGAAGGTAGAGTTGGAGCACTTGATCCACTAAAAAACTCGAAATATTAAAAAATTAACAAAATAACGAAATTAACAAAAAAATTAAAAAATTAACAAAAAATAAGAAAAAAACTGGCAGAATGGAAAATTTATTAAAATGAGATAATCGATAAGAAAATCCATAAATTTAGTTCAGAAGGAAAGAGGGAATTTTAAGTGCAAATATAAGTAAATAATCGCCATTTAATATTGTACTACACTATAAATTAATTAAGTAAAAATCTTCAGCAGACGTTAAGCAAATGAACCATCGTTAAATAAAACTCAGCCGATGATAGAGATCCATCTATTTTTCACCTTCAGATAGCGAAACGATCTCAGCCAGCAGCCAAACCAGAAATGGCGAATATTATTAGAAGAAATTAATCCACTAAATTACAGAATGGATAAACCTTGAACTAGAAGCAATAGATTCAATGGCTGGAGGCGGTTTAGTGAAATCCATAGGTGCAGCAGCGCCCGAAGGTGCTGGAAGTGCTGGAACAGAACCAGAGACTGTCATTGATGTAGGAAGTGATGCACCAACAGATGAAGAAGGACTAGTGACTTCGCTACTTGGCTCTTGTAACATATTATTCTGCAAAATTTCTTCTAGTATAAATTTATTTAACAAATAAAACAATGTATATTGTGTATATTACCTCATACTGCGTAAATTCAAAAAAATTTTTAAATTTATTGCACTGACCGAAGACGTTTCAGATTGACCAATGGTAGTGATGCGTGGAGGTTGTCCGGGGGTAATTACTGTCCTAATAACTGGGGTCTGAAATTGCAAAAGAAACAATTCAGAATGGACTGTCATTCTATCTAAACAATTTATGTCATAAATGATTTATGTCATATGTTCATAAGTTATTATTAGTTATTATTTATTAAAAATAAATTTTCATAAAAATTTAGAAAAAAATATGAGGCTAGATTCACAAATTTCATTCTTATAAAAATTAAATTTAAAAAAGCAAAAATTATCAAAAGAAATGAAGAAAAATAATTTTAAAACCTGATCAAGTGGAACAGCACTTTTGAAAGTTGAAAAATCTGTTTTTTCTTGGCCAATAATAGGTATGGTCTGCAGCTGCCGACCACCTAGACAAAAATAATAAGTAAAAGAAAATAATAAGTAAAATTTATGGAAATTAACAGCCAAAACAGCCATTTCTTATCAATCAAAATTAATTTTTTTTTAAATATTAAAATATATCAGCGAAAATATATTTTTTGCAATAACATGGTGAAATTACCTGATTGGACAAGCGGATTGGTTAGACTTATGCTAGAAAAAAGTACTTTATTAGCTGTTGCTTGATTACCATACTCTGCTCGCAGTTTTCTTTGTCTCTCACAATATGAATTCCATGTTTCTAAAATAAGGAAGAAATTGGACCAAGAAATGATAAAAATTTAAAAATTCAAGAGCATAAAATGAAAAAAATAAGGGTTAGAAAAATTTTTCATCTTTAGATATATAAGTAATTTCACCTTCGTTGAAACCATAATTGAAATAATCCGTTAAATCTGCACCAGGCTTCTGCCATGGTCTTTCTTCCATGGTAGCTAAATCAAGATCGTAAATTGGAGTCCCATTGATAGTTGGTGTTCCATCGATGTCCAATTTTCCGATGTTTCCAGGTGGAGCAGTCGTTTTCTAAATTTCACCATATACAGAATAATCTTTTCAAAGAGATTTAAACATTTTGATTCATTTTGTGCTATAATATTTATTATTAAGGATATATAATTACTACTATTATTACTAAGTTATAAGTTAATGTTTCCATATTTTACAACAATTTTTTCCATTATATATATATATATATATATGTATTTTCCTTTGGAATAACGACTTCAATGTGAACTTATAAAACGGCTTACTGAGGATATAAAAGCAACACTGGGTTTAACATCACCGATCGTTACGACGAAGTCGTCCTCATCACTTTCATCATCATCATCCAATAAACCTTCCTCCAGTTGTTCTTGAAATTGCTCCTGAAAACTTTTAAAATGTTAGACCATTTCCATAATTTATAAAAGAAATTTTAAAAAGACACATACTGCAATATGTCCACAATATATTATACTGCAATAATCGACACAATGCAGTACTCAGCTCAAAATCAAGTTCAATTCCTTTATTTTTGAAAATTTTTGATAGAAGTCCAAACAAAAGTGATAATTTTTTGTCTCTATGGAATGCTAATTGGTCAGAAAAAGCCATTCATAAAAAAAATCATTAAACCATAATCAGATGATTTTCTTTTTTCTCAATCTTTACAAACGTTAAAGGGACGAAAATTCCTTTTAATTCTCAATTTTAAAACAAATGAGAGCTAATAAAAAATTATTTTTTTTCTAATCGTTTTCATCATTGCTGATTAAGTTCGCTCCTCTGGCTTGTTGGACTAGACAAATTTTGTTGAAGTGCAAATAAGTCACCAGCATTATCTGGACTCTTAAAAGACGGATCTACCCTTGCTGAATATTGGCACTCCAAATTGAGCAACAATCCACTCAGCTATTTTACCCTTTTTACTTTCGTCGCTTATCATCAGCCGGATTCGAATGACAACCATCCAACTATTTTTCTTGATGGCAACTGTCTTGCCACTTGCCACTAGCCAAGCACCTTACTAATAAAAACAACCTATTAATAATATAGAAAATAAAGACAATAGTATAGATAAAATAATACAAATAATAAAAATTAATAATACAAATGACAATGGTTGGTAATAACAATCATAATAACAATGAAATAAATAAAAATAAAATAATAAGGTGTAAAACGACTCAACAAAGGAAGTAAAGAATTGAAAGCCAGCATGTTTACAGCCCAAACACAAAATTTCGATGGATAGCTTCAACTATCTCTCCTCTTTGTATAAAGTGGTAATCTTTAACGATGAAATTTTTATATTCACAAGTTTCTAACTAACTGATGAAAAAAATTTTAGAAATTCCATTAAAATTATAAATATTTATATATATTTTTATATATTATATACATTTTTTGTCAACACCAGAATTCTTTCTCATTGATAATAACCAACCTTTAAAGAACCATTTTCTTGCTCTTCATTTTCCACATCTTCACTCGCACCTGCAACTATATCTGCACCTGCATCCACTTCTGCATCTGACAATTCATTTTCTTTATCTTTAATACCGTTTTCCATCTCCATTTCAGGTTCCTCGTCGTGAGGAGGCAAAGGCTCTACATAGTGTTCTTCGCCTCCGAACCCAGGAATCACAGAGGACATTGGCACTTACTGACAATCTATTATCCGGCAATAAATCCACACTAATTCAAATTTTTTAGTGTCTAAAATATTTCTATATAAATAAAACAATATCCACGAATTTATGCAAAAAATATGAATGCTTAAGTCGTACTGCTAAAATTTAAAAGTATAAAATCTAAATTTGAAAAAACTGAAATGAGAAATGCATTCGAAAAATTGGAGCCAAAAAATATTAAAAATGCCAACAGCGATTTGAATGATCAAATGAAAATAAAGCAAAACAATTTTTATCGGCAAAGAACGATTTAGATACAACACGTCTAATATTTATGATTTCATAATTCTAAAATTAATCAGAATTTAATGGAATAAACATACACTTAAAATAAACATAATTGATTAAAAAAAATGCATTTATCTAAATAAATTCATGAATATTAAATGAAAACAACTAAAACTACTGAAATACAACTCTATATTAGAATATTAGAACTGGTATTATATTATTAGTGATTACTACCTTTTTAGAAATAAGCCTTTCCTGAGAATAGAGTAATGCGAATAGTATAAAAAATTTCTAAATTAAAATATATTATTAAATACTCGAATATACATTAAGTAAAAATCAAAATAGGATCATAAGAATGTTAAGGATAAAAAATTTACAAATTTTTTCCAGCAATATACGATAAACTATTGATGAACTAAAATTCATAACTGGAGGAAAAAATGTTAAATTATAGGCAAGAAATATTTAAATTCATTTTCATTTTTTACAATCAGCAAGGAAAGCATATTAAAAAAGATGGAATATCTAAAAAATAATATAAATCAATATTAAATCGATATTTCTTCATTAACAGTGAATAGAAAAGGCTTGTCTGAGGGCTTCAAATTTTCAAGGTAATTAATACGCTCCTTGGACAGTTAAAATTATCAAAACCTACTGAAAAATTCTAAAAAAATATAAAACTCACCATTTACATAAACCCAAAAATTATCCTAAAACACACAATACAGAAATAAATTACCGTATAAAAATTCAAAATCATCAAGATCAAAATTAATGAATTAATGAATAATTTACTGAATTAATGAATAATTTACAATTAATACTGATATCTAAACAAATCTAAAAAAATCTACAAATGTTCAATGGTTTAAGTTTCTTACAAAAAAATAAATAACAAATGAGAAGCTTCGACAACGGCCTCAATAATTTAATTTATTATAATGATTAATGACTATTAATAGTACAAAAGAATAAAGGTTCTAATACTTTTGGAGGAGAATTACTGCCAATAATATAATATAATACTTTTACGAAAAAAAATATTTTATCTATTCAAATTACATTATTAAATTGTTTGAAGCGGTTTATACAGGTCTTTTCCATCGATTTTCCAAAATTAAAATCAGATTATTTGACAGTTAAAAACCGATTAGGATAAAAAACCAATCCTTCAATAGAATCATCACGACACAATAAAGCATGCTCTTCAGCAGCTAACAATCTGCAAATTAATCAGTAAAAGCAATATTTTAATTATCATATATCATTTTAATTCAATCCAACCAGTATCTAATATTAAAAAATAGAAACATCTTAACATATAAAGATCTTGGATATTGCTAATTTTTTCATAATGCCGAACTAACCAAATGAAAATTAATAATTCCAAAGAAAGGGTCATAATTTACCTTTCTTTGGCTAATGTGACTGTAATGCCTATAGCCTTGGCTAAATCATTTGCAGTACAGCTTCCTGCCGCATTTACAAATTCAGCACTTCTCTCAACAGTTGTTTCCACACTCATTTCATTCAGCTGAATGACCATCACACCACTTTGGAAATGATGCAATCTATGATTTCAATAATTAGAAGTGAATTCTGGATTTCGAAATAACAAATTTTCTTTTTTGGTATCGAAGCATTTTTACCAAAATTCTGTTAACAGATGGTATCAAAATATTCGAAAATTAATACTTTTTAAAATCAATATTCATATTTTCTCAAATCTTATAGCTAATTATTGATCTTTTAAAACTTACGAAATCGGTAAATTCAACCGACCAAGAACCTGGCAAGCATTTAGAAGATCTTCAGGCGATAGGAGTTCAATACCACGAGCACGATTTACGCGACAATATACATCTGGCAAAGTCATCATTCCACCACATTCCTGAAAAAAAAAAATAAGAGAATTTCAGAAGAGAATTTCTTGAAATGAATATATACATAAATACTTAATTTCATTCTTGATAACAAAAAGATGCTTCAGACAAAATAAAATACAAACTTTAAGAGGCTCTAATAGAACCGTAGCTAATTCTTCAGCAAGTTTTTCATAATATATTGCACCATTTCCGAATGCCGATTTAGTCACAGGATCACTAACACCAAGGCTCAGCAAATATGATTTAAAACGCACAGTCTAAAAGTAAATAAAAATTTTGAGGTTTCGGAATTCAATAAAATAATCTGTCCTTAATGAAGATAATTTATTTCACCTCATCATCTGCAATTTCACCACGTTTTGCCCTCAATTTTTCTGTAATGCATTTTGATAAAGCTACCATATCGCGTGCATATTCCATCAATCGACTCATATCCTCGAAAGCCTGTAAAACACATGAAAATAATGAAACTGCCCAATAATAACAATAATAATAATAATAACAATTTCCCAGTATTATAAATAAAAAAAATTCAGGTATAAATAAAAAAATTTATACCTGACTAATGCTTTCATGAGTTTTGTGATGACTATCTGCTAATCTTTTTTCAATCGCTCCTATACCAACGGCTCGAGGAAATGTAGCACCACTATTACGAGACTAAAAAACAAAATTTTTGCCTTCTTCAGAGTGCCTTTCATAAGACCAAACTTTGAACTAAATGATAAGGGATTCAGGAACTATGAGATAGCTTTAGAAAAGATTAAAAATAATAGAGGTATGCAAGAACAGATAAAAGAAAACGAACTCCAACTGAGCTGGGAGTTGAACTAGAAGAAGTTCTTTGCCAAGTCTGCTGTGACAATGCGTCACGATATTTTTCATAAAACTAAAAAATAAGAGAAATATAAATATACTTTTTTTTCGCTCTATTGGTTTGGTTTAAGAGTCCTCACCATTATTGGTTAAACTCGCACCACTGGCTTGTCGCATTGAGCAATATGCCAGGGAGTCCCTTGGCGACAGAAGTACGGGTGAGCCGCCAGCATCACTCGGATTTTTTTAAGGTTTACTCCTGTGGGGACTAAAAGGTTTTTTTCGCTCTATTATGCGAAAAAAACAAATTTTTTCCCCAAATTTGCAATCAAAGATAAAAACAAAGAACTAAAAAAAAAATAAACCTCATCTTCGCCTCCATTTCGAAATACCAAACGAAAATAATTAAATGGTGAGTTGGAAACTGGACCAGCATTACTATTTCTTGGTTTTGGAATAACATGAATTATTATTTTACCGCCACGACGAAACATAGATTTATGATGCTTTTCCACATTTGTTACCAAAGAATGATGAAGAATTAATCGACAATCCTTTAACACGCATTTAATTATGTTTATTTAACATTTTTTATCCATAATTTTTTTTTTTATAGTTCATGTTATAATTTCTAATTTACTTTTAATAATTTTTATCTAATAATTTCTCTAATTTAATCATTTGTAAGAAAGGAAATATTTGCATAGCAAACAACCGGATCATTCGAATCGGCCCAAATAATTCGATGAAGAGTTAACGAAACTGTGCCTTGTTCAAAGTTGCTCTTAAAAAAATTTTCATGATCCTTTATTTGAAAATAATGAAAAATAATTTTAAAAATAAATAGAACAATTAAATGAAGTAGTCAAAATAAACATAATATGAAAAACGTTATAAACGCATTTAAGTGCCACAGTTCTCATTCTACATATATATATATATATATATATTTATATTTCTCTCGGAATCTTCTCAAGCTCCATCATCTTTCTTAGAACTTTGTATTTCCTAAACATCCATTTAAATTTTCCCTCAACAAAAAAAGAGGAACATAAATTATGAGATAGTGGCAGTCATTTTCGCATCTCCTTATCCCTGAAAAATATGTTATGTCCAATAAATATATTCGCAAATTCCATTATCCTCAATCCTTCACATCTGAAAAGTCTTAAAATAAAACCTTGTCCTGCTCCACTAATATCTGAGAAAAAAACTCATTACATTTCAAAATCTTCCAACACTTCACTCAATTTATATTATTTGCCCTTTATATCTCCTTGATGACTCCGCTGTTCCTCATTAATATACCTGAACGCTTGTTATATTCGGGTTTTATGGAACTTTAAGATGGCATAACGGAGTTTTGCAGGATCCCAAAGGAAGTAAAAGGGAATGGGATAGAATGAAGGTCATGGTTGAATGGACCGACATCTTTGTAAAATGCAAATCATCGACTGCGAAAAAATTAATTCCCAGTTTTGATTTTTTTATTTCATTTTATTTCATTTGATTTTGTTTTATATTGCAAGTTACATTTTTATTAACTTCTTTTTTTTGTGTTTTTTAATATCAGCTTAGCTCAGTAATTTTTCAAGCAAATAAACAAGTAAAATCGCATCTCCATTTCTTAGCTCATAGTCCGTTAAATACTTCTGTTAAACAACCCAATGAACTTCGTTCTCTTCTTAAAAAGGAAAAACGAAAAGGTTCCATTTACTATACCCATTAAAAATCTATAAATTATAGTCGAGTGGTATGACGGATTTTTTACAAAAATAAGAGTAAATTTGTCGTTAAAATATCTAGGTGATGTTGGCAAACGACCTGTATTTCTATTGGAAAATAAATCCTTCGCGAAAATTTCTAATTATGTGAGATAGTTTGACCAGACTGCTAACTGCTAGCTTATTTTAAAGCTCTAACCAATTTCCTTCCCTTCACTTTAAAACGATACATTCTAAAACCTCATAAAATTCCTAAAACTCAATTATATTCTCCAAATATCGCTGAACATCTCAACCAATTTATATTATACCTCATTAACATCAGTTTATCCTTTGATATATCCCTTCTTAATTTTGCCATACTTCTTTTTTACATATATCCTCATTATTACGATTATCTAACTCGCGGAACTGAATATTCTATCTTTCCATAAGATATCGGTCTTCATAAATAAAAAAAAAATCTAACCTGTTTTAAATCACCATCAAATATACCAACATGTCCACTTTGTACAATAATGTCTTCCATGCTTTCACCTGGTTGGTACCATGTCAACCGATTCATTGTCCGCTCACCTGCTTATTTCTAAGGAAATCAATATCAAATGGCAAAAAGTACTGACTAACAACGAAATGAAAAAATAATAATAAAGATGGATATAAAAAAAACTTTCGCAAAGAAAAATGCACCAACTAAAAAAAAATTGAGAAATACAGAAAATCAACTTTTCCAATTTTTTCCCATTCAGTGAACAAATCGGCTATAAAAATTAAAAGGTAAAAAGAAGAGCGGCGAAGAGCGAAGTTTTACCGCATTAGGCAAGCACGCCTTTCAGCTCTTCAGCATTCCTCCACGACTTTTCCACGATGCACGTTCTCACTTTCTTTGTCTTTGAGACCAAAAAAAGTTCACATTTTGCTAGGGGCATATATAATGAGAATTATGATTTAAAAAATATTATAAGAAATGTGTTTGTTCTTCGAAAATCGAAAAAAAGCCGACATTAGAAATGTCAGAAGTAAATGTAGAATGTATTAAAACTTCGCCAATAAAAACGAGGCTATAAACGGTTAGCGACTGGCATTTGAGCCCTACAAAAGACATTTGCAACCCACAACAACCTGACCTTTAACCCCACAAAGAAGCGCTAACATATTCAACAAAACGAATAAAACAAAGGTAAAAAAATTCTGGCAAAAATCAAACTCGGCCAAAGCTGAAAAGTAGTTATAATGCTGCGGATTTTGACTGCTAGCCAATAGCTTGTTTGATGGTAGTGTTCTGCATGGCGGTATTTTTAAGTGGTTTATGTTATATCCTAGTGGTGTTTGGTGGTAAATTACTTTCGAAATTGGAATTTGAACCCAAAAGAGCTTAGGTGCAATTTTTTATGAAGATTTTTGTCGACTAATAACGTGCATTTTATTCAAACCTACGTGTTCCATCAGTTCATTTTCTCCTTCTGACTGAAGTAAATTTGTCATTGAAAGCGGAATTTCTGCATAGTTTGCTGTAATTTTAGATTGGAAAAGGCATACACACATATATAGCGAGCGCTGAGTAATGCATATATTTGAAAAACTGAAGTTTTGGGGATTAAATAGTTAAATCCGAGAGTTAATATCAGATTTCATACCATAGAGTAGAGCGATCATTGCCTCTATGGGTTTGATTAAATTTGCCTAATGGTAATTGCTTATTAATTATAAGAATTCGAGCCATCTGATATCTCTTGATTCATTTATTTTAACCATATCCATGAGCGCAATTGTCATGAAAACAGTTGTCCGCTTCGAACTAAGAGATATGTTTATTCAAACCTAAGTACTATTAAATTTTTTAATTTTGTTGGATTTTATTTATTACCCGATTGATTTAGTTTGAAAAAAGAAATATTACCAGATTATTGGAGCAAAGCAATTCTGCTCGCAATTCTCAAGGAAGATAATAGGACATACTGCGTCAATTAGCGAGTCTGCTAGATGTCTCAGCGAAAATTTTTACTCCTTTTTTATTCAGCAGACTTATGGAAATATGGTACAGCAGGATGCGTCTTAATCAAGCTGGATTTGGATCGAGGTGCTGACTAAATATCAATTAAGGAGGATGTTCGAACATCGCTTCAGATATAAGCAGCCCACTTCCACGTCTTTGCGGCTGCCTTTGATTCAATTGATAGAGCGGCGCTTTGGAGGGTGATGAAATGCAATGGTGTTCCAGAGAAGATCATTCGACTCATAAAGGCATTTTATGAGCGTAGGCATATTATGCACTAGGTCTCTGTTTATGGGGAGTTGTCCTTCGAAATAAGAAATGGTATCCGTCAGGGTTAGTCCTTCCTCTTACAGTATTCAACTGTGGGATATACTGGATAATGGACACCATTATTGCCACTTGTCGGCACTCAAGAGCTGTCAAAATTAATACAGAGTATTGCATCACAGATCCTGAATACGCTGACGAGTAGTCTTTTTTGCTGACAGCTATGATGAAGTGCAAATAATGCTAAATAAAGTGAAAATCGGACTCATGGTCAACGTAAATAAAAGTCTTTTCGTGCTAGAAGCTGATAAAATTCAGTGCCTCCTTTTATTAATTCATTGCTGGTTGAGGAATTTTATATGCCCAATTTTAGATCAATTCTAAAACCAAATGGCCATGCAAAAGATATTTTACAATCCGCAATACAGCAACATAAATATGTTTTTCTGGTTGATGATCTTTATGAAATCATCGCCATAAAAATGAAATCCTCATCTATATAGCCATGATTCATTCGATCTTATTAAATGACTCTGAGGTATGGCCAATGAGAGTGGATATTAAGAAATTATATGCCTTTGAACACTTTTGTTGTTCAAGGTACATTTTACAGGTCCGTCGAACTGATAAAATACCACATGATCGCTTCCATCTTCGCTCATATAGTACCTGTATTAATAATATTATCACAAAGAGTCGCCTTTGTTGGTTAGAGCATGTTCTCTATCGTCCAGAAGTTGGAGTACATTTCGTTCCTTGCTAAGCCGTATGATGGGTGGCTTCCAAAGAGAGGTGGGCCAATCAAGACCTGGACTGATACGATCAAAAAAGATTTTGAACATATAGGTGGACCAGCAATATATGAACTTCGATGATGGAAAAAGAAGTGGCTTCTATTAATGTCGACGATGGCATCAGACCGCCCAGCTTGGAAGCTTCTTACCTTTATAGCCACTGGAGCCAGCCTAACCATTAATGGTGAGAGCTTGTAGAAGAAGAAGATTTAACTTGAGTAATTAAATTTTCATTATTAAATAATATTAGTGATATTAGCCACTTGGTTTATATAATAGCCAACTGCGATCGATGGCCGTTCATTATTTGTCTTCTTTTAAAGAGCTTTATTTCCATATTGAAGAATCATTACGTCCCCAAAGATTTAAGAACCATTATTACACAAACTCACACTTCTTTCGTAATTTTTACAGGTTATGTCAATTCAAAAAGAAGACGTTTACGAAACGGAAGATTTTCCCGAAGATGATGAAAATTTGAGGAAAGATGAGTTGCAAGAATCTAAAGGTAATGTTTTTTTTCATAAATCCATCAAATATGAAAATTTCCATTGCATTCATTGTTAATATTAGTTCTAAATTAATTGCAAAAAAAGTATTGGTCATAAATATAAGAGAAAGATGAAAAAATGTTAGTAGTCCACTAAATAAATTACAATATAGGAAGCCTAAATTTATCCCATAGCAGAAGAATAAAGTTAGGAGAGTTAAAAATGAAATCTGCAGTTCAGGAAACCTTTAATTATTATGTGCGGATTACTGAAGAACTATGAAGAATTTGTGCTTTTCTCGTCGGTTTTCGCAATATATTTTTGATAAATTTTGATTTTTGATTTTTTATCTATCGATATTTATTCATAAATTAACTTTTTTTGCCTTAAATTTATAAATTTTTAAATGAATTTCCATTGGGAATTTCATCGTCAATTGGTTTTTAGATGTTGAACGTATTCATCTCGATGTAGATTCAGCTTTAAAACGTTTTAAAGGTCGAATATTAAGTGCCGATAAAGTTGGTAAGTGTAACTTTTGAAATATTAATTAGCTATATAAATTGTTTGTTGTTCGATTGCCTTAAGTTTTTTTCTCCTAATGGCCTTTTCAGTTTTATTCCATAATTTTATCTTTGTTAATTTGTTTAATATTTATATTCATATATATATATATATATATATTTATTGTTATAAGATTAATTTTGGTGTTTCATATTCGTAAATTTTAAATGAAATTTTCAGAAAATTTGATTTCATTGTTTTTAAGACAATTTTAGATTTAGCACCTAAGTAAGGACTGGTTTTATTCTTTGTAAACCTTCCACTTGAGCACATTAAGTAATAATTTTGGTAACATTTTAGTTTATGTTTATTTATTACCTCAAAGTTCGCAATCCATTAAGGCGAAATCGGTTCTAAAAATGGCTTAAAATTTAATATTTTCTTCTTGCGAATAAATTATTTTAATATTGCGTTTATTTTTCTGATGGACTTTTCTGTTTTTTATCGTAGCAGTATTTTAAAGATTTCTCTGATTCTATTAAACGAAAACGCTATCCGGGTTATGGCTGTGGAGCATATGTGTTTGAAGTACTTGGATCTGAGAGTGAAGAGGTTGAAACCAACGAACAAAAATTTGAGCGCATCAGATGTGAGCTAAGTGAACTCTACGATTCTTTACAAAATCAGGTTTTATTTGTTAGCTTTGCGTTTGTTAACGAAAGAATTATGTCTTTCGTTGGAAGTTATAAAGTTAAACTTAAAATTATTATGTTCTTGTTGATAAGTTTACATAAGTTTTGTTCATAGGTTGAAATTTTTCCCATCCATGGCGGGTGTGATCCATTAAACTTTTTCTAAAAAAAATCAAACTATCTTAATTTTGACGATTTAAATTATCATCTGAACAAAACTATTAAAGGAGAACGAGGATGAAAAAGTTGTATCTTCAGTAAATAGTGAAGAAGTTATGGCTATGTTGGAAACATTGAAAGCCATCCAGATCAAAAAGCCTATTACTGATAAAAGCATCGAAGAAACCAAGTTAGTCTTTTTGATAATACTTTATTCGTTCCTGTTAGTGAGATGTTATACTATCTAAAAAAAAAATACTATCTATACTATCTAGAAAAATTTTTTTTTGTCTTTTAATCACTTTCACTTTCATATAGCAATTGTGGCAAGTTTATCATCACGCAGCATTGCGATTGCTTCATTTTTCCCAGATTTCACTTATTAAAATTTAGTTGATTCATTATTGTTTATTTGATCATAAATGTTCTCATGCTAAATTTTTTAGAACTTCATTAGCAAATATTATACATGGGTCAAATTTGGATGCTGAATATGCATTTATGGATGCTCGTTTGAAAAGGATCGAGGATTTCATTGGTGCATCGGGTGTAACTGATGAGATGTCGAAGAATATCAATCGTATGCCAATTTACGAAATAGTTGACGATCTTCATATGCGAATTCAATTGCTCAATCCTACACATGTTGACGCCCTTTATTCGCGGATCAATCAAGTATTGATTAAATTGCAAAAGGTGATTTTATTATTATTTTTTTGTCATGAATTTATATTTAAGTTATTGATTTATATTTCTGATATCCATTTCATAACTTCTTTTTAGGTCGAAGAAAAAAAACAAGAAAGAGGTGATACAGAATTTGAAGAAAAAGTTGATAAATTGTACGAAATGATGATGAAGTGGGACACTGTATGTGTCACTCTTCCATCTGCTGTTCGAAGAATGAATAATTTGCAGAAATTGCATGAGCAAGGTATTTGATTTTTTGGTTGTAAAGCTTCGATCAATTTAATAATTAGAAAAAATTGGAATTGGTGGTTTGCATCCTACTATATATATTCTATAGCAATTCCCCCACTAATTTATGAAAGTTTTAATATTAATTAAATTTATTTTTTTTCACTTTGCTGCAGCTGAATTTATATATAGTTTAGCATAATTTTGAATAACAGAGACACCTATAAGATTTGAAATGTGTATACCAATTTAGCTCAACAGTTTAATGCAAAGCTATCGCAGCTAGTTGGAACTCGCGTTCACTTAGCTAAGATAATAGAAGGAGAACAAATGGCAATGTTCGATTTTCGGCATCAAACATATGATGCATTAAAGAAATTGGGTAATGACATTGAAAAGCTCGAAGAGCGGCTTCAGGCTATTTCGAAATAATTTTCATTTATTTTTTTATTTTATATTTTTTTATTTCTCTTTCATTTTTGTTAAAGTGCTTGAAAGAAAGAAAAGATTATCTAGTCATGTCTAGCTGGATATTACAACAATAATTGGTACTTCTGGATTAATGTGAATGTGAATTTCTGGTAAAAAATCTTATTTTTATATGGTCTTTCTTTTTATCTTCTTCTATCTCGTTTTTTTCATAATTGCCTATTTCCTTGCAAATAACTTACTTTATCAGTAAAAATATAAATTTTCCATTCTACTGTCTTACTATTTTATTATAAATAATTTCCATAATTTCCTTTAATCATTTCGCATCTTTGATTTTGTACTTTTATATTTTCTTGTCGCAATGGCTACTACGTGTCGAATATATTTAAGAAAGTAATTATTGATTACAACTAAAATGTTGACAATTTACATATAGTTGCTTACTTTTTTAAAATTTAAAATTTACTTAGATTTATTCATTTTCCCTAAAAATTGCTCTAAAAAAAATTGTAATTTGGGATAATTTTCTTCTCATTTATTTTTTTTGGCTTATTTTGTTTTTATTATATATTTTGCGTCAGTTATATCCGTTGGAACCTTTGCGAAATTTGGAGAAATTTAGTTCGCAATATTACAAATTATTTAAATAAATAAATTGGCAAAATTTAAAGTAAAGTTAAATTTGTGCTAATTAGTATAATTTCGGTGGTGCTGAAAATTTTAATTTTTCTTCTTTGTTTGCTTTTTTTTTATTGAATTCTCTATTTATTAAGTAATTAATGTGTAAATTCATAAAATAAAAAGTGGTGATAAGATATGAGTTTTTTTAAATGGATACAATGAAAACAAAAACAATCATTTAACGATCGGGAAAATAATCTGACTATGATATTATCATGAAAACTTCTCTTGGTTGTCCAAAGTTTGTAATAAAGGTGTAAAACTTCTGACATTTGAAAATATAACAAAAAGTGGGTTTTTGTGTGGTTGGGTGGTATTTAGCTGTAGTTATTTTTTAATGTCTTGAAACGATTGTTTTAGTATCGTAACTTCTTTTTAAAAATTGTATTGGGTAAAATCCTTAATTTTATCTGCTTTGGTTCCTACCATTACCTACTAAATAAAGTTCCTTTAACAGGAGGGTTGTATCATAGGGAGAGTTCTGGGTGGGCATCGGATTTTGCTTTAATTTAAAGTCTAGGAGCAAATCTCTTTGGAGTCAATTTACTGCGTATTTAAAGGAGCAAAGAGTGAAAGACTGTGAAAAGAAGACCTTTAAACGAGGCAAGTACCTCTGTGCAGCTCCCTCCACGACTTTATTTTACCCATCGCACGTCGTCGTCGTGGCCTGTGCTACAGGTTCTGACCATCAAGTGGACATCGTCGTCGTCAGGCCAAGTACCAATCAGATATATACTAAGCCTTTTTTCAATAATTCCATTGTTTATTTGTTTTTTGTGTGTTCATTCACAGAAGTGGATGGATATATTCAATTGCTTTTTAAAATTTTGTGAAGATAGTTACAACATGTTTCCATTATTTCCATAAGCTTAAGATGTGGGAGTAGCAAACGGTTAGGCCTGCTTATGGAAAACGTCAAATTTTATTTAATTAATTAAGTCTGAGGTAACGAACTGCACCGACATTACAGTTTATCTCCCTCGTTTGTTAGAATTTCTGTTCCTCGATTGTATTTTTTGGTTGTGAGTAAGAATGAATGAAATAATTTAAAATCAGCTAGCGAAAGTCTCATATAGTATTCAAGCTGAAATTGGAAATTTAAATGATCAAGTACGAAAGTACGAATCTATCAAGCAGAACAGTTATTTCTTACATTTTTGATTAATTTAATTATCTGTCCAAGCATTTTTCAGATAATTGTTGCAACAAGTATAATGCAGTCACTATCAGCACTTCGTCTACTTTCCAGGTCATTATATTCCATCAGGCCACTGGTACGAAATACAATCGTATTGCAGAAAACTAGAATTGGAGAATTGAGAATGTTTTCATCAACAAATCGATGTAAATTTTATTCATTACGTCTTCTAATAGCTCTCTCCAACGCCTACAAGGGTAAGACGCTTCCAAGCAGCGCGGTCTGATATCGACAGTGAAACCATCCTTTTTTCCATCGTCTAAGTCCTCATATACGTTCAAAATCTTTTCTAACCGTACCAGTCCATGTCCCACTTGGCTTTGAACGCCACTCAGCACACGGTTTACCAAGTAACGAAATATGCGGCAACTATTGTGATGGACGACAGAAAACGTGTCCTAGCCAGCGAAGGCGACGCTCTGTGATGGCATTATTAATACAGGTGGTATTTGAACGAAGGTGGATGCGATCATTTGATATTTTATAAGATTGAACGAGATGTAGTTATATGGACTCGGATTTTCGTCTTTATGGTGATTTTGCAACGATTTTATAAAGGTTTCATCAACCGGAAAAACATGTTTCTAGCTGTCGTTATCCGGATTACAATTTCATCCTTTGAGTAGGGAATTTCGTATTAGAGTGGATCTAAGATATTTAAAATTCGGTACTTCCTCAACCGGCAGTGCATTTATAAAAAGAGGCACTTTATTAGCTTCTTCCACATAAGGGAAAAAGGCTTTATATACATTGACCCTGAGTCCTATTCTCGCTGCAATTGCTCACGCGTCATTTAGCATTATTTTGGTTTCATCATAATTGTCAGCAAAAAGGACTACATTATCTGCGTATTCAAGATCTGTGATACGGTGCTCTGATTTGATGTCGATAAGCTGTATCCATTATCCAGTCTATCGCATAGTTGAATAGTGTGGGGGAAAGGACGCAGCTCTCACGGACATCAGTTTTTATTTCAAAGAAGTTTCCATATATACAGATCTGTACCAGGGTATACCGATAAAATGCCTTTATGAGTCCGATAATCATTCCTCGTATACCGTAACATTCCATCATCCCCTAAAGAGTCTTTCTATCGAAGGCAGTAAAGCAAACTAGAATCGATGAAATAAGTGACGGTGTATTACTGAATTTGAAGCGATGTTCCAGCATTTTTCTTTTTTTAGCGTGAATATCTAGTCGGCACAATCCGTTTTCCCGTCTTAATCCAGCTAAAGTAAGCAAAAATTTTTTTGGAGATGTCCAGTATGCTGGTTCCTTGGCAATTGTCGCAGTATGTCCTGTCGACAAGCTATATCCATTATCCAGTCTATCGCATAATTGAATAGTATAGGGGAAAGGACGCAGCTCTCACGGACATCTCATGGAGTCTTTGTTTTGAAGAAGTCTCCATATATACAGACCTGTGCCAGGGTATATCTTTTTAAAGAATTGGTGGCAGAATTGCTTTGCTCCAATCTTCTGGTATTATTTCCTTTTGCCATACCAGAGAATTTGTTGAAGGTGGGTTATGAACGATGATGGACAACATTTAAAGAGTTCGGCTGGAAAATCATTTTCTCTGGGAATTTTATTGGTCTTAAACTTACGAATTACAGAGATTATTTCCTCTTCTGTTGGCTAATCACAGTTGCAAACATAAGGCTCAGGCGAATCAGTTATATTCGGGACAAAAAAGATTCATTACTAAGATAAGTTAAATATGAGTAGATATATTACTTTGACAAATTTTGTTGATTTTTATCTCTTCTTGATAGGAATAGAAAAGTAGGATTCGGATCCACTGCTGGAGATCCACCTAAATTTCTTTCTTTGCTTTTTCACTTTGGCATACTAAACTAGGAACTATGAATGCCGATGAAAGAAGGATGGTTGAATTATTATTTAATCTGCTTTCGATTTGGCGGAAAATTTGGTAGAAATGAATATAATTTTTTTCTTTTTTTTCGATATCAAATATAAATATAAAAGGTATAAAAAGTACGTTTAAAAAAACCACAAAAACCGAAAAATTTTTTCCTTTTCAAACTTGAATACGAGGAAAGAAATTTTTTTCATTTGAAAGTTTTTTTCAGTGGAACTTGATGAAAATTAATTTTAAAAATTAATTTGATTTTAATATTTTTAAACAGGAAATTCATCCTTTCTTTAGCGGCTGATATTTATATAATTTTTTTATTTTGCCACAGAATCTTGAATTTTTTAAGTATTTTAAGTATTATCGGCTGTAAAAACAGAATTGGTAGATGCTCTGAAGGATGAGATAAACGCAGAGAAGCAACTGGAAACAGAAAATTTCGGTAAAGATTATGTTCCAACTATACCTGGCTTTGAAATCACCACAAATGATGCCGAAGTTCGATTGAAAAAAACTCATGGCAATGAAAAGTAGTATTTGTATTTTACCAATAGTTTCTTATTAAAAATAGTTTTATTCAAGATCCAGTCGTCATTGTGCTGCATCTTTGGCTTAAATATTCTTTCACTACAATTTTTTTTATTACCTGTTAACATTTTTATATCATATTAAATTTAGAAATAATTTTGATTAAACTGATGCAAAAATCTGAATTTTTTTAGGTTATTTGACTCGACTTTTAATTCATTTATTATGTTTTTCAGGATTCTTGTCATATTTAATGTTAATCATTCTGTGGATATTAATGATGAATTCCATGAAACAGAAAATCCACAGGTAACTTTTGATTTTATATGATGTTTTTCGTATAATTTCGCATAATCTATTCAGTTTATTCAGGAGGAGGAGGTTGTTCCAGTTGCTTTGCCACCGTTAACAATAGAAATCACCAAGGGCGATGAACGTTTATGCTTCCACTTGGAGCTTGTGGAACCTGGTGTTGATAATGGTGAATGTTAGTATTACGTAAATTATTAAATCATTTTCCTATCAAAATTTTTCTGTTCTTTTGTGAAATTTTTTTTTAACTGCCACTTTTTCTTTCATTCATCTATCTATCAATTTAGTTGATTTTCGTGTCGAAGAATTTTATATCGCACCGGTATCATCAGATGAAGAAGTACCTGCTTCTGTTTACGCATCGTCTGGAAGATATATCGACCCCGTAATTTTATTTTCTATTTTTATTTTATTTTTTATTTTATTGTTTATTTTTATATTTTATATTTAATTTTCTTTACTTGTTAATGAATAGAGTAATTTCTCTTATTTCTAGATTACATTAATTTACTAAGTTTCTATAGTCGATTAAAATTATATATGGTTTTCAGCATCTTCATGATTTGCTTTTTGTACGATTCTTGGAAGAGCGTGGTTTCAATACTCAATTTTGTCAGCAACTCGTGAAGTTTGCGACGCATTATGAACATTCTCGATATGTATCTCTTTTGGACAAAATCAAAAATTTCGTGGGCAAGTGATAATTTTTTAGAAAAAATTTCCGCTTTTTAAATGTGAATAAAAAAATCTACTATCATTGTTAAAAAGGATCATTTACTTCCAAAACTTGCTTATTTTATTAAAATTACAACATTCTTATTTTGAATAGTCGCTTTTGGTTTCGTATATTTGTTTTTTGTTGATTTTATTGGTAATTTTTGGAGAAGTTATAAAAGTTATTATTATGAATTTTACATGGAAATTCTGGATTTCAATTTCATTTTCAAATTTTCGAGTTTATCCATATTTTATTTTTCTGAATTTCCCCACATTCTTCTTACAATTATTGGGCAATGAGCTGCATTGTAATTTCACCTATCGGCGGTCCTTGTTTGAAGTTCTCCTCTGCATCTTTTAAATTTGGTACTGCTTTTTTATACTGAACAACAAGTTTGTCAATTCGAGGTTGACCGCCGATCCGTGAAATTATAAGTGGGAATGCCATTTCAGGCTCCAAAAAACCATATACTTGATTCATACGATAATCTTTATTATTTGAGGATTTTATTTTGAACGCGAGTCGAATACCAGTGTGATTAATTAACTTATGTACTGACGTTCCACCGGTCGTTTGAAAATTTGCGACCGGTGGATCGATAAATAGGGAATATATAACCGTTTGTGGCATATTTGTCGATGGGATTTGTGGTGATCCAGCTCCTTCAAGAGGTGACACTATTCGTAGTTCATCTTGAGGTGGAGTTGAATAAATATACTTGCTCATTATTTTTCAATACGTTCAAACGTAAATCCTAAAAATTTCTAGTGAGTTATGAGAAACAGTTTGAAAATCAATTTATTTTAAACGATATTTTTGATAAATTTCTAATTTTATAATATTCTAATTTTAATTTTCATTTTTTCGTTAAAATTTGCTTTTCAGGAATCTCGTAAATTCGTCAAAATGCAAAATTATTTTTAACGAAAAGATTTATGAAAATGAATAAATAAGAAAAAAAAATCAAACCAACCGATTCTAAATGAATTCAGCCAATAAATCCAATTTGAAATAAAGTTACTTAATATCGAAAATATCGTATGCAAATTTTCGCACAAACTATTTAGAAAATAGTTTGAGTATCTCTGAGTATCTTTTAAGTGGTTTTGTTGAAAAATTAAATGACTGCAATTTATTATTTTTCATTGCGAATGTTACTATATAGTAGTTTATCCTAGTGCATTTTATCCTAATTTGTTCTGATAAAATTTTCTTTTTGAAAATGTTTCTGGCAAATTCACAGTGGAATTGATTTGCGTTATGGTTTTCTACCTTTTTTAGTACCATTTAGGGTCTCTTTGGCTATAAGACAGAACCCTTAATAAATATTCGTTTTTAATTTCTAGAAATAAAATAGGAGTTCAGTGCAAAAGTAATTTGACATTTGCAATCTTCATTAATAACCTTCATATTCCCTTATTCTGTCCCTTATTCTTTTTCTTTTAGCAGTTGTCACCATTACTAATTAGGCTGGCTTCGTTGGCTACAAGAGTATGATCCAAAGGTGCTCGGCATAACGCCATCGTATTAATAAAAGCCATTCCTTTTTTCATCGTCGAATCCATATATCGCTGGTCCTCCTATAAGTTCCCAACATTTCGGTAATCAATGTCTATGCTCGGCAGATGACCGTGATAAAGATAAGTTTTATGCGGAACTTCAACTACTAACAAAGTCTATACCAAAACATAACGTGGTCATAATCGAAGGAGGCTGGAATGCGCGTGTAGGTCATAATACAGCTGAGATGGCCTCTACAATTGGCAAATATGGCATCGGAAACCGGTGTGCCAATGGGGAGCGTCTTCTTTATGCCGAAGAGCATGAATTTTTTATTACTAATACTTGCTTCCGGCATCGTAGGAAACATCTAGTCACGTGGATGCCCTCGGGTAACCAACATTTCGACCAGATTGATTATAGTCAATCGTCAGTTGGAAAAGTACTAGTTAGTCGTTCCTACTGCTGCGCTGAAACGGGTAATCTTCATGTTATGGTTAGAGCCAAGATCCGCTAAAATTGACAACTCGCAGAAAACAGCATCCTCCAAGTTCCTTCAACTATTTCAAACTAAAAAATTCGGGGACAGTGAGTGCATTTCAAATCGAATTATTGAAGCATCTCAATGATACAAATATCAATGATTTCTCTAGAACGGCAAATGAATACTGGTGCAAACTAAAGGAATGTCTCCGAAAATCAGCCACTTCCACGCTACTAGTAGGGCATACTAGTAAGAAGTGCGCTTGTTGGGTATTAGAAGCAACTATCCAATTGTCTGAAAAAGCTGCCAAAACACGAATGTCAAGTAATCCTGACTACCGGATACTTCGAAGATTTGCAACAAAAGTAGCGCTGTGGGACAGAAATCACTATTGATGTGACATGGCCACAAGAATGGAGGCGGCGGCTCGATTAGGCGACAAGAGAAAACTATTTTGCCTTCTTCATAAAGCAATATGACTTGGGGAACGATCAGTGAACTGGTAAGAGACAACAATGGTGCGCCAGCCAAGAATATTAAGGACTACCTCATAAAATGGAAAAAATTCTTTGAGACCAAACTTAACCATGAAACGCCATCTGTTGCCCTTGATATAACTGATATGTTCGCACCATATGCCTGCAACTGGGAGTCCCCGACAGAAGAAAAAATAATATCTGTTATCCATAAGCTTAAGGCTAATAAAACTCCAGGAGAAGATGGTTTTTTGGGCTGAGCTTTTCAAATGTTGTCCATCGTCTTTCATAACATACCTTCAATAAATTTACTCTCTGGTATGGGAAAAAGAAATATTACCAGATGATTGGAGCAAAGGAATTCTGCTTCCAATTCTTCCAATTCTAAAGAAAAAAAAGAAAAAGTGATAGGACATGCTGCGATAATTATCGAGGAATTAGCCTACTAGACGTCTCAGCGGAAATTTTTGCTTCTCTTTTACGCAATAGACTTATGGAGGTACGAGATAGCAGGATACGCCATAATCAAGTTGGATTCAGATCGGGACACGGTTTGACCAGATATCCACGTTAAGAAGGGCGTTGAAAGGCGATGTTCCAGAGATCGTTCGACTCATAAAGGCATTTTATGAGCGCACGACGGCGCTGGTCTGTGTATATGGGGAACTGACAGATTTTTTCGAAATAAGAACTCGTAATAAGAAATAAGAAATAAGAAATCCGTCAAGGTTGCGTCCTTTCCCCTACAATATTCAACTATGCGATAGACTGGGTAATGGACACCGCTTGTCGGCACTCAACGGATGTCCAAATCAGTCCAGAACATTGTATCACAGATCTTGCGCTGATGATGTAGTCCTTTTTCTGACTGTTATGAAGAAATGCAAGCAATGTTAAATAACGTGTCAGAAATTGCAGGAAGACTCAAGGTCTATGTACATAAAAGGAAAGGCTTTTCGTCTTATGTGCAAGAAACTAATAAAATGCCTCTTTTTGTAAATTCATTGCCGGTCGAGAAAGTGTTCGATTTTAAATACCTTGAATCCACTCTAATACCAAATGGCCAGGCAAAAGACGATATTATAACCCAGATCACGGCAGTTAGAAATGCATTCTTCCGGTTGACGAAATCTTTATGAAGCTATCGTGAAATTACCATTAAAGCGAAAGTCGGTATCTATATAGCCGTGATTCGTTCGATCTTGCTGTATGGCTATCTGGCTCTGAGACATGGCCAATGAGAGTGGAGGATATTAAGAACTATGTACTCTTGATCACTCTTGTCTAAGGTACTTTTTTGGCGGGTCCGTCGAGCGGATAAAATATCACATGATCGCATCCACCTTCGCTCAAATACCACCTGTATTAATAATATTATCACAAAGCGTCACCTTCGCTGGTTAGGGCACGTTCACCACAAGAGGGTGATGGATGGCGTCAAAAGTGAGATGGGTTAATCAAGACCTGGACTGATACGGTCAGGAAAGATTTTCAACATATAGGTATAGTAGCAATATATGGACTTAGACGATGGAAAAAGGAATAGCTTCTACTACTGTTGGCATCAGACCGCGCCGCTTGAAAGCATCTTACCTTTGTAGTCAGCCTAACCAGTAATAGTGAGAGCTGTTAGAAGAAGAAGACGTAAAGTTTCCTTATTAATGTGGTTTATCGTAAATGTTTGAAGGGATTGCTAAATTTGCGTTAGAGATTAATGAAAGTGAAAATATCAATTTTTTTTTCTACTCAAATTCCTGAAACCTATCTATCCATGGAGCGAGAAAGTTTCATAGGTACCACAGAATCACATCGATTTTAAAAACTTCTAATTTATATCGAAAAATAATGGAACCGATGGAACAATAGCAAAATAACAATGAACAACATCGCATATCAGTTCTTCCCGAAAATTAGAATTCTTCGTAATCTCATTTCGGCGATCGATGAAGAAAAATTGGTGGATGCAGCCGAATGGACATTTTAAAATTTATCGACGAAATGGTAAACGATATGAATATCCTTTAAAAGCCAATAACCATTGGTAAAACACTTATTATTTTGAATTTTTTATCATTTTTGATAATTTTCATTTCTCATTTGTGGTTTAATAAGCAAATGATAATCATATCGGATTGTTGAAAATAGAAGTGAAGATGGATAGCGCGGATTTTTTGATGATAAATTTGATAAATTTTATGAATGGAAAAAAAATCGTAGAAAAGTTGATTAGTAAGATTTATGGTGAAATCGATGTGCTTCACGGATCCTACCAAGTGGCTCTCCGGTGAAAATTTCTAATTGTGCCAGCAAGCGACGGAGCGGGCCAAATGAGAAATGGTGAGCTCGAATAATTTATTTTTTACTTAAATCTCATATCTCATAAATGAGGAGATTCGCCGCACCTCAGATTCACGTTAAATCCTCTTAGACACAAAGTAGAATATTTTTATGCGAGCAATAAGGCTCGTAAAATTATAATCTAAACGTTAAAGAAGATTAAAGGAGAATGTTTTGCAAGTAAAAGTGCATGAAGGCATGAAGAATTTTTTTGTTCTCAATTTTTTGAATAATCGTAAATTTTACAATTCTCTACAATCTTTTTCTTCTTCCTACAATAGTCTACCATTCCTGGTTTGACTGATTCCATTGGCCAGATGTTCGCACCAGAGGATCACTTAGTTGGTTCCTTAGCGCGACCTCGATTTGGCTTCTGATGGCACTTTTAGTCTCACCTTTGTAAGATAAAGGAATTTATATTATAATGACTTGGCCTTATTGTTCATAGCAGTAAATTCAACTTAAAATGAGATAATATTGCCAATAAAAAATAAAAATAATACAATCCCTAAATTTTTTCTTAAAAAAATTTTTTAGATAAATTTCATCGTGGCGTTATCGAAAAAAGGGGTCAAGTTAAGAGTATAAATAGATAATAAATTAGTGAAAGGAGATGACCAACAAACGACAGCGAATTCATTCGTGGATGGATGGATGGATGGATCTTTTCAATTTTCAAATTACACACGAAAAATGAAAAATTTCCTATTTTTAAAAATCAGGAATATTACTTAGGTCGGCCAACCTTTAATCATCACAGATTCGATTCATATCCTTTGACCGCAAAATTAGCGCCAAGCTAAGGACCTATCTAAATTTTTTCTATTCGCAAGGCTCCCTTAAGTTTCATTCTTTAGTGGAGGCAGCCAAATCAGAAACTGTGAATATTATTTGAAGAAAGAGAAACAATACCAAATTTTATCAAAAATACTCATACTTGGCTCGAGTAACATGTTTTGTTAATTTAAAAAGCCTCATTTTTTTATTTATCATTGCTAGAAATTCACTCTACAAACTTGTTGACCTTCTTGTTCTCTGTGCTCGGAGAGTTCCTTACGGTGATTCTTCCAAGTTTTGATGTCTATACATGTCATTTCATTAACCAATGCTACAGAAACCAGTGCTACCAGTGCTTCTAATGTGTGGATCTTTACACGGTCAGATGATCTGTGCCGATCGTAACGACGTGACTGTACGATTATTTATTTATTTGCTCGATTTTTCGTGGACGAACTACATGGCATTACAAAAACCAGTTATCCGATAAATGCAGCAACGGCCAAGCGTATTCCTCTCGTCTTTTTACTACAATACGTTCAAAATGTTTAGTTGTAAATGCTAAAATTCTTACCACAAAGGGAGAGGAGGGGGGGGGGGGGGGGGGGGGTGAGAAAAACGAGAAAAAAACGGTGATAAAAATGGCAAACAAAACTTCGAGTAACTATGTCCGCAAATTTTTGTCCCATAATTTAGGCAAAATTTTATCGGTTTTTTCTTTTTTTTCCCATCGTTTTTCATTTGTTTTTCTTTTTTATTTTAGTTCTGAAATATTATTTAATACTATTTTTCTGTTTTTCTAACTACTATTAGAAATTAATGGGCAGAAATGGGCGATATAGTTCAATTCTCAGGTGACTCTATGGTCATTTTATCGTAATAATGCGCATGGAGATAACCTAACCAGCGGTGCATGAATGGATGGTGCATGGTGACAGAAAAAACAAGCTTTTTGCTATTTTTTGATTTCATCATACCGTTACAATTTTATTCGTTATTAAATATTGCTGGAGACGATACGCGGAACTTTTCAAAGTCCTCAACCAGATTGGTTTCTGAATATCGATTTGTCCATTACAGATATGACTGAGATTCTGCATAATAAATTGCCGTGTCTCTCCCTGCCTGGAACGTTTCGACATAATATTTCTGGAAGCACGATAAAATCTATCGGTATTCTCCCTTTCTCCGTTAGCCTGCTGCAAAAACCCCCTCAAGGACTACTGTAGCCTCTCTCTGACCCCGCTATGCCGCCTTGAAACTATTTCAAGCCCCTTTGTTGCATTTTAGCGCTTTTTAAGGCTCCATTTTTCAATAGCCTTGAATTCTCTTGTGCCTTTATAACACCCCTTATTTATTGTAATTCCATAGCCCATTAAACCGCCGCACTTCGTCAGACTAGATTATGACCCTTAAGCAATCCAAATTCCGTTATTTTCAGTTTATTGCTATTGCTTGATTGCAATTCTCTACCATTCAACTCAAATATTGTCTTGGAAGCCTTTAAACCTCTCTATTTTCTCAAACGATTCCGAAAATCTCGGCCATCTTCGCATTCCCTTAAGTCTCCTCGCAAACTCTGCCTAAATTGCTGCCTAAATGCCCAACTAAACCGAACATTTCCTCAAGTTTCGTTGAAGTTTTTATTATTTTCAGTGGTTTCTAGGTTATTTCTCTATTATTATTCACTTTTAATGTTGTGATTTAATAGAAATTGTAATTCAGTTGAATTTTGAGGACGTCAACCTTGATGACCCTTTTTCTTTTTCTCCCTGTCAGCCAAGGGCCGTGAACTTTAAGTAATTTTAAATAACCTTTGCGGAATTATAAACTTTTACCTCATTTAATATTTTCGCGGTTTATTAAATTATTTTTTATTTTTTGCTATTTAAAATATCAGAATTTAGAATTAAAATTAATAAATTGCGCTAATTAATAAAATAAATAGGCACATTCGCAATTAGCTGCGATAACTGAAATTTTCCATTGCATTTGATATTGGATTTTTTTTAGGATTTAAAATTAATCCATAAATCCTTTTTTTTTAAATAAAACCTATTCATAATTATTTTATTTTCCATTGGAAAACTCACTTTACAACTTTTTAAAATTTCTTTTATTTCCCAAATAATCGTTTAATTTTAAAATTAAATTTATGCTTTTTTACATTAATTTTTGACGTTCGAATAATTTTTCTAAATTATTTTTTATAAATTAAAGAATAATTTTTTTTGTTTATCGCTTTTTCATTCGCATTTTTTCTTCATTTCATTTCAAAAAGTAGTAAAAAATTTTATTAAAAAATTAAATTTTGTTAAAAAATTTTAAATCTACGATGCAATTTTAAAAATTTTATTCACATAATTATTAAGCCTTTTGCTTTTATAAAAATTTCCTTCTTCGCACAAAAATCTAATGCTTTCAGTCTGTTTCGGTCACTTTTTCAGTTACCTTTCAGACATTTTAACTCACCAGAAAATCATTCTCCCCGGTCTCCCAACCAGGTTCAGCCACGACCTGCTCCCCCCCCCCCCCGAACCAAACCCCGACCTGCCAAATGAGAATGAACCATCGCGATAATTTGAAATATTGTAGATGCAAGGAAAACGCGTTGCGGGTCAGAGAGAAATGTATGATTAAATTGTTGACCGGCGCGCGTTGTGCCAACCAAATTCACGCCTTTAGCATCGACTCCACCCCATATATTTTCTCTCCTCTTCTTTAGTTTCATTTCTATAGTCCAGTTCCCCGTCCTCGATCGTCTCGAGGTCCTTGGTGACCTTTGACCCTTCGGAGTGCTTTTCGTTTAGAAAGCATTTGGCTGTTTTTCTCGAAGTCATATAAGTCGTTCGTCGTAACGGTTTTATTTTTGCCTTACAAGTTTTTTAAAAAAATCGTTATTTTAAACTTTTTCATAAATATTTTATATTAATCTTTTCTCATCTATTGTTGACATTATTTTTTTTTATTTTGTACATTAAAAAAATCTTTCAGTTGTTTTTTGCATTTTAATAGTCCACTTGAAATGCGGTAAATTTTTGCATTTTTAAAAGAAATTCGTTTCGTTGGCTTTGAGAAATATGTTTTTCGTTTAGGCGCATTTATTTCTGTGTATTATATTTTCGCTAAAAATCTATAAAATTTTAGCGAATTGCTTTTTGTTGTTTTCAATTCGATCGATTATTGATTTGGAATTTATTTTATTTGTATTAATTGCTGAAATTAATTAAAATTATTTTAAAAATTTTTATTTTTCAGTTATAGGAGATAAGAAGAAATTAAAATCCATTTAAAAAAATGGATGTTGACGGCGCAGCTCAGGACGAGTCGGTTAGCGTTGGTCCGGGACAGTCGTCTGTGACGAGCGGTCGAGCTCAGAGTCCGTCTGCTTCCGCCTCAGGTTCCACGGCGTCACCTTCGGATATTCATATGCCTGTCGCCGAAAATTGGTGTCATACTCAGGTTTTTTCCTTTTCTGATATTTATTTACTAAAGTACGAAATTGGTTTATTATTTTATTTTTCGAAATTTCCCGTTCACCTACCTTATTATTTTCCTGTATTTTTCTTCAAACATTCTGCATCATTCTATAGTGCCAATGGTGGTTAAACATTGGTTTGCTCCATAGGAAAGTTAGACGTTAGAAGAAACTACGATGAGAGATTTTTGCCAAGAAACGAATTGAAGGTAGAAGCATTAGCCAGAATCGCTCGAATTTCTTAATGGCAATTTTATTTGCGGAAGCTGAACAGTTGGGTGGATAATTACAGCCACTCGGCTATCTTTTCAGAGGAACTACAGCCTCTCGGCCATCCTTCAAAGGAACTATAGCCTCTCGCCATCCTTTCAGAGCCATTTTTTTTCTATATATCTAAAGAATTCCATCTTGACCGCTGATCAATAGTTGTGGCCCATAGTTTCGCTTTCCTAGTGCCATTGATCAACTTATTTTTTTTGTATTGCTTTACCATAATTTATTTCATTAATATTTATTTATTTTAATATTATTTACTAAATTTCGTTTAAATTTTTGCTATTTATTTATTTTATTTCATTCTTTATCACTTATTTAATTTAAATTGTTTCCATTAAATTTTTTAAATTAAGTTAGTTTATTAATTAATTAAAATGTTAGTAAACGCTTCAAGAAGAAACTAAAGCGAATTCTTTTAGAAATTTAAGAAATATTCACTTTTTCGAACTGCAATTGTATATTTTTTCCTATATTTTTATCTTCTTTCACTCTTTTTTCACCGTTTATTTGTTTTTGTTTTTTATTTCTAAAGTTATTTTAGTTTTTTTAGTTCGCTTTTTTAATAATTAGCAATTTTTTAATATTTATCAGTTTAGTATTTATTGATATCGGTTTTTATTAATTTAAGATTAATTAATTCTGCTTTAATGCTCGCCTTTAATTTAATCTTTTTTTTAGGTGAAAGTAATAAAATTTAATTACATGTGGACGATTAATAATTTTTCATTCTGTCGAGAAGAAATGGGCGAAGTTTTGAAAAGTTCAACATTTAGCGCTGGTTCTAATGATAAATTAAAATGGTGTTTAAGGATAAATCCTAAAGGTTTTTAACTTTTTTTATCAATTAATTCACTAAATTCGCCATATCTCTTTCATTTCGTTATTTTAAATTCTTTGAATTTTTTGAATTTGCGATAAATCTTTGTTTGTTTCCTTTTTTCTTTTATTAAGAGTGAAGTGAAGTGAATTTGAAAATACTTCACTTATCTTCATTCTTTTCCTTCTGGTAGGTCATAGGACATTTAAGCATAGGTCATAATAATTTATATAATTCAAATTGATATAATCGATCTTATAAGTAAAACCTTAATGATCAAAAGTCGAGATGCATAATTAATTGAAGTATCATAGTTCAGAATGCCTAAAATGTAAAATGTCACTGCTTTAATGACCTGCACATTTGGGCAGAGGAATGTTTCATATATGAATGAGCAAATTTATTTCTAAAGGAGCGAGCAAGCATTAAATTTAAAGTTACCTCGATTTTAAGTCTCGATATTAAAATTCCATTTAAGTCAGAGCTAAGATTTTCACCCTTCGATAACCAAGATTTAATTGTTTGCCCGAGAGCGAATGGAGCGGTTAATGTAATATAATGATGGGAGATCAGAGAATTTAGTATTATATAATATATAAATAGAATTTTGCATTTATCAGAAGGTATTTTTCTTGAAGCCATGCAAAGGAATTATTTAAATCATTTGTTCAAATTTTCAAATCTGTTTGTGAAAATGAATTTTATTCATTTACTTTTGCTGTTTTTGGTCAAAGTATTATATGTAATTTTCAGGCCTTGACGAGGAGTCAAAAGATTACTTATCGTTGTACCTTTTATTAGTGCAGTGTGCGAAGAATGAAGTGCGAGCCAAATTTAAATTTTCAATTTTGAATGCCAAACGAGAAGAGACAAAAGCTATGGGTTTGTTTTCTCTAAAAATTGCAGTCTGTAAAAAACAGTCCATCATGTCGCTCAGTGGCGGCAAGGTGACTGCCACTGAGAATCAAGAGCTTGGATTCTAATCCCATTTCTTTGGGTAGCAATATCGTTGAACGGCGAAAGTAAAGGAGAGTACGATGACTCAGTGTAGTGGGGTGTTGCTCATTTCGAATTACCGGTACTAATGACAGGTATAAACATGTCTTTTAAAAAATGCGGATGGTACTGGCCATTCACCTATAATTCTATTACCAAATGGCTCTCTGAAAAAATTTGTCTGGTCCGATAAGCCAGTGTGGCGAATGAAACCAGCGATAGCGAGTACTCTTAGAAAAAAATCACTCTTTAGTTTTGTTTCGTGAAAAAATTGAATGATAAAATTTTTTTATATAATCAAAAATATATAGAGCTTACTTTTGTTAAATTTGCTAAGCGTTTATTATTTATTTGTTGTTCGTTTCTTTTTAATGTTAATTTATTATTATTTATTTGTTATTATTATTGTTATTTTATTTTATTTCATCAGCTATTCATTAGCTATTATTATTATATTGTTAAGTCTCGTAAATTTCTATTATTTTTTCAATGAAATGGGAAGAGATTTTTAATATTTGATATTTCATTCATTTTTTATTTTTTATTATTTTATTTTAATTTATAGATTAATATTTATAAAAAAAAGGTTAAAATTTATGTTTAAATTTTAGAATCTCAGCGAGCTTATCGATTCGTACAAGGAAAAGATTGGGGTTTTAAAAAATTTATTCGAAGGGATTTTTTACTTGACGAAGCCAATGGATTACTTCCTGATGACCGATTGAGTATTTTTTGTGAGGTATTTTATTTTTAAATTAAAAATTCAAAGAAAATCTCCAGCTGCAAATTTTTATCTTTTTCGTAAATTATCTGAAGAATCTTCAGTAGCTTTTTCAAAAATTTTGAATTTAGGTATCCGTAGTAGCAGAAACTGTCAATATAACGGGTCAATCGAATTTGATGCAGTTCAGAATTCCGCCATGCCGTTTACCTGATGATATGGCTTGTCTGTTTGAGAAGCATAATTTTTCTGACTGTTTGCTTGTGGCTGGTGCTCGTGAATTCCATGTAAATCATTTTTCATTCATTAATTTTAATTTTTTGCTTATCGTCAGTTTTGCCATATCTTAGACGCTGATTAAATTTATGATATTCTTTAGGTGCATAAAGCTATATTAGCAACTAGATCACCTGTCTTTGCTGCTTGCTTCGAGCATAAAATGACAGAAGCGCAATCAGATCGAGTAATAATTGATGATGTTGACTCTGATGTGATGCACGAAATGTTGAGATATATGTATACGGGTACTGCTCCAAATTTAGAGCGGATGGCAGACACACTTTTAGCTGCTGCAGATAAATATCAGCTTGATAGGTTAAAGGTCAATATCTTGTCTTACGAACTTTTTTTGAATCTTATTTCTTTTCAAAAATTATTTTACTGAATTATTGATTTTCATACTTCTTAATTTTCATTTATTCATTTGTCTTGAATAAATTACAATTTAAAATATCATTTAAATTGCAGCTCTTTTTTTCTTTGTCTAAAGTTTCATATCGATTTTGATATTGCTTTTTTGCAGTAGTTTATATAGGAAATTTGAAATTCCATATTATTGTCTCTTTTTTACTTGCTTCTATTTTTTTATGGGGAAATTTTTTTTTATATATATTTTTTATATATTTTTATATTTTTTATATTTTTATATTATATGAAACATGAAATATAAAATAACAGTCAAATATGATAAATTATAATAAAAAGGGAATGTGTGCCTAAATTAATGCAAACAAACAATGAAATTTTTAAATTTACCAGAGGTTCAAAAGTGATGCAATGCTTCCACTGATATTTTTCTTTTTTTATATAAAAGCATCAGATTTGAATTATATTTTAAAATTTGGATGGAAAATAAACGAATTTTTATGAATATTTACAAGAAATTGAGTTCTTTGCAGGTAATGTGCGAACAAGCTTTGTGTTTGAATTTGACTCATGAAAATGCTTGTGAAACTTTAATACTGGCCGATCTTCATAGCGCAGATCAACTGAAGCAGCAGGCCATCGATTTTATTGTATGTTTTTCGTTAATTAGTTAACTGATTATTAATCAATTGTAAGGTTTTGTTTCCATCCGTTCTATACCACATTTTTGCCATAAAATTGTAAGTCTGCAAATTCATTCGGTTTTTGCTGATATGAATTGCAAATTCATTTTTTGCATTTCATTATAGTTTTCATGTTGATATTATTTTGAGAATGTTCATGCGAATGAAATTATGGAAACGGATGGATGGAACTGTCTCGTCAAGGAACATCCATCTTTATTAGCTGAGGTTTTTCGGGCACTTGCAACTCAGCAGACACCGCCAATCGTCATGAACCATTCTCCTCGCAAACGCAAGTCAGCATGATAGTGATATATTTTACAAATCATATTATTCATTTCCGGCGATTAAAATACCGATTGTAGGTACCTGTAGCAGGTAGAGTAAATTGTTTTATAAGCGATCTTTTTTGCCTACAAAATCTTGACCAATTTTGACCAATCTTTTTTAGGTTAAAATCTAAAGCAAAATCTAAAAGATAAGAATTTCTAGAGATAAATTTAAATACTAAAATTTAAATAATTTTAGTATTTTGTGGTACTGGTTCAACCATGAATTCAGTCACCATGGCTTAGGTCCTGTTCCTTGACGAGAATAAGATGAAATTTCCTTCATCAAAAACAAAATCTGGATGGTGCTGCGGAAACATACATATATTCGCAAATTTCTATCCAGTCTACTGCAGTCAGTAAAGCCTCTCAGTTATTTAAGATCTTAAATTTTAAGATTAATCTTAAGATTAGCACCATTTTTTGGGAGATCGATGAAGGGAATTACTAGAAGTGACTTACTGGTTATATATTTTGTTTAAAATTAATCTTTCCAAGCAATTTTCGAATAATTCTTCACACAGAGGGGTAATTTATTTCGCTTATTTTGCTTTACTTTACTTAACTTTGTATACTCAGATACTGGATATCTCAAGAAAAAGTTGTTATGCGATTTTGTACATTTTTTTAAACCACAAGCGGTAATATTAAGATTAAGTGAATCAAATTTGGTATTCATGTTTTGCCTTCGTTATTTTGGATCGTATTTGGCTCGAATTATATTAATCTTATTTGATAAAAGGAAATTAATTGGTGATCTTATTAAATTTCGCCTTTAATTTTGAAGTTTTCTGAAGGCAATTGCACTGGTGCAGAGCTGTTTAGTGGTACTTATTAGTACTTTTGATTCCCAAGTTTCTCCAAGATTATTCTTTACATTTTCGGCTGCGGACGATACTGTTCGCAATTTTTTAGCACTGTACTGAGTGAAGCAGCACGAATAACTATTGTTTAATCACACAACATTCATCATGGAGCTGTTTTTTTACCAATAATCCAAATTTCATCTATTTCGTAATTTTCATATTATTTCTAAGGTGTTTTATAAATGAACAACCAGATTTTTCCACGTTTTATATTGTATGGATGGCGTTTTGCGGATAGATATTTGATTAATGATTGACCAGTGAGAGGGTGCAATAAAATGGAGCCAAAAATCGAGATTTATGTAAGCAAATCTTACTGCTCAGTTATAGTTCGCAAATCGTTTGGTTTAAAGAAAATTGGTACAAAAATGGGGCGTAAATGATTTTGGTAAACAGTGAAAGCTGATGACAATTTTATTAGAACAAACAGTGAGGAGGGTTAAAAAATTCGGACATAGCAGTGCGAAGATACAATTTCGAGAAATTCACAAATTTTCTCAAAATGTGCAAATAAAATTTTAGTGTTCTGAGAATTAAAGCAATTTTATCGGCGAATTCTCAAATTTTGCCTTTAATTTTGCATTTAAAAAAATTCGCAAAAGCTTTGCTTATAACTTAAAAAAAGCGATAAATAGCGGGGCACAAATTTTTTCTCGAAATGGAGAAAACGTTACTGGCGAAAGGGGTTTTTTTATTAACTCTCGCTCACCATGGTTTAAGCCAAGCCATTCTAGGCATCCTGGCATTAATTTCTGTCATCTAAGTAACTTGAAGCGGACGAGTGGTGCCTAGCGAACAAATTGAACTAGCCAGGCCGGAAATGTGAATGTATCAGATAAAGAGGATGATGTTGATTATTTGGGATTTTTCTAAAAATGTTACCGTATTTCAATTATTATGTGTAAACATTTAGTAGTAAGAACAGTCATTCTCTGTTAGAGGTTAGGTGGTGCATTAATGTGGTGAAGAGCAATCCTAGGCAAAGGCTTACCTTGACACTCTTCGTTTAGTCCATTAGGCGATAAGTGGCCAACACTTGTCGAGGATTTCTGGAAAATCTTTCGATTGACATCCAATCTACCTTTCACATTCTACTATCCTATAATATGTTGTACGCAAAATTTAATGCATTCTACTCAAATGAGGGTTGATTTCCGGATCGCGCAAAATTAAAATTCCATTAGCTTAACGTATCAATCGGCACGTATACAAATAAACGGGTGTGAAGAAGCACGACTGCAGTGTAGAAATCCATTCCGAATTACCAGTATTTATTGATGTCTTCGGGAATAACACCACTAACAATCTCGAATCTTATTTACTTTGCTGAAATTCAATCAAAGATGGCAAACAACTGAACAATTGAACTTACTGCAAAAAGAAGAAATATTTTTTCCAATACTATTTTATAACTTATTTATCGACTAAGAGAGTTTACCCAACAGATCGACCGTTGACCGTTTAAACTCCTATCAGTTCTCGTTTTTTTCGTCACAAAAGTTAGCCGTTAATAGTGACAAATCGTCGGACGAACCACTTTTTCCCCCCTTCAAAGCTCGCTTCAAATTTATTTTTTTTCCGAACGCAAAGAACTCCAATCACTTCTTAGATGCAAAAATATCCGCTTTTTGGAGTCAGTAATGTTCACTTTTGAAATTGTTATTCCAAATAGAAAGCAATTTTTTTTAATTTAAATTTTTAAGGAATCATCAGAAAGTTTACTTTCTGTAAACTAAAATTTTTCGTCAAACGGTGCGCGCCGTGTTTGCAGTGGCCACAATGCTGAGGCTTTTTCAAGCTTAAGTAGTTGAAGTTCCATCGTGTACACACACAAATAGGTGGAAGTTCCATCGTATATACACATAAATAGGTGGATAGCGCATACATCCAGGTCCGACGTCTCGTATGTTCAGGCCGATGTTGCCCCAACGATTGGGGCTCCTCGCTTTTGAAGCCATCTCTCGCAACATTCGGCATGTAAGCAACAATGATGAGCGTTGGAGAATTATTGCGAGAAGTCATATTGCAGATCGAGAATCTTAAAAAATTTTTCTTTCCCAAAATTAAACTAACGTCAAATAATTTTTTATTTCCATTGTTAAATTATCCGATGATTTTAAAAATCTCCAAAAAATCTCCAATATTTTAAAAATCGTTGTGCATTCTTATTTTGATCTCTAATCGAATAGTTGCGATTTTTCAGGTTCAGCAATAATATTTGGTAAGTTGTCTCTGTTTTTGGTTCGACTAGGTCGGCTGCTCGGCTGCTCATTGGTATAAGAAATTTTTGCCAGGAGCTACCTGGCGATACAAGTGGCTCATGAATATTTTTCAGCTGCCGTTGTCGGGCGTCCGAGCCGAACACCTTACAACATAATGATACTGTTTAGCAAATAAAACTAAAATACCACTGGCTGTTTCGCTCCCTCAGTTAAAAATATGTAGATCCAGGCTAATTATTTAGAAATTTCAGATTAAATATATAATCGATCTATATTTATATTTCGTAATTCTAAATTCTATATATAATTATTTGAAATGTGGTTAACCAGCATTCCAGAAAGCTATATTATTATCTTAATTTTACCTTCCCTAGTTGAAGCTCAACCACCTATGCCACTAATCCCACCCCCAGTCAACCAACAACCTCCGTTTCCTTTCGGACCGCAGCAACCCATCTTTCCGCAAACTCCTATAGGTCCCAATATTCCTCCAATACCTCCTCCACCTGTGGTTGCAGGGCAATTTGGACCACAGCCTCAGTTTGGTCCACAACCTCAGTTTGGTCCTCAGTTCGACCAGTATTACGGAGGTTTGATTATTTAACTGCTGTGTAAAGTGCGCATTGAATGCTTTAAATAAATTATTAACAGAAAGTTGATTTATCAGAAGTGATTTCGAGTGCATCATTTATTGTAAATCCAAACTCTAGAGTGTGGCTTAAGGACCAATAATGCTATAGCAATCCTCGGAGAATATAAGTTTTTCTTTTGAATATCTCACTACTTAAGACCAGACCACTTCTATAATAATATAAGGCAATATTTATTTTGCTTCTTTTCTAAGGTAATAGGCCTATCCAAAGCCTTAAAAATTGCGTATAAATGAAAACCGTATTTAAGAATAAATTATTCTTCAAATGGTTCTATAAATAAGTATCTTAAAAATCTGGATTTAGATGCATTGATGATCTTAACTTAATCTTAAATACAACAGAAAACTATACCCCTTTCGTCATCAGTAATATTTGAAAGTGTAAAAGAGTCTCCGATGCAAGTGGAATGAAAATTACTAATTTGAATCGAGGCAGAGAAATAAGCAAATTGAATGAAGAAGCACGGTACGCTGACCACCAAAAATAATATTTTGCAGTGAACCTAGTTCCTTTCGGCCCTGCTGCTGGCGACGAAGAAATTTTCCCGGGTATGCTCGATCCTGGCCAAACAATCAATCTTCATATGTTTTTCCCGTTTTATGGTGGTCTTTACAATTATTCTATTGTATGTTTTTCTTTTTGCAAGAGCATATCATTAAAATTACAAGAAAATTATAGTTGTACAATTATTACCTGCCAGTAATTCACAATCGAGCTGAAGCCATTATGTCTATGTTTGAATTTGGCGTCAGTCTCTCTCTAATTTATTCAGTACCATGTCACCAATATGTCAATACAATACCATAAGATTGATTCGCGAAATTTTAATTTCTCGTTAAAATTCCTTTATTTAGATTTCTGTAAATGGATATATTGGATTTGCGCATATTTTTAACCAAGGTCCTGTTTTGAATGTTGGTGTAGAGGGAACCGACTGGCCGAGGCAGCCTGACCCTGCAATGATTGCTCCGTGGTTGTGTAAGCAACAGGTAAATGTTACCCGCACAAGTGATAATCAACAAGCGAATCTTTATTTGCTTTAATCGGTAGCTGCCAATGCATCTAAATCCACGACACTTTTAAAATTTCGAATGTAAAAATAGCTATGATAGAAGTCCATAATCGAAATAAATAGAACTGTTTATTTTTGAAATATTTTGAATTGAAAGTGAAGATGGCACGATTGAGGATTTGACATATTTCGATTTTGACATACTACTTAAAGTAATCCAAGCCATTTTCATAACTTCAGAACCTCGTGAACCTAAGGATTGCAGATTATGCAAGATGGATATCCTGGCTTAAAAGCTGGAGTCTTCTACAGACTTCTCCTCAGATCGTCGCTATTTAGCACTGAAACTATAATGGGAACACCAAGTTTTTTTAATCAGCCTGCAAGTCGAGTAATCCTTATTCTAACAAATGATCAAAAATACTGAAACAATACGTTAATAATAAAAATAAATGGTACTGAAATATTGAAAAGTCGTATCATCAAATTAATTTATAACAAAACCTTAATTCAACAATTAAGATGGTGTTTTCGAAATATTCGATTTATTTACAAATTCATATTATATATAACCGAATCTGGCAGGGTCATTCCCGCTCCCCCCCTCCCCACCCCAGAATTACCAATAACAATTTACCAGTTTGCCTTGACGCAAATCTAATATCAATGAATTTATACAGAGTAGTGCAAAAAAATGGATGGTGGAAATTTAGATTTATCACATTGAGAAGCAACGGTTCGGCTTCTTCCCAAGAACAAACTTTCGGCGAAAATTCCTGTTGTGGCCTGTATAGCTCTCTGGCAAAAATTTCTAATCGCACGCTAACTACTTACAATAATAGCCAATAATAAGAAAAAGTAGAACGATTGCCAAAGCAGAATGGATTACTGACTTTTTTCTCATTTTTTCTCCTCCCTTTCCTTCCGGAGAATTACTAGCAGCATCGGTCCAAAAACGCTAATTACAGGCGTGTTCAAGCAGCGAGTATCCTTACATTCACTGCGACCTTCAGAGTGATTTCTTCCTCGAACAAATGATGCAGTGGTTACAAGGTCATTTACCATAATTACTATTTCTTTTATAATATTAAGTAGATAAAGTTATTTGAAACGATTTTAAATAAACAACAACAAGTTGGATTTTTCACCCAAATAATTTTAAACCTTATTATTAAAATTGGAACTTTAAATGCAATGCACTTTTTGTTGAGAAACTTTGTTAAATCGGTCGATTTTAGAGGGCGTTGCTGGTGCTTCGGTATTTCGAGCGGACGCTGCTCTTGTTGTAACGTGGTACAATACAGCCGCTGGAATCGCAGGCAATGATGAATTGGCAATGGGGCAATTATCAACTTATCAAGCTATTTGGTTAACAGATAAGGTGCCATTCGAATATAATTTGATATATATGTTATTTCGAACGATATTGGAGATCCACCCGCACTTCTAAGCCCGAGTGACTCTCTAGTGAAAGTATAATAATAGCTAATGGTACTAACTAAACCGGAAATGAATGCTATTAGAGAAAGAAAAATTTTGTCTATAAGCCGCAATCATATTTATCTGGCGAAAAAAAATGGTGGAATACTACGAGTTTTAGTGGCTAGGAAATTCCTTAATCTATCTAAAATTTAAAATTTTGCCAAATTATGCAAAGTTTTGATTTTCAGCCCGCTCGTTTGAGTTATGTGATCCTAAATTATGACAAACTCGGCTTCGATGCCGACGATTTCCATTTGAATTCAAGGAATGGTCGCTGTCGAGTAGTTTCTCACCACTATTTTTTATTAAAATTTTTTAAATTAAAATTCTCAATTTACTTTAAAAAATTATACGCTTAATGGACGCTTTTATAGACGCTTACAAGTTCTTTCAGTTTTCTTGAATATGAATAACAATAAATATTTTGGTGAAGAATAAACCAATTTGCTGAATGAATAAGTTGGACAGTTTTGTAATACCATTTTATTTGCAAAAAAACGAAAAATTAGAATTTCATTGCCTGAAAAAAGACATCAAATTTAGGCTCTTTTTAATGGAGGCAACCATACAGGAACAGTTCCTGTGGATCCGACTCAGCCATACAAACATTCACCAAAGGTACTGGCACAAAGGTCTGGAGTTCCACATATGGTACGAGGACGATATATGTTTCGTGTTGATGATGTCGTACGTCCTTGTGGATGCTCTAATAAGACAGCTGGAACCCGTGAGTTGCTAATTCAAATAAACGTGGGTTTTCTGGAAAGCGAATTAAAAATAATATAACTATCTATGCTAGCAAGAAATTAAAATAAATTTTACCATCAAACGACCGCAAATGCATTTTTTCAGATCCAATTATGATTTATCCAAATATTGTGAATATGTTCGGAGAATCAATGGTTGACGTGAATGCGTTGTGTTTGGATCGGATGCAGACTTATGTTCTGATGATTGAACAACGTGAAACAGCAACCTGTTTTCCTTTAAACTCAGCTATTGCTCGATGTCGCCTGCCGAGAGTCTTTGATTGGGGCACAAAAACTGTTTATTTTCAGCCTCAGTCAGGAAATTTGAATGCCCAAGAAGATAAAGCGTATGTTGGATACATCTATTTCGGTAAATTGTGAGATTTATTTTCAAAATATAGTACGCCTGTTTGTTGAAAGCTTGGCACATCGCGCTTTTTTCATTTAACTTCGCGATATTTGCCGATTATGTTCGAGGTAGAATAGCTCAGTGGACTGCTGCACTCACTTCGAAATGTTCATACTAGGATACTACCTCTGATTAAACTGTTTAAAACCTGTCGGGGAAGTACTAGCGACCCGTATTTCTGTCGTCAAATGACTCCCTCGCGAAATTCACCCGGTGCAATAAATCAGCGGAATGAGTCTAACCAGAAATGATTACACTCTTTAAAAAAAATTTAATGTTTATAGATATTTTTATGTAACCATAAAAATGTTATTCTTGTTGAAAATGTATCTACTTATGAAGAATTTTAGTTCCTCCTACGCTAGATCCAATGCGACTGGATATTGGTAATGTCTACGACTGGTTTCGTAATCCAATTCCTTCTCCAGTACGTCTTATTTCCTTTTTTTCCTTATTTGTAATATTGCTTTATAATTATTTATGTTGTTTCTAAACAAGCAGTATTTTGAGATAAGTTTCATCATAAAAGTCGATATGCTGCATTTCATTTTCTCATAAGGTATAATCCAGAAGAAAGGTTGTTATATTATTTTGACTGAGATTGAGATCATTGATTCGATTATTCCTCTTTCAAGGGAGTGAATTTTATCATTAAAAAGTGATCTGAGTGGTGCAGTGATCTGTGATAGATTCATTTTGTAATTTTCTCGAGCAGATTATGCCAGTTGCTTGGTATCCTCGCAATTTCACGAATCCAGAATTCACATTCACTCAGCCAAATTTCCAACTGAGCAATGAAGCGCTCTATGCGGTTCAACTTGGCTTATATGTAATCGGCTACAGAGAATGGCAAGATAACCAAGTTTGCTTTTTAATTCTTTAAATTTCGGTTATCACTTTCATTATATTATGTTTCTTGCTCTTAAAAAAAAATTAACACAAAAAAATTCCCTTAAAAGAAGGTTTAAGATTTTAAACAATTAGTATAAATAGAAGTTCTTCTTCTTCTTTGTTAAAGAATTTCCGGATAAAGCAAAAGCAAAAGGCTTTTTTAACTGTGGTAATGGTCTTAGATTCGAAAATTTCGCCCCGAATATAAAACTATTTGTCGACTGGCAGTGTTTTCCAATCGAAACACTTATGAATATAGATGGAGACCACAAGAAGAGTTGATTGATATCAATAAGGTTTTATTCATTATTCATTTATTCGTGAACGTATAAATGATACCTCCTTCCTCTACTTTGATACAATTTCCTGCTTTATTAATTTGCCTTCTTTTTGCATCTGTTTTTTAATAATTCTTACTTTGCGCAATAAAATGCTTGGCTATCGCATTTGTGTATCAGAGAAAAACGAAGCCGTGAAGGTTCCATTATATTTTGCCCCCTCCCCGGTCCATTACATTTTGCCCCTTCCCCCCCACCCCTACCCAATACCTCCAGAATTCCGCTTTATTCATTATCCATTATTGATTTCGTGTCGTTTGCGCCAATCATCTCGCCCATTGGTTTCGGAATGATTCTGCCTCTTTAAAAGTGGATTATTTTTTGATTTATCATTTTTATCTATAATTCCAGGTCGAAGAATGGTTTTTAAGTGAAAGAGAACAACGTTACGAACTTTATACTTATAGATTTGGTTACTTGAAATTGGCTCCACTACAACCAAAAAGTCCAACATTACTACCCGGGTTACTTTAATTTCTGATAATATAATTTTAAAACAGTAAATGATGGAAAAATTTGACGGCACTCGTAAAAATTTGATCTAAATCCATGAAACATTTCGGCCATTATGAATGATATGATACTAAAGTTTTTTTAAGGCTTATTTCTTCTCCAATTTCATTACACTGGCTATGGCCGTTAACGATTGCACAGCTGCAAATGCCAATCGGTGCTGGGCCAATGACTATTCAGGATCAAGAGGCTCGAATCCGATTCGTTGAAAGCAAAGCAACCGAAATGTGTCATGACTGGTGAGAATTGCATATGACATTCAAGATGAAGTGCTAGTTTCATTCCTCTCTTCCTTTTGCAGGTCACCAATTTAAAATAAGAATCGCAAATTCAAAGTTTAAATATTATGCGTTAAATTTTTTTGCTGAGACAATTAATATCAAGGAGCATATAATTTAAGAGTAAGATAGCCATGACTGAGGTCGGGCATCATGGATTTCTATCTTTCTAGCAAAATGAAATTTCTCATCGAAAGTTCCTTAATAAAATTGAAACCTATAGTCTATAATTCTATCTACAAATGCTTCCAGTAAAAGAGTCTCATCCTTATAGTCAACCAACCAAACCAGAAATATTAGGTTGAAGAAATTCAATGCCACTTTGCAAATAAATTCTTGTAAATTGTATTTTGTACTAAAATTTTCATAAATTTGAATAGGTATGCTGAAGATGGAGCTCAATACAATTATATTCGCTATACTGAAACGAACGCCTCATGCCCATGTGTAGAAAGCCAAGCTCGACTTGATATTGGTAGATTTATGCCACATCCACGCTGCTCGCAGGTAATATATATATATATATATATTTGCAAATCGGGAAAATAAGAACCAAAAGGCTGTATTTATTTGTTTCCATCTCTTTTATCAGTCATTATCTATCAATTCAAAAATATTTGCAATTTTCCAGAAGTAATTGAGATAAATACTAAGTAAAATATGATATTAGACTAGGTTTTTTAAAATGATGATTATACCTATTTAACTTAGATATTTCGAGATATTTCTTGTACGACAGTGATCGGCTCGCAGAACTGTTATATTTCTTCTGGAAATGTGTATACTTCATACTATGCAGGAGAAGGACAAAACTTTAATGCAGAAAATACAGCGTACTTTTTCTATTTTTATATGATTTCCTAACCAAAAAACATGGAGCTAAAAACCAACCATGGAACAATTAATTCATCACCGGTCAGCTAAAAATAAATTGGAAATTGAGCTTGACTTAAGCCAAATAGATCTGGTTAACTGGCTATTAAAAGTTAGCGAAGCTTACACAAATTATTCCGAGATTTCAGACCATTTCGCACGCATTATGGCCAAATGTGCTGCTATGATGGTGAAGGCAAATTAATGCAGTCGACCTATCAGCCAGTGATAAAAGTCATTGAGCAAACGCCATACAATCCGGGATATCCAACTAGAGCATATGAATTTGGCACTTACCCTTATATGGGCCAATATGAGGTCATTAATTTCTTGACTTTGCATGAATATCGCATTTCTCCGAAAATTTTCGTTTACTGACAAAATCTATTGATCTTTTTTTTCATTATTCAGTGGACAATATTAAAATTTTTTTCAGATTCCGGGATTTTCAGCGTTTTATCATGATTACATGCCTTATTTTTTTTGTTGCAAATATGCGAAATTTCGTTGCCAATTATTTTATTGGCGGCGACCAACTAGCGGATGTCAAAATTATCAGCCATCAGCAACAGGTCATTATGATAATAAGAAAAGAAAAAAGCTCTCCCACCACAGCAAAAGCTATTTTTAGAAAAAAATTTAATTTAGGACACGTCCAAGGTGCTGGATCATTTACGACCATCAATAATCAAAAATTTATATTTAACGAACAAGGTATTTTCAATTTTCTACATATCCCACAAACTAGCAAAAATCCAGAAGTACGAATTCAAATACGCATGGAGCGCTATCCGAATCGCAGAATTAACTTCGGTATGTAAAAGTTCGAAATTATTTTAATTCTGGATTGCATCACTTGGTCCTTAAATATTTGCGAAGTAATTCCCTTCTACTGAATTCCTTTCTCCCACGCTTCAGAATTCGACCTATTTTGTCCATTATCCATATCCATACTTTGTCTATACTTATGTCCATACTTTAATCCACATCCATGACATATCTTTTATATCCATACTCATACTTTCTAAACTTTCTCTCCGTACTTCTCTACACTATTTTATTCTTTACAAAGACATACATCCATCTATATCTAATTTGAAAAATGAACTATGTATCAACGATTCTTCATATTTGATTGAAATTTTAATAATATAATAATAAATTTGTAGTAAAATTTAAGGTGGCCTGGGACGCTATTTATCGCAGGCAAAACTTGTGCAGCCAACGAATGCAACTGTAGTAACCGGAATCGCCCTCGAAGCTACTGGCACGGACCGAGTGGTAATCGTTGTCCGAAAAGATACGAGAAGATTCAGATATCGAACGAGTATTATCGTTGGCAACATCATACGCTATTTCGATAACATGAAACTTCAGAAATTCAAAGGTATGCAATATTTACTGAAATAATTTCTTGAATAGACCAAAGTCTATATAACAAATAAATTCCCTTTGAATCCATTTTATTGAATAAAGATAATATCTCATTCCTTAAATTTTCAAGCACCAGCAAAATTCCGCTTAAAACTACTATCGTCAAAATAGTAAGAAGACGGTGTCAAAGGGGTAAAGGAGAATTTGAAGGAAATCCTGACAAAACAGAAAAAGCTTTCGGAAATGACAAAAAAATCCCGCCTATCATCTCTGGCTGCGCCAAGAATTCGGACCACGCTAGTTCTAGACCACGCTTCTCTCAGGATATATAAAACAACCACGAAAAAAGATGGCTAGAGCTCGGCACTTCTGGTTTCTGGATTTTCCGTTACGTGCTATTATATTAAGAAATTTTTGCAATAAAATCAATTAATTGGCAATTAAAGCACAGATGGTTCATCACCATCACTCTAATAATGACAGGTTCACTCCTGTTAATAATAGAAACTAAATCTCTGACTTTCAACACGGCGACCCTTCGGTTATTCTGACTCCTAGGCGATCAGTCAGTTTGATAAATCTTTCTAATAACTCTGACTTTTTTATTATTAAAATAGGCAAGTTTTCATTAATTAGCAATTAATAAATTCATATGAATTGAAGAAATCAAAAGTTAAGGAGTTATGATATATGTAAACAACGTGGAATATGGACAAGCAGAAATCTACGTCGTTCTGGAGGAAGCGCAAATTGGTGTTCGGATTCGTGAATCGTATTCACTTGATGTAACGAGGTTGTCGATGTATCAGGAAAGTATGGGACTGCTGGATATCGAATTAAGTGTACCGCCGAGATATGGAGTGGTAAAACATTTATAAGACTTTTATAAACTAAGCAGTTATAACCCCAACAAATCTGTCCGTTAATTTCAACTATCACTTTATCCACTGAGCATAAAATTATATAAATAGAGACCAAATATCGAAATGGGACCACCACTGATGCCATTTGGACCTTTGATTGGTCTTCCACGGATTTCTGGTCTTATGTATCCTATGTACGAAGCACCGATTGGTTTTCCAAGTGCACCCTTGAATATTAACGAAATCAATTCACCGCAAATTCTTCAGCAACTCGTCTCAAATTGTTGGTTATTCTGATAATTTCATATTAATTTCTTACTGCAAACTATCTATTTAATTTAATTCAATTTATTGAATCAATTTGTTATCTTAAATTTTCAGCTTTGAATTCTGGAAATTTTCGGCTAAAAGTTTCAATTTTGTGAATTCCCTTATAGTTTTAAATTATAGATCGAATTTCCAGCAACGAAGGCTCGCCGATGCAACAAACGGCGCCTGAAAATTTGCATATCGAAAATATGTTTTTAATGAGTTCAGAATTTGACAAGAAATATGAAGTGTTTCCGGAGGCCGCTATGAAGAATTTGCCGATCTATAAAACGGCGGAAAAATACACCATGTTTGTTTATAGATTACGTAAATGCTATAAACGCTTATGGCTATGCTTGTGTATATCTGGAAAGGACGGTGCAGGAAAGGTGTGGACGGCGTGGTTCCCCTATTGCCTATTCTTTACGTATTTTCAAATTCTCTCAACTTGGTTAAACTTAGTTATACCTTTTAACATATCCTCTCGACGGCCATAAGTGCTTTCTAAAGCCCCCTTAAAATAAAATGGCCCACAAGCTACGAATCGTTTTGAATTCTCCTCGCCCTCCGGCGCAAATCATTTAAATCTTCACACCTCGTTATGTTCTCTAAAAATTTTCTAAAACTTCCTTGATTTTCCCCTGCCACGCATTCATCATATTTACTCGAAAACTTATATTACCTCCTTATTTTCTCCTCGTGATTTCTTATATCACCTAATAATCTCCTCAGAATTGTTTCTTAATACTTCGTGGAACTTGAAATTACATCTTCAAACACCATTCTAATCCTTCATCGAAGCTCCCTCCCTTTATCCCATCAACTTATTAGTAAAGCACAATCAGAACTTCTTCGTACTTAACTTATCCTTTAAGATTGTTCACCCACCCATCTGCTGGGCTTTTCTACTCGTATAAATAAACGTAGTGAATTGTTCAGAAAAGAATGATTCACTACGAGAATTTCGCGTTGCCCCTAATAAAATATTTTTAGTGGACCATATCGATTCGTTCCGAAAACTGGCCAAACAGTCATGCAACTTATTAATATGTGTCGTGATTTGCAAATTCAGCCAAGAGGTTCATTTACAACTACAGCATTAATCGCAAAACACCAGCCCGGTGATGCAACACCACGCCATAAGCAACACTTCTATGTTCATTTTCATCGACCCACATTAAAATTTATACTCTCCCATATCGCTTATACCAAATCATCCTTTAGTACCACACAAGTACCAATCATAATCATGTAAATAAACGGCGATTTAACCGCAATACCGATTGAAAATCAAGTCTTACCATAGCTATATATAACTATAGTGAACTACTCGTCTGCTCTGGAGACCTTCTAGCGAAGGGGTTTTGTAAATTAATAAATGGTGGAGCAAGTGCAGCGAGGAAGCAAACCAGAAATGGCATATGCTATTAGAAAAAGCTGGATAACAAGCGTTATGCCCATATTACTCAACTTCAATTTGCAGTTTTCAGCAAATCCGCAACTAGCCTTCGAAATTCTCCAATTATATGGTGACACGCGATGCCCGAATCATCCATCAGAAATATTACCATTTTGTGGAGATAGTGTGCCATGTATTTATGATTATACTATGCTCAATTCAAAAATCTTAGGAATGGAGGCGCAAAATTCGTGGAATATCTTTACCAATGAACGTCAGCTTGGAACGAGACAGTGTATATTTCCAGTAATTTACGAAATAAACAGTATAATTACTACAAACCACTACAAGAGCATTTGAAAAAATAATGAGAACTCTTTCACGAATCCGTACTGATAATCACAAATTTGCAGATAATAGTTGTGGGGCAATAATGCTAGAATATCCAGCATATATGCTCAAAACTCCGTCCACTGCTTCTGCATATCTGTTGGGCGATGTCGCAAGTTTTAGTTGCTATCAAACTCATTGGATTAAGGGTGATTACGAATATAAATGTATATTTAGCATTATTTTACTTTTATTTATTTATACAAATATAAAAAATGTTTAAAATACTAAAAATCTCTGTAGAATTGGTGTAAAAATAAAGTATCAATACAGAATTAAAAAAAGATTTAGAAATTCCGATTTAAAGTTAATGTAAAAAGTTACAATTCTCTCTAAATTTTCGTTAAAAGTAATCAATTTAGGTGGAGCGGTGATAGAATTTTCCGAACGCTATGGTTATAGCTATCAGTGGAATAAAGGTTGGCAACCGTGGTGTCGTTCGCGTGTAAAAGAAAATTTTTACAAGTGGATAACTGCGATCTTTTCAACACTGGGAATCATTATGGTATGCATCGAAAGCATTGACTCTTAACAAAACTGCAGTAAATATCGGACAAATGGTCGACTCTCGGTTGGCACAGATGCTGCGACATGCACTAATTCATGCTTAAGGTGGGTGGATAATAACGATTAATGAGAAGTTAATTGCAGGTAATTGCTGTGATTTTCCTAGCATTTTGGTGCGCGAAGCAAAGGCAACGAATTAGAGCGGAAGAAAGCCAACCAAGTAGCAATGAAACATCGGTACTTTGCCAAATTTTTCTTTTTTTCCTTAATTGTGAAATAATATTAAAATAATATGCCAATTTTCATAAATTATACACGAAAACCAAAAATAACCGAGCGGTGCAAGTAAACAAATTTCGAAATCCACTAATTTCTGTTTCAGAACAGATTTTTTCCAGGGTCGTAAATACGTGTCCTTCGGACGCGACATTGATAATAACGTAGCAACCACAGATTATTTTACCTCAAGGGATGAAGCCACATCTGATCAAAGGTAGTCGAACAGTTTAAGAACCCAATACAATTGCATAGAATTTGTATGTAAAAGTTAACTAATGAGTTAGTGAATTAATGATGGTTACCGCAATATTCTACAGGTTTACAACCTAAAGATGAGACATTTTATTCATGAGTAAATTTAATGATTTCGATTTCAGAGAAACTTTTAGAAGTACGGACGGACAGGATGACCGATTTTCAACCGATTTTCTATCGGTTGAAGGACTTCGTTCAAGAAGCGGCTATACAACATCAACAATATTGGGATTAAAGACAAGCGTCTAGCAAATTTGCCTGCAGTCATCTGCCACTTACCAGTTGTTGACGATAAAACTCCTATCGACAAAAATTGTAAATAAATATGAATGATAAATTGTGGATGATAAATCGTTTCCAATAGTTTAAATATTTTCAAGCAAAAAAAACGATTCAGAAATTAAATGTGAACGATAGAAATGGCAAAATTAGTAATTAAAAAAAAACGCGATAATCAAAAAAAGTGATAATAAATAAATGTGATAAAAAATTGATAATAAATAGTGATAATGAATAAATAGAGGAAAGGTTGTTTAATTGTAAAAGATTGTATAAAATATAAAATTTATTTTGTTATCTTAGAAATTTGCATGAAAAAGATTATAATATTCATTCATTCATTAATATTCATTTTCACTTCATTTTACATAAAATGGTCGATTGACAAAGTAAAACAAAATAAATTCTAAGAAATGAAAATTTCCATATGTATGTTTGGCAATTTATAAAGTTAAATTCTTCAAATAAAGGGACCTTTAAGAAACAAAAACAACCAACTTAAGTCATTTTTATCAAATGGTAAAAATAAAAAAAGATTTATCAACATTACAAAAAAATAACAACTATGGGAACCATAGGGAACAAAGTGATTATACGATAGGTGTACGTACAAGTGCGTCCGAGGTTGCAAGGAGTAGCTCGTCGTCGCCGGACTGCCATCCTCCAACTTCATTGTGGTCCACAGGTGAAACTTAGGCGAGAACTAAGGAAAAAGGAAAGAAAAAAATTGTTATTGAGAGCAATGAATCATTTTTACAGAAATTTTTTTGATTATAGTATATAGACGTTGTAACTGAAACTATATTTGAAATTTATTTTTCCATTCGCGCATTTCTCGATGTGCGAGAATTCTACTATTGAACCGCTAACACGCTAAGTGCGCAAAAAAAGGAGAGAGGAATTTATTTTCCGCGAAATAAAGAGAAATATTTTTAGAAGCGTAATTTTATCATGAGTAATGAGAAAAGATTTGATTACTTGGTGAGGTGATTTTTAGATGCGATGTGTTCCCTTGGCAATAGAAGTACAGGTGAGTCACCAGCATGCAGCATTACTCGGACTTTTGCACAGGTGTACTCCTGCGGGGAATAGAACTTCAGCATCGGCGCTCCACTGATTGAGCAACAACCCACTGAACATTCACTCCCCACTATTTAACTTATTACAAAAAAGATACGAGAAAGATTAGATATTTGTAAAACGAAGCTTTTGCAACTCACACAAAAGAAAAAATTCTACAAAAGAACGAAGATAAAGGCACCAGGCGGGAGGAATTTAATGGGAGGAATTTTGATAAATCTCGGCTGATTTTGGAGGAAATAGTCGCATTTTCCATGTGCTTGTATTATACTCAATGCTCGTTATATTCGCTCAACATCGCTTGGAAACCAGGTCTTCCGCATTCTCGAAACAGCCCTTGGACATCCCATGCTCTTTCCGCAATTTTGCAGATCACATTTGCAGTTACACAACGATACGCGCGTTGTACTGAAAGGAGATTACAAAGAAATTTGAACATCCAATTCGTGCAAAAACGATCGCTTTGCCTGCCGTGCGAGCTCCTTGATCTTAGAATATGTTGTGGAGTTTGAGGTAACTTATCGAGCCTTAGCCTTATTCTTCTCTTTTTTTGCAAGAGACTTGCTTATTCGATTCAATAACTGAATGTTTAGGTTGGGAAGAATCTTTATTAGCTTGCTGGAATCGCATTAATTGTTGATGTGGGAATAGCAACGACAATCATTAAATGCGAAGCCAGTTAACTGGGCAATACTAAGTACTATGCTTTTTCATTTTTCATATCTTTCCTATTTATATTTGGAATCGTTGTATGAATTTGGGCATATTTGGGCATATGAGCGACGATGAGAAGCGGTTTTAGAGATCAACTCATATACAGCTGATTTCTTAACAAAAAACGAGGTGACAACCAATACGACTCGCCCACATGTCATTTATTTATTCGTTTATCAACTGATTCATTATGAACTTTGCGAATTTAGAGAATTATCCGAGAGACTAAGGAAGTTTCCACCACAGGAATTGTAGAAAGAATGGCAGATTTAAGTTTTCCTCGAAGACACACTGTTGTGAACATTAGCGATAATTGGAGAAGGGGGTTAGGCCATTCGATTATTAATAACTTTCGTTTTCTTCGATTCGAACATCACCAGTGTCGCCATGTAAAATTTTTTTATTTTCAATGAGAAAGGACTTTTTTCAAAAGTGATTAATGCCGTAATATTTTATCACGAATTGTCCAAAGCGCCACAATGACATCTTCGCTCTGAACTAAATAATAGTTTCTGAAGATCCGAATTGAGGAAAATGGACTTCCAAAAGGAATGGGACGCCCCATGATATCTGGACAAAATATTAACATTTTCCTTATTCACGACGTCCGCAGGTCTTCTGACGTTTTACGCTGCTTACGGTTAGAACTTCGTCGCCTGCACACATAGTTGATTGATAATTGTTGTCTTTGGCAAATTTTGAGAAATACATTATATCGCCTCGCGAGTAGTTTAAGTATTTTCAGCAGGCCTGGTTTATTGTCACATGTACCACTGAGCTATGGATATTATGCATCCGAGAAGTGAGTGTCGAAATGAACAGATCCACCACAGAGTCACAACATGCTTTTTTTCATTTTCACTTAAGGATAGAAGCAATCTATATTTTAGACTTTATGGCCGGATTACTCTCCAGAAAAGAGAGAAAAGACTAAAAGTGAAATGAAAGAAGTGAAAAAAAAGGAGAAATAAAAGGAATATTAAAGAAATTTAAAATTTGTTGATGGAACCTGCTTCTCTCTGCTATCATCTATTCGTTTGTGGACTGTCATGATTTGTTTATGGATCCATGGACGCCAGTTTGACGACTACTATTTTATTCAAATTTATACATAAGTTTCAGAAAAAAACATATCAATCGCATATTTACCTCTAAGTGAAAGCAAATAACGATAATAAAAAATAACAAATAGTATAACAAATTATAAAGACTGTGAAAAAATAAATTATGGTGATATGATTAGCCGATGAAGATTTGGTTTCGCACCAAAGATCCCTTTAATTATATCCATATGAGGTCAGCTATGCCTAAATTGACTCTTCCATTACCTTTCATTACACTATATTCTATATTCTTACTTATAAACTAAGAACTCATCTGCTCATATTTGAACTCATTAACTTATTTCTAAAAGTTCTTAGATTTAAAAGGTTAGATTTGGTCTCACTTGCAAAGTTCTCCATTTCTTCCTGAATTATCCTAAACTTTGTATCCAGTAGACTTCATTCTAATCAAGTATAATTATGTGAATCCAAAATTAATAAAATGGATTTACGATTGGAAATCGATATCCACATGTCTGGATGAAATATGGACGGCTCTCATCTGATCCACCAAACCCATAAGCAAACCTGAGAGCTCTCATCTGATTCATAAAATTATTTCGAAATTATTTCCTCGGCCAGGTATAGATCACTCCCAACAATTATCCTGAACTTTAATGATGAATATATTCTTTTCAAAGCAAAGAAAAAATCTGTGATAATTATGAAAATATTTACAGAATTATAATTTTTTGAATTTTTATTTTTTCCCTTTTAATTATTTATAATTTAGGGAAAATAAAAAAAGATGATGCCAATAAATTATATATAAAGATAGATCTTTAAATAGCAGAATGAACCATAGCTCAAGATCAACAATATAAACCAACAAAATTACAAAAGGTAATGTCCCAATGACCGAGGAGAATCGAAGAAGACCAGAAGGATTTTATAGACAATTATAGGCAATTATAAGATTTCGAACAGATGTTAAGAGAACACTAAAATTTTTGGGCAAAAATTAAGAAATATGCCAAGATTGAAATCTGCTATATTAATATGAGTGTGTTAGGAAAGAACTCATTTGTTCCTTCCAAAATCTAATTTTCTAAAAATTCGCCCCAATAGTCGTTAAATGTTTATCCTTACCCACCTAAATCTATAGATCTTCCATTCTTTCTACACGATTATAAAGTCAAGAACTCAATATAATCGTGTAGGAACTTCTTTAATTTGCTTTGTTCATTCCACTTCTGCCTAATGAATTTTGGTTTTATTTGTCCACTGTATGGTCCAAAATAGTAGTTAAGTATTTAAACCAAATGCAAAAAAAATCACAATCACAAACTATGTTGGCATCGAAATACCCTTACACCACTGCTAAATTAAAGGATGCTTTTCAAAACAAGGCAAATTTTAATGGCATCAGAAAGGTTTAATCTATAATGGTGGTTTTCACTATCCACTACCCATTACACATGAAAATATGCACACTTGCTATAGAGTTTTTCGCCCATCATGAGATTTGCAAATTTTCTTCAAAATAACTGCAATAATATGCTGTTAGAAGCATGCAGTTAAATCTTATGATTAACTAATTCTAATAATTTGCTTGCTCGAAAACTACAAAAAACCGAATATAAAAAAATTTAAAAACTGACTTGAAGATATCAAAGATATGTATAAGAAATATCAATAATATGGCATCCAATTAGACCCATCTGCGGGCATAAGATTACCGGTAACCAGAAGAAAGATGTCAACAATCCACCATAAACCAAATCCACCTAAAGTCATCAATTTCCCTACGGCAATCGCTGAATATCCAAGGCAGAACCTATCAACAGCCAATATTCCAAGAAACATAGAATACATCAGTGTCGAAAGGAAATAATGACCTGTGTATCTAAAATTCAGTGCGCTTCGTTAGGTTCATTCATTAGATAAATTAATAGTATCACAATATAAAAAGGATAAAATGGAGTATAAAGTCGAACAGAGAAAGCAACTTACTTTATACACGGCACTTCCCTCATAAAAATCCTTTTTCCACGACATTCGATACAAGGTAACACGCGGCACGTTACATTAGTTCGCTCAACTTCTTCATAACGTAAGCCACCAAATTTCATACATTTTCCACTATCCTATAAATTAATTATGTTATGATTAATCATTTATATTTCGATCGGTTCATATTTGCAAACCGAAAACGTCATTATAGATAATGAAGATTCAAAAAAAGGAGGTATTTGCTTTCAGAACGATGCAAACAACGCTGATTTCGTCATTCGAAAAATTATTCTAAAAAATCGAGATAAAATATAGAAATCAGCATCGCCAACTTTTGTATCATTAGCATTTTGAGACTGAGAAACTTCAACGGGTTCATCACACTCCACCCACCTGAAACTTTATAGTTTTTCTAAAATTCAAATTTATCCAAAAAAAGTTAACTCTTAAAAATAGCCGAGCGGAACGGAAAAATAGTAAAGACTTTGTTTCCAAGAATTTGAAAATATATTTGGTGCCAATAATAATTGAAAGAAATAAAAAAGGCAAATTAAAATCAATTCTGAATTTATGAATGGCTCTTTTCTCAACATTTTTAGACGTAAATCTAACAAGTACATCAAAATTTACGAATCAAGTGAATATTAATGGGATTAGGAAAAGACTGCTTTAACTAAAGCTATAACCTTTCATCTAGGAAATCACAAGGAACCAACGGTCCATTAGGGTTTAAATCAAAGCCTTCTTCGGTACATTCCAAATCTTTATCGGGCAAGAGAGAAGTGGATACCACAGCAGCAATCACAATATTACCATGTGTTATCGCATTCGGTTTATGGACCGGACTAATGCCCATCGCCCATATACATAAAGCCGATGTGACGAATGCGCCCAGTATTACAATCAGTTTCATGCGTAACAAACTGAGGATGAAGAAGAAGGAAATTTGAGATCTGCAAATTTATAACTCAAGTTTAAATTTTTCAAAAATAATTAATATATTAACGCCAATATATTTTCGTTCTTCACAAATTCTGCATCCTACAATACAATAAATGCTTAAAGAAAATTTTGCCAAACTGCAATGGCTTAAGTTCTTCTTTCCCATAATTGATATTTTAGCATGAAAAAATAAACAACAGAAAATATGGATGGAAAAATTTGCTTAGAGCACTCAAATAAAATAGTTAGATAAATAAAAAATTGACAGAAATATAAAAATAGACGGTAAAACATCGTAAAATTTTCATTTATTGAAAAGCAAAATTTAAAAATTTTACGCAAAAACAATTTTTATTGATTTATGAAATTCCGTTGGAAATATTCAATTAAAACATGCTTTTTTCCCAAATCCCAAGTCTTTTTTTTCATTTTTTCCCTTATAACTGAGGTGAAACAATTATTTCTGAATCGTTTTACGACGTTTTTATGGCCCTTTTCCTTTCTTTAATAATCTTCTTACTTTCCATGTCCTTATGGAAAACATAAAATTTTCATCCGTACCTCCAAACAAATTAAGAGAATATATAAATGAAAATGAAAATGAAGCGATGCAAATGAAAAATGCATTTAAAAATTGCGAATTTCTACCACTATCAAAATAGATCCAAAGTTTTAAGCTTATAAAGATTAACGAACTTCGAATATTAGAACTTCTCTGAGCATACAATGAATCAATTCAATTATCAACGATACAAACAAAAAATAAGTGAAAATTATCCCTTAATAACACAAAAAAACAAAAATAAATTAATATTCGATATAGAAAAAAGGCTAAAAGTTATTATTTTTTAACAATCTGCACAACGTCTTCATGATGCAACTTATGATGTAAACCAACTCGCTGAGGTGAAAATTTCGTACTTGTACCCCAAACGATTGCATAGCGAAATTGTGATGCTATGGATCGATGCAGTGCATGACATGCGTGTTCTATGGTGGCACCACGACGAAGAATTATCCCATCAGTAATGCCTATATATAAAAAATAAATTAATATAATAGAAAAACATAATAAATTTTAAAAAATGATTGAAAAATAAGGACCAAATAGCAATTTTTCTTAAATTTAATGATATAACCGAGATCAGGTGCATTCCCAGGTTTCTTTGTATAGATCCGAATTAACGCCAAATATTCCCAAATCATTTCAATTAAATAGTCCAAATTTAATCGCATTTCACAGCTAATAACAACAGAATGATTTGCACGCGCTAATCTAAAAAGATTTTCCGCCAAACTTTAAAAATGAATATTGGATAAAACATTAAATTTTTCTATAAAATAAAACAGTTCAAAGGATCTAACAATGAAAAAAGAAAAGAACAATTATAAATACAAGGAATAATGTAGGCATATTATAATTATAAACTACAAACAACTGAATATCTAAAATCAAGTTGCCAGAAGAATTTATGGCGCTGTTATGACTCGAATCTTCGGCTATGGACTACCAATGAAATGATCGCGAAATAGAAAGCGATATGAGATGTCAAGGAAATTTAAAAGGCCAAAGTATCTAAATAATTAAAGAATATTTTATAAAAAAGACTGAAAAAAAAATTTAATCTTTTTGAATTTTTAAAAAAACCAAAAATAGGAACAAAATAATGATGTTAAAAAAAGACCGATTAACCTATCAACTTCCTCGAGACTAATCTGATCGATCTTATTGTAAACATATAAACACGGCACGTAGACTCGATTGCCTTGTATCACATCAATAAATTCATCGACTCTAAAAAAAGAAAATTTAATAAACCAAATCAAATATCATCTGCAAAATGTTCACCACTGCAAGCAGACTCCTTCGCTAGAAAGCCAGTTAAAAAATTCAAGTGACTCTCCAACATCACCTGGACCCCATTTTTAGTGAGAGGGTCAATCTCATAAAGAAATAGGAAATGAAATCCAGAAAGCTCGATCTCGGCTGAAATAATATGCAACTTGACCATCCTATTACCTTATTAGATCATCATATAATACATATTTGATATACACAGAAAGTGCATAAGAGCAAAAGCGTTTCAAATACCGGCGAAATTTTTCTTTTTTCCTTTTAATTGCAGTTAAAAGTTAAATGAGAGATTCAAACCACAAATATTTTATTTAATCAATGAGCAGCTTAATCGAGTAATGATTACAAGAAATAAACAATTAACGAAGAAAAGATAGCTGCGAATTTGGATGCCAAATAAAATTACCTGCGAGAGAGAGCTTGCAGCGAATGAGCATCATGCAAACGCTTAGGAAGATAGCAAGAGTAGAAAAGGGATAACTTTTAGGAGCAAATGTGGGACATAGGTAAAATAAGCAGAAAAATGAAGGATAATGAACTGAAAATAAATGAAAATAAATGAAACGGAGAAACCCAACAATAGAAAAATTTAATACGAAAGCTCCTTTTCGAACTTTCCTTATTGCTAAATTAATTCGCTTCACTCCTAATAGATTAAAATATAAAGAACAAGGCATTGAATTTTCTGAAGAAATATTCTATTGGAAAATCAGAAAATTTTTCGAATAAAATTTAATATTCTTCAATTTTTTGGTAAAAAATCTTAATTAATATAAACATAGACAAACGATTCCACAGAACGTTCTAACAAGAATAATACGGGAAAGCCAATAGAAATCGAGCCAACAGTGGTTTCTTTAAACAATAAAAAAAACTAGTAACGCAAGTAAAAAGAAAATATTCCATCTGTTTCAATAATAAAGCCGATCACATAAGGATTCAGCATTATTGATACGAAAAAAAAACAAACTTACGTATAATCATTTCGGAAGACGACTTCTGCATTATGTATTTTATATTCATGAAGAATGGTCATAACGAGTTTTTCATTACAATGAGTAAGAGGTACAGTATGGGTGAATTTGACGCCGCCAGCAGCTTTCTGTTTCAAATATATATGTGGTTTCTTTTTATTTAAGCGAATGCCGACCGATTCAAGTTCGGTTTCCAGCAATTTTCTCTAAAAAATATTAAGCCATATATTTCAATAAATTTATATCGATATCAATATAAATTACAAACTATCAATATAAAAACTATAGCGACCTTTTTTTCCTGAGGCACGAAACCGATTAGTAATTCCTCATCAGAATCAGTGCAATTAAATTCGCCTGTTTCCGACGGGAAACTAGTCATTGAAAAACCAAGGCACTGTTAGAGACCCACTTAAACCACAAAATATCCTCGTGACCCCTTGGCAAAAGTTTCTAATCGAATTAAGTAAATGGAGGCAGCATAAGCAGTAAAAGTTATTAGCAGTTATTTCTTCCTTTTCAATCTTTTTCTTCAATTAAAAGTGCATAATTTATTTAAAACCAATTAAAAATCAAATCTGAGTTTTCTAACATTTTCGAAATAAAGAATAAAGAAAATGAAAACAGAAATAAATTATAAGACATAAGAAATACCTGAACGTCGCCTTTTACTGCATCCAACATCATAACAATAAGGTCAGCCGTTTTCGCCACAGCAATCACCTGTCTTCCACGTCCTCAAAATAACTAAGCAATTAACATAAATTGAAGTTTCTCATGAGATATTCAATTTTACACAACATAATAAAAACTTCGGGATTTTTACCTTTGCCATGAGCTGCTCCCTCAATTATTCCAGGTAAATCTAAAAGTTGAATGTTGGCCCCTTCATATTCGATTACACCTGGGATACAAGTTAATGTTGTAAACTCATATGCAGCTGTTTCACTGTGTGTTTTTGTTAATGTTGATAAAAGTGTCGATTTCCCCACCGACGGAAAACCAACCTAAATTAATAGCACGAAATTAATCTCACATGCTTTTAAATAAGATATGAATTGAAATTTTTGCCAGAAAAGATAAATATTAAATTTCAACTAGTAAAAGATATTAAAATAAAAACAGTACTACTTAACGATCTCAGCCAGACTTGCTGCGAACTTCCCAGATTCTTTGAAAAAAATTTCCAGAAAAATAAGATAACCCTCATTCCCTTCCCATAACTAAACATTAACGAGCTTCATTAATAAATTACCAATGCTACTCTGGCATCACCACTTTTCATCACATCAAAACCATCGCCTTTTGTACTGCCACCTTTTGTAGTTGGTTCCAGCAATTGCTGACGATATTTTGCCAGTTTTGCTTTTAATAGACCCAGATGATATTCAGTAGCTTTATTTTTTTGCGTCCTGCTAATCTCGTGCTCTATTTCTTGTATTTTGTCCAATATCCCCATCTTCTGCGACTGCAATCATTAGAATAAGAACCATAAAATGACATATTTCTCAGGCCTTGCACTCTATAATCGAAGAAGAAAAAATTAAGACGGCAGAAATCTTCAGTTCCTCATTGTTTCATATTACCATATTGGAATGAACCATACAACAAATGGCTATTACAAACTGGGCTATATTTTATCAATTAAAAATCAATATAAAATCAATATATATATATATTATATATATATATATACAAGGAAATCTAGCTTTACTACGCAACAATTAAGCAATTAAAATATTTACTTACACAACTGAAATATCATAAATTTCTTCAAATATGGCATATACTATTTTATTAACCCATAAAAAATAATACAGAAAAACCAGTTTAAATAAATTTAAATAAATAATTAATGATGAATTATAAGAATTTATGTACATGTCTCAAAAGGAAGTCTACCAAATGACTGTCATTTTTTTATACTTGATTTTTTATTATATTTTTCCCATTTTTGCCACATTTATTATTTCGCCATTCTTATTATTTTCATTTATTTTCTTCATCATACCGAAACTAACTGAATATTAGATCATGAATTACTCGTATCAATAGTTCGACTTTGATTTTAATCCATATTGAAGTTGTTTTCCACAATCATTCCATAGAATCGACTATCCCTTTTGTTTATCTTGGCTATCATTGCGAAATGATTTATGAAGCACTACCTTTAAACAATTCACCAAGGGTAGGCAATGGATTGAATGCATCTACCGGTAACTGAGTTAAATCGGGAAGAGATTGTAAATGTTGATCAACCTTCAAAAAATTGTCTTCACTACGAAATTTAACAAAAAAAAAACAAAGAAGAAGATTTGTTAAAGAAAAAGAATTATGACGCAATTGTAAATTAAAGAATAGTTAATTAAAATTAGTTATTACTAATTAGTTAAAATTAGTTATAATTAGTTATATCTAAAAAACTGTCACTGACTTTATATATTTATGAACTTCAAATCCCTAAAAAATTTTAAAAATCTAAAATCTTTAAAGAAAGAAATTAATGAAATGAAAAAATATTACTGCTGCTTTTTCTTGATTCAATTTTTCAATCTTTTCGCTCACCGCAGTTAACATTTCATTATTACGAGCATTACTTGCTTTGAGATATTCGTAAAACTCAGATAAAAGGCGTTGAACATTTCGCCTATCTTCCACTTCCTCTGTTAATCTACAAATAAAATAATTTTAGACATTTCACTTGAAAAGCCACTACAATTTAAGAATTTAAGAATCCACTCAATCAGAATCCTCATTTTTTTATTCTATCTTCTGTAATCTTTATTCTTACCTTATAGACTTAACTCCATCCTCACTCAAATGGAATAAGGAATAACCTAATATATCATATAATCAATCAAATGTATTCAAATGGAACCAAAATAATGAAAATCCATAAGCACCTTTCGCAATATTTTTTGACTACAGGAGAAGCTTCATCAATTTTCGCCAACATTTCCCGTGCCTGTTTTTCATTTTTGATTTGCTTTAACACAGAAAGATTTGCGATTGATTCGGGAAATGTTGCAATCCGTTGCCTAAATAAAGGTAATGAAAATCTGATAAAAAGTTCATCTTCCCAATCATTTACTAAAAATTATTGTTCAAAAATTCACCTAGTAGCTGCATCAGCTGATGGAGGATCTTCCAACTTTTTCAAAATATTTACTAAATCGCGTGTTGTTTGACTCATTTGATTAAGATCAAGTTTTTCAATGCTTATTTTACTCTGAAAAACATATCAGAACGAAATTAATATTACTTTAATTGAACAGAGCTTATGCTGTAATCAATATTCAAATATATCTGCGAGCAATTTTAAAGCGAACAACGAAAATAAATAGAAATTTCAAAACTTTTAACATTTATAATCATATATCATATCATATTCCGACACTTTGTTTGACATATTTCTATTTTTCCTTTTGCCACCTCATTATTATAAGGAGAACCATAAGAAAATTCAAAAATTAAAAAAAACAAACTTTTTTAGATTCCGGTGAGCCATCGTCCGATGCTAATGAAGTCTGAGGTGAATTTAATATCGACTGTTTACTGATCATAGGAGGTGTCGAAGGTGTCATTCTTACTCTGTTTGACACATCAGGACCAGCAGACAAATCTGTATTAAATTCGACCAAAAGAGCACCAGTTAATGATGAAGTTATTGCTGATACTAATCGATCTACTTTAGCAGATGAATAGATTTGACGTTCACGAAATACTCGAATAATCTTTTTCACGGCTGATACAGCTTGGCTATCTGCATGCATACTTAAATGCCTTAAAAACAATATTTTATATTAGCCATAATAGACATCTTATTAGATACAGAAAAATATATTATTACATGAATGAATATATAAATGAAAAAATCTTATTCTTATTTATTAAAACTGAATGAACATAGTCTTATAAATTCGTAAAGCCGATTTCTGATGAATAATTCTGTTCATCAAATGAAAAAAAAGATAATCGGTAAATTTTAAAATATCAATTAAAAATAAGAAAACTGTCGATATAAATATCGTGAGAACCCATATAAATTTCAGTTTCAAAATAATTCTCTAATAAAGCAATTTCATTCTAAACAACCAGTGAAGCCAGACAAATCAAAAATTATGAAGCATAAGCTAATAAATTACTGCAAAAAAACATAATATGTAAAATAATAGCACATGTGACAGCCCATTACAATTACCAACCACATGGCACCTCACAAAATCAAAACTGAAAACTGCCAAAAGTTTAGAATCTCACCTTAAAAAAATAGATGCCAATTTAACAAAGTAATGAAAATGTGGAATAAGCTAAGAGTGAAGGTTGTCTATAGGGAAAACATAAAATTTATTAGGCTTATTAATAAAATTTGTCCAAAAGAACTTTTGTCCTAAACATAATTTTTTTTAAGCGCACTCACCATTCCTCTGAATTGTCACATTAGACAAATTTGCCAGGGAGTCCCTTGGAGACAGAAGCACAGGTGAATCGCCAGCATCACCCGGGTTTTTAGATAGACTCCTATGAAGAGTAGAACCTCAGCGCCGGCGCTCCGAAACGAGCAACAACCCACTGAGCCATTCTACTCTCAAACATAACTTTTGTGGTTTATTTGCTGAACGCAAAGCGTAATTTATTCGAATAAATATTCGAAAAATAAAGAAGAATGAAAAGAAATTAACTTGAAAGCGGGTTCGAGGACCGTATAAAAAAGATCCATGAATTCGGGACACTGCTTTCGACTATTTTGTATAACATCGTTCGCGAGATAAAGCAAATTAACGAGGCGATTTGGACGTATTTCTTTTTTTATTTCCTAAAAGAAAAATTTGCGTTGGAAAATTGGAAAAAGCGAAGATGGAACGGAAAAAATAGAACCTTAAGCCATAACTGTACGATGATTTCGGAATGGCGCTTCTGATGATGAAGTAACCAAAGTGAAACGGTTTGAATCGATTGTAAGGTTGCGCTTAAGGATTCTAATCGTTTTGACATAGCCGCTTCTGAGAAACCCGACATTATTTCCTTTCTATTTTCAGAACAAAGAAAACCTGAAATCCAAAAATTACGAGTCGAGATGACGATTACGTGGAAGGCGTGGACAGCTAAAAGCCGTGTCTTAAACGTGACTTCTGCCCTATTGTTTAACTTTCACCAGTTTCTTTGCATTTCCTACGTCAATATTCTCCCATCATTCTCCGCCTCCGGCAAAAAACAAATAACACATTATCCACAAAAAATAGTGGAATAAGTAAGGGTCAAAGTTCATCCCCAACCACCGCAATGGATTGCCATTCTCGATCCCCCTCTTCTTCCTATTATTTGATTTCCTTATCAGCCCCTAGCGAATATATGAGCAACCTTTCATCCAGAAAGATAAGCCGAAGCTGAGAATTAGCTGAGAATTATGCTGCAAAAACTTTCGTGGTCTTAAAACGATATCTGATTCTGTTTGGAAGGGAAACGATTTTGTGGCATCGTTTATTGAATATAAAGAAGCGAAGTGCTTTGGTTGTTTTATCGTGTGGTAGATTTGTTGAATCATAATTTGACATTTTAATCAATGGTTGGGAGAATAAAAATTAATTGTATTTATTTATTTTTAAAAATAATTTTAATTATTATTTATTTATTAAAGTAACAAAATTATTTATTATTTACAAATAAAATAAAATTTTATAAATAAATTTTATAAGTTTTATTTACAAGTAAAATTTTATTAAATGAACAATTAAATTAAATTTATAATAAAAATTTTTTCTAAATAATTAATAATTTTTTAATGACAACAATAATGTAATAATTTTTAGTTAATTGAATTATTTCATTTCATTAATCAATTAATTTCATTTTTAGTGGTTTTTTTTAGTAAAATTTTTAAATTTTCGATTTAGCCGCTATTGAAGGATTTTTACTTAATTTCTTCTAATATTAAGTTTTTGATTTTTTCGAAATAAAAAAAATCTTTTTTCGAAAAAAAATCTTTTATCTTTATCTTTTATCTTTTTTATCTTTTATCTTTATCTTATCTTTATCTTTTTTATCTTTTTTCATTTTTGTTTCATTTATGTGATATTTACTTTCACTTTATTTTATCCGAAAATAGATTAAATGGTACATTTTCCGTTGTCGAATCAGATATGAAGGGGAATGGGAAAACGAAAGTGAAAGAAGACAGTGAGATAATGAGGTCGGGCCGAGAAGCCTGGAGGCTTAGCCAGCCTAACCAATAATGGTGCGAGCTGTTAGAAGAAAAAGATATGTATTTAAGGCTTAGAAGAAGCGAGATTCTCAGTATTCCACGTATGACGTGTATCAGATTATGCGAAAGTACTGCTCATACATCTTTCATTTTATCACTTTTTTTTAGATAAATTATTTCTTAATTTCATAAATCGTCAAATCTTGACTTTTATGAAATGTTTCAATAAATCATTTTCGCTTATCAATTTTTTGAGATTATCATAAGATGAAATATTTTTTAATAAATATTTGACGGGTATTTGACTTCTTCTATGGTCAGTCGTCTTGAGTTCGATTAAAACGGATTAAGAAAAATGCGAAAGGGCGCAACATTTATTTTCATTATATTTTTATTTATAGACAATATTTGCAGGCAAATCGTAGATTTTTTTATTGATTCTGATAGCGTATGTTGGACTAAAGCGAAGCTGCACGTAAGTGTTCGTTTTTTAATGTGCATAATAACCTGAATTTGTTAATATTTGATGGCGATAGTGTCGAAGGTAATTTTATGTGATTAATTCATGTGCCTTGAATCTTTTAAATTCCCACTTCCCTAGTTTTAACTTACAGTTTACAAATGAGGGATTATAAACGAAAATTGCTTCTCAATTTTAATTTTATTCTGCGGATAGGGGCTTTTTTCGGTTGTTTTTGGAATTGAAATCCTTTCATAGGGTTAAATTAGATTTCACTTAGATTTCATTAGTTTTTTTCGTAGAAAAATGATGATGTTTTGGTTTTCTGCAAGCGGTGAGCAATGGATGGCAAATGGTAACTGAATATGGTGCGGTTGTTCATGTGAATTTTAAACGATTTTAGTGAGTACGATGGAAATAACCGGTTTGGTTATTGCCAGTGGCATCGGCATGAGTGCATTAGCGATCACTGTTGCAAGTGTACCGTTCGTGACTCCTGCATTTCGGAAAATCTGTATTCCATACATTCCGGCGACTACAACTCAGTTAAATAATATTACCAAAATGCTTTCGAAATGCCAGAATATATCGCCTGTTGTCGATCTTGGTAGTGGCGATGGACGTGTAGTAAGTAGTTCAAAAATTTAAGTTTTTTAATTTTATAAACAGTGACATTCCTAGTTTTTCTCCTTTTTTTTTCTCCTTTGATTTTCTGCATCGATTTCCCTTTGCACTATCGCCTTCATTATTATTTAAATATTTAAATAATTAAATATTATTATTTAAATATTTAAATAATTAATTTTTATTTAAATATTTAAATAAAATGTTTTCTTATTATTTCATTAATTATTGTGTGAAAATAATAAGTTAATTTTTTTATATAACATAAAATTTTTATTAATTTTTATTATGGGTGGTTTAATAGTGGTTAGAATTAAAAAATCTTTTCCTAATTTTTTATCGATTTATTTGTGAATATGTTTTAAGAATAGGATTCATTTTGTTATAAAAATATTTATTTTCGATGAGTTATTTTACTGGGATTTTATGATTGCGATTCATTTGACTTATTTGTTCATTTCACGGAAATTCTTGGTCCAGTAATTGATCGCTTTTAGATATGAAATTTGGTGAGCAGCTTGCTAGTCATTTAACACCCGAATGGCGGAAACAGTATATCCAATATGAAGCACTAAAGCATCTCTTAGGCGAAGTAATGTGTGTTGCACCAACTGATGATACAGATCGTGATCAGTTTATAACACAGCATGATGAAGAATTTTTCGCTGAATGTGAGAAAGAATTAACGAAAATCAATCTCTTTTATAGTCAGAAAATAGCAGAAGCGCAAGGTAAATATCATGAATTGGTTTCTGAGCTAACGATGTTGAAAGAAAATCAATCGCGTGAAAGTGAGCCGCATCGAGTGACATTTACACTACGAAATCGTCTCGTAGGGAAACATAGTCAAATGGTAAATGCGGCTCGAGAACATGCAAAATCTGCTCAACAATTACGTCTAGCATTTTCTGAATTCTATTTGTCGCTTGTTCTTTTGCAAAATTTTCAACAATTGAATGCAACAGGTTTTCGGAAAATTTTGAAAAAACACGATAAGATAATAATGAATGAGCGTGGCTTAGATTGGCGAATAAATAAAGTTGAGAAATCATCGTTTTTTTTGAATCGAGATATTGAAACACTTATAACGAATGTAGAAACGGCTGTTATCAATGAATTAGAAGGTGGCAATCGTCAAGCAGGAATGAAACGACTTAAGGTTCCACCATTAAGTGAAAAACAACATGCAACTACAACATTTTCTTTAGGCTTATTTCTCGGTGCATTTGCTGTTTTAGCCATGGCAATCATACTAACATGGTTTGGTGCTAAAAGCCGTCCAAATGAACCGAAATGGGTTGCTGTGCGATTATTTCGTGGTATTTTCCTTCTTTTCATCTGCATTTGGCTATGTGGATTAAATATGTATGGTTGGGCAGCAGCTGGTGTTAATCATGTATTAATTTTTGAAGTTGATCCACGAAATCATCTAACTTATCAGTCAGTTATGCAAATATCGTCATTTATGTGTCTTTTATGGGCACTTGGAGTTCTTGGATACCTCTATGCTCATCTTATCTACCTTCCACCTTTCTTATTTCCTTTGTTATTAATGATAATTTGTACAGTTATAATATTTAACCCGTTAAAGAAGCCAGAAAATATTTTTCGACGAGATAGTCGTTTTTGGCTTATCAAACACTGCTTTAACGTTTTTACGGCTCCATTACATTTTGTAACGTTTCCGGATTTCTGGCTTGGTGATCAAATGAATTCGCTAATCACGAGTTTCCTTGATTTGCAATATTTTGTTTGTTTTTATGCAACAGAAGTCGACTATTCGAACTGGACATTAACTGTACGAATGGTTAATGTTACAATCAATGATCATGTGCCTTGGGGTTATGTCGATGTGAATACGGGTCGTGATATGTGTACGAGTGCATCAGGTGTGCGAGCATTAGTATCAATAATTCCAGCAACAGTTCGTTTTATGCAGTGCCTAAGGCGATTTCGTGATACGGGGCGTGCACATCCTCATTTATTAAACGCTGGCAAATATTCCACTACTTATTTAGTCATTATTTTTAAATCGCTAAATAATTGGGCGGAAAAACTTGATCCAACAACAACGAGTATTTTTTTTTATCTTTGGATTGCGTCATATATTATAAGCTTTACTTATACATTCCTCTGGGATATTTTCATGGATTGGGGCTTAATTGATCCAAGGGCACCAAAAGATTCACCATTTTTACGCGAGGAAATGATCTATGGGAGTAAATGGTATTATTACGCAGCTATAGTACAAGATTTTATTCTTCGTTTATCATGGGTACTTAACGTTTCATTGGGAGAAGCATGGACTCTTGAGTCTGATTTTTTAACTTGTATTACGGCACCACTGGAAGTATTTCGACGTTTCATATGGAATTATTTTCGTCTTGAAAATGAACACGTGAATAATTGTGGTCAGTTTCGTGCTGTTCGTGATATATCGATAAAACCAATTAAGAAAGGCGATCTTGAATCGTTAATATCAAAAATGGATTCGGAAGATGGAGTTATTCATCGTGGACAAGATTTACGTGAACGTGTGAAAAGACAGAAAAAAGCTGCAAAAGGCAAACGGCAAATTTTGCGTAAAGCTCGTTTTACTCGCATTGCCCTTACAACATCAAATAATCCTACCAATATAATTGCTGAATCAAAAAATTTGTAGAAGTCTTTGTTTTTATCAAATTTTTTTGTCATTTTAGTTGATTTACTACTACTTATTGTACTTAATCCCTATTAATTATATTTATGTATGAACTAGTCTGCCTAAAATATGGTTTTTTTTTTTTTCAACATTCGTTAGTCTTGTTTACTGTTCATTATTCAGTTCGACATTCCAATTGCCAAAAATTATTGTTCAGTGTCATACGTATTTACGGTATATTATGGTATATAATGCATCGTATTTCTTTTCAATTTTGCTTTCATCATTCTATGGATATCGTTAATTTTTTACTTTATTTTTTTATTTTTATTAATTTATTTTCTTTAGTTTTAGTTATATTTTTTCAGTTATGTGTTATAGATTCGTATTTTTCTTGAATATAAACGTGTTTATTATGGCTTTAATAATAGAAATGTAATGATGATCAAGCATATACTATATGATTGTAATTCTTAATTGGTGATGAATTTTTGCTAGATTTAGTTTTCTTTGTAATTATGTGAAATTGTGCCATATTAGCCAACGAAATTTTTTTATAAGAATAAGGATTTTTGTTTATTTGCATCAAAAAAAATAATTTGAAAATTTTCAAATTTTTTTCTTACGTTCTATGTTAAATTATGCCATGCTTAATTAGAAAATTGGAAGTTTCTTGGTTAAAAATATATAAACAAAGAAAAGGATTGGGAAAGGATTACGAGGACCACTGATTAATTTTTTTGTCGTATTGCGATGGATAGATTTCTATTTTTGGTTTTTGGCATTGCTTGCTGATTTTTTTGCCTTTTTTTTTAACATTATATTTTCAGTGGTTCAAACTTTTTACCCTAAGAATCTCTTAGCTTTTGTTTTTGAGTGCCTTACAAGAGCTTTTATTTAGCTATGAGCTGTAACAAGTCGTATAGCAATGAGTTACGATATTTGTCGTATTCGAAATTAAAAATGCGAAATTTAATATAACAATAGTACGAAAGTGATTTTGGAAAGTAATTTCGAGGATCCTCTGAAAGGATCTTGGAATCTCCGAGAAGTTCTCAGTTGCAGTGAATCACTGATTTAGAATATAGTCTGATTCCAAATATTAATTCGTAAAGTGTATTGTTAATTTGTTTTTTTGTGGTAAAAGATTGTTACTATAATTTATTCCGATGGTAGTGGTAGTGGTTGTCCAATATGCAATTATGAAAATACTGTCTTTGCCATATGAAATTCCAGCAATGAAGGGATAAGGGTGAGTTTTTATATGAAATTTATAATGTGAAGTGTTGTGATTATAGGTACTACAATGCGCTAAAGCTGGGCATCATGCTTCAGGATTTGAGTTGAACATTTGGCTCATCTTGTATTCGAGATTAAAAGCTCGCCAATTAGGTGTTGCAAATCATGCTAAATTTTATCGGAAGGATATTTTCAAAGCAGATCTAACAGCTTACAACACTTGTATTATTTTTGGCACTGAAACACTGGTTCATTTTGAAGTTTAAAAAATTTAAGTTAAAAAAATTTTGAAATTTAAAATTTTCACAACATTTTATTTATTTATTTTAGCTTTAATTTATTTTAGCTTTAATTGAAGTTTTAACTTAATTAATGCAGATATTCACTAAAACAATTGTGGATTGTAAATCTCTTTTATTCTTTGTATTCTTTGTTTCTATATTTTAAAATTTTAGATGGAACATTGTGTAGAAAAACTGGCTGAGATGAATGCTAACTCAAATTTGTTGACATGCCGTTATCCATTGCCTCTTAATGATCACTGGCAAGAAATTTGCACAATTGGATCCGATGTAAACACTGTTTGGCTTTATAAACGAAACGGTTCTAAATTCTATGCATAAATGATATCTTAATTCTTTGTTATGCAGTCTTAATGAATAATGTTAAATCATTTTTATTACTTTTTTATTATTCGATCCGACATCAAATTCACTAAGAAATAATAAGTTATTGGATCGGAAATGAGATATTTCATTTGCCTCATTTAATTTGTTGAAGCTTTGTTTTAAATGAAGTCGAAATTAAGATATTCACGAAAAAATTAATATTCACCATCATGAAAGATATAATTTTAAAATTTTAAAAATTTTGGAAAATATGTAAATCGTAAGCATGACGCGCATCGCTTAAGCAATAAGTGCCAGATAGATAAAAACCAAAGTCTGTATGTTGAAATTTTAATTTTGTTCTCTGCTTTAAGTTATGATTGATGCTTTAATATATTGTTTTTGATATATGCTGTTTTTTATTCAGTGGAATTTATTGCAGTTTTATTGCATCAAAATCTATGCCATAAATTTGTATGAATCTAAAATTTTTTTGAATAATAAATTTATTTAAATGATAATCTATTGCAGATTAAATTTAGGTCATCCTTATTCATTATTTTGCTAATATTTAAAAATATGAAAAAATTATTTTTATTATTTATACTTGTAGTATCAAGTATAAATGCAATAATAACATGATGTGTAGTTAGTTGGTCGATCTTATCTTATCTTACTTATTAGTTTTTGTGAAAGGTTGTCGTTGATTTTAGAAGCAGTGAAATAGTCTTAGGAATTTTTTGGTCGTGGACCTTGTGAAAAGGGGTCCAAAATGCTGATTTTTGCCAATCAAATTATTCGAAGGAGATTTCAAACAAGTGCGAATTTGGTACAAATGCGATTCCGTCAAAGATCTTATGAATTGCCGAAAAGTTCTCTACCAAAATTCGTTAGGTTTGTCTTATTATTTATTGCGTCGAAAATCTGAGGCTTTTTTTTCCGGGCTTTGTGGTTGCATAAACGGTAATGATGCTATTTGGTTACATAGGTAGCATTTGGGTTTAGTTGGAACATGGACAGTAAAAAAGCAAAACAAGGTTGTATACGAGGATAGAGTAAACTTTGATAAATTATTGGTAAAGAGGAAGGAAAAAGCATTTTGCATCCTTAACTTTTTGCTGATGATGTCCACGTAACCGATAAGTAGGTTTTTGTGAATCCCAGTTAATCATTTTTTTATAATTTATTATTTTGTTGAGTCATTTTATTGTTAGCAGGTTTTTTTACAATTTTTTAAAGCATCGGTCCAAAATTTTCAATCTTATTTCAGATCGGCGAAATAGGCGAAAAGATGAAATGATGAAATTAGTTAGATTATATAGAGATAAAAATATAATTTTAATTTGAAAACTTAATGCATTGGTTTTATATCCATTCACAATTTTGAAGTGCTGTGTGAATGATTTTTTAGCTTTTATAATATTATTTAATAATATAATAATAAAATAATTCTAATTATATTTTGATAGTAAATAATTTAATTGAATTAAATTAATTGGATCTAAAATTAATTCAATTTGAGGCGTTTTCTGATTCGTTATCCTCAAGGACCTTTTTATATCGTTGGTGGTCTCATATTAAGCGGATTTTCTTTTCCTCTGTTTCAAGCCCTATATTACCGTATGACAATGAATAAAGAAGATTTTATAGAAATGCAGGAACGGCGTCGCAAAGAAGTCAAAAAATTATTGGTTTCTGGCAAGTTTTTTTTCTCATAATTTCATAAAATATAATACACATAATTACCGATATGTACCGATAAATTTTTAAGAATCATGTTAATCAGCTATAATTTATTTTAGGATATGGAGGCACATGGAAAAGGTGAAATGCAATTGGACATATTGATATTCTTGGACTAAGCGTTTAGATTTAAATTCATTGCTTGTAAAATTTTCTTATTAAATGAATATTTGTAAAAAAATATTTGATGCTAAATTTATCATTCTTTAGATGAGAGAAAAACGGTTTATTTTATACCTGGAATTAATAATTTTTTTCATATTATTTTCATCCATTTCGTCCTTGTTCCAATTTTATTGTTTTTTTTTTTTATTTTATGTTCTCTAATCCATTCTAGATTAATTATATTATATTAATTATATCAATATCAACATATTTCCTGTGGCCATTTTAATGTGATAATTTGGTTATTTTTAATATCTTCAGTTGGCCCTTAGCAATCCATTAATCGTAGAATGTACTTAAGGTTTAAGCCTAAGGTTTATTCATCTTATTCATAAATTTATTCATCTTTCTATTCCTTTTTATGATGACAAAATAACCTTTTGTTACTAGTTAGATCGTGATGATTGTACCGTCCATATTGTCTTTTTTAGAAGGGTAAATTATGCTTATCTGTTTTATTATCTAGTTTATCTCCATTTATCATCTATTGTGTATCATCGAAATTACATGAAATTACATGTTAATATCAAGCTCATTTTCATCAAGATTTTAATGAAGAACAGGCAAGGGAGACAGAAAAGAAAATGGATGAGGAAATATTCATATGGCAATTAAGAAATGGCGATAAAATGATGGAGCGTTTTTTAATTAATTTAGTTGTCTTTTGTCTTTTTTAGGAAGAAATATCACAGAAATTTTCTTTTATAAATCGGTTTTGCTTAAATTCATTTCATTGTTGATATTCGATTATTGAGAATGCTAGAACAGTATTTTTATTATTCCATTGATTTCGAATTATTTCATGCATTTCATTTTTTAGCGATGCTTTGATTATTAAGAGATTTTAAGTCTGAATAATGGGAACGAAATTAAAATGAAATATCGAAAATCGCTGGATCACTGAAGCAATGTAGTGTGTTGGTGTGGGAAACAATAAACGAAAATTTTAAATTAAAACTTTTGATATTTCTATTTGAATTGTGTGTTATGTATTTGAATTCCTAAAATATAGGTAATATATGTAGAAATATATGTAAATATAAAATATATATTTTAGTTTCTAAGAAAATCTAATTCAAACATTTATTTTTCCGATTAATTTTTGATTAATTAATTGCAAAAAACGAGTCGCAAAGTTCTTGTAAACTTTGGTTTTCCTGCATAAATACGAAGTCACAAAGGGTGTATCTTTGGAACAGAAATCGCTAACGATGAACCACATGGGAAATGACTTTAAGAAAGAGGATAAAATAGAACCTTTACGATTCAATTTCTGTTTGGCCCAGGGGACGTACGTAAAGTTCTTATCGATGAGTGGATCGCTCTTTTGGCCAGCTGAGATTCTCATTGCTTTAAAGTGAGTTCGGAGGCTATCAAACGTTCATGATCGAAGTAGTGGCGTATTGGTGCCATTTTTCAAAAATGTTTTGCTAAAAAAACTGGCAAGGAATGTGTGGTAACCTTTCGAATATGCGGATTGGTAACGATCTAATCCTTCCTGCAATGATTATTAACCATAGTCTGTTGTCCGCAGAACTTGTGAAGTTTCCCAGAATTCTGATGGATTTGCTTTAATCCTTGGGCAACCGAAGATCTATCAAATTTGGGAGTAAAGATTCTATTTTACAATGTAGTCCGTGTCCATAGATGAGATTTTTTATGTCTGTGCAAATTCTTTAAAGAAGTGCTTCCAAATTCCTACGGTGCTTAAAAGGACCATTAACAGTTTCCGGAATGATTTAATCTTTTTGAAGATTGAAGGAAAATATTTTCGAAAAAATTTAAAAAAAATTTTTCGCTGTTTTCTCAGTCTTAGGAAATATTTTATGACAATTTCTTTTCTTGCATTGACAAATGGAGATAATTTAAATTTCTCTCATTATTGCAGCAATTAACGATCGCTTGCTTTAGTCAACAGGTGATGATTGCTGAAGCATCGAATATTGGCTCGGGGACCACAAGTCCCAACGCTTTCGCTGCCCAGTTTCCTTTTTGCTCTTTGGAAACTCCGCCACGGGAATTCAAATCCTTCAGTGACCAAAAGTTTTTTTTCTTTTGGGAGGTTCTATTTCTATTTTCCTCAGCTTTACTTTGCGTTGCTACAGTTTCTGTGCGAGGAAAACAGTCTATTTCTTTCCTCCCAAGGAAACAGAACAAAGTAAGTGAAAGAGAGCAAAAGAAAGACATTATCTTCCGCCTAGGGCATTTCTCTGAGCAACTAATTTTGCTTACGCTTAAATTTCATTTCTGGAAAATTTGTTGATTGGCTATAAATTTTAGTTTATAGGCTTTTTCAACCTAAATTGTTGTAAAAATGACGGGGGATCTGAGAATTCGATTCAAAAAGAAAAAAATTGAACTGAAACATGACCAACAAATCGATAGAAGAAGCAGCTGTTATAATCCTTCTAGATTTTCCAGAAAATAAGATGGCATTGATAGGAGAACAACTATATCACCGGCTTATCTTTTGTTTATCCATCATTATTGCTGTTATCACTAAATATGGCCAATGATAGCTGAATTTAATAATTAAATGATAGCTGATTATAAAAATGTTTAGAGACTGCGTTTTTAAATTAACGGAGACAAAATGGCTGAATGATTCGATTTCCGCTTTTTAACAGCGACAAACGAAAGTACCAATAAAATTGAGTTCCGAATAGCCCTACGTGTACATTCATCTCTAAGTGACTAACTGGTGATTCAAATTTCCCAGTGAGAAAACAAGTTTTAGCTCTCCTAATTCCAGTGTACAAATTCTCCTGGTTCATTTGCCATATTTTCTTGAAATTTCGTCTCAAAAGTGATTTCGAACCTTTATTCAGAAAAAAGGAAGAAAGCGTTCATCAGAATGGTTGTCGTTCGAGTGGCATTTAATCTTTTAGTCCTTCCAAAAGGTATTTTTTTGCCAACGTTGGCTTCTTATCCAGAAGTAACATCGTGGAAAAAGTGAGAACGGAAATATTTATTGATAATGTCGAAATATTTTTATAATTGGTGAAATTCATTCTTGCGCAGCCCAGTTAGTCGAATTGGGCTTAATGGGCCATTAAAAAGGTTGCTAATGGATTCTATCGATTGCCTCAGGCTGCACTCGAAAAGCTTTAGCTTATTTCCGTTTTCTATGGATCTGTGCTTTATTATGAAAAAAGAAGACGTCTATTAAACATCAATTTTGATTCTTCGCTATTTTTTGAGCCTTTTTTTCAATCATTTTTAAAAGAATAGCATTGATTTTGCTATTATTTAGGACCGCTTGGATTGACTGCTATTTATATTAATAAGGTTGGATAGTTGAATTACCATTTAACAATGGTAAATTGCTTCAGTCAAGCATAATGAATTTGCTTGACGGAGATAAACATGTCATTAAGAGTGAAATTAGAGCGTTGCTGGGACTCATATGTACTTCTAATTTTTTGGCGATCAGATCCGAGAAGCCAAACTATAAATGGTGAGTGGTGGTAAATGGTGATTGTTCGGGTTATAGACCTTTTGCTATTAGCTTTTAGCTTTAGGACGACTTAGATCGGTTGTAAAGATTAGGAAATTTGATAAATGTATTGGAAGATGAGTGTAAAACAAATGTAATGAAGAAGTCTGAAAAAATTCTTTGGAGATTTGAAATTTGAAATGTTCAAATTTTTTAAAATTTATTCAAAATTATCTTTAAATCCAAAAATATCGCTTTTTTGAGGTACATTCGATTACTTTTCAAGCATTTAAAGTCGTCCATTCTCTTCCATTCAAATATCTCTAATGTCTTCTTTTCCTTTCTTCCTAAATCTATTAATCCATTAAAAATCACCAATTTATCACGCAGTAAGGCAAACGATAACATTTATCGCTTATTCGATAGGTCGGCGAAAATGTTCAGAAAATGAATTGAATGAATAAGATTGAGATGTTTGTGAGGATTTTTGCCTCCGGAAAATTGCCCAAATCTCTCCTATGTGAATGCTATAATTACTATAATTCTTTTCTATTTGCTGTTTTTATTTATTTATTCTAATTTGTGAGAAAAACCACAATTTCTTTTGCTTTATTTGCTTTAAAGGTAGCTATGGTAGCAAGAAAAAACAAAACTGCCACCAAATCAGCAGAATTCGAATCTTATAAAGCTACCAAAATTACATTGGAAACAATATCGACGAGTCCACGTTGCCGTGGTTCTCATGTCTCTATGGTTCTTCTTTTGCTTTTATATTATGAGTTGGCCTAAAAGAGCTAAAATTATTAAAATTTTCAGATCGATATTTGCAATTTATTCGAAATGTTATGCAAATTATTGACTTCGTCAAATAAATAGCAATTAAAAAATTTGAATTTATTATGAATTTTTATTGTTCCACTTTTACAATTAAATTTTTTTCAAAATATTCACACTATGCATTGGCAATGATTAGTGAGAGAATGATAAGGAATGGAATTGTGATTAAAAATGAAATCCTTGTGATCGTGCTACAGGGCCACTTGCACATCTATCCCCAAAGGATGCTCTGGAAAAAGGATCTCTCGCTGGAAGCCAGAGGAGCCAGTCAAACCAGAAATGGTTAGTGCTGTTGGAAGAGTAAAGGTACTTTGCTTTTATTTAGAATAAAATTAGTATAAAAAGTGATAAAATGATATTGAAAGCGGCCTTTCTCACTGAATTAGCACAGCCGTACGGAAAATGAAAGCCTTGAGCTTTATTAAAGCTTCGCTCATTCTGCATCGGCTCAACCCAAGAAGTATATTGAGCTTGCATAACTTCGAGGTAATAGTGTACCGAGAAATTGCCATTGCAATTATCTGTTTCACAGCAATCGTCACATCGCACCATATCTGTTCCGTATCCATCCGATTCGCATTGTACTCGACATGCTTCATTACATGATCGTGCAATCGAGCTGAACGCGTTCAGCGATGTTTCTATGGTTGTCTAGAAAAGTTTAAAATTTGCTTCGACTTGTATGTAGCAAATTAATATTCTAAAAATTTATTTTCTAAAAATTTATTCATTAAACGGCGCTCATCATTTCAAATTTCTTCTTCGAACACCTCTCACCATTACTGCTTAGGTTGGCTCCACTGGCTGCAAGGGCAAGACGTCTCCGAGCTGCTCGCTCCGACGGCTATTTTACCGACCACCATAGTCGTATCCTTTCGAGTCACTTATGAGCTCCCTCTACCCGTATTTTCAAAAAAAGGTCCGCAAAGGGACTCGAATCGAGCCATTACATTTGACATTGCCAATCAGCGATAATAAATTATTCGGCTTAACGACACAGCTTGCCAATAATTTTGATGAAGTTGTTTTAGCAAATCGCTGCTAATAGACGACAACAAATCGTCCATTATTTATTTAATACACTAATATGGAAGACATCCATTTGGATTTTCAGCTTTGGCACTAAACCGCAATTTAAATCTCTTAAATATTTATTATTTATATTTTTCAAGATTTTTGAAATCGGTGCGAGCAAAATGAAAAATTTGATATTCTATGACAAATTCAATTCCCAATTTCCCAATTCAATTGTTTCATCATTGAAAATTTCATTCATTATTCGTTTTTCAATTTTTTTTTGACCAAATTGTTGTCAAAATTTCTTTTTATTTAATTTTATTCGCTAGAAAAATTTTTCGCACGAAAAATTTTATACGATTATTAACTTCCATGGTTCTTGGCTAATGAAAAAAGGCCATCGATGCTTTAAAATTTACCTATTTATACGAATTAACTAATAATTAAAGTATGGAATGGCTCAGTGGGTTGTTGCTCGATTGGGAGCGCCGATGCTGAGGTTCGATTCCCCGCAGGAGCAAACCTGTACAAAAATCAGGGTGATGCTGGCGACTCACCTGTATTTCTATCGCCAATGGATTCTCTGGCACATTGCCCAATGCGGCAAGTGGAGCGAGTTTAACAAGTAACGGGGAGGACTCTTAAAAAAAAAACAAATATATTTACTATTGGGTTAAACTGCGAAATAGTTTTTTCAGCTATTTGTGGCTAATTTTAAAATCAAATTAACGATTAATATAGTTGCAACTTTTATTTTCGCTAATAAAATAAAAAAATATGGCAACGAGAACGTTTTGGATTTCTATAGAATTTTGTCAAGTCTCAAATATAGTAATTTATTTATAATTTAAGCGGAAGTAATTAAGTGAATAACAAATTTTATTCCTCGATTTGTGTTGATGTGGTCCAACATTTGCCAGGTCACAAGGCGTGAAAAGCCAATGGCTAAATGGTGAGAAATATCGAGAAAATAGAAATCCTTTCTGGGGAGATTTGTTTGGATAAGATAACGATGAGATAAGAAATCTAAATAATCGTATTAAGTTAAACCCCATTCGCCAATCACCATTACTGGTTAGATTCGCTCCGCTTGTCGCACTAGACAAATATGCTAGGGAGTATCTTCGTAATAGAAATGGGTATCATCGCCAGCATCATTTTTATGCAGGTTTACTCCTGCAGGGAATAGAACCTCAGCGCCGGCACTCCGATTCGAACAATAATCCACTGAGCCATTCCGTTCTCCTTTAATTTTCTCTATCAAGCGACACTGCCACCCAATGAAGAGTGGCACAACGGCAAATCCGAATTTATTTACATTTTAAAATTTCGTTTACGTTGAATAGCTAAGTGTAAAAATAAGAATTTACGCATACCACGCAATATTTTTCCCAAGCCGCACATGGCCTTTGCGTTAGTTCTTTATCCATAAGTATGAGTGTTTCATTCGCACAAAAATAATCATCGTTGGCTCGTGTTGGCTCTAATCTTGAATATGAACACGAATAGCACTTAAGAGCCATAGGCTGAGCAACAATTCGCAACAAAATAATGGTGACTGCTTGAAATTTATCCCACATATTCAACTATATTTTGGTAAATTATGTAAAAAGAAGTAAAATCGCGGCAACTCAGATCATTCTTGTTGCTAAACTTAAGGGCTTTTATGGCCATAATGAAAATTATTTGGAGAAATTTAGGCTCGAACGATTTCAGTAACGATCGCTTTGATTGATAGATTTGCTTAATTTCGCTTGATAAATTTCCTTTTCGCGTTTCTATTAAATGCTCTTTCGTTTCCATAAATTATTTTTCCGAAATTTTCCAGCATTTTAAGAAATTATTTTTGTTGAATTTATAAAAAAAAATATTTCTTAAATTCTGAATTTATCCAATTTTTTGATAAAATTATTTAATATTTAATTCATCTGATTATTTTGCTCCTTTTTTTCCATTTCATTAGTTTTTTAGTGGTTTTTAATGTATTTGTTTACCAAAAATATTTGATAATAACTGATAAGAGTTTATGATTAAAACAATTCGCACAATATATATGTAGCTCACTATTTTCGCTTAGGTTCGCTTCATTTTTGCCTTAGATTCGCTTGCGTGGAAATGCGAGTCCCTAGCACCAACAGAATTTTTTAATGATAAATTTACTTAATGAAAGAGTATACGAGTGTTTCTCAAATGTTTTTACTTTAGTTGTAGATCGAGTGAGTTCATATAAAAAATTCGAAGATGACCGAATCCAAAGTGATAGCACACGATATGTCGACTATCACGGAAATTCGGCCTTATCTGAGCCTAAGCGGAATTATTCCTCTAACATCCTCCAATCTAAAACGGTATGTTTTTGTTTTTTATGTTTATCTAATTTTAAAATATTTAACTTCCCATTTTCTTTCAAAGTTTTTAGAATTAGAATCATTGAGTGAAACTTAATTTCCATTGTAACAAACCGCTGCTGCTTGTTAGCTCCCCTAACGATCTTTTCGCTACTTGGAGTCACTTGTGGTTGGAGGCACAAACCATTCGGAAATACAATTCTCAGACCAAATTATTCCGATTGGCCTAATGTCTGGCTAATTTAAATTTTAGTGCCTAAAAATTAAAATTTGTAATAATTCTGCTATTCTTTCCACAACATATTTTAATCAGAACAAACCTTCCTCATATATAAATACAATATGAAATTCACATTTGATGATTACAGCTGAATAAACGTGAATTTAGGGTAATAAAAAATAACCTTGCAGGTTCACGTGCATAATCAATTGTGTAGCAGGTCTACGCCAAATCGTCCCACCACACCTCACAGTAATCCATATACCGATAGAAGATAATGAAAACACCGATCTCAGCCCATATTGGCAAACTGTTTTCCAAAAAATTGATGAAGAAAAGCGTAATGGTGGCAAAGTCCTTCTATTTTGTGGAATGGGCATTTCCAGGTTAATTGTTCTTTATTTTACTTTAAGTGTGTTTAGTGAATTGCTGGTTAAGCTCGCTACGCTGGCGGACATGTCGGACCAAATAAGTTTTGCCAGGGGAAAAAAATTTTATCAAAACTCGGCGATAAAAGTACAAATGAGTTCGCCAGCACCACTCGGATTTTCTAATACTCTGATACATTCGCTCTTACAACGGACATAAACAAAACCTAAAATAATTTTGTTGCGAGCAGAATATTGCTATTCATCCATTTGTCGAAATGCTATTCTAATGCTAATTTTCGCGAAAAATATTTTTAAAAATTTATTTTATATTTAAATACTTGAAAATTCTTAAATAACCTTGCAGCGGAGACAAAAGCACTGGAAAATTCCACAATTCAAAAACAAAGAAAAATTCCAAAATTTATGATTAAATTGTAAGGGGAATTGTATTTTGCATTTTCAATTCCAATCATTTCAACATTTCCAATTTTAACACTTAAAGTTTTAAATTAAGCGAGAAATCAACTTTTTATCTGTAGAATATAACGAAATTTCACTGACGATTATTTCTTCAGATCGGCGACATTTGCCGTTTCCTATTTAATGTGCATTGAAAAAATGACATTGCACGATGCTTATAAGGAAGTGCAACGATTACGGAATATAATCTGCCCAAACGTTGGCTTCTTTAAACAATTAATCGAACTTGAAGAAAAGGTTTGCTATATTTTCTGACCTCAATGAATTCCATCCAACCGATTTGTGACGAACTTTTCTATTTGCTAGAATTTGACTATAGAATAGAATTAGGGAGAATTCTGCAAAAAATATAATGGAAACAGTCTTTTTAGAATTATTTTTACGAACATACAGAAAACCATAATAAAATTTTATACTTATAGAAAAAACACGTCCACTAGATTTACAAAACAAGCCTCAAACTTTCAAACCTTGGCAAACCTCTTCACATTTCCTCAAAACCTGTTATATCCCTTTAATACTGACCAAGAATAGAAAAAAAAACTGAGAGCGAAGAATTAAAATAAATATTTGAGACTGAAATTGTAGGAGTTATTTTACAACACCTATTCAGCAGTATATAAAATAATAAAAATAATCTGATAGTAAAACATATGCATATACTTAAAAGAAGTGGGAAAAGAATAGATTGATAAAATGGGATTAATTATTGGTGGAACTAAGACTTTTGATTAAAAGTGGAGCCAATTAACAAATATATTTATCTCAGCAATATATTTAACAATACAATACAATGCACGTAATGACTAAACCAATTACTACAACGCCAATCTATTCTTTTGTTCGATAGGCGTGAAAAATACGAGTCAGATTTGAAGATGGATCAGATTTAAAGGTTTAAAATTTATATATCATTTCTTAGGAAAAGGGTTCTATTAAACTTGAAAGGACTCTTTATCATTTCTTTTTTCGTTGATTGATTTGTGCTGAAGTACGTGAAGATCTTTAGGAAATATGAACAAATGTGCAGCACAGATACATCCAGTAATGTTAACTTGTAGATAGATCAGATTACCGACACCGCTTATTGGTGCTTAAGAGGTATGCTAATCAGTCCAGACCACAGACCTTGAATATGTCGATGATTGCTTCAATGCTTGCTTCACTTTCTTCACGATAATACCACAGAATATCGTCTTCTCTAGTTATAATGACGGATAACGTCAAAAGTGAGGTGGTCCAAAGGACCTGAAATGACATAGTCGGAGGATTTTGAATGTAGACCAGCGTTATATGGACTCAGACGATGGAAAAAGGAATGACTTCTATTATTGGTGGAGTCGGACCGACCAGCTTGGAAATATCCTACCCTTACCTCAGCGCAGCCATCCTAACCAATAATGATGAGATCTATTTGAAGAACATAGCTTAATAGATTAGAATCATATAAATTTACGGTTATATTACTAAAGAAAATATTGCAAAACAGTAAATTAAGATGCTAAAGAATATTTAAAGGAGATTGTGAAGAATTCTAAGATGAACTTTCTTTGAAGTCAATTGTAACATAGATTTTTTGTTTTTTCTTCTGCTTTTTTGATTTATTCACGGAATAATAAAATGAGGAAAACAATGAAAATATAATTTTCTACTGCTTCCATGATCAACATGAATGATTCGCCTGAAATGTAAAAATTAAATTGAAAATATTTTTAAATTATCAATTTAAACCATCGACCATAAAAGTACCATAACTCATATTATATTGAACAACGAAGGAAATTTTAGTTATATAAGAAGAAAACAGTAAAAATAATCGAACCAATTGCGGGTGTTCAAGTCGCCGACGTCGTTTGGAATGAACTTTATGATGAACTTCGTTGTCGCTGAAAAATATCACTTTTTTAAATTTTATTTCCATTAATACTTATTAATATTAATATTTCGCTGAAAAAAAATTTTTCTAATTAATGAATTAATATTCCTATCAATATTAATTAAACCCTTTAAAGAATATTAAATATAAATATTAATTTATAATATTAATCTAAAATATTAATATTTATATTTAACATTCCTTAAAGGGTTCAAATTTAAAAAGAATGACAATTAGGAAAAGAAAAGGCAGTTCTTGATTTATCAGTCAATTTTACTTTATATGAAGTAAAATGCCCACAATTTCCAGCTTGACGATCTCCGTTGACGAATACGGCTAGATATGTTTGCTGGGGATTCCTTGGCGATAAAAATACATGCAGGTTATTACCCCCACTACCTACATTAATTTTGTATGCAATTATGTAATGCTATACGCTGTTTTGATTGATCAAAACAAGTACGATTTGGCGATCTATTTTTGCGAATAAATTTATATACAATTTTTTATACGATTTAATTTGCTCATAAACAGGGGATTGATTACTCTAGTATGAGGTTTTACATCGCGAATGACCTTCGATTTAAGAAGTTAATAACGAATGAATGCATCGACGAAGATAATCTCGTAAGATTCCCAATTTTTATCTTTGATTGCCTTCAAAATTGAAAGAATTCACAATTAAGCCCAACTTCACCACATCACTTTTTGCCTACCGATTTCCATTTCATCATTATTATTATCACTGCAAACTTTCCATTCATTTCCGATTTATCCTTACACATGGAGAACCCTCCAGTCTCTCATATTTTGCGCCATAGTTCCAAAATTTTGCAATAATCGCCTTTGTGATTTCATAATTCCATGTCCACTTTCTTGTTTTCATATTTTATTCTTTGAATTACATCTTTGAGGATCTTGCAAAGAATTACTATCCTCTCGGCTAAACACGTTTTTCTATGTTTATAATTGTTGTTTTCGAGTGCAGAACGTTAATGCAAGACAAACGAACAAGAATCATTGCTGATAATATCGGTTATCGATAAAGAACCTCATAGATAAGGCAACCGCATTTTAATAAAACTGATCCTTCGATAGAATGTCCATAAAAATGGATAAAAGCACATTTTTTTCTAAAATAACTTTATTATACGACTGATGACTTCCACGATTGGAACTTTTTTTCGTAAACAAGAAGAAGAACCAATGAAAAAGTCTCACTATGCTAACAAGCCAAATTTCTGCATTTTTCATTATTTGCAAATTGTAGGTATCTGACTGAATTTCTGACTAAATGACAATGAGCATCCAATAATACCCGTGCGCAATCGACCTAAACCTACCAAGAATGTGACCTTAGACCCACCCTAAGAGCGAAATCCCCTACAAAAGCTCCTAGGACAGGCCATAAGTCAACTTCGTACAACTGTCACAAACACACGGCTGACCCAAACCCAAATTCAAAAAATGGCACTATGCCAGATCTCCTTTACCCTCCACTATTGACTTGCATGAACCATCACTATAAGTCAGCTTCTCGGCCGAATAAGCTTCTGAAAAGACCATTACGGTTGAAGAGAATTATGCAATAATAGTCAAAATCGGCAGCCGCATGTGCAGCGTCGCGTCATTGTAGGTATCCAACATGGTCCTAGGTAGGTAGGTGGTTGGAATGTGGTGTTGGCGTTGAACTGGTGAAAGACTGAGGAGGGGTTGGGTGGTCGCAACGTTCGGAGGGAGTGTCGCGGTTATTCGAGCTTCGAGACGTGTTTCTTATTTATTCGTGTGTTGAGCTGATTCGAATTCATTAATTTTCGCTCAAAAAATTTCTAAATTTTTAAGAATTCGTATAGAATTGCTTCACAATTTTAATATTCGAAAATCAACTTTCAAAATGGCGGTGCATTTCTGTTACTCGAATTTTTTAATTTAATTATTAATTAATAAAACTTATTAGTAACTGCAAGAAAGAAAAATGCATTCAAGTAATTATAAATTAGATTTTAAGGCTTATAATTACGATAAAAAGTTTTATAGGGAGCAATTAATTTGCGTAGGCAATTAAGCAATATTAAAGGCAAATAATAGGTCGCATTGTGAACTTTTGTTTTCATTGATTCTCATTATAAGTAGTGCTGAGGATTCGTTTGCACTTTTCCTTCGCAGTTATTTTTTGCCAAAGTTTGATTTTAAAGTTAAAATGTAGAAAGGAAGCTTAAACTTCTGATTTTTGTGTAATAATTCGGCGTTGGCCTTTTTTTTGATTTTTTTCAGTTATTTGGTATAACGAATTTTTTTGACATTAATTTTTGTTAATATTTATTTATTAATATTTTGTCGAAATGTTTGTTTAGTTTCAGAAATAGTGAGAGTGGATTCGACCAGCCGGAACGAAAAACGAAATGCCTCCAGTTTTTTTTCAAAAGCCTGAAACGGCGTTAAAACGGGCTCAAGAACTTATTTCGGTCGGCAAGGAGATCGATGCTCTTGAAACTCTCCATGATACTATTAAGGTATTTTTATATCAGTTTGCTTGAACATCTTTTTTTCTTGCTTCATGTGGATTTGAATTCTTAATATATATCTGATAATATTAATATATTCGTATCGTATTATAATATTGTTTGATATCGCAAATCGATGAAAGAATATTTCCTTTGTTTATTATTATTATTATCATTATTATTATCAGTTTGGCAAATAGTACAACTTGCCAATATTGTTTATTATTTAAAAACCGTACTAATACTGCTGAACTTTTAAATGTATTAGTCATAATGCAAATTGGGAGTCGAAATATATTATGCATCATTCACAGTTCAGTGGATGAGTTATTATATCCATTGGTCTACAGTGATGCAAAAATAATAATTGGTAATCAAAAATTTGTTGCGGAAAAAAGCAACAAGTTTTCAAGGCTCAATTTACATCATTTTTTCCATTTTTTCAGCTTTTTTCTGAACTTAAATATTTAAAGGATTTTAAAGTATCGGCTAAGTTACTTATAAATTATTTATGTGGTTTTAAAAAATATTTAGGCTTAAAAAGTGGTTGGTAAAGAATTTTTTTTGTTTGAGAGATATTTGACATTTAAAAGAATTTTTTGTATTTGAATTTGATTTAAATTTAGTCAAAACGACATAAACAATGGACAAAGACACACGAACAGATAATGTTAAAACACGTAGAACTTTGCGTTTCACTTCGCAAAGCACATATGGCCAAAGATGCAATGTTTCAATACAAAGCACTCACCCAACAAGTAAGTATATTGATTTTTGTGTTGAATCAAGATTTTTTTAGAGTATTAAAAATTCAGAAATCTAAAATTTCGATCAAAAATATTTTAACGGTGTTTGCAATGAATTGAATTAATAAAAAAAATTGAATTTAGGTTTCAACAAAATCGTTAGAAACAGTCACTTTATGTTATCTGGATCTTGCCCAACAAAAAACAGAGGAAGCGCAGAAGACTTCTTTGGAAAAGGTCGAAGAAATCGAAGATTTGGATATGGCTGATGCTCCTGAAAAGTGTTGTTTTGCTTTTTTCTTTATATGTGAAATTTTTATTGTCTTCATATTCAAGAAATAAGAGCAGTAATTGCTTTTCGGTTGTATACTTTCGATTATATTTTCGATTTGATTGTATCGGGTCGATTGTATACGTTGATTTTCCAGCTTGCTATTATCTGCAGTGTCGGGAGCAGCAGCTCAAGATCGAATGGATCGAACAGTATTAAGTCCATGGTTACGATTTCTATGGGAGTCATATCGAAATTGCCTGGATCTGCTAAGGAATAATTCTGTGGTACCTAATCTCATTGTCATCTAAAGATTGTGGTTAATGAAATAATGAAAATATTGTGTATTTTGCCATAAGTCATTTATTTTTCAAATTAATTATTTTATGGTAACAATTATAGTTTGAACAATTATATCATCGTATAGCTAGACAGTCGTTTGAATTCTGCTTGAAGTATCAGCGCCGAACTGAGTTCCGTAAATTGTGTGACCATTTACGATTACATCTTACTCAAATTCAAAAGCATCAGCACCTGCCTCATGTGTATGTCTCATTGTTATCCAATTTAACTTACGATTTCTATTAACTAAAATATAGTTAGAATACCATGCTGTTTTATCTGGCTTTCCGACTTTTTCATTTTGCGGAATATTTTAATTATTCAAGGGATATGTTCAGCATATGTTATTTTCATTTTGGATTTTTTAGAGTGAAATTAACGAGCGCTGAATCTCTGACATTGATGCAAGATACCAGATTGATTCAACTAGATACAGCTATTCAAATGGAGCTTTGGCAAGAAGCCTATCGAAGTGCAGAAGATGTTCATGGTATGATGCAGTTAAGCAAAGATAAGGATAAAAGAATGGTCAAACCAGCTAGTTATGTCAATTATTACGATAAGGTTCATTTCGTTGTTCCAAGGTTCACTGATTTTTCGAAGAGCATGTTCTCGTTTCGTTCTTTCGTTTTCAAGAGAGAGAGCGATCTGTTTAGCATGCAAGATAAAGGAGAAAGGTGAGAAGAAATGTTTTCTTATGAGCACATGAAGAAGTCTCACTTTTCTCGAACAACAGTCTCTCACTTTTATTTTCACCTTTTTGCCTTTTTTCAAATTTTTTTTTTAGCTTGCATTAGTATTTTGGAAAGCAGATAATCGTCTCTTTCACGCTGCTGCATTACTCCAGAAATTTATCATTTATAAGGACATGAAAAAAATGTTCACTGCAGAAGAAGCAACAGATCAAGCGACTAGAGTTCTTTTGGCAACACTCTCAATTGCAGATGGTGCTGATAATCCTTCTGATCTTACACGTCATTTAGATATAGAGGAACAACATATCGCTAATATGAGGTTAACAGTATAAATTTAGATTTTCTGAACTCATTAATTAATTAGTATTTTATCATAATTGTTCTTTTTGCAAAGAAAGCCTCAATCTCACTAAATTTGTTAAGGATCTGGTTTTATTCACTGCAGTGATTTATCTGCAGTGGTATGCTGTCATACTATATAATTTACTGCCGATAATTACAGCCGAAGTGTATAGTTCATTGAATGTCAAATAATAAGCGAGTTTTCAAAAAATGCTCGAAATATTTTTGATGGTTAAGGGCATGATTTAGTTCATTGCAATGATTTATTTGCAGTGATATGCTATCGTGCTATATAATTTATTTTTTCCAAGTTATATTTATTGTTTTTATGAAAGCTGGGAATACTTGGATAATTACAGCCGAAAAGTATATTATATTCATTGAATGTCAGATCAGTCAGATAATGAAGCTAGTTTTGTGTTTGAAACATTTTAGTAATTTGCAGAATACTTTCAAACCTGCTTCGATTGCCTATCGCGCCAACACGTGCTGGTATCTTAAAGGAAATTGCCCGTTTAAACCTTCCAGATATTGCACATGATAGTGCCAAGTCGCTATATTGGTAATGATTTATATTATATTGGTAATGATTTATATTTCTAGCTTTTCAATTTTGGCAAAATTTTCGAAATTTTTTTTATAGTTTGCTTGAATGCGATTTCACACCTCTACGTCTAGCAGCCAGTGTACAAACTGAATTATCAAAAATCCAAGAAATGCAAAAACCGGAATATGATCAGTATGTTTCTGCTTTGCATGGCGTAACAGCAACAAAAATTGTCAAGCAAATGTCTTTGATTTACGATACCTTATCAATAAAACGTGTCCACGAAATGATTCCGTTTTACAACGACATAGAATTTGAACGTTTCTTCGTTGATATTTGCAAGCATCGTTACGTACGGGTGATTTTTTAATTAATTTTTTTCATTCATGAAGAAAAATCTTTAAGTTTATGGTTTAAATAATATTTAGATGAATTGTCAAAAATATAGTTAGGAAATTTAAAAATTTTAGTGTCATTCTAGTCATTTGCTCACAAGAATTGTGTAAGGTTCGTATAAAGTCAAATTTGTAATATATACTTTATAATATATATATTTTCTTTAAGAATTTCTATCTGCTTATTTATATGGGTCTGTTGCATGCAATTTAACCAGGAAAGTGGCATATCACTGCGATTGAGATTGTGTAATATGGTTTTGGTCCTTGTATGTCGGTCTCGGGGTCCTTTTATTAAAAGGGAAGTCCTAATGTTGCAGATTCTTTAGGAAAAGGCTTCGTTATAGTAGTCATTGCAGTCAGCCAAACCAGAAGTAGGATGTGATGTAAGAAAATTTTGGAATTTATAGGCGAGAATCGATCATCGTGATAATTGTGTTCATTTTTGTTCAGCTGATGCAACATTAGCAAGTGCTTTCGAATGGGAAGGATCTGATGGTTTTATTGGAGATTTTGCCCAGGTTTCAATTAATAATTTCCTTTCATTTATTGCATTCATATTTTTTTTATATTCATATATCTGCATTTCATCTTCATATGTATTTGAATTCTAAAACCAGCAATCGCTGGCAGTCTAAGCCTAAGCCCTTAAAATATTTGTTTTCCAACAAATATTATGTATGGTCCTGCTTTTATATTTAATCTAAGTATAAAAGTATTCCATACGTTGCCGGGTAGATCTTTTCTATTCGGTTTTCGCGGTACCGAGTTGTAGAGGATGCACTATATTTCAGTGTTTAACTACGTGAATAGTTTGAATCTGAGCAGCCGGTGCTTTTGAGAATTCTGGTGTCATTCTTTTGTTAATGATTCATTAGCTGTTTCAATCATGCTTGCTTAGAGAGGTGTTGAAAGGGCAGTGTTTCATGCTAAATAATTTGAGAATGAATTTGAGAATGACATCAAATGAAGATGAAAAATTAATTGGACAAATTGGCTCTTCTGCAGCTATATTATTCTGTAGACGACATAAAAGGATTGTCCAACACATTTTTGTAAAATTAATTTTAAAAAAGTTTAACTGTGGAGTGACACTTTTTGTTGATGATTAATATAAAAGTTATAGGTTGGCATTGAAGGTATTCGTGGGCATTTAGAATTAATGCATCGTCAATTGCGAGAAATCGTTGAAATATTGGATGCTGATTCATTGCGAACCGAGGCTTTAGAACATGTTTGTTGTAACCTCCTTAAATAGGCGTAGTTTATTTCTTGCCTTCAATCAAGGATTAATAGTAGGATATTAATTTTAATAGGATTAATATGATGAACTACTATTTGAGATCAAACGTCATGCCGAAGTATATGCTTATCACAAGGATAACGATTATCAAAGAATGCTAATGCGCCGCAAAAAAATTGAAACGTATAAGGAGACGAGCGAACGTCTAAAACTGGAAAAGAGCCAGCAAGCTCAGGCTGAAGCAAATAGAAAAGAAGAATTGCGAAGGGCTGAGGAAATGCGTCGACTTGAGCAGGAAAATATCGAAAAAGAAAAAATGCGCAAACAAGCTGAGCAGGTCTATTTTTATTAAATAAAAATCAAGTTTTTAAATAAAGCGTTCTTAAATTATAGCGATATGTCACCCAAAATCATTTAAGGAGGAGATCGATCGAAAAGTACGTGCAGAAAAGATGAAAAGGATACAAGCCACGCCAATATATCAGGCAATCGTTAAAGATCATGGTGAAGAAGCATTCCAGAATATGGATCCTGATTCTGGTATAAATATAGTGTTATATATTTTTCGTTGCTATATTGTAATACGGTTAGAATTGATTGAATAAGTGTATAAATACGCATCAGTTTAATTATTTGTTTGATTATTAATATAATCAATTATTAATTACCATCGATTGTTTGATTGTTTATCGATTGCGATTGAAGTTTTACGCGAGCAACGTGATCGTTTGGATGAACAGAGGCGAGAACAACAAGCTCGTTTGCAACAACAGGAGAAGAAATTTGATCACATGGTGCGAGCTTATCATCTTCACGAAATGATTGAACGTAAAAAAATTTCTGATGAGTATGCTCGTACTGCACCCGTTTTACATGAAGAATATGAGAAACGACGAGTTTTTATGGCAATGTAAGGCTTTCCATTTCATAAACTTTCAATAGTGGTTCCGCAGTTTTGAAATTTCCTGTTTTTGATAGCTTGCCATTCTAACATAGTGTGCAAGTTGTGAGTACAGGATAAAGCAAATTCATTTTACTGGACATAAGTGATGTTTACAATTCACTTATGTTAAAAAAATGAGACATTTCTCGCAGATAATCGAAAATGGATAGCATGCATATTATTTTATCGTTTTTAGTCAAGAGCATGAAGAAGCAGTTTCGACATATGAAAGGATGCAAAAAGTAAGCAGTGATGCCGCTGCGTTTCTTGAAATAGTGAAGAATAATCATCGTGAAGAATTTGAGAAAAAAATGGCTGAGTGGGCTCAAAGATTGCAACATGAAAAGAAACATCGATTGGCTCAAAGGCTTGAAGAAAGAAAACGAATCAGACGGGAAAAATGGCTTCAGGTAATTGAAGTTGCTAAGTGAAATCTTTGGTAAGTGAACTATTTACTATTAATTATGGATTAATATTTTTATAACTTTAGTCTCGAGAACTGGAACAAAAAAGGGCGAAGGAAGCCTTGGAACAAGCTCGAAGAGAAGAATTGGAAAGAGAACGTCGTGCAGCACGCGAAGCACAACGTCAGCCTAAACGAGAACAGATTGATAGTGCTGCTGATTCTGATGTGGATTGGCGAAAAGGTGCACAGCCTACGGCAGTGAGGGTTCCTGCTGTGATACAACGTCAGCAGACCACTGATCGGATAGAGAGTGAGAGGCAGCGTGATAATCGGCCTATATTTAATCAGGTTTTGTTTAGTTAATTGATGATTCTTCCTTTTTTTATTTTTTAAACATTTAAATTTTTTAAATATTTTGTTTTATAGGCTGCATCAGAAGCCGATAGTGGGTTGTGGGTACGTGGTCAGGTTACTGCAGGTGCTAAGCAGCAGGAAACACCAGCACGCGGTTCACTTGTGATGCCGCGTCATCAAGTGTCAGAACGAGATTCTGCTCGAATGAATGATACTGATCATGGTAATTGGAGGCGAGGTCAAACTGTTAAATCTTACAAGGAGTCGATTTTGGTAAATGTTTTTTTCGAGGATATTACTGGCAGCCGTTATTTTATAATCATTCTTCATTAAATATATTTAATGTATTTATTTGAATATTTGAATATTTATATTATGTTCATACATATATAAATATATAAATTTAAGAATCCAGCGGATGTCCGGTCGGCTACAACGGCATCTGACACTGGCATTTGGCGGCGTGGATTGACTACAGTGCGTCAAGGTGGCGATGGCGATGTAAATATTGCGCATGTTTCATCTTCACAGACAGGTATTGTAAAATTTCTAATTCATGTCTGTTGTAAATTGAAGGCTTTTAATTTTACTTATTTATTTGTTATTTGAAAAGCAAGATATAAGCCTTGAGTTTATATGTTTTCAGCTACATCAGAAAGCAATCAATCTTGGAGGCAACGTCCGCGTTTAGTGGATGGTGCTTTAGCTCCATCTAATGGTGTTTCTCATTCTCATGAACAAGATGGGAGTGCTCTAGGAGAAATTACTGATCTAGATAATGGTGGCAAATGGAGTCATATTTCCCCGCGCAATCAACAACAGCAAAGTAGTTTATGTCATATATTTTTAATTTTGTGAAAATTAACAAATTTCAGTATGTCTCCGAACTGTTGATATTGCGATGAGATTATTCCTTAAGTCTTTTGGTCTCATATGAAGATTTAAAATTTATTTGTAACTCTATGACTTATTTCATTTTATTCCGTTCCATTTTTCAGTGCGTAATCGCCTAGCTCAGACAACTACTACTCGCAAAACTGCTGAAAACGATCGTAACTGGCGCAAAAAATAGGTTTTTTAAGACTTAAATCATTATTAAATGGCGTTATTGATGTTTTCCAACTGACATCGAGGATGGAAAACTTTCTAAAAATTCACGAATTTCCGCCATACTTATTTTTTTATTGCTTCAAGATTTAAGACTGCTTGCTAATCGGTTTTCGAATATGTTCGGGTTTTTTATGCTTTTCGTTTGTATCCCTTTGCCAGATGAGTAATGTTTATAGTAATCATCTTTAGTTCTGGCTCATTGTTTTCTTTGAGGTTAGTTTTATTCTGGTGGGTTAGTCTACGTCTACGCTTTTTTCTAAAACAGCGGTATATTTTCTTTTTTTAGTTCTTTTAAACAAAATTTTCAAGTTTTGTTTGATATCGCAATTATAACTATTATAACTAAATAGATTATGCAAATCTAACTTTTTATATAATGACCGCTATTCTGTAATTTTGTAAAAATTGTTATTCCTTTATTACGCCAATATTGTGGCTCTTAAACGCTCAATTTTTATGTTATTTTCATCTGAGCCATTTGGAAGTTTTTATGAATTGTTTCATCTGTTTTTTCTGCTGTTTTCAACTGTTGAAATCTCTTCATAAATAAACCAATTTTAAAAAATTAAATCACTTAAAATTTACATTGGGTGAAATTTTAAACATTATTTCTATTGAAAAGTTTCGGATTTAAACTATCCTACTGGGCAACCAGTCATTTGGTATAATTATTTGTATAGGATATTGGAACATAAACCACCAATATTTTTTATTTTAATGTGGTAGGTCGGTTTTATTACTAATCGATGTGATAAATCTGTCGGGAAATCGGGGAAATGCTGATGGCTCGCCTGTACTATCGCCAAGGAAGGGCTTAGCATATATTTGACGGGCCAGCGGAGCGAGTAACCAGCAATAGTGAGTACTCGTTAAGGAAAAAAATCAATGTGTAAATGATAATTAGCAAATGAACGAAATTCGAAGAGATTCGAAGAAATGAAAATTAGTAGGATTGAGAATTAACAACGAATTAGAGCTTTTGTAGGAACATTTTGGTATTCCATGGGAAATTATGTCGTGTATTTAACGTGATTTTGTGATTCGGCAAAAAAATTACTCAATGATCCTCGGGGAATTTTTATAACGATTTATTCATCGGGGAATATTGTCGATAATAATCGATTGAGAAAACCTGTTTGGCGTCGAATTTTATTTAATGGGCACCTTGTTAAATATGAAGAAAAACTTTCTTGTTTCATCTTTAAATGGAATGTTAGATTCGCCGCGCTCGTCTTCGATGTTTTCGTTGTTTTTTCTTCGCCATTAAATTTTCTCTTTCGAAAAAAATTTAGCTAACAAATCCTTAAATCTGAATGAATGAATAAATGAGGCGATTCGAGTTCCAAATGGTGGTTTGGAACTTATGTTATTCTTCTGGTTCTAATAGTTTTCACCATTTCCGGTTTGGTTGTTTACATTCCCCACTAAGAATGAGTTTATAAGATATAAGTGCATACGAATGTCTATTTTAATGGTCAGCCTTGTGTCCTCTTGCAAGAATCAGCTGTCATGGTACTTCAGATTAAACCAGTTTGGAGATCCGAAGCATTGTGCCATCTCCGGCACCCCCTCCTCCCTTTTGCGATTTCCTATTCATTTCTTGCTTCAGATTTCTTTTATAATTTGTAAAATTGTGCCGTATATTTTTTGTGAAATTAAAACTCAAAGTGAATCAATTTTTCGTTTGTTCGGTTTAAATTTTTTTTTGAAATAAATGACATTCATTCGGTTTTTTGATTGATCTGCTATAGGAGTTTTTTAATTGATAACTTAGATCGATGATAATATTATTATTATAATTTTTTCCCTAAATCATGTGTCCTCAAAAGCTGTTTTTGCGAAACATTTATGATCTTACGAAAAAATAAAAGGAAAAGGCTTTAATGGATGGGAGAAGAAAAGAAGCAAACCTGCTAGTGAGGTTGGAACCAAATCGTTAAGATCGCATTCTAAATTATTTAACATTTGACATATGTAATTGTTAATAATAAAAGCATGAATTTTTGATCTAAATAATTCAAAAATAAATGAATACATATTTGGTCTATTCTATTCTTCTCAAAAGGAAATTGGGTAAATTATTGTTGAACTAAAAAAAAATAGGTGCAAGGTAGTAATATTGTATACGTCCTTGTAAGAGAAGTTGGCTTCGAATTAGGCCAAGTGTAAGAATTTAATTGCATCAATTTAAAAAAATCCTTTTTATTAGTCAGTCAGTACCAGTTGGTAGCACAACAAATAGTATAAAATTGTTTATTTCCTAAAGATTATTGGATTTTAATTCTTAAAATTCAAAGTATTAAGAATGGGTTAAATGAAGGCGATTAGGCAAAGCTTATTGTATATTTTATTTGACAGTATAAAACAAAAACCGTAAACCTCTTAGATTAGTAAATTTTTTTATCGTTATTTTATGCTGAAAAAGTGGCTAGCATTCGCCATTTCTCGTTAGACTTACTCCACTGTTATTAGAATGCCACACTTTCGCTAGAGAGGCACTTGTGAAGGTACTTGTGGTTAGAAGTATGGATTCCTCCCTCACAGTGCCAGAATTCCTCTAATGATAGCTTTGCAACTACTGCTGCTTGGCAGTTAAACAACGACTTTTGCAATAATAATATTCGATCGTATTGTTACGCCATTGATAAATGGCGGATGTAAATCTCGTAAATTTATTATTCGTTCATCGCCAATCGGTCAAAAAAAGTTGGTTATTTTATTCATGAAAATTTAATTATTTCTTTTTTTCATGGATCCAATTTTAAAACTATTTTAAAATTTAGAAAAACATAATTGTTGTTCCTCGTTCGCGATGACCCACATATAAATTTATATTATTTTTATAGTAGTGTACCACGAAACGAAATTTGAATTCGTTCATAGCCAAAATTCTTATAATGAAACGCATGAAATGCGTGAATTTTAAGGTTATAAAGAAGAAAAACGAAACAGGTCGACAACTTTAAATAGGTTAATGGTGTCTATGCTCAGCTGTGTTGAAGATTCGGTTGTATTCGAGCGTTATATGCATGAGATGGCTTATTTATTTAAGCAGAATTTACTTTATAAACAAGTAAGGAAGTTAGTGCTCACCACCGATTCCGATAGGATCGCTCCGCTGGGACGGTTAGTACGGCCAGGATTTTCTTGCTACGGAGTCGCTTGGCAGTAGAAGTACAGGAGATACCACTCGGACTAATTCGAACTGAAGACGATGATCGTTAAAAACTTAAAATAGTCGCGTCAATATTAATTAATCGGCTCAAAAAGCTAAAAATATGCCAAAGAAAAAAAATGACTGTTGTTGGTAACATAGTGCAAATAAAATTTTTAATCTTCCTCGTATTTTTAACTTTTTGCAAAATAAGATTAATAAATAATCTTAATTATCTTAGTAAGGTTTAGTTGGCTATTATAGCGGTGCTTTTAGGGTCTCTATGTGGTACTACTCTGGCCAGAGCATCATTTGAAACAGGGATGCACATGAAAGCCAGGCGTCATCTGGACCCTACTTTTAATGACATGTTTGCTGTCGATTTTTAATAGAAGTGAAAAAAATATTTTCTAAGATTTTAGTCACCTAAGATTTTTTTGTTAAGCAATCGTACTTTAACTGTTAATGTAGTTTTTAAAACAGCATTCGAATTCGAATGAAATACAATAAATGTAATTTTCATTTAATAAAAATGAATAGCTCGTTATTGGCGATAAATTTTTTATCATTTACAGTACAACTCTATTTTTATCATTTCGCTAACTTTACAACAATTAACCAACTTGTCACCCGCGTCACTTGACTTTTCAATGACAAAAATCGAAAACATTTCATAGCAAACTTCCCGTCGGGGCAATCATATGATGATGGGTTATACATTATTGCTATACATACATTATTGTATCGTTATAGTGTTAAAATTATATAATATAACCAATTATTATCATATGCATAATATTATTCTTATTAACATTATTATTATCACTATTAGTACTAATATTATTTTTATAGTCTATTGTTATTATTATTATTTATTTGTTGATTTAATGTTATTACCATAACAGATGAAAAAAATTATTTTTTTAGTATTGTCATAATATAGATTTAATAATATAAATTATTTGTTAATTCCGTTAAAAATATTTTATTACAAGCGATTTTGCTTCAAAGATTTTTCTTCCTTGTCGTTTTCCTTTCCCTTTACTCTTATAAGAATGAAAGAAACATAAATTGTGCTAAATTTCTTATTTAATTATAAAATTTTAAATATATTTAAAGAATAATGGAATCATTATTAAGTGAATAATGTAAATAATTTATAAGCTCGATAAATCAGATTTGGATAATTTTATCAGTTTGATAAAATTTTCGCTGAAATTTTATTAAGGCTGATTGTCTAAAAATTTAAGATTTAGAAATTTAAATAGCATTTTACGCTGAAATTAAAGCTGTAATTATAGTTTTCCTTCATTATATGATAGGAGTCTTATTCCAAAGCTTGTAGGTTTGTAGGTTTGGTACTTGCAAGCTATTTCTCCTCTCCAAGCAGGTTTGTTCTTTCTTTTTTCTTCTCATCTCCTTCATCACCATTCATTCGCTTTACTCGTTTTTTATTGTCTTATAAATTTTTTATGTATTTTGTCGTACTCTTCTAAGACTACGACTTCTAAGACTACTAAGGCGAATCGTAAATTTTATCCATTAAGGACACAGTAATATTATTAAAAACCTTTGCTGTTTTTCATTGCAACTCTAATAAATATAAACCAGTTAAAATAGAAATCGATTAGAAAGTAAAATATTCTATAAAATATTATCATATTATTATAAATGATTTATAAATCTCAAAATTGATATGCATTTAATTTCTATTATATTTTTTGTAATGATGGTATATAATCTTTTTTTTTGGAAAAAATATTAAACGAAGCTCGACAAATGGTTAGTTTTTTAAGGAGGACTCGTGTTATGATAGGACTATTATACTCACAGAAAATCGCATCGATGAGATAACTTCAAAGAACCGGTTAGAGAAGGGAAAAGAAACCGAGTCGACCCATTAACTTCATTCGATGGATCTTTTTAATGATCTAAAACCTTCTTCTTTCGAACCTACAGTTTTATTGCAATCATCTAAGCGTTTTTTTTTATTTTAGTCGTATTCAGATAAAAGTTTTTAAAAAGTGTTTATTCGGATAAAAGTTTTTCCTCAACAGTTTTTAAATAATTATGAATTTTGAAAACCCTCAAACGGTTTAGGTTCGGAAAGTTTTCTTTTTTTAAATGGCTTCGTTACTGCTATAATTGTTGGTTAGCACCAATTATTACAAATGGTTAGCATTTCTGGTTTTCCTCGCTAAATGGAAATGTTTGAGGATAAAAGGCAAAAATTTATGTGGGGTCTCCGGGATTTACTGAGATTTTTTCTCTATTATATTTACCACTGTCAGACACCACGGAAACGTGGTACTTAAAATGATAATCCAAGTGTAACTTATATATCATTAGCTCATCTACTAAAGCAAATACCAAACAAGGAAGAAAGAATAGGCGAAAAGTAAAAAATTATTCTCGCAATAAGTTAAATGTTGTGAATTGAACAAATGTTTTATGGAAAAGAATTTTCAAAAGTGGTTGAAAAATGATTTGATTAATAATGCAACCGATTTCCTTAACTCCATTTAGTTTTGCAAATTAGAAATTGTTTTTTCGTTGTTTCAAGGAAAGGAACTGTTTTAGTTTTCATGGACATTCCTTTTCATCTAAAAATCCGCTGGACCACTGCTGATTAATTGGACTTTTTGCAATGGTGCAAGGCATTTCCAAAGCTTTCAGTTCGATGCTATAACTGACTGTACATCGCTGAAAAATTTCAAATCGCTTCTGAATGCATACTGTATCAATTTTATTTGTAATATTTCCTTTTTGTTTTTAAATTATTTCAGAAATTTCGACAGAAATTTTTGCTGCTATTAGTTGATAGAAATTGTTAGTTGCAAAAAATGCGAATTTTACTTTTTTTTCAGCGCTTCTTGAGTTATAAATAATTATTTGTTGAATAATTTTTGAAGAGCAATTTTCATTGTTTGTCAGATATTAAATGCGAATGTAAAATTGCAGAAAATTTAAGAGTTTTAAAATTTCATTGCATTGTTCACTTTACATTTTATTTTTTAATATTTATAGATTCATAATTTATATTGTTTTTAAATCATACGCATAATAAATAGCTCAGTGGGTTGTTGCTCAATTGGGAGCGCCGATGCTGAGGTTCGATTCCCTGCAGGAGTAAACCTGGTGATGTTGGCCACTCACCTGTATTTCTATCTCCTAAGGGACTCCCTGGCATATTGCCCAATGCAACAAGCCAGTGAAGCGAGCTTAACCAGTAATGGTGAGGACTCTTTAAAAAAAACTCACAATAATCATAAATTTTGAATCTTTAATATTTCGGTTTTAAATGGTGTCGAGTTATTTGAATAATTTGAATCGAGCAATAACGTGATAATAATTTTATCAAAATATGTCGGAATCAGTTCCTTGTGAAAATTTGTCAAATTTTCATTTTTTACATTTAGAAAGGCAAAAAATGACAAAAATATTTGCATCACCGTTAGCGGCGCCACCTGGAACTGACGATAATTCAAATGATGGAGTGAAAGCGAAAAAAGATCAAGATTTGTATACTGTTTTACAGCCGACAGTATTTCCTGTTCCAGTATCGCAACCTGCGCTCGGTGAATTTTTTTTTATTTTCACCTCACAGGCGGAAAATGAAATAAATAGAAAATTTTCATTTTTTTTGCTTACAGAAAATGTTATTATCGTTCCGAAATAAGTGAATGCCTTATTTAATAGTTTTGTTGTTTTTGTCTAATCTATTTTCTCTATAATATTCGACAGTTTTCTAAAGAAAGAATAAAAAAAACGAAAAAAAACGCTTGTGGAATAAATAATATTTGAAAATTTATAACGAGAGATTTAAGCGAATGAATTTACGATTCTAGAAAGCAGCAATGTTATTAGAAAAATTTGCATGAAATTCTTTAAATACTACGCAAAATTTTTAATAAATGAAATAGTAACTGAAATAAAAAATGAGAAAATGGCAAAAATTTAGTCAACTAACTAAAGTAAATTAAATTATGTAAATTTTCGGCGAAAACAGGCCGAGTCTCGAGTGTGAGGCTTTGGACCTCACATTCCGCAGGAGCGAATGCGTTAAGAAATGCGCGAGATGCTCCAGACTCACCCTATATTTATACTGCCCATTATAGTGGCTCGAACGAGCTTATGCATTGCTTTACCAAAATTTAAAAATCCAAAATTTAAACTAAGTTCGAGAAGTTCACCATTTCCTAATTTCGCATTGATTTAGTTGAAATATGTGATAAACTATAAACCTGGACACTACTTATGCGTGAAAAATCTTAAACTTAGGTTCAAGCCTTCGAAAAGAGAATTTCAAATTTTAATGTATGGGTATTTAGCATATTTGAGCCAATAACAATGTCTGTCGAGACAGAAATGCATTATTTTTCATGGAACAGCAATAATTTCGCCATGTAAAACAGCATTTTACCTGTCATTCAAATATATTTAAAATGTATTTTGCTAAAATACGATGTAAAATTTCAGTGACAATAATAATTATTAGTGATACTCATTCTGCGAATCATTTAAAAACTAACATTTCAGAATAAAATTTCTCGAAAGATTTGCAATAGAAATCGTTTAAAAAGTAAAAAAATTTTTAGCGAAAAGGTACAACAATAGGAACTGCAGATGGATTTTGGCCCTAATTATCGTACTATGGACAATGACAAGCGTTCTGCTTTTCATCCACATAACTCCCGAATGTGTCTTTAAAAAGATACGCATTTTAATCGTATGCCATTCTCTTATTTGTTAACTGCAATCCTTTTCAACCATTAAATTAGCCAAAAATTTAAAAATTCGTTTTTTAAGACAAAAATTTGGTTATTTTCTCGCTTTTCTTAGAAAAGGCTTTAATATTAATATTTAAATCTATGAACGTTTCGTTGCGAATTTTTTCGTCCTTAGTTCTTCAAAATTTTTAATAGGGCAGAGACATAGCTTTGGACAAATCAGACCAATTTATATTCGATATCGCTGAACCGAATATCAAAATTGCATCGCAACTATCAACTAGCGAAAATTCCTTCGACCAAAAGGATTCAAGAAAACCAACTTACATAGTGGATGGTGATTCACCTGGAAGAACGTTCGTAAGGAATAAGGAGGCAAAGGACAAATTTACAAGCGCTGTAAGTTATTATTTTTTCTTTATTAACGATCTCAGAAGATGGGAAAATTAACGGGAAAAGAAAAATGCTGTAGAAATCGCGGCCAAAAACCCAACTCTTCCACTAATTAAACCTTTCAAAAACCCAAATAATGTTGTGGAATGTTGTGTTGTCGCCTTAATAACTGGCACTGAAATGAGCCATAAATATTAAATGCTAACCGTTTATTTAGTTTATCCCTATGAGGAGATGGTTTCTCTTATTAATCAACTATATGAGAAGGCCTATTTCAACAAACAAAAATAAAAACGTTTTATTAGAGAAAAATATTGAAGGTGTGCATAACCTCTCTTTTTTATCTCGTATTTCTCGTGTTCATTACGGTTTCTACTATTGAATATTGTGGAGATTTCCTCTGCCAGCGGGTTTTCTTCTATCGAGCCATTATAGTTATATAAAACGGCTTTAGCTTCTCCCTTTTCCTCTTATACAGCTTATCTTCTGCTTTTTGTCGGTGTCGGTGCTTTATTGTTATTTAAACACCTTTGTTGATTCGTTATTTTGCCAATAAGCTACCGACACCCCTTTCTCAAAAACCTTATCAAACCTCTTTTTTCACTGATTCTGCTGATAAGTTGGTAATTGTTAATAATTGTTGTTTTCTGATTTACGATCTATGGTTTTCACCGTTCGGTCACACAACAATACTTGACACTGGGTGTCATAGAAGTAAAAATGGGTCAATGGATGGGTCAAAGTGTATATCTCAGTTTTTTAGTGGTAACTTTATCAAAGACAGGTAACCGAATCTCTGAAGCTCAACAAAGAGCAATCATTCCATTCGACTATCACTTTTTATTCCAGCATCGTGCATTAAATCAGTTATTTAGGTTGGAGCATTACTCAATTTTCCAGCAGTCGATCAGATTCTTGTTGTCGAAAATGATGAAATTCCTCTCGATAGAACATCAATTCTCAACGGTAAGACTATTTATTTTCAAGATAATGAGAAACCAGTTGCAGAATTCATCAAAGTTATGTTATTTTTTTAATTCTTTGAAGATTTAGAATCATTTTATTTTAAATTTAAAATGAATGGGAAAATTTTCAGAAAATAAAGAGAGCAATCAAGAGAATGCGGAAAGAAAACCGATATTAAAAATTACGGAGATGCTTCAGAAACTGGAAAATAATTTGGACAAGCTAATAGCACAGGCAAACATGGAACCAACCCAGTCTTTTCCTATACACCCACAGTTTAAGCAAAGTTTGCAAAGAAATTTGACCGATATTAGTGCGCAAATGCGCTTTCAATGCTTTTCTTTGCAAACCACCAAAATAGGATTTTTTATGTTTCAGACCCGAATGTACAAATGCAAATAAGCTCAGTGGTGTCTCCCATGGAACATCCTCTTTTTAATGACTATGCAACCAAGTAATATTCTGTTATTTTTTTGAGAAATTATGTTTTAAACCAGTGCTAGAAATACTCTTATAGGCATAGAATTTTTCTTATTTTTCAACTTATTTTTCGCTCAACTATTTCCACTGCTTGGTGGGAAAACTATTTATAAAAGCATCTATTAGGGATAAGAATGCAAGTGGATTTTGAGTCCTTTGGACTTCACTGGAGATCCATAATTTAAACGGACCTAAGTAGAACCTCCTATTAGGCTTTAAGGAAATTTCTGTAGCTTTGTTGGTTATAATTATAATTATATAAAATATTTAAATATATTATAATTAACAAATTTGCCTCACTTATTTTCCTAATTTTCTTAGTGTACGCTTAATATGATTTAAATTTATTTGATTTGCAAAATTTATTCCATGTTTTAGTTATCAGAAAGCGTTAATGCAGATGCAAATGCAACGTGAACTGCTGAGGAACAACCTATTCAATCAACTTACTCGAGGTTTAACTTAAAAGTTTTCTAAATCATTACTCTTCGAAAAACTTTTATGAAATTTCACAGAATATTTTAAGAACAATCACCAGCAGAGGAAAACGAAATGCCGCGTTTCCTGATGGAACCACCGACTCGACATATAATGATGCAACATCAACAACAAATGCCCATTTATCGGATGATGTTTTTACCCTTTCAGCAGGTATTTTTCGGATAAATTTTTGAGAATTTTGAGGCATAAAATTTTTGCCTTTTATTTAGCTTTTTCTTTCGAAGTTCCTTTTTGTGAAATTTTCTTAGATATTTCAATTGTGACATCCGATTTGCTTTTTAATAATTGTTTTACTGCTAGAAAATTGTTTTTTTAAGGTCACTGGTTACCAAGGAAGTAATCAAAACAGGATGGAACCCACTGATTCTCAGTTGAAGTACCATCGAATGTTGCTTCTACAAAATGAATTAATGAAGTAGAGAAAATTTGATTTATTCTAAAAAATTAACTGGATCTGTCAAATTGCCTTTTTTATTATTAATAATAATAATCCTCCACCTGAATGCGAATGAGTTGCGAGTTCGCTTTTTTGTTTCTTGATGGTCCATCACTATCGCTCTATTTTTGTCACTAAGTAACTCTTTATAGAAAGGATGGCTATTATATTTTTATCAGCAAAATCAGTGATTAACAAATAATTTATGATTTTCATCGGAAACTGGACTTAATTTGCTTTAGCCTGGCCAATATGATTTTTCTTTGATTTGCTGCATTCTTTGGACGATTGAATATTCCATTTATGGTAGATCTAATCTGTTGTTTCTGAATATTTGATTAATTTGAATTAGACCTCGAGAAAAGATGAAAGAAAATACTGATGGGCTTAATTAGTGAAAAGAAAACGATCGGAAATTGGCGAACTGGTTTTTTTCGGCGAAATATTAGGGGTTTGAGCGTAAAATACCCACTGAATCGGAAGTTTTGATTAATTACTTTATTGCAATGGACGAAAAAATTTAATTTGTTGAGAATGTTATCGTCTCAAATGACAATTATTTTTGAAGAGCGGGGAATGTTTAGAAAAATATTAAAGATGAATTTTAATTAAAACCTTTGTTTTTTGCATTTTTGCAAATAATTTTTGCAAATAAGTTTTAAAAGCAAAAAGCATCATTCATGTCCCTTAACCTGGCGCTGCTAGGGGACCATATTTATTTACTTCTTATTTCCAAATGGTTCTTTAGCGAATATGCCTCTTCTCTATAATCAATGGAAAGAGTTTAGTGGAGCCAGAAATAAATAAATGGCTGCTGTGGAATAAAGAACTGCTCAAAGCACAAAATTAGATGAACTATAGTGAAGCGATAAATTATCCATGTGATAATGGATTTTCATTTTTGAAACTTATTAATTTCTTAATTTTCCTCGATTATAACAAAGTCATTAAAAATTTTAAGTGGCAAAATTGATCAATTGAAATGTCATCACATAACCAATCAAATTTTCTTCTTTCATGAAGGAAATTTTTTGTCATAATTTTCTTTTTATTGTTACAATATATATAAATATATATATAAACCTCTTTAAGCAATTTAAAATTATTTTAAAAACTATAAGTTTGCAGGCAGGCGCTTTTCCCACAAGTTGAACGAAAAAATGAAATGTATAGAACGGTATGAATGATTTTAACAATTTCTATGATAAGGAAATAAATTGAATCATGTTTTTTGATTGACATTATTAAACCTATTAAGTTCCTTTTGCCACTGCTTCTATCTTATCAGAAGAAGGAGTATCCGATAAAAAGTAATAACAATAGCTTAAAAAGTCAAAGTAAATAAAATTAATTTTTCGTTTGATTGAAATTTCCGAATAATATCTTCGCGACTCCGCCGCAAATATGCTTTATCACCTGATAAATCGATTACTCTTCTATTAAAAAATGTTCAGAGATATTCCTTTCAATTCATCTATTTTCCCATCAGTTACCGTATTATTTATCTTCTTGCGGCTTATAAAATTTGACAAATATTTATACTATAAATAAAAAGTTGCAGCTAAAAGTTGGAAGTTTCTGGTGCAACATTCGTTTTTTCAGGAATCGACCGAGTTGCCGATTATACATCCACATGATGCTTCGGCGGATCAAATCCTGAGGGGAATGCAAAGCGCTAAAGCAGATCGTGATGAAATTTTCAGAAATTTTAGAACAAAATCACAGGTCTCTTTAAATTTGACATAAATCATTTTATTTTATATATATACATATACATATATTCCAATAGCCATTATGGTGCAGTTCTTGGAGAGTTTTTGAACTATTTCTGGCAAATTTCTCCATAATTCATATTTCTTCTATGGTAATCTAATAGGTAACAAATTTTTAATTTGTTGAAATCTTCAGGCTGCGATGGACGCTAAGTTAAAGGAACAAATGCAGAGACAAGAGACACAAGATGAGATTTACTGGAAATTGCAAAAGATTTCGCAAGAGGAAAATCGAAAAAATTTACAGGTATTTCGAGATAAAAGTTTTGCATTTAATAATAGTAATATGTAATATGTAAAATAGTAGTTGTAAAACAGTGATTGAAATTGTTACAAATTTTCACTTCCTATTTTTTTTAAATAGAAAGAAAATAATCTGATAAACGAAGTCGCAGTTACCAAGAGTGCTGATGATATTTTCCGTGAACTCCAACATCATGCTTTGGAACTGCAGAAGCAAGAAGAAGAAAAGCAAAGAGCTGAAGAACAGGTGAACTCATCATTTTCCATTAATTTCCATCAAACCATTAGAAATTAGGCTGCAGGAAATTTCCATAATCAAATTATAAAAGCGATAATGAGAGATAATGATAATTTGCAGTGTATTTAATGGTTTATAGTGCAGAACTGAGGATAATATTTGCAGCAGGAATCAATCGATGCGCCTGAAATTAAGAATGAGATGAGCTCTGACGAGATTTTCCGTAAATTTCAACATCGCGCGCTCGAAATGCAGCAAGAGGAGGACAAAAAAGAAGCAGCACGAAATAAGCTGCAAGTATGAAGAAATTCTTTCATCGACAAAAATTTTGAGTTGACTGAAAATAATTGAAAATAAGTAATCTATTGAAAATAAGTAATCTTTAAGTATGAAGAAAGTTACTTATAAATTTTATAAATTTCAGTAATTTTTACAACGAAGTTGACGCCATTTTTATTTTCTTTTTTAAATTTGTTAAATTAGGAGAATGAAAACGATGAGCAAACAAGTGCACCAGTGATAATGATAGCCGATTCTTTTCCAAAAAGGCAAACTGATAATTCAGACTTTGATACACTGACTACAACACCAGCACCAAATGTGAAGGCTAACGAATCTGATTCAGACATACTTTCAAGCTTCTTCAAGTAATAAATCTTGTAACCAATTGCTTATAAAATATCGCAGTATTAATAATGTTTTTATAGATTCTTTGAAAAAGAAGTTTTAAAATCTGAAAAATCGAATTCATCGGAAATCGAAGAGACAGCTGCAACAAGTGATGAGGTAAAAAATTTTCTGATGAAAATTTGTTAAGGAATAATTTAATTTTGATTTCATTGCGATTACTTTAAGATTCCTCTTGCAATGCCAGTCTTTTTCGAAAAATTGCCTTCGGCTGTGGCCATTGATCGATCGGCAGAACCAACTGAAAATGCAGTCGTCGTCGATGAAGTTGAACAACCAGCTGATATTACGCATCCAGTTTCGGAATTCTTTGGTTATTCTCCATTTTCACTTTCTAGTCGCAGTATCAATATGCTGGAAGATAAATGTCAAGAAATTTGATGAAATGGGTCTCTAGACGGTCTTTCTGGTTTCATTCATTTTCACCGTAGCATCCTAAATGTGGTGAAGAACAAAGATATGTGAATCTGAATGCTAAAAGTATTTTGAGACCAACGAAAAGTGGCGATGATTCAAGGGCCGAGTTAGAAGAAGAAAAATTTCTAATTTAAGCAGTTTAGATTTTTCTTTTTATGAATTATATGAACACTTAAAAAATAACATTTTGTACATTTAGACAAAAATATTTATTTATTCAGAACAACCTCCTGCAGTGATTGATTATCCGCAAAATTCAGAAGAACAGAGTAGTAAGGAACAGTCGGCAAGCGATCAAGCACAAATGAAGCTGGAACGGATCAATTCCGAAGCAAATGATGAAGATGATCTGACTGAAAAGAAGGAAGAAGCTGTCGAAACCAAAGAAAGAAGCACTATGCTAAACACTGAGGATCAATCAACTGAAGAGCGAGAAAAGCAAGAACAGCCAATACAATTCGAAAAGTCGATCTCGGATATTGAGAATGCGCCAGACACTGAAATTGTCCGTGAAGCATTTATAAGACCAACTAAAATACGAATGCAACCAGCAATGCACCAATCGATTACTGCACGATAATTTCAGGTTTCAGTTATATTACAACACTGTTAACATTGGAATGGAATTTGCAAAACTATTACTGTAATTTTATTTTATTATTTTAGCGAAAATATTTTGAATATAATAATTGAAAAAATATTCGAATTAAACTTTTCCCCTATTTTAGCGAAAATAAAAATTACTGTAGTATTCTACTTTTTTTTCTTCAATTGTATTATATAATTTTTGCAAATTAGTTGGAATGAATTCATATAAAAGAATTCAGAATTCTTAGATTTTTGCGAAACATTCTTTGAATGATAAAATGATAATGATAATGATGAAATGAGAAATATTAGTTCTTTTTAAAATTTTGTCGAAAAATTGTTGTGACTGATTAAAATAATAATTGATGTGGTTGATTTCCTTTTAAATGCAGAAATTGTTTGAGAGAAAATTTTATTCCGAATAGTTTTTTCATGAATAAAAAAATAAGATAATTAAGAAGTTCACTTGTGGAAAGAAATTAACCGATTAGTTAACGGCTGAGATTGTCGTGATGCGAGTCAAATATTCGGCTTCTGCCGCATCCAACAAGTCTCAGCCTGTCATTAAAAAATCTCGATGGTACTCGTTACCCATTTGTGTCTCTATTGCCGAGTGATGGTACTCGCTACCCATTTGTGCCTCTATTGCCAAGTAACATTCGTTGATAAAAAAATTGTTAAGCATATGCAAAGAGAACCGAGAAATGATGAACGCAATTCGTGGATATTTTCATTTATAATGGATTTACAAAAGTTAAAAAAAACTTAAATTTACAATCTACTTTTTTAAACGATGGATACACATTTTATTAGGATGTAAACAACATCAATTTTTTAGAAATTTCTTAGACATTTTTTTTGAAATCTCAAAGATCTAAAATTTTGGAACGAACTGATAGGAAACGAGAAAATTGGAAAATAAATTTTCTACACAATGTCGTCGTTCAACTGTATTTGTGAAATTTTTTGAGAAACTTCGATTTATAAAAATTTTCACTAAATTGTGTCATCGTTTGGTGCGACAAAAATTATTTTTTTAAATAAAACTTTAAAAAAATGAAATGATTCATGAATTTTGACGATTTTTGCGATTGTAAAGAAAGGGTTTTAAAAAAATCTAAGAATTTCCTTATGCAAATAATTTTTTGTGGCTATTTTTCAAAATAAAAAGGTTCCATTATCAAAATTCAAAATTTTTAAAATGAAAATATTTTCATATATAAATTGTATGAATATATGCAAAAATTTTGCCTTATAAAAGTCGTTTCCACAGGAATTGGTGAATTGGTGAATTTTAAACAATTATATGGAATAAAATTGGCATTGTCGACTTTAATTCTTTTTATCTATTTCGTAAGCCCATAAATTTATTTGATTTATCACCACATTTTTTTTTCTTCTAATTGCGTCATTTCTGGTTCCATCAATTGTTAGAGACGAGAATTATTCATGGGTGGGAATATACTTTTAGTGGCAAATTTATTTTAGCGTAAAGTGAGGACCAGTGATGGCTGTTAATATGGTTAGGCGTTGGAAGCGTAATTGGATCACCATCACCACCCGAATTTCTTAAATAAGTTAGCTTCACTGCTCCCGCACGGAACGAATCTAAACCCTTGTCTCTCAGCTCAATGTTAATCTACCTATGATATTTGATCGTATTTGAAGCATCTAAAACCAATAATTATTAATAATTTAAAATAATTTAATAATTTGATACTAATAATTAATAATTTAGTCTATTTAAAATAATTTAAAATAAATGAATTAAAATAAAATATTACATTCAGCTCTGATTATCACAACGAACATTAATGGAATTTCCAATTTGTTTTCATTCCGAAAACTGTAAATTTTTTAATATTTCGTTGATAATTCCGTTTTCATCAATAAATTCGTTCAACGAGCTAATTAATGTATTCCACAAAATTGTTTTTGAAATTGCTTTTTTCATTAAAAATTTAATGGAACCAATCGTGGTTTTTTTGGCCCGCTGTAATTACTTTACTCGTCTAAAATTTCCAACTGAACATTTTGAAAGTGGAATCGACAAATTTAGATAACTTCAATTGTGGGCGAAAGTCGTGTTGTGTTAATTGTTTTCAACTACATTTTTTTTGCGACATTCTTAACTTTCGCAATGCTCAATAATTATTCAATCTCCTGGAAAATGAAGATTGTTAATTATTATCATTCACAGTAACAGACAATAACAGACGTAAATTTATCAAAGTATCACTCTCTTTGAATCTCGCTAAAATATATAATATTATAAATAAAAAATAAATAAGATTTTTATTTTTTGCAGCAAAAGTTTTACTGGAGATTCATAATGAAAAGTTTTGCATATCACTGCTTTAAATGATAACATTGATGATAATGAATTATAAGAAGAACTTGTAAATCGTCGATACAGTGATTTAGATTTATATTAAACCAGGAAAATGAGTTTTATCGTTTGAGGAATGTGAGAAGAGAATTGTTTCGTAATGCGTTTTCTATAAAGCTGATCGCCAGGATTTTCTATAAATCCTTCTTTCCATTTTCCTAATTTCATTTACTTTATTAGATCCCCATATGGGTTTCTGGTGAAGGAGGAATTAGGAGGAAAATTTGTAACACCATCATGGAGCACGTAATGAATTCATTTTATCACTTTCTCTTTTCGTCATGGCGTATAATTTTGTGATCCTCATGGCTCCTCATTATTCACCGTTTTACACTTTTATTTTTCCTAAATAACCTTTATGCATGGTTTTGGGTCACCATGAAGGCTGCTGTATATGTAAAAATTAATTTGTTGAAAAATCTCTTTTTGTATTTATTGCATTATTTTCTTAGTTCACTGTAGTTGCATAAATATATCATAATTAATATAGTTGAAATGATAATCGACGGGGACTGTAGCATCCATCGCCTGGCTCATCAGCATCGTTATGCTTTTCAGGCTAATTGTAACTTTGACTCTCGCTTTTAGCACCATATTCTTGTTTTTCATCGCTGACTGTACCTCCACGTTCAGTTCCGTGGACTTCTTGGAAGCTTCGACCACCACCTTCTCGCGGTGGGCATGGACAATACTGAATTTAAGCGTATAAGTTCTGAAGGTTTAAGTAAACTTCAGGTAAATTAAATGTACCTCGGCATCTTTTCCCGGATTTCCTGGTGGACCTTCTGGACCTTCTTCACCATCGCTGCCCTGTGGTCCTTGAAATCCTGGTTGTCCAGGTGAGCCGGGAAGACCTTCTTCTCCAGGTGGGGCATCTTTGCCTTTTTCACCGGGAGGCCCTTCGAGTCCTTGGTCCCCTGGTGGCCCTCGATTTCCTTTTCTTCCAACCACTCTTTCAGAATCATGACCTTTCTCGCCTGGTTCTCCTGGTTTCCCATTGATTCCTTAAATATCGCATTCTACAGTTCTTAGGACAATGAATTGATTTGAAGCGCCAATTTCTAAGTTCTTTTGCGATGTATCAGCTTGCTTTTGATTGTAACAAATTAAAACATACCAGGCGGTCCTGGCGGGCCCATTTCTCCTGGCGGTCCGGGATTTCCATCTCTTCCGGGCATCCCTGGTGTTCCTTTCGGGCCTCGAGGCCCTCGAATGCCTGGGCGTCCCGCTGGGCCATTTGGTCCAGGTGGACCTTCTGGACAATTATAACAACCATTTGGTGCTTCTTGCTTCATATCTTCAGCATCAAGACCATCGATACCATCCTTCCCAGGATGCCCATCTTCGCCATCCGTCCCTTTTTCACCTTTAGGCCCCGGTGGACCAGGTGGACAAATATTCTCTAGATTGCACGCTAAATGTAAAATCCAATTACATATTGGTTTAAACAATAAAATAAAAAGATATGATATATTTTTTTATGGCCCAATAATTGTAAATTACAGCATGCTTTTCTGCTAAATCCAGGAGGAGTGAATAAGCCTTGACTAATCGTTGGGTATTTTCCTGATGTTGTTTCTTCTTTTGTCTTTTTTTTAGGAAGCTGCGGCAAACCAGGACCATTCTTTAGCTTAATAGGCTTAACATCTGGTGTGTTCGATTTTTCAGGAACATATAAATCAGCTCTTACAATATCTCCTTCACCTGAAAACTTATGCACCGTGAAAACTGCATGAAAATTATAAATAAAAATTTTATCTTTCTAAATTTTAAATTTTAGTAATTTTAGAATTTTTCTATTTTTTAATTAAAAATTGGTTTGAAAAATTGAATCAATGGATAAAACATTTCACCTAATGGTTCATAAGTACCATTAAGACCATCAATTAAACTTTCGCCATAGCTGGTCGATATGTACGATATGTTATTCGATTCCTTATCATAATCTTCGGTACTTTTATTAGTAACTAATCGTTCTTCACCATACTCTGAAAATTTCTTTATGCTTGCACTCTTACCAGTGAAAAAAAGATTTTCCTCTTAAGCTATACCTTTCTTCAATTGCCCACCATTATCAAAACCATAGCCAGATTGACGCAACTCTCGGTTCGATGGAGTACCGGCGCCAAGACCTACCATATCTTTCCACATATCATCGGTTATAATCTAAGTTAACAAATAGTATAAGTTAAATATGCTATATTCTTGGGAAAAAAGGATTAAGAAGGCAATTTAAGACAGAATTATTCAACTTAAAATGCAAAATAACACAAATTTATTGGATCATTTTAATAATTTGCATCTGTAAAAATTTGCAAAATTGCTGGTTTTTTTATCGAATAAGTGTCTAGCTAAATTGAAATTCTGAACTCAAATGGAATTGGAGTTTTTTCAGCAGATCGAGAAAAAATTTGAAGGAAATACTGGAGATATTTTCATAAGCTTATGCACATATCCAAGATTTACCTTGAAAGCATTCATTTCAGAATCGAGTTCAGCCCAAATATTGCTAATATCGTTGTAAATTAATGACATTACAATAAGACAACTCAGCATAGTCGTGCAAGAAAATACCATCGTAACGAGCATCGCTCGTTGCGATATCATTTTTTCCTTCATTTTCCTGAAATTATATTTTTCAATGTTCTCGAAATTTCTCTACCAATATTCACATTACTATTGGCAAAACGAACAAATACACAAATAATTATCTCCAAAGCTTTTCAAATTTCCGTAAAGCCCAGTGTGTTCCCTTCAGATGCATCTGAAGCCTACATGCAGCTTTAACACCAGCCAAAACCCTACAATTCTCCTTCGAATTCCTACTACACTTCATCTTTGATCACTGTGATCCTACCTTTTATTATTTTACCACTTCTAATTACAACTCTAAGAAAAGTGACTATGAGGTTTGATAGAACTTTAAGACAACAAGATGGAGGTACTTTGCATTGAAATGCAATAGAAATAGAATATAAAATAATATAACGTATTATGGCTAAATATTACTGCTAGTAAAAGAATTTTCGAAGTTGTTTCGTAAAACGTTTCGAGACACATTAAAGAGTTCTTACCCAGTGGACGGAGATTTCCTGGCGCGAGTTTTTTTCAAAGGAATAAGGGTTGGTACAATGGACTTTTTGTAGTAGTTCTTTCGAAGAGAATAGAGGTTCGATAGTGTTCTAAAGCAAATAAAGAAAATTTTGGAGAAGTGAGAGGTTACAAAATATTCCGAAGAAGTTGTAAATTAAAATAAGGAAGAATAGTGGTACCTGGGAGGTTATTGCCAATGAATTATGGCAAAAAAGTACAACCATATTTGATGAAGCACTAAGGAATCAGGGATGCAATAGGCTACGAGTAAATTATCAGGTGGGATGAATCATTAGAAGGTTTATACCTTAAAAACTTGCTTAACTGGGGTGAATTTATATTAAATTTGGCTGATTATGAAGCAAATAGGTAAGTTTTTCTCTGATTGACAAAGTACAAAGGCAAATAACTGGTTAGCTATGCTTGTTAGTTCTGCAGACTAATTCTTTTAAATTTTTTTAAATCATTACTGGTTAGACTCGTTCTGCTAGCTTGGCGTACAAGACAAATATAACGGGAAGTCCCTTGGCGATAGAAGTACAGGTGAGTGGCCAGCATCATCCGGATTTTCGGACAGGTTTAGTCTCAGAAGGGAGAGGTAGAAGAGAGGTAGAACAGCATCGGCGTTCTTAAATGAGCAATAACCCACTGAGCCATTTCATCCCACTAATTCCGCTGGCTGTTTGTGCTGTCAGAAATTTTAGCCAGGAAATTATGTAGTTCAATAAAATGGTTAAACAATTTTTTTATTATTTCCTCCTTTCGAATAAAATTTGATTTTAGGATTCGTATAAATTACTATTCTAAAAAATTTTTAGGGATAAAAAGTATGGATAAGTCACAAGCGTTCTTGAATTTTTTAACTACAGTTCTGTTCCTATCAGAGACAGCGGTGAAAAATGTTATAGAAATGCCAACAAAAATAGTCTTTTGTATAAAAGCGTAGAACTACTGATAAGATAAAAACAGGTATAATAATGGTGATAAAGATAATTGCACTAGAAAAAACAAGAAAAGAAAAGTAGTATCATTTATAATTGAGAAAATTTACGGAATTAGAAGTTAATATTTTTAATGAGTATTTAAAGAATTCCTTCACACATTGAGATATTACCAAAAGTGTTGCCTTTTATACAGCGATTCAATCTTTTGAGAAAATCTCGGTCAACGTTTTGGAAAAAATTAATATAGTACAAAAGCGATTCGTTACGAACTTATATATATATATATATATATAGAAGAATTACCCGAGTTCTGCCGCCCGAAACACCCTTTTATATAGGATAATTCGCATTCGGAATAGATTTTGCCCGAGATTTACCCGAAATAAATGCATATCACAATGGAAAAATGATAAGACCATCAGTTGTGCAACCAAAAAAAAATGTTAATTCGATCGTTTGCGACACTAATTATTCATTTGATTTAAATTGTTTCAGATTGACCCAATTACCATTTTTCCGACCACTCAAATTCATAAAGAAAATCTACTAAAAACCGAAAACCAAGACATTTAAAATACCTTAAATTCATTTAACCTTTGACCTTTTGAAATTCATTTCTTTTTTTTACAAATCTTTTTTCAAAATTTTCTTGCGAATCGAGCCTAGCTACAAACTAGAAAAACCTCAGATTGCTGTAAAATAGCACTATAAAATTATAAATGACAAAATAAACAGAGATGTAGAAGTGAGGGGGGGGGGGGGGGGGGGGGGGGGGGGGGGGGGGAGAGGGAGTGGCGAGTTACAAAAACACATAAATATGAGATTTCATGTCCTCTATATTTCCACACAATCCCTTGGGTCTCATCAACTATAATTCCTGCAACTCTTGTTTGACAGGCTTTTCTAAAGATTTTGATCATTAACCCAACCGCATGCAACCTTATTTCAACTTTCATCAATTTATTGCTTTTTGAACTGATAATTGCAGTTAACAGTGCTTCATTCCACACTCCATGTTCTTTGCAAATTCCTAATTATTGTAAATGATATTTAAAAATTCTATAAATTCATTTTTCGCACATTTTCTTTTTTCGCCATTGAATAATAAATTTATTTGGTCGATTCGTTGATTTCCAGAGAAGTTTTTCGTTTTACAGTGATAAATTGCATATAAAATGAGAAAAGAAAATTGCAGTTATTTACGAGAAAAATTATGCGTACTCGTAGCTGAAAAAATAATCATTAATGAATAGTTAGTTGGCTGCTGGGGAACTACCTGTGACTCTATCCCCAAGTGACTCTATGGTGAAAGGGTCAGATACACTTGATACGACGTCCGCGTCTCCCGATAAGAATGATAGGTACATGCGATACAATCCGGGCTTAAAGCGATCCCAAGGCTGGTAAATGTGCTCGAAAGCCAGGGTAATTGCTCTATCAAGGGAAACAGCCCTCTGCATGCGCGGCGAGGTATTAGCTGTATCAGCGTGGAACGTCAGAACGCTTATGGACTTTGCAAGCCAAGCGATCACTACCCACACCCTGTTTAAGTATGGTGTGGATATCGCATGCTTATCGGAGGTCCATCTTCCTCACTTTAGGCCTCAAGCAATTATTAATCCTGGTTCAGAGCAGAGATACTGGCTATATCACTTTGGTGCTTCGAATAACTCGGGACGAAATGGAGTAGCAATTGTCATGTCTGATAAGGCTCATTCCGCTTTGAGTGGAAACCTGTAAACGACCGTATGGCCTATGCTCGTTTTAAGGCTAAGTTCTGCAATATCTCGGTCATCATTCTGCAATATCTCAGTGTCTAACTCTGTCGGTAGATGACCGTGATAAAGATAAATGCGGAACTGCTAACAAAGTCTCTATCGAAATATGACATGATCATAATCAGGGGAGACTGGAATGCTCGCGTCATAATGCAGCTGCGATGACCTCAATAATTGGCAAATATGGCATCGGAGACCGGTGTGCCAATGGGGAATGTCTTCTTCGTTGTACCGAAGAGCATGAACTTTTTGTTACTTGCTTCCGGCATCATAGAAAACATCTAGTCACTTGGAATTCCCCGGACAACCAACACTTCAACCAGATTGATTATATCTTAATCAGTCGCCGTTGGACGAGTTCTGTACTAGATAGTCTGTACTAGACATTTCTATCGCGGAGCTGAAACGGGCAATCTTCATGGATCTGACCATGTTATGGTTCGAGTCACCAAGATCTGCAAAAAATTGACAACTCGCAGAAAAGAGCATCCCCCAAGATCCTTAAATTATAAAATTCGAGGAAAATGATCGCAAACCGAATTATTGAAGCATCCCAGGGATATAAATATCAATGATTTTTCTGGAACGGCAAATGAATACTGGTCTAAACTAAAAGAATTCTGAAAATCAGCCAATTCCACGCTAGGGTATACTAATAGGGAGAATAATTGGGTATGGGAAGCAATTGTCCAACTGTCTAAAAAAGCTCTCAAAGCACGAATGTCAGGTAATCCTGATTACGGGATGCTTCGAAGATTTGCAACGAAAGCAACAAGGCGGAACAGAAATCACTACTGGAGTGACATGGCCTCAAAAATGGAGGCGGCGGCTTTTAAATGTTGTCCATCGTCTTTCAACAAATGTACTCTTTAGTATGGAAAAAAGAAATATTACCAAATGATTGGAACAAAGCAATTCTGCTCCCAATTCTCAAGAAAGATGATAGGACATACTGCGACAATTATCGAAGAATCAGCCTACTAGACATCTCAGCAAAAATTTTTGCTTCCCTGCTACTCAACAAACTTATGGAAGTACGAGACAGCATGATGCGCCCTAATCAAGCTGGTTTCAGACCAGGGCGTTGTGCGTTATTCATCAGATATTCACGTTAAGAAGGGTGTTGAAAGGTGTTGGAGGGTGTTGTATCGCTTCAGATATTTGCAACCCACTGTCACGTGTTTCATCGAATTTGCGGCTGCCTTTGATTCAATTGATAGAGTGGCACTTTGGAGGGTGATGGAAGGTGACGGTGTTCTAGAGAAAATCATTAGACTTATAAAGGTATTTTATAAGCGCACGTCGCCGCAGGTCTGTTTATATGGGGGGCTGACAGATTCCTTCGAAATAAGAACCCATCAGAGCTACGTCCTTTCCCCAAACAATATTTAACTATGCGATAGACTGGATAATGGACACTGCTTGTAGGCACTCAAGAGGTGTCTGGATTAGTCCAGAGCATCGTATCACAGATCTTGAATACGCTGATGATGTAATCCTTTTTGTTGACAGTTATAATGAAATACAAGTAATACTAAATAACGTGTCAGATACTGCAGCAAGAATCGGACTCAGGATCAATGTAAATAAAACGAAATTCTTTTCGTCTTATGTGCAAAAAGCTGATAAAATGCCTCTTTTTGTAAATTCATTGCTGTTTGAGGAAATATCTGATTTCAAATACCTTGGGTCCACTCTGATACCAAATGGATAGACAAAAGATATTAGAACGGCAGCTAGAAATGCATTCTTCCGGTTGACGAAACCTTTATAGAGTCGTTGTGAAATCACCATAAAAACAAAAGTCCGTATCTATATAGCCGTGAGTCACCTTCGCTGGTTGGGGAACGTTCTCCGTCATCCACCACAAGAACTGTTGCATATTTCTTTACTTACTAAACTTGTGATGGATGGCATCAATCAAAACCTGGACTGATACGGTCGGGAAAGATTTTGAACGTATAGATGGACCAGCAATGTATGGACTTCTTCTATCAAAGGCTTGGAGGTTAGACGAGGGAAAAAGGAATGGCTTCTATTACTGTCGAAGATGGCACCAGATCGCGCCGCTTGGAAGCGTCTTACCCTTGTAGCCGTTGGAGTCAGCCTAACCAGTAATGGTGAGAGCTGTTAGAAGAAGAAGAAGAAGTTAGTTGGCCGAGAATTCTAATTTCATTATAATAATATTTTTAAGGAAACAAAAAAAATTTTGAGACGCAATATTTTTTTTTACAGTTAAACAATGAAATTAACAATTAAACAATGAATAGCGAATGGTTGAAAGATATAAATCTTTTAAAGAATAAAAAACATAACAACAAACGAGAATTTGACTGAATTTCAAAATTTTACAAAATATTTTATTAAAAAATGTGGAAAAATTAAAAAATTGAAAAATTTCTAAAAAATAAAAAGTGAAAATTAAACGTAATTTCATGTTTGTAAATCATTAAAAATTATTTCATTTATCCTCAATACCGTTAGTTCGGTGCTGAACCCTGAAAATTAAATATATAAATATATAATATATACGGCACTGCCATTTTTAAGCGATTCTAAACCAAAAGCTTAATATAACGAACTTAAAAATGCAAATAAAGTCGAAATATGATGGCAAATTTGAAGAAAGAATCGGCCGAAATGACTGGCGATATCAAATAAATTAACTTAACTTCTTACAATAAGGGCGAAAAAAGAAAACACTGCGACAAAAAATATTTGAATAATAATTGCCATCAATTCTACTCCAAAGTTCCATACAAAGTCAAACGGATATGCAAAATCCTTCAAGGAAGGTGCGTCGGTAGTTTAACAGCACTATGTATTGTAGTAGTGCATTTAAACTGATTCGAGTCTGGCTGACGCTTTTATCGGAGAGGCAAACGGCGAATGCAAAACGCTGATGGAGTTGTAAAAAATGCTGGCTTATTGATCAAGACTGGTTTAAGTTCGAATCCGACCGGCGCTTGAGGAATCTGTAGAAACCTCAATATTCTCATATTTTTTGCTGCACATCAAACGGCGAATTAAGAGTTATTGTATAAAGTATGATAGAACTTACATAATAGTTTTCGAATATTTTTATGATCAACCTGTACATAATTTAATTCAGGATATGTTGTGGTCTTCTCGACGACAGTCGCATTTATTCTAACATTCGATGAATTCAATAAAGGTCGTCCAAACAAGGAAAAATTTTTACCACCGACCATTAATACCTTAACAAATTAATAATATTAAATTACGACTACAAAATTGGAATAAAATAAACGATTAAAAAAGTATAAGGCAAGTAAAAAAATAAATTAATTATTATAACAAATAAATGATCAATTATAATTAATAAATAAAGAAACGATCAATAATAAATATTAATAATTAATATATGAAAAAATGAACGCCAAATGAAAAAATTTGGAAAATGATTTAAAATTTGAAAAAATTTCGACGTTTCATGCGATGCAAGTAGAAAAAAAAGGATTATAAAGGAAAACAATAAAAACCTTTTCTAATTTGATTTTGTCACCAATATCCAGAGGCACATGGTGGTGAATCGTTATCAAATCATTCTCACAAATCTTATATTGACGTTGATTTAAATACACAACTGCGAAAAGCAATTTATTCTTGGAAGCAACTTCCGCATTTATTCGGTCCACAATCTAAAATCGAACAAATTAATAACTAATAAATAAGATTAGAGAATATTTGAAAAAAAATCGCCAGTTGAATCAACTTGAACCAACTTAGACAGGTTATCTACGTATCTCGAAAAGGCTCTTCGAACTAAGAAAAAGATTAATTATATGTAATTATAGACAGAAAAAAGGCCAATCAATTTCATAGATTAATAATGGACATAATACCTTCGATGTCTTTTTAGATCCCACAATCTGTGCTTTAATATTTGTACATAAAAATTGGCACCTCATAAGATTCAACGACCGTCTTAAGGCCATTGCTGAAATAATCCTAAATAAATAAAAATGTGATTAATCATAAAAAAAACGATACATCCATGAAATTGATTGCTATGATATGAATATCTCTTATTTCACTAGTCCCTTAACATTTGCACCAATCTTCTTCTCCCTAAAATTTTTCATAAGTCCTGTTATATTTCTTGCCACACTCTCTTGACGCTCTAAACCCCGTTCATTCCCTGAAGACTATAAGAATTTATTTATTTACACCATTTACACTTCCCAAACATTGTTTCTTTTCTTCGATTTTTATGACTATTGGCAAGAGATTTTTACCACAATGCATATGGAGGACCAGTACCAGTACCACTAAAATCATTATTAAAACCATAATTCGAAAAGAAAAAAGAAGAAAAGTCCGGAGAGGATGAACCTAGAATCAATCGTAACAATCAAATAAGCCATTCTCTTTATTGCATTCCAGCTAATAATCAAGTTAATATCCAGGGATATCTCAGCGAAAACAATTATAAAGCAAATATAGCAAAATAAAATTATTAGCCATAATATAAATGGAAACAGAAAGTATAAAGTATCTTTATTAAATTAAACTGCACAAATTTCAATTTGATTGGATTATCACAAAAAAAATTAAGAATTAATCGGGTTTTAGTATTCAATCAATTTCCCCACTAGTTTGATCGCTATCGTTTATATCAATATCTAGATCAGTTTCATTTTCATCCACATCCGCCTTCAGTGACTCACAAAGACCATTAAAAAAATTTAAAGATTTGATATCTTCCGAGTATTTCATCTTTAATTTCGAACTGTGACCGCGATAAATAGGAACCTAAATTGAACTTTACTTGAAAAAAAAAGATTTTAATAAATTAAATTATATATATATAAATTACGTAAAAAATTCTATTCTTTCAGAATTTCATTTCAACATAAAATACGAAATATATATGTTAAATAATTAATGATTAATTAATTGATTTAATTAATTGATGAAGCTTCAAAAATAGCTTATTAAATTTAAATTTGAAAAAATGAGAATAGAATAATTAAATATCAAAAATGTACATTGCTCAATATTTGACCAAGATCCCAAAATTTGATTTTTGATTTCATGAATCCCAGAGAAACAAGCCAATCTTTATTAGCACTAATTGCTAACTGCTGAATGCCGCCATAGAAATTTCCAACCGCTCCCAGTTTTTTATTCGGATTCAGATGAACTAAGCTTAAAATAAAGTCATTTTTTTGTTTGATGTTTGGAATAATATTCGCGTAATACGATGAAATTTTATGAATAAAATGTAATTATATAATACACAAATGTCGCACACCTCAGTAATTTTAGTTAATGAATTAATAATTTATTTCCCTTGAAATCGAAAAGATTTTCATCAAATTAATGTTAAATTTCCATAAAATTAATTTTAAATTAAACAGAAACAAATTGTTTTAATAAAATCCAATAAGGTTTTTCTCATTAAAATAAAAGTCGAAAATTATCGAATGATTCAAAAAATTCTCACATTTAGTCCTAAAAAATTTTGAATATGACATTGCATTGCAATATTTGAAATAAAAACCAGGGAAACTAACTTTAAGCTGTCATCCTCATTGGAAGCTGTCAAAATAACATTTGTTCGCAAAACTTGCATGCAGTCAATACCTAATGAATGATTACATTTTATACGCTCTAGCAAGTTACCATACTCATTGACTTTAAATATATCCAAATATCCATCTCCATTCCCGACACAAGTAAATATGTAATACAAGAAAATTATCAGTCAGAAAATAGAAAAAAAGGAAAAAATTTTTGTAAATTTATAAATTTTTTTAATTTCTAAGAAAATATCTGATATCTATTATCTAGATGAAAATTTAAAGTATGGCAGATTTCGCACAATCGTAATCAATACCTACTCGCTGGTAATACCTATAGACAACAATTCATTCCCCATTGATTCAGAACGTAAGAATAGTTTTCGCCTTCGCAGTTCGTATGAACCCAAAGTTCCATCAGAACTAGCAGCCAACAACATATGACCGTGTGTTTCCAAGGCATTAATTACTTCTTCTTGCTCATGAAAAGTGCAAATAATTGGCTGTGGTGAACGCATATCCCAGGTTCGAATCTAGATTTTTTCAGTACATACATATTGAAGAAGAAGAAAATCAAATTAGAAATCAAATTAAAGTACCAAAGAAATTTTCAAAAAATCATTTATGTTATTTTTATTTTTATGTTATATTTTTTAAACCATTTATGTTAGTTCCCAGGTTTATGCCTATTAACTTAAATTAATTTATTTTTAAAACAAATTATTAGTGAAAAAAGCGATAAAAAAAGAAAAATATAAATGCATAAATAATAAGTTCGTATCTTTTACTTACTTCGCCAGATTCATCGGCAGTCGCAATTTGTTGTCCCTTTACAGAAGAGGAAGGTAAGAGACTCATAGAATATGGTATATCGTCATGCGACTCACGAATGCAACGAATCCTGTACAATATTGTATTTCAAAAAAATTGACCTTAAAAGTCAGATAAAAGAGAAAAAAGTTATCAAAAAACGAAAAAAATTCAATATCATATAATAATTCGAAAAAAAACAAATCAAATCTTTCAATCTATCAAATCTTTTGAATAGTAAAACCTTTAAAACCTTAATCGAAAATCTTTTTATCGTTCTAAATTTCTGAATGATTACATTTTATAAATTTCTGAAATAATTTCTTTGTAAAAGAAAACATAATAGAAATAAATTTTACTGTTTTCTTTACTTTATTAATTGTTCATCAAATCATTACCTCTTATTCGATTGAACATCATAAACGCATAAAGCCTTATTTTTACTAATGGAATAAACTAAACTTCCATCTGAAGAATATTTTACTTGTCTTACTGCACGTTTCAACTTTCTTGTTCCTGTGCACTGAAAACATTGTTAAAATTATCCAGCTAATGGAAAAATGCAGTGAAAACTTGAAAGATATACGACATAATTATGCGTAATTCAAATAATTATTGAGTTTTCTAAAATGCTCGGTCAGTATTTCCCAAAATATTAAAGCGTAAAAAAAACTGGACCAAGAAATTCACACAAAAAATTTAACATAATCATTTCAGTCTTTGTAAAACAGAAGAATTACATAATATTTAAGAAAGATCTAGGCAAAAACTGAATATAAAGAATTTAAATCAAGAAACCGAAAAACTGTTGATTTTTATATCAAAATCGAAATATTTGATAGAACCATCCATGAAACCAATGACTGTTTTTTGAGAATCCAGTGGATGAAGTCCGAAACAAACTGCGGGTGAACCGTCAAAACATTGTTCCATTTCTTAAATTTTTGATATATACTTGCAACCTTAAAGAAACAAATTTTAACTCAATTAATTAAAATATCAAAAAACACATATAAATAGATCGTCTAAATAAAAAAGGAGAAAAACAGTAAACCAAACAATAATTGAAGAAAATATAAAGAGCAGAGAGCTCAGAAAATAAAATACATGCAATAAAATAATCATTTATTTCCATGAATATTTTTAGATCTATTTTCTGAACGAAAAACAGATTTCTCAAGATCGTTTTCTTCCAAATAAAACTGATTTGCCAAGTGTTCGAAAGCTTCTTTCTCAGACAGATTTAATGCTGCAAATAACTGTTCGGTGTCTGTCCCAATGCCACTGATCAACAACTGTCGGTCTAAATCATCTTCATCAACATTATCCAAATCAACTTTCGTTCGCTTCATTACTTCATCCAAATATTCAACGTCTTCATCATCTGAATCTAATAATTCAGCATCATCCGGAATTCCATTATCTGCAGCACATAATAAATTTTATCAAAATTGGAATTTCAAATATTCAAATATTTAAATATCGCCAATTTCGAAAAATAAAAAGAAAATTTTCTTAAAATATATAAAATAAACTTAATTCATCCAAATTTATATTTATATTATAAATTTCATTTTAGAAGTATCCAAGAAGATTATGAAATTTCAGATCGTGAACAATCGACTTCATGAAGAAATTTCAGACAATTTCGCATTTTTAATTAATATCGAGTAAATGGCATTAATCTCCTATTGCCATATTTTAGCAAATCTTAATGTTTCCCATGCGAATAAGAATTTTCACTAATGTTCTATCACCAAGTCAGAACTGTTAATGATTAATTCCTCCGCGCCCATCTTTCACTTTATACCTTATAGGATTAGGATTTTTACTATGATTCTTTCGTACTAATTTAATACTTTGTGAGGCGGAAGAGTCTTAGAGATTTTCGCAAGTGAAAATCATACTGTTATCATCGGAACCAATACTAACCCAAGCCAAAACTCATTAACTCATTAACCAACCATAAGTTTATTAAGAATCTATTCTCTCAAAATACAAATATTCACCAAGTTTGTGCTTGCATAACCTTTTTAGTTCCTATGTTTTACAACATTTTCATCTATTTTTTCAAGGAATAAAAGCAAACCTAGTCACACATAAATCAACTCATGTACTCACGTTCCACTCTCATTCTTTCAACCAATGTTGTTCCTCTCCCATCGTTTCGCCATTCCTTATCTCTCACCTCTTTATCAGCAAACCTATTTATTTTATTCCAATAACTTCTATTTTAATCTTTATAGAGAGAATTTTAAAGAATCTAAACAATCACTTGTTTCTTGATCATTCGCCTTTTTCATAAACTCTTCGAAAGACAAAGGAAGCCTCGAATTTGCTGAATCATTTCGCATAAGTTTTAGTTCATCCTCGACACATTCTCGATAAAATTCTTCCGAACAATTCTCATGTTGTTTGTCTCGATAACAACGTTTTGAACAATAAAATAATTTACAACGTGGACAGATATAAATATTTTTAACGAACAATGAACAAAAACTACATTGGATTTTGGTTCGTTCGACTGTCGAAAGTTCCATTCAATCTAATTAAAAATCTGAATATTTTAAAATTTTTTAAATTAAATTTTAAGAAACAAAAAATTTTAAATTTTGGATTTATTTTATAAATTTTATCCATTAGTGTAGAAATATTTTTTTAAAAAATCTCAATTTCGGAAAATTAATTTCAAAGATAACTTATAATTCACCAAAAGTACCAACAGTGCATAACTGAGCAGTGAGTCTGCAGCCGAGTTTTAAAATATCTCGGAGCGTCTTCGGCTACTCTTCAGCTCTATTTGATTTTTGTTTTTTCCTTTTCTTGTGAAGAATGAGTGAGAGTGTTAAATCCAGGTGTCGGAGAGTGGAACTGGGAAAATTTCGGATCCAATAATAGGTCAAATAATGGGTCAATGTGACGTGGTGCATAAGATTTATTTGTTAACCTGGCGAACGATAATGATTATATTTCTAATGAGGACAATTAAATCAATTTTCAGCGTTCGTATGATTTCGACTTATTTTATATAAAATGAATGGTTGTGACGATTTTACTTTCCAAAATCTTCAGTGTAGCGCAATTTGTCTCGCAAAACTCGGCGAAGTAATTTTTTCTTATTCAATCTTCATTGGCTAAATTCTTTGAAAAGTAAATTTAACATTAGAGCAGAATTTGGATGATATCGGAGATTCCTCGAAAACGATACATGAAAGGGCTTAAAATGATCCTTTGTGGTAGAGGAGAAAGGAAAAAGAGGGAGAAGGATTAATATGTTATCGGAATTCTCAGCTTTTTTCGGTGCTTCTACAGGGATTTTTTGGATGGAAAGCTGCGCCTATTTTTTAATACTTTGGTAATCGGACGATTCTTTTAAAGCGAAAACATAAAAATTATTGATAATTAACCTAAAAATACGCAGTTTCTAGTCGACTGAAAGAAGTCAAGACTTGGAAGAGCAGCAGAATCATTAGCTAATCAATAAATTAGCGGAATTTTCTAAATTCGATATTTTCAGGTGTCACTGGAGAAGGTTAAAAAGTCTTTACTGAACGATATTCAAATTGCGGAAAAGGGTATTTTAAATCACAATATTCGATCGAGATTATTGGCCGTTGGAATTTATTTGATTTATTCTGATGGAAAGGTTGCTTTTATTTATTTATTTTTTAAAGGTTGGATTCAGCCAATTCTCAGAACATTTTGCAATTCAAAACTTTCAAATTTTCTTAATGATTACTTAAATTTCTTAAATTCATTTTTTTTGCATTTATTTAGCATCAAAAATTAAATCGGTTAAAATAAAAAATTTAAAATATTTTCGATGACTTTTAAAAATTTTCTTCAGCATAAATTTCTCATAAATATTTCAGTATATCGATGAACTTTTACCTTTTCTCGTGCAAAGTTTATTAGTTCTACCAAAAATGAAATGGGTTGATGATGGAATTCTCAATCTACGTGACAGTTTGATTTTTCGTTTTCTTTTAAATTGATAAATTGTGTTTAGACCGTAACATAAGTAAGTTTGATACGTGAAGAAACGATTGTATAGCACAGAACTCTTTCAACAATAAATTGTTAAATGTTAATTATAACTCTTTCATTCCTTTTCAAGTTACATTATCCATTTCTATTTCTTCTGATAGCCCTTTTGCGGATTAGTTACTAGAGTGGAAATGAAAATTGCTCTCTCGCTGAAGCACTCGGTTTTTTCTTTTAATGGCAAAGTCATGGAAGGAACTCGAATCCAGTTTGACTGATTTGAGGCAGCATATTAATTGAATATTAATTGAACAGAAGGCATTTATAATGAGACAGATTATCCTTTATTTTATTTTACCAGATGTTTTTTAAAATTTGTTTGGTAATTTTACAGAAATCCCAATTCAAGAGCAGTTTTCTTTTTGTTTCAATACAGTTCTTTGTGATATAGCGGCGCATTTTCCTGATAGACGTGATACAGTCATTGCTGCTCAGCTTAATTTACTAGTTTATACAACTAGTGCTATAAGCGATATATGTCAAGAGGAAAAGCCTACAATACAGGTTAAAGGTAGCTTTCTAGGCAATCTACTAATTTCTAATTTTTCTGTGATTTCCTACACCATATATTGGACTTTGATGGAATTTCAAAAATAAGTAGATATTCGTCGATAATGCAGTTAATATGGTTTACAAAATCATATCTTTCTTTTCAAAAAAATTCATTTTTTTTTGTTCTTCAGCAAATTTAATGAAATTGATTTGTTTTGTTATTGGTCTTGTTCGTTGTTTTGGCCGATTTAGTGATGATAAATGTCATCCATTAATATCGATGATTTTCCCAATACCATTTAAAATAAACGAAACAGATATGACCGAATTATGCGATTCTACTTCCGTTAGGTTTGTAAAATATTTCATTGCTTTTGAATATTTCATTGAATGGAAAAGTGAATTTAATGCAAAATTTAATTTTTATTTAATTTGTTTTTATTTAATTTATTTTTAATTTATTAATTAATTTATTTTTAATTAATTTAATTTTTATTTAATTTTTAATTTTATCTTAATTTATCTTAATTTTTATCTTTATTCATTCTTCTACTTTCATGGAATAAAATATTCTATAGTTGACATTTACATATTTATTCTATCTTTAGATACTGAAAGCTTTAGATATTCTATCTTTAAAATTATATGTTTAGAAGATTAAACTCATTGCAATTGACAACAGATTCGGGTAATTGGTTTCTATCTGAATCAAAGATGGGAAATAATGATCATATGAAATACCAATATATGTATTCCAAACTTGGCAGCAGTTTTGTAATATCATCAGATTTTCGAGATTGGAAATTAAAAATAAAATGTGGGGAACTAGATGCATTATTTGATACAGTAAATTTTTTTTCCTATTTAGATTTATTTTGTGAATAAGCAGATCTGTGTTCTTAAGACAATTTGTAAATTTTTCTTCAGATCCAGGTTCTCCTTAGATCATCTATGCTTGCATCGATGGACGTTCATGCAACCGATGTTTTCATGGTTGATTTTAGATATTTTGATTAATCTGTATATACCATAGTTCTAATAAAATTTTAAAAGTTTCAAGTAAAAAATAAAATTTCTAATACTTTTGCTAAATATCATTTATCTCTTTTTAGCATATTAGATTTGTCGGATCTAGGGAATAGAATGGGTTATTTCTTGCATTTCGGCATTTCGGAACACTGATGCTAAAAAGAGATATACTCTTGAGGAATAAGCTCATTTTTCAAAAATCTGAGTAGTGCTGGGAACTTGCCTTTATTTCTATCGCCAAGTCCTTAACATATTTGCCTCTAGTCAGCAAAGGGAGCATCGAAAACCGTTCTTAGAAAAAAAAACAAAATATATATATTTATAAATATATTTATCTATATAATTTACAGTATGTTCTATATTCAGTTCTATCGTTTAGTCAGGATCAGTGAAACGATTTCCTTATAAAACCATATCGGAATGCTTATCTTTTGTTTGCTTAACAATGCTTAGAGATTCGGTTGCTGCTTATGATATTTTGGATCCTAATCGTTCACTTAGAGAAAAATTTGCTAAAGAAGTTCGTTGGTTACATTTTTTTTGATTGTGTAGGAGTTAAAAGCATTAAATTACTAGTATGTGAAAAATTAACCAAGATTTTTTTTGCTGGATTATGATTATTTGTTTCAGATTAAAGTTTTCGTCACTGAAATTTTAAAACGTAGCCAAGGGGAACTTTATAGCCACAAAAAAATTGATGATGAGAAAGCACAAGGTGGAAAAGAATTTGTTGTCAACAAAACAAAATTACTAGTTCTCGCTGGTTCAGCATGTTTGCAACTAATTGTTTGGGCAGCACTCGACGAAATGGGTGGGTTTTGAAGGTTATCGTGATCTTGCTGTCTTTTAAATCTTGCTTCTTCTCTTGAATTGTTCTAAATCATTTTTATACTTCAGTAGTTCTAAAATATTTTCCTTTATTAAATTTTTTTTTATTGCTATGCATAATTTTTCATTATTACTTTTTGCATCAGATGCTGAAATTTTGTCGCATATAATATCTGAGTCTTTATGGATGTCACGTGGATATCGATATATATTGGCTTCCCTACCTCTTCTGGTTATGGCATTAGAAGCTTTTGGTTCCATGGCAGAAAAATTTCCAATGATGGCTACAACCTCGACCATACCCACTCTGACACGATTTTTGCTGGAACCATCGAATATTCTTGTCAAATTGGCTGATGATCAATTGGTAATGATTATTTATTTATCGTAATAATTATTTATTGAAATGCTGCTTTATTCTACTTGTTTTTTTTCCATTTTTATTTGTGGTTATTTTCTTGTTTTCTTTTATTCTTATTTCTTTTGAGAATGCAGAAAAACGATTTGCTATAGTGGACGATGAACATGATGATTCAAATCCAGTAAGAAGAAGGCATGGACTTGAGAATCTTAGAAGAGCTGCTATTAATTCTTTATGTCGGTATGTTATTATTTATTTAACGTTTATTTATTTAATACTTTCACAAATTATTTTTATTTATTTAAATTTATTTTACTTAATTTTTATTTTATTTAAATTTGAAATAAAAAGTTTATTATGTGAACATTGTAGAACAAACTATTATTGGCACGTGCTGCATGTAAATGTGTGGTACTGAAAAGGCATATTACTGACATAATATGATAAAATTTACGGTCATATATTAACAATATATTCAAATTAAAACATTGAACATTGTAGAACAGATATTGCAGAGCTCTTCGTTCAGCAGTGATTGTTGATAAACAGTCCGTACAGGCATGTCTTACTAGTGTTTCAACTAAGCTTTTCTTTTGTTCAAATTTGGAGCCGATGAGGTTTTCATTTTCAAATTTTAAGAAAATTTTTTCAGTAGTAATACAAGTTTATTTACTTTATTCAGTACTTATTTGGATGATCAATTGATTTATGTGGCTCGTTGATTGCTTGTAATTCTCGTTCGAAATTTTTTACTTTTGTTTATTATCATTAATTTTTTAGCAGCTCCATTCTTGTTCCGGAAAATGCGATATTAACCTTGGCTGGAATAGGGACTGCTTTGGTTGATGTAGAAAATGTTCCACAGCTGGTGTTCAATGTATGTTATTATATTATATTATTATAAAAATAATATAAAAAATATTTATAAGAATATTTTAAGAATTATAGATTAGCATTTGGTAAATATATTCCGTTAATTTTGTTAGTTCGAATATTTAGGTTTTTCGACAACGAACTAGCTATCCATCTCTTTCACTTGATGCTCTTATTATATCTTCATTAGCAAATTTATGGATTGCTGGTGCTGTAAGCTTTAAAAAATTCTTTTTTTCTTCTTTCCTTCTTTTAATACTATTACATACATTACCATTCATATTTTTCAGCAAAAGGCTTAACAAGCAAAAGGTAAAATTCAGTATCATCTCAATAATCAAATAAAATTTTTTTAGAGTAAGAAAGAAATTTATCTAGAAATTTGCCAGATTATTTAGTCTCATTTAATTTCAAATTAATTTGAGTTTCTATTTGGAATATCAATGTTCAGGGATAAAAACCATAAAACCATAACTAAAATTCCAGTAGAGTTCACATATAAAATCCATGTATCATTTTTTATAGTTTCTGCAATTTTACATTTATGTTTAGCGAGAGATTTATGATTCTATTTGGCTACTTTTTACAAAAATCACCATCGAATCAAGTAATCGTGCTTATTCTTCAGATTCTGTAGACAGAAGTGAACAGAGATATGCGTTGGTTTTATATTCGCTTTAATCTTTTATTTATTTATTCTATTCATGAGGTCTTATTGAAATATATATTTAAGCGTAATTCTATTTTTATTATTATATATAACCAGCTCATTTCATCATCCATTTTGTTTATTTATGAGAAAAGATTTATCTTCGAGAAGTTTTCACAAAACTTAATTTGTTTATTTTGGTATAATTAATATAAATTTTTAGACATCTTTCGCTCGCTGTTGACACAGCTTTGGCAAAAATGGCTGAAAATACAACGGACGAAAATGATAAGCAGACTCTTCTTTTTAGACTTTTGGAACTTTTTGTGCAACTTGGACTAGAGAGTAAGAAAGTAGGAGAAAAAGTAACAAAAGCTGTTATCAAGGTTAATAGCAGATTTTATATTCTTAAGTATATTTCTTTATTTAAAATTTTTGTTTAACGTTTCCAACTATTTTTCAGCTGTCAACTGGTGCAGGAAATCTGGGTGTATTGATACCAAAGATAGCTTCTTTATTGCATAGAATGCAACCTATAACTTGTCCATCACCGAAATTACGGAATCTTTTCCGAGATTTTTGGTTTCACTGTACCATTTTAGGTTTTGATGTTGCTTATTCTGGTATGTTGTTTTTGTTTTAAATGAGCAATTTTTTGAAAATTTTCTTTGATCGGATATACCACATTTTCTTTTAAATTAGTTTTTTTATTTCTGTTTTTTTTAAGAATTCTCACCATTACTGGCTAAACTCAGGGAGTTCCTTGGCAATAGAAATACATCACCCGGATTTTTGTGCAGGTTTACTCCTGCGGAAAATCGAACCTCAGCTTCGGCCCTCCCAATTGAACAACAACCCACTGAGCCATTCTATCCCCCTATATTTCTGTATATAATAAAAATTATTCTTCATCGTCTGTTCTTAACTAACTCTGTTCATATAGGTCTGTTCATATAGGTTTATGGCCAGAGGATTGGTATGAAGCCGCTTGTGTCATTGCTACTAAATCTCCTGTATTAACACCACAAGAAAGCTTGCGAGCCGAATTGGTGGCGAATGCAGCCATCAAAAACGATGCTGTCACTCTGGTCTTTTTTATTATTAATTTTCTATATATAAATATAGAAAATTTATGATATGAAATTTATGATATGAAAATTTATGGTGAATTTATGATATCTTGACATGATAATATAATATTTCCTCAGATAATATGTTCTTTCGAAATCGTGGATTTGGTCTCTGTCGTTATCGCGAAAGTTTCTGCTCTGTCTATTCTTATAGTCTGAGCCAGTTAGGCTGGAAATGATCTCTGGTCGCTAGAAGAAACAAAGAGAAACTTTCTATGAACGTGTAGAAAACAGCATTTTAAAATTTGCAGAATGAATTACACGAAATTCGAAATACAGTAGTTGGAGAAATTCAACCATCAGTAGATGTTGTGGCTTTTATAAATAAAATGGAATTTGCCCATTGTATATATTTACTATCAGTATTTCGTATGGAAAAAATGCGTGTATGTCATTCAACCGAACAAGATGCTGTGCATTCTATTTTTAAATATTTGGAAGATAGGTATAGGAAAATTAGTGTTCTTTTATTTTAACTGCAATATGCTATGAAAATAATTTTTTTAGAATTCCTTTTTCATCGCCAATATAATATGAAATGACCCAAAGTATTTAGGTCAATACGTAAGGATAAAAGTGGTATGTGGTCATGTTTACTAGCAGCGACTACAGTGATTTTCTCGGAATATCTATCTGCTGCCAAAAACATTCGCATGAGCGGTTTGTTGGAACAGCATCTTGAATATCATGTGCAGTATCTCTTAGTAATGTTTAACCACACTCTAAAAGAGGTTTCGTTTTTATTTTTCTTGACTTGATGAAATTCCTAAAAAATTCTGTGGTCTTTTTAGTTGTTAACATATTCATTTCGAACCATTTTTTTTAGATACGAAGATGTGCTGATGCATGTTTGAGCAAATTAATCGGTCATTTTCCTCAGCTTTTGTGGAATGGTAATGTTCTTATTACAGCTTTACAACTTCTTGAAGCATTGTCGCATAATCTTGAAACAGATCCCGATTGTAAAATAACAATATTAAATATCCCAAAGTTGCATTGGTCGATTCGATTACAGGTTAATTTTGAGCATTAATTTGTAATTGTATTTCTTAACTGATTTCGTTATTTCAAGAAATCGAATGTCACCGTGACGTGCTTAACGTTTAAAAAAAATTTTTTTTGGATGAAAATTTGGATTTCAGCTTTCTTGAAGTTTACTTTTGTATTTAGGATTCATTTGACCAAAGGAAAATAGTAGTGCGTGATTTTTCAATGCGTTGTGAGCAAATTCTTCAACAAGCTATGAAATGGGCTCCAGGAAGTACTCGAAGTCACCTTGTTGTATGTTTCATTTCTGTGGATATATAGCTTCAGTTAGACAGTATTTTTGTATTATTTTTGGAATTTCAACTGCGCGATTTTCTTTTGGTTGTTAATTGAATGCTTATCGAATTCTATGATTTTAATTCTATGTATGATTTTAATATTTCAGCAACACATTGCCAGTGCCTATTGTGCTGGTAGTACCAGTTTGCAGTTAACGATTGAAACGCTGCGAAAAGGTGTCGATGGCGAAATTGATCCAGGTGCATCACTTTATTTGTCTTCCCTTCATCTACGATCTCTTTCTCTTGGACAGGTATTTGTGAATTTGGTTCAGAATTTTTTCTTTTCGCTTATAATTTCTTTCCACTGAGTGAGCATTTCGATGGACAGTACAATAAAGTTTAAATTTTCAAAAGAAGATTGATGCCATGAAAAATAAAATTATAAAATTTTATTTTCTTATTTTGCATACATTTAGGTAAATGGAATGCTTTCACTGAAAAAATCAATTAACCCTGTGAATGCTGAGGAGGAGTTGATCGACGAATTAGAATTAACATTGAAATGTGCTTGCAAGGAGAAAGATGAAGGAGCGATAACAGATGCCGTCATGAAACTATCTGCACTTTTTATTATTTTAACTGGTATTTTAAAATTCAAATTCTCTTACGATTTATACATTATATTTAATTTATTTATGTATAATTTAAAATAGTCTTATCCTTTTATTAGACATAAGAATTATTCTTTATTCCTTTCAAAAATTTTTTTCTTATTGCTTTAGAAGTTTATAATTATATAAGTTTATAATTCGAAATATTTTTAGACACCAATTTTCGTCTTTTGCATGTTATTGTATTCATACCTCTTCTAAGTTTTACTGCTACTACTATGAGATTATGTGTGATGTGCTGGAACTGGATACTGGTAGTTCGGGAAAATATTCATCTTTGCGTAAGTTTATTTTGCATATATTTTTACCATTTATTATCTTTGTGTATTAAATTAATTATTGTAAAAATGCCATAAATCGATATAATTTCTATTTTTTTGTTGAAGTTTTTACGCGAAATGGCTAGTTGCTGGAACGCCGTACTACGGAAGAATTTTGGCCTATTCAAACCTGAAGGTACAGTAATATCACCTTTGAGCGTTCATCATGTTCAGCGATCTAAGGCACCTATGGTTGATGTTCACAGTATATGGGTCGATGTATGTATTATTTTTCCTGTCATTACCGTATATTTTTCTTGAATTTGATAATCGCCAAGACAGTATCAAATAGCTGAAAATTTTTTTAGCGATTTTAGTAAATAATCCGTTTAGATAATAGTTGTATCAAATAATTCTCTGATTATTAAATTTTAGTTTATAGCTTAAGAGATTACCTTCAGTTCTTATGTGAACGAGTGGATATAGCAAAATTTTCAAGCCGAGAACAACTTGATATTCTCGAAATCATGTTTATACAGTCACTGCCACTCACTGTTGGTCGAACATGTTTGCATGTTAATGACTCATCTTCTGAAATTTTCGGATTGAGCAATCTACTGGATAATGGTAGCTATTAGATTTATTTATGTATTGATTTATTGATCATTTATTCGACTAACGATTATTGATTCAGTTTTTTTATTGAATGAGCTATCCCATTGAGCTATCCCATTCTGCCCATTTTTGATTTAACGAAAATATTTGATAGTGGTTGGAAAAAGTATTAAACTTGCATTGTTCAACTTGCAACGTTAACAAAAAGCATTCGCTAGACGAAAAAATAAACAGAATTCTTCATAATTCTAACAATCCTCATATTTGGTTGTTGCTCACTATGTATAAGATTTTTTCGCTAATAGGCAAATCGATACTTGGCGGTTAATTCTTTTTAATGGGATTATACTAAGCCTAACCCTATACATATTTTTAATGAGAAGTGAAATGACTCTCTGATTTTAGTGGAATATCACAGCTCCCACAAAAAAAATTTCATCCGAATTAATTATGTGAATCATATATGAATTCTTATTTTTTAATTTAATTTTATTGTTTATTTTATCTTTGATGGATAAATATCATGCAGCAATGATCACACGAAACATCCAAGCAGTAGGTGTGCGTTTTCGATTATTAAACTCAGCTCTATCGATGGTACAAGGAGACTCTTTTCCCGGCAGTTCTTCACAAAATTTACTCCGTCAGCGTATTTACGCTACTTGTTTGGATTATTTCACGTGAGTATTGAATTCAATAATTGAAAACTCTTGGATATTCTTTACTAAGTACGTATACTGTAGTAAATTAATTAGTTATTTTTGTTTGAACATTCTAATTGAGTATTTCATTTGCATAATTTTCATTTTAGAATTGCTCCACAAATTCCCACGCAGGAGACTCTGCAGCTGAAGCAAGATGTGAAACAATTAATTTTATTCTGGAATACTCTATTTTCAGACGTAAAATACATCAAGAAGTCGGTCACTTCTGCAATTGGTTTGTTTTTTTTTGAATTGAATTCATGCCTCTTTTTAATAAATATATTAAATAAATGTATTAAATGTATATTATTATTAAATGTTTTATATTCATAGCCAGTAATGAATCCAAGTTTTTTAAAAAGATATATTTCTTTTCAGATACAGATTCACAGTTCGCTTCTTTATATCAGACGATTACAGATAATTATAAACCTAGTACCACTTATAAGTTTGTTTATTTTAGAGTTTCTAAAGGATTTTTATTACTGCTGTTGCTTTTTTGTATTCCAATTCTATTTATTCCAACAGTTTCTATCAAATCATCACGTTATATTTGGTTAATTTTGTCTTCATCATTGATCATTTTGTAGCACAGTAAACAAAGCTGATGCTCAAACTTGGCATGCTTTAACACATGCGACTTCAAATTGGGTGACGATGGTTTCATCACAAAATAAGATTGCCACTTTGCCTAAGGATTTCTGGACGAATGGTAGGAAGCTCTAGTTATTTGTTAAAATTTATTACAAACTTTTATTGCTTTTCCGAATTCATATAAAAATTTACCTCTAGAGAAAAATGGCTTTTATATTTTATCGATTCAAACAAAAATCTTTTCTTGAGATAAAATCGATTTTATGATCATAACTATTTTCAGAAAGTAGGCCTCGTGATCCATCTATTGAAGTGGACAGGCAATTTAGATTTTTTAACAAGCGGAGAAACCTTATTTTGCTATTTATTGTGTGTTTTGATGTTATTTCAGTTTATCTTTTCTCATTTTTAAAAATTCTTTTCTTTCTCCACAGTTCGTAGAAAATTTTTTCATGATTTTTAAAATTTTTTATTTCGTTGTTGTTGAATGTTTAGGCCGATGAGATAGAAAGATTAAGTGTTTGGCTAAATCCTCTTGGTGAAGCAATGGAAGAAGGTGAAGCAGTTATCGATCAGTGGAGGCGAACTACTTTCTCTGATCCAAGAACTGAACAGAAGCGTATGAAAGAGAATATCAAACTTGCTTGGGAAATTTGTCCTGATCTTGCAGTTCATATGCCTGCTAGGTAATTCTTTTGAAAATTTATTTTTTATTTCTTTTTGCATTTCTAAAATTTAAAGAATCTAAAAGTTGAATTCGGTTTTTAAGTTGTTTTGACCATAATTTTATTTCAGTTTGCTTTAGATTCCGTGCTTACGTTAATTGCCAAAGTGAAGTGCACGATTTGATAATTCGTTCACCAGAGGTTGTAAGCCATATCCCAGAAGCACTTCCTTTGTTATTGGCTGATGGGATCATTCTTGAAGAAAAGACAGAGGTCTGTTGGATTATTGCTTTTTAATCTTTAATATTTTTAGCAATATTTATATTTTTTTTGTATTCTTGGCAAATTTTTTTCTAATTCGTTCTGTTCATAAATTTTATTTCTAAAATTTCTTACATAAAGAATTGGTCAAATTGGATAATTAGGTGCTAAATTAGTTGTTAAATTTGTTAAATATTCAATTTTTTTAGCCGAAAATAAACTTATTTTGGTAAAAAATAAGTAATTGTAAATGAAGAAAATTTTCCAAATATATATCTATATATATCTAAATATATATCTTCCTTTGTTTATCTTGTTTATAATTTCTGTTATTTTTCATTCTTTAAATCTATTTATTTATTATTTAATTATCAATTTTTTAGGATTTAAAGAGCCTTAATCATATTTTAACATGGGCAACATGTTCACCTGTCGTTGCTTTATCATTAGTGAGTGCTCGACAATATCCCATTCATCCAATAACTGTCCAATATGCTGTTCGTACACTTCGATTATATCCCCCCGATGTATTGCTGCTTTATATACCGCAGCTTGTTCAAGCTATTCGATATGATGGAGTAAATTTTAGTTTATTTGGTTGTTTTTGATTATTTTGCGTGTAAATATAATAGTGCTGAAATGTTTAAATATTTAAATTTACTTAAATTCTAGCTGATTATTTTTATGCTCTATTCAATATTTTATTATATTTTTGATCGTATTTATTTCATAAATATGATTTTTTTGATGAAAAATGAATTTGAGATGGGATATGTAGCTGAACTTATCATTTGGCTTGCGGGTCATTCACAGTTGTTAGCGCATCAATTGCTTTGGAATATGCAGGCCAATTTATATCGCGATGAAGAATCGAAGGAAAAAGATGTGGATTTATTTGATCCACTTTCTGAATTAATCACCAAGGTTAGCTTTTTTGCTTTTTAAAATTTGATAGCTATTTGCGAAAATGAAAGTCCTCATTATATAGCCGTGATTCGTTCAATCTTGCTACATGGCTTTGAAACATGAGAGTAGAGGCTATTAAGAAGAAGAATTTGACCACTCTTATCTAAGGTACATTTTACGGATCCATTGAGCGGATAAAATACCACATGATCGCATCCACCTTCGTTCAAATACCACTAGCATTAACAATGTTATCACAGAGTCGCATTCGCTGGTTAGGGCATTTTTTCCGTCATCCACTTCAGGAGTTGACGTATATTTCGTTATTTACTAAACCGTACGATAGGTGGCATCAAAAGCGAGGTGAGCCAACCAAGACCTGGACTGATACGATCATACAAAAAATTTGAACATATAGGTGGACCAGCAATATATGGACTTAGACGATGGAAAAAGGAATGGCTTCTATTACTGTCGATGGGATCAGACTGCGCCGTTTGGAAGTCTCTTACCCTAGGAGCCGTTGGAGCCAGCCTAACCATCAATAGTGAGAGCTGTTAGAAGAAGAAGATAGCTGAAGAAGATAGAAGATAGCTTTTGTATTTTATGAAGAAACTAAAAGATTTATAAATAATGTCGATTATTTTCTGTTCGATTGAATTTCAGATCATTTCGCAATTAGAAGGCGCTGCTCGTAGTTTCTTCGAAAAGGAATTTGATTTATTTAAACGAATTACCGATATTTCCGGTAAAATTAAGCCATATCCAAAAGGTGAAGCTCGCAAGGCTGCTTGTCTGAAAGCAGTTGCTGACGTGCGACTCGATTCAATAACTTATTTGCCTTCAAATCCTGAAGCCATTATATTGGACATCGACCACAGTAGTGCTACGCCGATGCAGAGGTAAACAAATCTTGCAAAGCAATTTAATATAATTTAATAATTCTTAGAGTTTGTTTTTTATCGATTGTCTTCAAGGGAGATTGAGTGATATAATTTTTTCATCAACTCTTTTTAACCTTTTGTGAAAAAATATAATTAATATTATATTCTCTGAATTTCTTTTATGAATAATTCGATCATTTTGCATATCTTTTAATGATTGATCTGATCGAAAACTGGAAGAAAAATATTTAAAATATTTATATTTATATCTATTTTATCTCTTCTTCATTTGAAAATTTGGTTGAATATATTTATATTAAATTAATGAAGATTTATCTCATAAATGCAATGAACCATATTTGAATAAATTTAGTGCCGCAAAAGCACCGTTTTTGGTTCGTTTCAAGGTTCGTCAGTGTGGTGTTCAAGAATTGGAGCGTATAGGTCTTGCAGCATATCAAAAAGGGAACTCAAGGAACGATTTTGATCTCAGGACTTTAGCAAGGTCTGACGATACAAATGTTTGCTGGCAAGCTGCTATATTTAAGGTATTTTCTAAAAATAGATTTTAGACAACTGTAGTTTTTTCATGAGCCAAAAGATGTAAAGGAATTGCTTCTATTAATCTTATCATCGGAGATCTTACTAGAATCCTGAGATCAAAATCAGTATTATCAATCTTTTAATGTTTTTAACATTAAGGTTGGTGATGACGTTCGTCAAGATATGCTTGCACTTCAGCTGATGCGACTTATGAAAAATATTTTTGATGCAATTGGTTTAGATGTTCGTCTATTCCCTTATAGAGTTGTTGCTACTTCTCCTGGTTGCGGGATCATTGAATGCGTACCCAATTCTAAATCTCGCGATCAGCTCGGGCGACAAACAGATTTTGGTGAATTTTTTTTCATATGATTGCGATTATTTTGATACGTTTTCTTTGATTTTCTTCATTTTTTATCTAAATGGCCATTTGAATAATATTTTCAGGATTGTATGAGTACTTCCTAACGAAATATGGTGATGAAAGTACTGAAACATTGCAAAGTGCTAGGCGTAATTTTGTTCGAAGCATGGCAGCATATAGTGTTTTTAGTTTTCTACTACAGATCAAGGATAGGCACAACGGAAACATTATGATTGATACCAAAGGGCATATTGTACATATTGGTACAATTTTTTCGTTAATTTCGATGTGAATTTCTCATCTGCATAGAAAAATTCACGCAAAATATGAAATTATTTTTTTAACTGTAAATTAGAATTGGCATAATAGAAGAAGAAATTATGATTGATATGAAAAAGTTTTTCAGTCTATAACTGAAATAAAAAAGGCAAAAAAAGGTTATCGTTTTGAAGGGTAAGAAAAGCAATTTTCCCTATTTTATTTTTCTTCTTCATCTTAAAAAGATAGAGTTTTGCTTTTTATTTTATAATTTTATTATCCCGCTCCAATGTCCTATCCATAAATCGGGTATTTTATATTATATTTTTTTATATTTTAATAGGAAAAAGTTTTTTAAATTTTTTTAAGTTTAATTATATTGTTCTAAAAGATTCCATAGATATTATAAAATATAACATTTTATGTAATCAATGAATTTCACATCATATTTTATTAACTTATGTTGTTAGAGTTAACGTTGATAATATATCTTTTTGAAAAAGCACAAAATGAGATTATTTTACAAGTTATTTTAGATTTTGGCTTTATGTTTGAAAGTAGCCCTGGAGGTAATCTCGGATTTGAACCAGATTTTAAACTCTCTCAAGAAATGGTCGGTATTATGGGAGGGAAAATGGAAGCACCACCTTTTCGCTTATTTGCTTCACTTTGTGTTCAAGCCTATCTCGCCATCAGGCCGTACCAAAAGGTTTTTCTATATTTGTCATTTTTTTACAATTATATTTTTCATAATTTCCCATTGATCTGCTAGTGACAGGTAATTATGAAGAATTATGGAATGATTGTTGGGTTACAATTGTTAAAAATGAAATGGACAGATTTGAAAGAGTAATTTTCTTTTTTTTTTGTGGATGACTCCCCATCGTTAAAAGAGCATGTTTTTTCAGTTTTTAGGGCATAGCATTTTTTTTAAATAACTCTGCCATACGAATTTTCGATAACTATTTAATATAATTATGAATGCAATTTTTTAAAAATACTACTTTACTAAAAATACTAGCAATTTCATCGTCATTATAATATTTTTTACTATATAATATTTATCTAAAAAAATTTCACTAAATCATAATCATAAATCAGTCAACAATAAAATTCAAAAAATTAACTTTTTGTGACTCTGTGGATTTGATAGGAATTTATTGCATTGGTATCTTTGATGTTGGATACACGGCTGCCTTGTTTTCGTGGAAAAACAATTCAACAATTTCGGGAGCGTTTTGCACCAACAGCATCAGATCGTGAAGCAGCTAAATATATGATGCAGATCATTCGTAGTTGTTTTCTTAATGTTCGTAGCAAAATGTACGACCAATTACAATATATACAGAACGAAATTCCTTACTAATTTTCATATATTTAAATAGTTATTGTTGATTCGATTAATATTTGCAATTATTAAGTAACCAAAGAAATTTCTATATTCCAAATTAAATGAGAATTAATTTCTCGACTTTTGTCTTCGACTTACTCAATCGCTAATAGATATTTTTCCATAAATTATTTTTATACAAATTGTTAAACTATAATTTTACACAAATTCGATTTGGAAATCTATTTTTCCTAAACTTTCGTTTGGATATAAATTTTTTATATTTTTATTTTTCATTAGTGCTTTCAATATTCATTTTTTTTGATTGTCTGACTTATTTATTAGCATTTTTTTCTCATTCTTACCAAAATTCTAAATAGCTTTTCGCTAGATGAATATTGACTCAATAGTAAATTATTGCTTTTTTTATTGCTTCTTGTAATATTTTTTGTAAATCGATGAATATTCTATGATTATAATCGCTAATTTATTTCTTTTTTGTTGTGAAATTGCTTTTTTATTCATAAAAATATCAATTGGAAATTGTGGTTCTATATCTCAAGTGACTCTGTAACGAAGAATTATTTTAATAATTGATGGCGCCAGCAGGAAATTTTGAATAATAGTGGAGAAATTAAAGATCGAAAGTTTAAACGCTGGCTGTTTTATATAATTCTATATAATAATATAATTTTATATAGTTTAAAAAGAATTCTTTCAATTTTATTTGCAGTATTTTTAAATTTATTATGAGAAATGGTTTTTAAAAAGTAGAGAAAAATTGCTATCAAACAAAACTAATTCTTTATATATTTTATATACGTAAAATATATTTTATTCGTACTTTTATTAACTAAAAAATATCAAAAAATATTCGCCCATATGAAGTATTAAATCCATATGAGTGAGAGTAGTCATTGGTGATTTGGAAAAAGGCGTCAACTGTATGAATATTGAGTGGTGCAAATTAATTGTCGTTGGCTGGTATTTTGATCAATCATTTATTTGCTGATAGTGAATACCTTTGGTTATTTGCCTTTTCTCAGATCCACGATTGGATTCTATCGACATTTTTCCCTGATAAACAGATCGATCTGGCAAACATGGGATGAGGACCTGAACTTTGAACCTAACTTTGCAACTTAATGCAATGGACAATGAACCAAGGAGTAGAATGGCTGAGAGCGTGGGTTATTACTCAATTCAGGGCGCTGATGACGAGCTTTTATTCCCCACAGGAGTCCAAAAATCCAGATGATGCTAGCGACTTACCTGTACTCCTATCGGCAAGCAAATTCCTGGTATATTTGTTTAGTGCGATAAGCCAGCGAATTTAACTAGTAATAGAGAGGGCTCTTAAAGAAAAGAACAGAGATAAATATGTGAATTCGAATATAGTCAAAATTACGCATAGGATTTGCTTCATGTTAAGCGTTTATGAAGCTCTTAGGCCGAGCAGCTTGGGGCCGTCATCAAGAATGAAGTCCAGGCGATTCGCTGACACAGCAATTCCTGAGCGACTACACTGCGAAAAAATCCTCTAAATGCTTTATCTTGATTTTCCATCGAAATAATGAGTGCTTTTGGGAAAAAAACGACGCCAATTAACAATGAATAATGAAAGAATAAATATAAAATTTATTCATTATTTGCGCTCCTCTCGAGGATCAGTGAGCAAGCCTGGTCCAACCGAAATCCAGGGCCCTGCTGGCCCTACCGTCCTTCTGTATTCCTATTCCCGTGTAATCAGCGGAGCAAGGCGAGGATGGTTTTTTTCTAGTAAAAAAGATGGCAATCATCTGTGTAGAACGTTCAGCGTTTTTTAAAATTTAAATTTAAGGGGAATTTAAAATTTTTTCCTTATACGTTATGGAATGGAAAATGAAACTGTATTTTTATATGATCAAAAAAATCCTATCAGTTTTCTAGCAAACTGCGTTTCGTTGCCATCGACGAACAGCATTCTCGGATGGAAATTCGCCTAAGGCATTAGGCCGAATCTCCTGCTGCCAAAATTCGATAGAAAAGATCGATATCGAGGTAAATAATCGGAAATAACCAATTAGCTATGCTCGGAAGAAATTTTCATGGGTTTATAAACTGATTTCAATGATTCGGCCTTTCCTAGTGAAAGAATTTATTAACTGTTTGTGTTGCTTCGCTTTGCCGAATATTCCCCGAATCGACTCATCCGAATCCGCTCTTATCTCGTTGGGAGACATTGCTTAGACGGCAGCCAACTTGGTTGGTCCCTAGTTCGCTTCTTCACGCGAATTCTATCCTTCTTATTATTCTCCCTTGTTTGCCTATTTATTCTACGATTGTTTTGCTTTACTTTCATTTCGCAATTGAACGATTCTCGAATTAATGATTTAATTAATGCAAAAACAAAATTTTTAATGAAAATAACGAGCAATAATAATAATAATAAATATTTCCTTCATTAAATATAAATAATTGATGAGAAAAAAGGAAATTTCCACTTACTGCCATCCGTAATTGGCTGTCATTATTTTCCTATTCATTCGAATAGATAAGCAATTAATTCGAGAATAAATAAGCGCGATCGTTCGCTCGTTCGATCGACTGTCGCCAATTCACTTTGGAGGTGATTTGCGATTCGTTTGCGATTTCCGCAATCACTATTCGCTTATAAGTATTCTCCGAAATATTCGAAATTTCTCGTTCTGCGAGCTAATTTGGCGATAAAGCCGAATGCAGATGGATGTCGAAATTTCATCCGTAATGTTTGATTCACTCGCATTTAAATGAAATTGGTTTAATAAAATATTGCCGAAGCGACGACCCTAAAATTATTAAAAATATTATTTAAAATTTAATTTATCTAAAATTTTGTCTAAAATCATTCAAATTGTTAAGCAAATCGAATACATTTGCAGTAAAAAAAATGGGATAAAAAATTGAGAAATATTGGATGAAAAAAAAATTTTAGAACATAGAATATAAAAGGCCGTTATGGTCATTAGAGAAATGAGTGGTACCATTTCCGGTCGGACTCGCTTCACTGGCTTTGGCACGATTATTTCAGGATGGGAATAGCTTCCTAGCACTACTCTGTCCACTCGCATTAAAAGCATTGAGGAAGTCAATTACAGGAAAGGCATAAATGAAAGTGAATTCTGAAATTCGAATAAGACCGTTCAAAAAAATTTCGATTTTTTTCGGTGATAAGAATGCAAATAAATTAGATTTATTTGCGAGTCAGAGATAAGCAAATAAGCGAAAATCAAAATTTTTATCGTTTTATAAAAAAAAATTTTATATTACCAGAAATTTTACCAGAAATGGTTCCATTTCAGTAGTTGGATGGAGCACAGAAATGGTTCCATTTCAGTAGATGGGTGGAGCAGAAATGGTTCCATTTCAGTAGTTGGATGGAGCACACAAATGGTTCCATTTCAGTAGATGGGTGGAGGAGAAATGGTTCCATTTCAGTAGTTGTATGGAGCAGAAATGCTGAGTGCTATTAGTGAAGGAAAGAAGAGTATTAAAATTTTTTCAAGTCAATTATATAAATTACACATCAAAGATACTTAGAATTTTAAAATCAACATAAATAAATTTATTCATCTAAACTGGAAATCTTTTCATGAAAAATTTTTCATAAAATATTTGAAAATTGCGAAAGATTTATTCGTGTATATCGTCTCATCGAGTTTATTGTTGAAAAATCTTTAAAAGCGTTGACCTTGAAATGAAAATTTTTGATTGAGTTTCTTCCTCGCCTATTCAAAAATCATCGCCGTCCCATCTCCCATCTCGCAATTCGCTTGTCATCTGTTCAATCTCTTTGTTGTTTTCTCTTGTTGGTTATTTCAGTGTGTGCGCGTGCATGTGCATTTCTGCGTGCATGTGCATTGTGCGTGCATGTGCGACCATATGTGCGACTGCTGCTGCTGCTGGTGGCCGTGGCTGAATGGTCGGAAATAATGTGAAATAACGCATCGAGTCCTCGTGCTAGAGGCATATTACTCGATTGCATCGCTTGCTTGCATCCAAAACCTTTATCTGATAATAATAGTGATAAGCTGGTGATCACCTTTTCAACTTTTATCTGTCTCGTGTATTTTCTATTTCTTCAAATAATAGGTTATATATGTGAATATATATGTATGTATGTTTTGTTCGATGTGCGTTGCTCGTTGTGATTCGTTTCGTTTGGATGGCCGTTGCGTTTGTTTTCTGTCATAAAATTGTTCTATTTATCAAACATAAATAATTTTTTCAATTTTTAAGAGAAAAAAGTGTATTTGAAAATCGACAAACCGACCAATCGAACCAAACCAATTAATTAACGAAAGAAGTAAGAAATCGAAATTTATCATTTACGAAAACAATCATTTCAAGCTTCGTGCTTCAGCCTCGGCCGTTTGACGAGAGCAAAGCTGCCCCGGCGGTGCTGCAGCCCATCGGCGAAGTTGTCCCTTTCCGATGGCCGGTGGAGTGAATCCATTCGGCAGTGTTACGCCGCCTTTCCCCCCAACTGCAGTTATTTCTCTTATGCCACTTCCATAAGCATCATTCATCATTCGTTTCCTTTGTTTTTTCTTCAGTTCTCTTCATTCAATTCGTCATCGGAAAATTTTTCAAATAATTTTTTTGCATGTTTTCCGCAGAAGAAGAAGAATAATCGTTATTTTAAAATTCGGAATAATTTCAGCGGACACGAATATTATTGGTGCGATTATCTTAAATAATCCCTTTCTTCTTATCTTTATGGCTTCAATTACTCGTCGTTCCTCTTTCTAAGCCTATATAATCCCTCGTTTTTTTTCTGAAGGATCCACTAAAATCTTTTTTTCGATCGGAAAAAACGAATTTTTACAATATGATTTATTATTTATTGCTTTGGTCATTATCATTCATCTCTTCAAAGTTTAACGAGTTTTTTCGCTTATTCCCGTCGATAATTAATATAAGAATATTGGTTTTTGATCACTTCAACCAGATCACTGTATGTGCTTGTATACGCGTACATACAAACATGCATATGCATGCATGCAAATATATGTACA